ACATAAAAAACGGGTAGAAAATCAAAACCATGCCCATACCCGTTCGGGTTTCGGGTATCCACGGTTATCCATGGGTAATAGTTTTTCTTTATAACTCCAATCAATATGTTAATATTTACACGTATTCTCACGTTACGTAAGACGAAAAGTACGACAATAATTCACTAGAATGAAGAAAATTAATTAAAACAACACAATTTCATAAGAAAATTATATTTATATGCTAAATATAAAATATGTTAGAGAAAAATATTGATTATTTCTAGACAAAATACATATGCATGTGTATAATCGGGCGGGTTCGGGTTGGATAGTGAGAAAATCATGCCCACCCATTACCCGCAATATTCGGGTTCGGGTTTTACCCGTACCCACTAAAAGTCTATCGGGTTCGGGTTTTGCCCTACCCAATTAGGTCGGATTCAGGCGGATATCCACGATTACGTATATTTTTGCAATCCCTAGGGTTGACCCATGTATATATGCGTCCACTCAGAGTCTTATTTCTATGAATTCCAATACTAAGGAAAAACATTGCATCAAATGCACCAAATATCTTCTCAATCTCTATGAATACCCATTCGCTCGTCATTTATGATAACATACTTACACTCCGTCTCTCTACAATTTACTATAACTTCCATCTCTCTCCAACTCGCGTCGAAGAATAGCTCGGTTGAAACACCGCGAGGACCAGCCTTCTGTGCAAAGAAAACGCCCGAAATAAGACATTGTTCGTTGTTTGGTAGGATTGAACCAAACCCTGGAAGGAGGAGATCGAGACTCACAACCCATATCCGATCACTTCGCAGTGTTTTTTTTTAAACATACATTAATGCACACATTGTAACACATAACAAATACGCAGCGAGAGATAACGATAAACCCTTTCGAACTACACGTAACTTCGTCCATCTCCACAAACAAATAACATAAACTCCTTTCTTAATCTCCTTCCAATATCCAAACAAATGTTTACTATGGTGTCCCGTGTAGACAGTGGCGGAGTCATGAATTTGAATGAACTGGGGTGCTGCCTTGAATCGTGCTAATTGGATGGAGGAGTGGGGGCTACTAATGCCTTACCCACTACTCTATTTCCTAAATTTAATACGAAATTTACATGTAATTTTACCCACCTTTCAAATTTAAGAAGGGCTGTAGAGTCAGACAGCATATATATATATATTGGATCGAGTACCGACACTGGCGATATGTGGACAAGGTGTTTGGGAGCTTGCTGTCTCTTCTTTTCATTTAAGAGGATCTTTCTTTGCATCCAGTCAAGTGATGAATTCATTTCATGCCACCTGTGCATAAGAAAACAATAATAATAATATTCCAACACTGCAAAATTTGGAGACACTCACTCCATGCTTCGCATTTAAGCTCGTTGAGATATCGTTGTCCCCAGAATCGGAAGCCATCCCTTCGATCGCACATATAAGAATCCAAGTTCAAGAAGGCACTAGGCACGTAAGACGTAAGACGGGGGATTGAAGTCTTGTATAGTCCTTAATTTGTTTAGACGTGGGCTAAACGTATCTAAAAGTTAGAAACAAAAATAGCAATTAGTACCACGTGAGGAATATATATAAAAAAACTACAATATTATCACGATTTTATTTCAAATGATTAATAACTTACATTAAAATCTACAACAAGATTGAATGTATGAAGTTGTGGGAATTGGCTCGGGCAGGAAGATATGAGGATGATGATGCGGGAGTGTGTTTGTTAGTGTGGGGTTTGGTTGCGGGGGGTTCGTATTGCGGTATTTTAAAATTAGTTCAAGCACTTAAAAATTGATTTTTTATTATAATGTGTGACATCACGCGTCTAAATTTTTAATTTGAGAGGTCGGACATCCCCCTATCAGAACTCGGAAGGGCTAGATGTAGTCATCGATTCTTCCGAACAGTCACAATTAGCAAGATCAAGCATATTAAAGAAAAAAAGAACACATTAAAATGTGTCGATTGACCTACATATAATTTGGATGAAATAAAATTATAACCCACATGGTATACAATCGTACCACTAGATAAACATATTAATGCTCTACTAATTGGTGAGAGCTAGGACTGTAAATGAGCCATGCCGCTCGCGAGCAACTCGGCGTTCGAATTCGGAAAAAACTCGTTCGACACTCGACTCGTAATTTAACAAGCTGGCTCGAGAGTCGACTCATTAGTAAACGACCCAAGGTTGAGCTAGACCATGCTCAACTTGATAAGCTCGTGCGCTAGCTTGACTCGGTGGCTTGTTGAGCTAAGCTCACGAGCTGGCTTGTTTAGAGCTTGTGGAAGGGTTCATTATTCTCATGAACATGAACATTATCTTGTTAATACAGATGTGTATGTAAGTTAGCTGCTATTTTTAGTTTCTAGTGTTCTTTATATCATTTATATTCTTATATGTACACATTTTCAGCAAGAAAGATTCAAATCGAGCTCATCTTGAGCCGAGTTTGTACTCAGCTTGACAAGCTGTGTTTATGAGCCTTTATCGAGCTCTATCGAATCAAACTCGAGCTGGATTATTTTTAATCTAGCCGAACTTGAGCTCGAGTTGGAGTATCAAAATTTGAATTCGAGCTGAAAAGTATACAAACGAGCCGAATTAAAACTAAGTAAAAACTCGACCCAACTCGACTCGTTTGCAGTCATAGACTGAGAGCCACTTGAGCTGGTTGCTGGTTGCCACGTGAGCCGACAAACTATGGGGACGCAACAAAGTCCAGAATCTACTTGGGCCCCTAAGATAATTCATTGGGCCTCCAGTCCGATGCTCAGACACAGGCCTCGTTTCCTTACGAGGAGCAAGCAAAGGTGAGATCTAAGATCTGTGTATTCCACGCCATTAACTAGTTGGTGTATAAAATACTTGCGTAGCATCAACTACCGTAATAAAATAAAACAAAACAAGTTAGTAGGCTGGTGTATCATCTCGTTTCTCCAATTATGTCGATGCATGTTTCAAATCGGCTTTACTGTGGCACGTAAATTACACCTTCATTAAAACCATACACACACTAGATAATACATGCATTTGTACAACGATCAACATTGATTCCTTCAGATGTGTCAATTGGGCAAATGCGTCCATAGTGACTAGGATGGATATCTCGTATCCGAAAACTCGCAGTTCGCCCCGTCAATCCCGGAGCACTCATCGTTGAAGTGCAAAATCGCAAGCCTTATAAGGACATTTTTATAAATGATACTGTAAGCGATCTTCACTATGGTGCTAATAAGTATTGGTGCTTTGTCTAAAAAAACTATTATTATAAAAACTGAATTTACACATTTAGCTTCAGTTTGTAGTTTGTACCTATACCGTTTCTTACTTATATTTTATTTATTTATTTTATGAATTGCGAGTAGCTTTTCGGGAAGAAGGCACTGTTCAAACAAACAAACAAAACATGTTTCGAAGACATTTGATTGTATACACGAGACTTTCAAGCTGGTTTTAAAAAAAAACCATAGGTCAAGGCATTTGAACTAATCAATTCTCTTCCAAGTGGATTATTAATAATTAAACACCAATTACAGAAACATGGCCATATCTAAAAAAAAAATCTCAGAATTCACAACCCTTCCCTTTCCTCGTGTCATTAAACAGAATTTGCTCATCAACTAGGTTGGGATGGCAATTCTACCCATAATTGTAGATATACGACCTTTCCCGACCCATTCACGAGAGGAATTCTCACGTTGACCGAGTACGAGACTGGGTACGACCGTATGAGTAATACCCACAAAAAAGTGACGTGAATTGGTTTAGGCTCCTGCTCCTCCGATGTATTCTCTATCCCCTGTCCGCTGTCCTCTATCAAAATTTGAAAAGAATGTAACTCTAAACTCATTGATTTTGCTTTACCGATCTCGGAAGGACAGCTTCTTCCTTGCCGATGTCTGATGATGGGAATGTTGTCGTCTCCGGTTGCTAGAAGCAGCTGCCACTTGATGATGATAATAAAATTCAGCTAGAATTTGATTGCCTGGGTTTAGTTTTGTACTCTATTTTATGATTGTGGATTTGGTTGTGGGGTTGTCTTTGTGGTTGTCAGATCTATATAGCTTGCTTTTTAACCTTCTTTGGACCTGATCCATTTGTATTCTCATAATATTAACGGATTGCACATCCGTGTAAAAAAAAAATTGCAAACAACTTTTCTTAAACATTTCTCGCACTATTTATAGCCAATTTATAATCTACAATGTTCATTAAACGCGTTCGAGCTCTACAATCAAACGGCATTGCATTTAGATCGCATATTCATATTATGCAAGGGTAAGAATTATCCGTCAAATATATGAAAATAACAGGAACGAAACAAACAAGAGTTGGTGTAGTGGTAATTAGGGGTGTCCATACGGGTTCGGTTTTTCGAGTTTACCCAAAACCGACCCGATTATATACATTTTCGGTTTTTTGGGTTCGAGTTCGTTTCAGGTTTCGGTTTTTTCGATTTCGGGTTCGGTTTTGCTTATCGGATTTTCGGGCTCTGGCTAAAAATCTCCAATGAATAGAACTCAGTATGTATTCTAAGGCATTCGGGTTTTCGGGTTTCAGTTTTTCTTTAACCGAACCCGAACCCGATAAGGAATTTTTGGGTTTCGGGTAACCGGAACCCGCAAGTCCTTATCGGGTTCGGTTTCAGGAATTTTCGATTTCGGGTTTTCAGGTTTTTTGGGTTTCGGTTCGGATAACCAAACCCAACCCGAACTGACACCCCTAGTGATAATGCCACTAGTTTAAAACCTAGAGGTTCAAGATTCGAATCCCTTCATTAGTATTCCTAATCACAAAAAACAAGATAAACATATATCACCCTCAGACGACTAACACTAATCCACCCCGACCCAATGCATTCCTCTTAATTAACGCCAAGTTGCCTGAATTTCAAAGAAATATAAGTGTTGAATCAAAGGCGAGAACAATCATCCAATCATTTCCCCATTTTCTATAAATCCCCCCAAAGTCCCCACAATGATGCTAATACAAAGGAACAAAACACAAGGTTTTCCTTATTGCTAATAAACAACAATTTCAGTCTATTGGTCAAACCCTAAAACCCACCAGCGTGTTAAACCCCTGTCGATACACTCTCTACCTACTCGCTCCACTGTTCTTCCTTGCTCCTCTTTTTCTAATCACTAATCTACTCTCTACTTCCTTCTATTTCTTATCATATGAATAAACTAGTTCTGCACTAAGAACACTCTCTAATTTTATCTTTAAAATCCAACACCAAATCAGCGTTGTTCATATTCTTACCTTTTCCCCCCTTGTTTTTGTCGTCTTCACAAATTTCCCATATTACCAACCGCTGCAATGAAAGCTACCGTCACAGCAACAACAAATAATATATTATATACTTACACCCTATGCTATAATATAACAATTCAACAAACCAAACTACGGTGTTAACAACCCATTTGTGATTTGTGACAACATGGTCACCGGGTCGAACATCTTCGGATTGGATGGAAGTGGTGACATTTTATTATTATTTATAAAATTATCTACAGCGTTCGTCCATCGACCGCGGACCGCTCGATGTCTGATCCGACGACTCCCTATCCCTATGATCACGAATTGTGAACAACACAGCCGAACTAACAATTTAGTTAGTGCATATACTGATATGAGCGACTGAGCGTAACCACATGCTCACATCGTTGGATCGCGCATCGCACAATACCCAACAACTGTAGTTTGTTGGCCACGCAATCCCCAGAAGAAAAAAAAACCCCCACAGTGCTTATGCCAGGTAGACCTATATACACCATAACACCATAGCCAAAACTATGATAGACGACCTCATAAGTCATATCATATGCCAAAACATCGATTCTCATAAAAAAAAAAAAACGAGAAGCTGTTGGCTTGGAAGATCCAACTATCTCAATTATATGCTAAAAATAGGAACAATAAATTAACAGTTAAGTGAACTAACCGCAGGGGCCATCCAGCAAGGCAGCCACCAACTGAAAAACAAAAAACAGCAAAACAAAAAGCATTCCTGTAGGCAGTTAGTTAAATCCCGCGTAAATTCCTCCCAACTCATTTCCACCTCTCAAAACCATTCGTTCCTCCCAACAAAAAACACCCAACCCAAAACGACTTGCCGTTTCCCGGTTTCCATTCTGTGTTCTTTATTGGTTCCCTGCTTGTCAAAGTTCGTTACTCAACAGTTTCTTTTTTTCAATAATTTTTTTCCCTCCACGCTGAACATGCACCACCCAACATTGCATTTCCACACATATAAATACGCCTAGAAAGCAAAGAAAGCGTTCGAGAAAAAAAAAAAAAAAAAGCATTCAAATATGCTTAGGAGCTTTTTCTCCTTTAGATTAAATTCAAGAACATAGAACTTTTTACCTTCTTCATCTCCATTTGGAAAAAAAAAAAATCCATTCTTCTTCTTTGTCTTCCATTTCGGCACCAGCCGGTCATCCTCGCCGCGGGACTCTTCCCCTCCTTTCCGCCTTCCCTGAGAAGCAAAGGCAATCGAAAATAGATCATATAAGGAGCCTGAAGGGCTATAATAAGAGGTTAGGAGGACCTTTGTCCGCGGCGGCGCCTGTCTCTTCCTTTCTGTTATCTCTAACAGGGAGGGAAAGGAGAAGAAGCATCAGGGGCGGAGGGAAGGGAGACCGAAAACCGGCGGATGACATGGTTCGAGCACTGGAAAAAGATCAACAGCAGCAGCAGTCACTCAATGTTCCGAGGACGAAATCCTCCACCACGTTAAGGAGAATGCTTGAGATACCTGGGAGGCAGATTACCAGCATGTTCTTCGACCATGGGAATAACAACAACAACAACACACCAACGACGACCACCACCATCAACGATAACGATGGATCCACCAACAACGTTGTTGATCAGGAGAAACCATCACAGCAGCAACTACAACATCAACAATCGATGAAGATCACTTCTCCGATTATTCCCAAGAGCATTGTTGATCAGCAGGAGAAACCACCACAGCCACAGCAACAACTACAACATCAACAATCGACGAAGAGCACTCCTCCGAATCTTCCCAAAAGCAAGAGCAATAATGCAGGTGCGCTCAATGAGACGGTGCAAGCTGTGGAAGGGTCTCCTCCTGAACGCGAACCAAAGCGTGCAGATTGCGGACCACCTCCTAAGACGCCTACCCCTACCCCTAGAGAAAAGGGTCCCTCTGGTAAAAATGAGTTTATCACTGCTTTAAACCAGAAAGGGATTAGAAATACTTACAAGTCCGTGTAATGCCTACTGTCAAAAATTGGCGCAGATTTGGATTTGATGAAGGAGAAGTTCGGGAAGCTGTTGCTAGGTGAAGACATGTCTGGTGGTGGAAAGGGTGTTTCTTCAGCTCTGGCATTGTCGAATGCAATCACAAACCTTGCTGGTACAGGCCTTAATTTCCAGAAAGCTAAAGGATTTACCTTCGCCAAGAAGCTTCTTTTTCGTTTTCGATATTTTTTAGATAGGCCTCTGGCTGATAACTGTTGTTTGAATGATGACAGCATCTGTTTTCGGGGAACAAAAGAGGTTAGAACCAATGTCTGCAGATGCGAGAGGAAGGTGGAAAAAGGAAATTGATTGGCTTCTCTCTGTAACTGATCATATTGTCGAGTTTGTTCCTTCACAACAATTGAATAATGGTGTCAATATGGAGGTAATTAAGAATTGCATTAGCAAATATATAAACTGAATGAATTTTTTACCTTACAAATCTTTTGTTCCCTTCTTTATAGATCATGGTAACGCGGCAAAGAAGCGATCTGCTGATGAACATCCCAGCTTTGCGGAAGCTTGATACCATCCTTGTTGTGAGTATCTTACAAAAAAATTCACTACACATTATTAGTATGAGTTGCTCTAAGTCTAAATGTTTTACAAATGAATTGGAATCAACAGGAATTATTAGATCAATTTGGAAAACAGAACGAATTCTGGTATGTGTCGAAAAATGATCAGGAAGGAGGACCACAGAGAAACGAGGACAAGTGGTGGATTCCCACAGCAAAAGTTCCAAAGGGTGGGTTATCAGAACCAACAAGAAGATGGTTGCAATCCCAAAAGGATGCAGTCAACCAAGTTCTCAAAGCAGCAATGGCCATAAACGCTCAAGTTCTATCAGAAATGGACGTACCTGATAATTACATTGAATCCCTTCCCAAGGTATAATTCCCTCCAAGTACTTTTTCCTCGGTCTGGAGCTTATCGTCCATAAAAGTTCACCTTTTACCTCTCTTTGTTGTATTTTCTTGGTAATAGAACGGAAGATCAAGCCTTGGAGACTCGATATACAAATCCATCACCGACGAGTACTTCGATCCCACTCAGTTTCTGTCAACCATGGACTTTTCAAACGAGCACAATGTCCTGGAGCTGAAGAACAGGATTGAGGCCTCCATCGTTATATGGAAAAGGAAAATGATTCAGAAAGACGGTAAGGCAGCATGGGGTTCGGCAGTGAGTATAGAGAAGAGGGAAATTTTTGAAGAGAGAGCAGAAACTATCTTACTCATCATCAAGCAGCACTTCCCTGGACTTCCCCAATCAGCACTCGATATGAGCAAGATTGAGAATAACAAGGTAAGCAACTAAGCATCATTTCTGCATCCAGCAGTGGGCAATGATAAGGTCCAAACCATTTGGATCGAGTCGAATCTGGGCAAACAAAATTCAATTCAATTTCAATTCCATGGACAGTCTTAAGTGCACCAAACAAAAATCGGTCAGGATAGATTAAGCTCAATTGTCCTTCCGAGCAATTCTAGCTCTCATATTTTTTTATTTATTTTCACGTTGATCCTATCCCCATTCGAGCTGATCTGGGCAGCCTGAATGCAGTTTTTATAATCTGACTCTGACCAAATTTGTTTCTTTATTTTCAATCTGATCCTAACTCTATTCAGTAATCAACTTAATCAAGTTTGAAGCAAGTAGAGAAACAATCAAACTGACCTTCCCCTGCATATGAATATCACACAGGATGTGGGACAAGCTATTTTGGAGAGCTACTCAAGAATTATAGAGAGTTTGGCCTTCACGGTCTTGTCGAGGATTGAAGATGTTCTTTATGCTGACTCGCAAGCACTGAATCCAACACCACCAGAAGGAAGTGAAAAGCCTGAGGAAGAAGCAGACAGGCTATCATCTGTCGAGACACCATCATCAATGACACTGTCAGACGTCATGGGATGGAGTGTGGAGAAAGGAGAGGATGACCTGAAGAAGATAGCATCATCAGGAATCACAGACAGCTTGGAGCAAGAAAAGATCAATGCAAAACCTGTTGCCACTCCAAGAAAATCGTCGTACCTGGAGAGGCTTGAGAACCTAAGTGGAATGAGAAGTCCAACAGCTCGACACTGAGATATCCAGAAATGATGATACAAGAAGGAAAGGGAAAGAAAATCCGAAATCACACATTATCCAGAGGTCCACAGAACCCAAAGCAGGAAAAAAACTTAGTTCACTGGGAGAGGGGATTCGTCAAATGTAAATATCAAAGACCAAATGCTATGAACAAAAGACTGGCTTAGTTGTCCTCACAACTATGGTAGCCAATCCCCCGTTGATCTTGCATAGTGTAATGGTCCGATATATGAGACGAGAAAATGGAATGTCGAACAAATGGAATGAAGAAGTAAAACTATGTTCTTGATTGAATGGTATTTAGTCTTTTTTCATAAATTCTTCTACACAGTATGGTTCTGGGTTTCAGCTGTTGCAGAACACTACTACTGTCCAAAAGATGCAAAAGAGAACATAGGGAGAGTCAGACCAAATGGGGTGCATGCATAGTAATCAAAAATAAGATATAACAGATAGCCATAAGCTAGGCCAATTTATCTCAATAAGGGATTCAAAACGATGCAAGTTCATCATGGTATTATCCTTACAATGCTTGCATAAGCAAGCTAAACTCTATGCACAGTCGGTGAAGAAAAGAAGACTAGCCAGGACTAAAGATGCCTTTCTGGCTGAAGTCTGTTTGATTACATGAAACATTGCCTTCAGTAGCAAAAAATGTACCCTTAAACCACAATCTGACAGTACAGCTAGCTATCTAGGTGGAACAGGTGACTGCAGCATGTATAGCGTCAGCAAGATGAGGAACTGTACGTGAACTGAGGCCAGCCATGCTAATCCTCCTGTGGATTGACAAAGAAAAATTATAATTTAAGTCTCTTCTCTAGGTATACAAACCAATATGCATGAAGTACATGGAATTCCAAGGATTTAGCCACTCAAGAATTTTTCTAGGACCTAGCAATATTCTGAATTTTCTGTTTCATGCTATCTGCTGCGTTGGAACACATTTATACCAAAACTGAAAGCTACAAAAAGAGCTGCAACCAGGCACTAAGTTTGGAAACTGATGTAAAAATATGTTTACTGGCAGGAGACAGATAGATCTTTTCACCCCAGGGGCTCTTTTTAAATTATGAAAAATTTGAGGACAAGGGACTTTTACCCGTCAGATGTCATGTAAATGTGGTACTCTTTGGTCATAAAGGCAACTTGTTCAGAGTTGAGACCAGTGAATGTAAACATTCCAATTTGCTTGATGATGTGACTCCAGTCACCTGGAGTACCTGGAAAAAACAAACAGCAGAAGGTTGAGGATTGCTACTTGCTGACGACACAAAATATTGTAGCACCAAAGGACTATGGCAGACAACCAACATGAACCTAAGCTGTAGATATAGCATTAGCAACACAATTAGAGAGGCAACCAAAATCTTGTCTGGAAAAATGCCATATATTTCAATTTAGAAAGCCTTTCCCCATCAAAATAGTGATCTCAGCCCCTAAATTGAGCAGTAACCCATAGACAGATGGCTAAAACAGACATGGATAGATGATTCCAACTGCAACAGTACAAAGATGCCAAAGGCCAGGTAACATGTGGGATAACAAACCTCTAGCAGATAAGGCTTCGAAAAGCTGCTGGCGCATGCTAAGGATCCTGTCAGCCATGGCTTTCAGCTCCACAGTCCATTCTCTATACATTTCACTGCAAAGGAAATTCGAGATTTGAAAGGATGATTCCTCCAAGAGTTTGCACTTGTTTAGACATTAAATGACCAGTAACCCGAATAAACACAAATTATTGTTACTATATTGCCACAGTCTAGCTCCAGAATCACGTTATCTTGGTTGCAAATATCATCAATTAAGGTTCAACATCACTGTACCTGTCCTTGAGAATTGCAGCAACTATAGATGCACCATGGATTGGTGGGTTGGAATACATTGGGCGGATCACAAGTTTCAATTGACTCTCAACTCTGCTTGCCACATCAGCTGCCTTGCAGACCTATGGGAAACAGAAGGTTACACAGTTCTTCATAGAGAAAGCACCCAGGTAGACCTTCTTGACATAAAAGGAACGTGAATGAACCAAAAAAATTCCTACAGGTAGCTTAAAGTTGCAAGTGTTTGTCACCAACATTAACACTCAGTACGGGTACTAGGTTTCCATATGAATGCTGCTTCTAATTTTTCGTTTTTTCCTGTGCGTAACCGGTTTCATGCTTGGTGAGCAACTACAATGGATGAAATAAATATGAAAGAAAGATATCTTACAATACTGAGAGCCCCAACACGTTCCCCGTAGAGTCCCATGTTTTTTGCATAACTTTGTGCCGCAAGACATTCACCACCATCAGCAACAAACATTCTAACTGATTCTGCATCTGCATCAAGGCTACCACTTGCAAATCCCTGGATTAGGGGTCATTTTCAGTCAGGCATGAGCAAAGAAAACTATGGCAAAGGGTTGATAAGACTGTCAGTAGTTAGAATTCGACTGCATCTGCATCTAGGCTACACTTGTCTTTGTGATTAATGATGAAACTATAAGGATATCAGTGAAATCTCAATAAGTTCATTGACAGCCGAAATGCATGCTCCCTATACCTGGTAAGCACTATCAAAGAAGGGCAATAACTGCTTCGATCTAATTAACTGTCTGATTTGCTCCCACTGCTCGAGGGTTGGGTCAACACCCGTTGGGTTATGTGCACATGCATGAAGGAGTACTATGGCCCCTGATGGTGCAGCTCCGAGATCTTCCAGCAATCCTAAGCATAATAGAGACAGCAAGTCATTAGAAGTTGCGTAGTGCGACAACAGGACCACAAGGAAACAACTCAAGCGCAAGATAACATCAACTACAGCTTCATAAATGCCTTCCGGCATTAAGTCCAAGATAAAATCAAGAAAGTGAAAGGGTGCAAGGATGAAGGCTCAAACCTTGAAAGTCCAGGCCCTTTGTTGCAGGGTCATAGTAGCGGTAAGTTTTCACAGACAGCCCAGCGAGGTTAAAGATTTTCGGATGATTTCCCCATGTTGGGTTCGGAATGTAGATAGTATGCTGCAACCATAACAACATCCGGTCAAGGGCATGATTTTGCACATTCCTTATGTTCGAAGTAAAGAAAGCATCAAGATTAAAAAAAGCTTATATCGTTTTTACCTCATGATAATGCCTCGCGAGAAACTCAGCTCCAACCCTTAGAGAACCAGTGCCAGACAAGCACTGGACTGTTGTGACTCTGTTGTCTTGTATGGCTGGGCTGTTCTCAAAACAAATCAAAGAAATCACAACGTAGCTAGTCCGAATCATAAGCCATTACATTAGACTCCACCTGAAGGTTCACATCACAAAAAAAAAAAAAGAACCCGAACCTGTCAGCGCCTAGAATGAGCTTGGCACTCAGCTTATTGAAGTCTGCAAGTCCAGTAATACCAAGATACTCCTTCACACGAGACCTGCCAAATACACAACGAAGAATCAGCTTAAACTTACCAGTCCACTCCCGCAAAACACAGAAATAAACGGATCAGATTCCTCACAAGGAGCCAACTACTCACTCGTCATTCACCAGAATCTGCTCTGCTCGCCGCACGACATTGAGAACAAGAGGCTTCCCTTCCTGTTTACTCAATCCACCACAAATCGTGTATTTCAGCTCAAGAACACAAACAATCACGAAACGAAATGAATCCACCACAAGATTCTACACCGCGAAAATAAAATCCCACTCTACCTCGGTTCGGTAAGCACCGACGCCCAGATTCAGCTTGTTCGGGCTGGTATCCTTGTTGTAAGCAACGGTAACCTGATCGTTTGTCCAAACACACAAGAGAACAACGAATACATAAGTTCTGATCCTGATATACTGTAATCAAGCTGATTATGGCGTCGAGGGCATACAGCAACCTCGAGACTTATGGTTACCGCTAGCGGATCAAACCATTTCGTAATCAAAGAACAGTACCGCCGCGATCACCACCGCGAAGAAAAACGAGAGAGAGAGAGAGAGAGAGAGTTACCCCGAGGATGGGATCTTCGGGAGCACGAACGACGGCGGCGAAAACGGAATCGGATGCCATGAGGAGAAGCAGCAATCACCGGAGTGACGGTGGGGAAGGGGAAGAAGCGGAAGTGAAGTGGGTGTCGCTGTGAGACTTGCTCTAGTGTTGGAGATGGCGTGGATTCGAAGTCGGAAGGGCAAAAGGGAAGAGATGGTTGGCTGGTTAGGTTATAGCTTTGTGAAATTACAGTGGGCGACCCGGCGCGGCAGAAGGAAAAAAGCGGGGAGAAAACCGTGGGGGCGCCATGTTCGCAGGCAACCAGTTTTGAATACGTGTCGTCTAGCGTGCGCGAAACGAAAAGTTTATTATTCTACTTTTTCCCGTGGCTACTTTTCAGTTTTCTCTCGGTCAAAACTAGCGAATGGTCACTTAACTCATGATTATTAACAAATGAGTCTTATAGTTAATTCTTATTGACGAAAAGGTCATAAGAAAATGAACTACTAAGTACTAACAATATTTTAATTTGATCCATCTGTTTCGATTTCATTATGACGATTAGGGATGACAATATCGACCTGACCTGTTTTACCCGACCTATTTGACATGTTTTGGGGCGGGTCTGACCCTCCCCGTAGGCGGGGCTTCGACCCGACCTGCCCTGACCCGACCCATTCTCGGCCCGTTCTTGCCTAAATTACACGTAATTTTAGTCAAATTACTTATGATTTTCTTTTTATTACATAAAATTTTAGCTATCATAAAGTTGTAAATTAGTGAAAAATCAGAGTGTGAGTGTGACATACATCCTGCTTTGCAAAAACGTTTTAATCACTCGGATAATGTTATAAAAACTGAATCAAATGTTAAATCGACGTTTAAAGATATTCCGACGCACGGAAAATAAGCCAAATACGAATATGTACATGACTGAAATCAGCCAAATTAAAAACAGCAAGCTGCCGGCCGTAGTAGCCGCGGCGACATACAATGAAACTCCCATCCATGAGAAACAGTTAGGCCACCGGTCAGCTACGGCGAACCAGAGACGTACAGTTTTCCGTCCATGCCTATGTTGCTGAACACCATTTTTCTGCACCCAACCCAACACCTTCACCACCCAAGAAACAAGGAACATCATTTGCTATATATTTTGACACAAGGAAAAACAGAGGAAGTTTTCTAGAAAATGGACCGACTTGTCCACGGCGGACGACGTGGCAATTTCATACACGCCACGCGGCACCATTTCGAGCCGGACAAGTGTTCACCTTTCGACAGTGACACGTGCATGAACGCATGCACAAATGGCTGGAGGACGTTGTTAAAGCATACAATAACGTGAAAGGAAATTTACTTGAAGCAGAACTAGCCAGAGAGAGCTGACGAACATAGATCGATGGAGAAAGGAGAAGAGAGGACAGAGGTGGAAGAAGACACCGCCGCCGCTGCCAATATCGCCGGGGAGCGGCGGCCGTCGAAGGAAGTGAAAGGCGTGGTGGTTGATGAAGACATGGAGGAGGAGAGGATGAAGAAGGAAGGTGAAGCAGAAGTGAAAGGGCTACCTCACCAACAAGTTCCTCAGCCTGCCGACTTCTCCACCGAGCCCCTCGAGCGAGCTCTCCATATCGACTAGCAATTTTTCACTCTCTTTAATTAATGTCTTATGGAATCTCCAACTTCTCTGTTGAATTAATGGACATCAGACGGAAAACTATTAAGGTTACCGGGGTTACATCTTACAACATACAGAAGAACAGTAGTAAGCATAAAATTACAAACAAATCTCCTCCCCTTCACCAGCCCTCCAATCCCGCCGGCCGCTTGCTCCGGCGAACAAGAGCCATGATGTCACCGCTACTACGACCAGACAATCTTCTCCGGCCATGCTTCTTCTGCTCAGGAATACCGCTCTGCTGCAACCCAACACCGCACCAAAAAAACCTTCAAAACAACCCAAGAAAACGAAAAACAAACGTTTTCCTCCACTACTCTCTATTCCAACAGAGAATTTTTTTCGTTACCTGGAAATGAAACGTGGGAGCCTGTCCTTTCCGGCAAATTGTAACGGCGTCACGGACTCCCACTGCGGAGATATTGGCGTCGGCTGGTGAAGCCTTGTGAGCGTAGGTGTAGAGGAAAAGCGGCAAGTCCTCTGCCTCGAATATCAACTCGGTGTCGCTCTTTTCCCAGGCAGACACAGAGCTTGCATCCCTGTCAAGAAAACCAGAGTGGAAACTGTGTTTGTTCTTTTCTTCTTACTTCTGATAGATGCAATACTTGAAACTCGAAACTTGTTGCTTTGTCTTTGTTTGTTACCTGATGTCCTCATCTGACGATTTCTCTGCGCTGACAAGATTAGCTGCATGTTCCCCATGGCCAAAAAAGGAAATTGTCAACAACTCGAGTATAGTAAGCATTCGTTTACAGAAGAAGAAGAAGAAGAAGAAGCAAGTTGAAACTATGGATACAGAGCTCACTTACGTGTGGACAGAAAGCGGCGGTGCGATTTGGGGATAATGTTAAAGCACCATCTCGTTCTAGTCAGAGCAAACTTCTGAGCATACAGTTCATAGGCAAGGAATCTCTGCAACCCACCATAAAACACACAAACCAAATACCACCAACCGAGGTTAGGAGCGAGAAAACGGAGACCAAAGATGGAAATTGGAATGTTGAGGAAGTTAAACTGAGGTTTGTTGCTAGAACTTCCTACTGACTTGCTTCAGGGTGTCAATCCTAAGCTCAGCCTCAGAGAAGCCACTGGCCTTTTGGGAAATGATGGTGTTCAGATTGGTTGAAACGCTGCCTAGGTGATCCACAACCGCAACCACAGCAGTGCAGACGTACTCTTTTGTGCTATCCACAACCCTACAGGTTAACAGTTGTTCAGTTCAGTCATTTGGTTCATATTTGAAGAGGGAGGAAAACAGAGGAACCTTGGAGAAAAGGGACAGACTTTTTCTTCTGTTTGGCATTCAGGAAACTTTTCTCCCAGTAGTCTGCTGCATGATGGAGCTGAGAACGCAACTCCTTGAGTTCCTGCACAAACCCAGAAGATGAAATGTGACAAGTAATGAAACCCACAAGAGATGGAAGAAATTCAGAGTGGCCAGTTTCCTGCTATGTGGGTGATTACTTGGAGGGACTTGATGAACTGAGAAGGTTGAAGATGATCTGGTTGTTGCTGTGAATCCTTTTTAAAGGATGACTCTTTCGAGATTAACCCCTCCATTTTTTCAGCTGGGAGAAAAACTGAAGAAAAGATACCAACTTACAAGGCTTGGGCTGACTTCCCTAATCTTGTGCGGTTTCAAAAGAACGCTATAGAGAGAGAGAGAGAGAGAGAGAGAGAGAGAGAGAGAGAGAGAGAGAGAGAGAGGGAGAAACAGGATGGGCTGGTAATGGTACTGTTTTTTTTCTGTTTGTTTCCTGGGAAAACGATGGAACAGAGGCAAAGGTGACCGATGCGAAATCTGTATAGTCAGAGGCTCGTGAACGTCTCCATAAACCATAATAGAGTTTCCGAAGCAAAGAATCGTTAGATTACGTAACAGAACAGAAACAAAAGCAAACAAGAAACCAAGAGGCCATTAAAGTGGGATTCATAGCGCAGAAATTATTAACAAGAGAACAATAAATTCTGTTTCGTTTTGTTTTTGGGCTGGCCAACCCGTGACCTTTTGTTCCTTTCCTTTTTGCTTTCTTCAGAACTGAAACAAAAAGGTCATGTCAGTAAGCTTTGCTGACAGATATCTGTACCCAAAGAAAGACAAGCTTTTCAAATATTCACATGAATGGATATTAAGCAGCATGTTACTTATTCTGAATATCTATTCTTCCTTATAGAGTGATAGTTAATCTTGATTACATGGTCAAGGCAGTCAACAAACACACTTCCCAGTAAATTCTTTTGGTATTTATCATGCAAATATTATATAAAGGGATTCCATTTTCCCCGAATTCCACGGGAGAAATATGAAATGGAAGAAGGTGACAAAGATAACTCCAAATGCTGCAGTTTTCTGCAGAAGTAATGCATCAAACTCAGGTAGTTGCAGCACATGGTCTGTTGTGGAATGAGAGAAGATCGACAAGAACTAATAATAAATGAGAAATCGGTGAATACAAAATTGTGGTTTTATTATGTGGGAAATGATAATTTGACAACCATCCAATGATTGGTCACAGGCCAGAGGAAGTGATCCCCACCTGAGGTTTTCTTCCCTTTTTTACGTGACTATTACCGGCTATATCTGAAAGTCGATTATACAGTTTCCTAGCTTCTCTGCAGTCTCAATTTGTGATAGAACAGTGGAATGGTCTTGAAACCCAGATGTTGACAGGATCTTCGTGAGATTCTTGTGGACTTCTCTATGGTTGTTGTGCTGTGTATCTTTGCTGTTGCTTCTGGTGACTAATGCTGGTCTTGGCCTATCCCGAGTTTGGATAGTTGATCCTAGTTGATGTAAAATAAGATCAAGAGAATGCAAGAAGACCACATAATGAAAGAAATGTATAGAATGGATGAAGTGGCTCGTATTTCTGAGTTACTACCTTCATGCTTGTGGTCAATGGAAGCTAGCCCAGCAGGAGATGAGCTAGGACGGGTAATGCACAACCATGCTCTTTCTGATTCCTCATCTTGATCCACCGCAATAGGTACATGCCAGTGGCCTTTGTCCGATTCCTGTTTTCATGGAAGATGCATTCGCTAATTATCCAGATTCTTACAACTTCACATCCTTCTCTTGTTCATGTGAATTAGGTAATGCAGCATTTCATAAAGAGAAGGTGTCTCACCTGAATTACAACGGAGTAAGGTGGAGGCATGTGGAAGATTGGACCAGTTTCATCGAAGCGAAACCTCACCTTTTTCCATAGGGAAGGACAGATTTAGGAACAGCCAAAGGAGAGACACCAAAATAGAAAGTTGAGAAGATATGAAATTCCTCACTTGATGCCTCTCTTTCCACTTGGGGAAAAAGTCATTTCCTAGAAGTTGGAAAGTGTGGTCTCTCATCTCGTCATTAGTCACTAACAAGCACTTGAACTTTATAGCTGCATACAACCAGTACCTGAAGCACGTTTCATAATCCATCGCATTTTGGTACTTCATTGCTCATTACTTCCAGTAATTTTCAAATAAGAAATGAGAACAAGCAGTTTAGATTCCACTTAGATGCGGCGATAATCTCACCAATCATCATTGGATCCTGTAGGTGTTGCAAAGAGTGCATCAGCGTTTCTCCACTTCTCTACAAGCGTCTTATTAACTGGTTGGTCCATTTTTGGTCCAGAGATGCGCCTATTGTGCAATATAATGAGTGGTCGTTTCTTCGATGGAAGCTTTTGGCGTATCCCATTAAAAACAGCGTTTATCTACAATCCATCGATCGGAAACTACCATGTTATCACCCTAGAAGAAATCAATTGCCTTTTTAAGGTCTTAATTGCTATCTCTACAACTTACTTTGGAAGGCATGAATCTAGTCTGGTTAGAAAGTCCAACATTAGCTCCATCGATCACTGCTTCAAAAGGTCCATAGTAATCAAGCCATTTCTGCAAAAGAAGAATAAAGAGATTAAGAACACAATTAAAAAAGCATCATATAACTCCCTAGATAAATCCTTGGCCATGGTCCATACTTTAAACTTCATGAAGCTCGAGTCTTTATCTCTCTTTACAGCAATTGAAGCAACTGACTCAGCAAAATTCTCTGTTTCAACAGGATCAAGGTCTATTGTGGCCAACTTCTCCCCACAACATCTACAAGATGCATCTGGTCCAATAGATGTAAAAGAAACTCTCCATTTTCCTTTCCCTAACCAGCCCTGCCCATGCCAACCTCCACCTCCATTTTCAACTGCCTCTTTGATATCCACTTCATTCCATTTCCTTTTCCCCACTCTCGATGCTGCAGCGCTATCAAACCATCTAACTATTGTATCAGCAGCGGAAGGTGAGACCCTCCTTACAGTAGTTCTGAGTTTCTGCAACAAGTAATAAACCTTGTCACCTTTGCTAGCTTCCACACTTGCTCTCAACAATGCCTCGAGTTCTGGAGCTTCGGGAGAGACACCATGCTCCAACATGTGCTTTTCCACGCAGAAGGCTTTCTCAACATCTCCAATTTCACAGAATGAAGACAGAGCAGGGGCATAGGATCTCAGTTTAGGGTTTATCCCCAACTGTGTCATCTGCTTCACCATATCAAAGGCCATATCTCCATTGCCCATCGACATAGCCATTCTAGCCACAGCAGTCAGGGTTGATTCGTTCATTGGGATATTCTGGAGACGCATCTTTTCATAGATCTCCAATCCCCTCTTAAGTGCATACTTCCTGAGATCTTCACTCACCTGGATTCCCCGATTGTAGTGTTTTTCCCTGTCATCCAGCTCGGTGGAGCCAGTGCTTTTGCTGCCCTTACCTTTCACCTCACTTGGCTCTTCAATACTTCTGTCAGGACTTTCATCAAACAAGTTGCGTGCATTTGAAGAGCGGCTGCCAGAATTCCCACTCTTGGCTGGCTGAACAACTCCAACTGCAGCAGAAGAACAGAGATACAAAATTACAGAATACTGATACTGCCCCATGGAGATTCCTTCCCTCTGTGCCCAATCATACAATTCAATCGCGCGCATCACGTCTCCTCTCTTCGAGCACATATCGAACTCGAGCCGCATCTGAATATCAGGGAAACCGGCCTTGCTCTTCTTATTAGACGCTTTCCCTGTTTTCTCACCTTCAGTTTTCTTCGTCTTCTTCTTATCCAATCCAGCATTTTCAGACGCTCGGCTTTCCTCACCAGCTATTACCCTCTTCTCACTTCCATTCTCATCACCAGACCTCGCAGCCGCATCCCCTGAAACGATATCTTGTTTGTATTTCCTCGCATTCTTACCCTTTTCATGTCTGCTGTCAGTTCTTTCCAGCAACAAACTGACGAGTCCTTTCACAGAATGATTCTCTACCCTTTTCTCGGCATCCTCCGAAGTAGAAACCCCAGAATCTCCCCCCTTTGTAGTTCTCGAATTCACTGTTCTCCTCCGGGTTTCGTAGCTTCTGGCGGGCGAATTTGCTTGTGCGCTGGATTTAGCTTTGAAAGAAGTTGTGCGCTTGGCTTTGGAGAAAGCGTGAATCTGAGGAGAACAGCGGAATTGGGCTTCGGGACGGCTGCATGGGAACTTGTAGTGAGAAAGAGTGATGAAGAGGAGGTGCTGGTTTTGTTGCAGAGGGGTGAACTTAACAGTTGAGCAGCAGGCCATTTGTGGCCGTTAGCCAAAGCTTCTCTGGCTCGTTGATGCGGCTAAGGTAAGGTGAGAAAGATAACCCGAAGTCCAGAACCAGCCTCTAAGGCGGGAAAGTACAGAAAGGCCCTTCAACTTGGCTTCCAGTTCCAGAGTCCAGCTTGTTCAGATGGTCCTAGGCTCGTTACTCGTTAGTCGGTCTACCCATAACTTCATTATCTATCTATGTTTTTAAACCGGATGGGATAGGTCGGTTGTGCAAAGAAAACCGGTTTAAAATCGATTTTTTTTTTTCGAAATACAAAATATACTATTTTTTTCACAATAAAACAATGGTATAAAATTTCCCACAATACAATGAGCAGTGATTAAGGTTGTTTGTTGCCGTGAGGAGAGAATTATAAAGTAGTTTGTGGCAGAGATAGAGAAGCTAGGGACGCACGATCGAGAGTAAGGTCTTGACAGAACTTGTTGCTGATATTGGTAGTAGTCCAACGATTTCTCCTCCTCATGCTAAGGAAAAGGAGATTTCTTTTGTAGACACAGACATTCCTACCATGTTAGATGACTTAGGTAGAGCTAAAGCCGCACAAATACCTGAATCTGAAACTCCATTAGGGTTGTTGGGGATATTGATCCCATATTAGCAAGACTGATTAAGGATTCTAAAGCTCCACTTTTTTCTTGGTTGTGAAACCTTCTCCAAACTTTCATTCATTATGAAGTTTTTTTTTTTTTACAACCATTCATTATGAAGTTGATGAACAACAAAATAATTACAAATAGTTCAGACAAGTCATTCAACTTGAATTTGGAAACGATTAAAAAGGCTTTAGCTAAAGGTGAGTCTTTGCAAAGTTCTTACTATGATGTGAAGAGATATATTAAAGACCTGGAATTTGATTACACCATAATAGATGCTTCCTCTAATGATTGTGTTTAATTTAGGAGGGGGGGATCTTCTACATGAGAGGAAATACCCCAAGTGACAATATGATAGATATTTACCTGGTAAAGGGTATGATGTTGGCATTAAAAGGGTGACTCCAGTGAAGCCCTTTTGTCCAGTGAAGCCCTTTTGAATCCCTTTTGTGCTCTGGATGTCTGGCAGTTAGCGAGGAGCGCCTCCAGTTCCCGGTCTAAGTGACCGTGAACTCATAGCCCAAATCGTGAACTGCTGTTGTTTCCACTGTTTGACTTGATCTTTCGCCCTTTCGTCCAACTTTAGACTCCGTGGTTGGTTCCATTTTCCAAAGACTGAAACGTACCAAAATAAGGCACAACTTGGCGTAAAACTAAACCTCCCAGAGTAAAAATGCTTCAAACGATTAAGCAAACTGAGGGTAAAAAGTGTACAAATGAGCCTGAATCAAACTTGTTCTCTACTGCGAGGTGCAAAGTATGCAGCGATCAAGCTTTGCTTGCTACAGTTAGGAGCGAACTATACATTAGTTCACTCGACTTTGCAGCAATTTTCTTAGATCGCTTCAGCCGACCGAGGTCATTGCCTAAACCCTAATAAAAGCTTTAAAATTCGAACACTTATTGCTACTGAACTTGAAAATAAATTTCAATAGGTTATTATATTAATTAAGATACAACAATACAAGTACATATTGATTAGATCAACCTTTGGTGCGCTTCGAACACGTTGCAGTCTCTATGTTCTACCTATCTCATTTCGAATCATGTGAACTCTAGGTCGATCATTGGTGCGCTTCCTATACTCATGAGGGAATACTTCTTGGCCATGGTACTTGAGCCAATAAGCTTCATGAGCTAAAGGCACGAATGAGTGATCCCAAACCTTGATGACTGAATGAGTCTGGAAGTATGGACTAACAAATCAAAGTGGGTCAATGTGCACGCTTTTGATAGCGACATATACATGTCAACAAGACAAGTGTCTTCCTTGAAACATACCGCAAGTGCATTCTCCTCTTCCATCTAGACTCCGGAGTATAAAATGTGAATGTTTGAGCATAACCTCTTTTTTGTGGTCTGGGGCCCCCTCAGTTTCTATTGCAAATATGTCATCTCTTTGGTTGCACAAAGCCACCATATGAAAGATGGACATTTTCTTCCAGGGCTCCATGTACTTGGCCATCTTTTTGAGATGATACATTGCTAAGCATATTAATGACCTATTTGCGTTGTTTTACGAACCACTCAACCATCTTGAAGAAGAAATGCAATACGAGGGTGATATTGGCACATGAAGGCCAACATACAAACCATTAAGGCCCACACCCATGTTCTTTATTGCGTTGCCGTACGCTCGTACCTATACAACAAGAAAATGAACCTTGTTTAAAATACCTCTGCTTAAGAAATCTGTTAGGAGCGAGTCTAGATGGTTCATGATTCACCAACATTGTTTAGCCAACAAAGTCTGGTCACAAAATTGGTCACTAGTTTTGTTTGTAGTTGGTAGTCGAGGTTGATTTCTTCATCAATTAGATATCAACAATGCATTGATTCACATTGATGTATAAGAGGAAGTGTATATGGAGATTCTACATGGTTTTCGTGCCCCTGATGACACGAGGGTATGTCATCTTCACAAGTCTTACGATCTTTAACAGGCGTTCCATAAGTGTTATAAAAACATTACAATTTCATTGTTCGAGTATGGGTTTCGAGCTTCGCCGACTAATTACTCCTTCTTTCTCTACAATTAAACGAGGGAGCACATTTGTTGTAGCACTCATTCACATTGATGACTTACTTCTAATTTATAACTAGCAGGGAGCTAGCTTTTCTTACAAGAGTTAAGCAATTTCTCAGTTATCGGTTCAACATTAAGGATCCTGGGAATTCTTTGTTATTTTGTTGGCCTCTCAAGAAATTGTTCTAAGTCAACGTAAATACTACTTGTGGAAATTCTGGAGGATGGTGGTGGTGCAAGGCTCTCGTCCAATTGCTTTTTCCCCATCGAGCATAATGGTCAACTGACTTGACCCAATGAAGTTGTTTTGGTTGATTCGTCTTCGCATTGTTGTCTGGTAAGACGAATACTCTACTATACTATCACACATCCTCATATAACCTATGGTGTGAACATCCTGAGTCGATTTTGTTCACGCCCTAGTCTCAGTTCTCATGCATATGTAAGGTAATAAACAAATCTCAGACATTTTTCATGATCGTAAGACTCACATACAATGAGGAAGAACCATGTTAAATCAAAGTGTTATCGTTTTTATCACTCAAATCTTACAATGGCTGGGTTGTGCATATTCAAACTCATGTGACTTCTTTTCGAGAGATCATGCAAGCAAAATGTTACAAAATCCAATTCCAAAACTTCTCTCTCCACCACAACTCTAGTATTATAGGACATGCTTTGTCCAAACTCGTGGAGGGAAAACGCGGGAACACAGACGGGGAATAACAAATAAGGGAGTGGATTAGTAGCTTCCTAGGTTTTTGCCCCCACTAAAATTTGAAAAATTAACGTTTTTTTTTTAATGACATGTGGTATGCTTTAACGCACTTAATAAACAAACCAACAATACCACAAAAAAAAAAAGAAGTTGGTGTGTCTCAAAGCCCAAACCGAACCAACAATTCGGTTACGATACATATGTCCGACGAGAAAATTGCAGAGGTTGTTCGACGAAGAAAAATATATAACAGGCGCATGGTATGTGAAGAATTCAGAGAAAATCAATGAGCAATAACCACGCCACTAACTACTAGATTAGCCGGCTGTTAGGTTCTCTAATCTCTATATAAAACGATTACTGGAAATGAGGGGCTCTCTCCAGTACTTGAGAAAACCCTTCTACCGGAAATCTGCACTCTATTCTTTTTCTTCTCAACGTAGAGATCGACCATGTCGCCGGCGGCTAGTATCTCGGCGTTTACACTCTGCGGGCTCCCTCCGACGTCCACCGTCCTCCTTTCTCCTCGTCCGCCTCTCCCTCCCCGGGGACGTCGTCTCAGGGTCAGAATTGTGGTAGCTTCAGCTGCCGGCAGCAGGCCGGCGGCGGCCATGGGGAAGTCGCCTCACGTCTCTATGGAGGTCTGGGACGACGGCGTGGCGGTGGTCGCCATCTCCAACCCTCCGGTTAACGCTTTAGCTGTTCAGAGTACGTAATTAAAATGTTGCCCTCTCTCCCCCTGTTACATGCATTTGCATTCATCCTCCGTTTCATGCAGCCACTCCCGGCGGTACGTACGTGTCGTGCATGCATGGTGGCGGGTTTTATGATTGTTATAAGAACGGAACCCGATCACTGGGTGGACGAGTAGACTTACCAAATCAGTTGTAATGGTAGTTCGGTTTGTTTGTTTGTTTGAGCGATTAGGGATGAACCAGATGAGTTTTAATGGTTATGAATCATCCTCGTCTGATTCGTTCATTAGTTCACTATTTTAACAAAGAAAGAAATTAAGTTCACTACTTTAACCACACACACAAAAAAAACGATGGAAAAAAAAAGTAAAATTTATTTATATGCTTTCTTTTCTTCGTTTCTCAAACCTTCTTGTTGGCCTTATATGCTTCCACTAAGGATTGTCACCGTAATTACTCCTAAATTTTCTTCTGTAAGATATATAGTTTAAATGATACTTTAAGAACTTTTGATTATAGATGATACGGATTCGAAATTGTTAATGGATAGTAACGAATTATTCACTTATGAATTAGTGTATTGTACGTATTTGTGTTATAACGCATGGATTTTTCTATCAACGATAAACTATCTGGTTTTATAACTTGTTTTCCACTTAATCATAAATCACTAATATTTTCGATTCAGGCGTCTGGTCCTGTTTTGAAAAAAACAACAACATAGGTTTTATCTGTTTGCTGACTGCTGATTTCTTTCTTGGATTTTGTGTGGTGGCGCATGCAGTAATCAACGGATTGCAGGAGAAGTTCGACGAGGCCACTCGGCGTAACGACGTCAAGGCTATCGTTCTAACTGGTGATCGACTATATACATTTATCTCTCTTACTATATAGCTTCCTCGTTCAACTACCTTGTGGTTGCACTTAGTGCAAGTTAATATATAGGGCGTCCCTCATTTTGTTTTGACTTAGTTTTCCTTTGTGATTATAGGCAGGGACGGAAAATTTTCCGGCGGGTTTGACATCAACGTGATCCAGACTGTCCATCAAACTGGTATTCTCTAAATCGCATGCGGAGTATTTTGTGCTAAATTCGCGATAATGTTCGACCGGTGGAATCTATCGATGAGTGACATGATTGTGTGTTTCACTGTTCACTAATTCCTACTGTTTGGTGATGCAGGGGATGTTTCGTTTATGGATGGTGTTTCTATTGATCTCGTTGTCAACACAATTGAAGGTTTGTGCTTTTTTCTCCATTGAACAATTTCTGGTTTTTTCCCGCCGGTGACATTTGTAACATTTTGTTAAATACTGTTTTGCAGAATGCAAGAAACCTGTTGTTGCTGCTCTGCAAGGATTGGCACTGGGAGGAGGCTTAGAACTAGCCCTGGTTTGTGGCCTCTGTCGACCTTTAATTTTGATCCTTCTAACTCTTCTTCTTCTTCTTCCAATACAATATCTCACCCTCGTTGATCATTTTCAGGGATCTCATGCACGTATTGCTGCACCAGGAACTCAACTCGGCTTGCCAGAACTGTCACTTGGCGTGATTCCTGGCTTTGGAGGTACAAAAACACTTGCTGCAGAATCCAGACCTGAACATGATTCATGAGTTTTGCAATGATGTTGTTATGTAGTTCTATTAGGCACTGAAATTTGTCTTTTGAACTTTGTTTTCCTGAAGGTACACAGCGGCTGCCAAGGCTTGTAGGGCTGCCGAAGGCCATTGAGATGATGCTAGTAAGCTTTTCTTTCTATTTTCAATGGCCATTTCCACTTGTTATAAACCAATTGGTTCCAATAATTCGAGTTGTTGGGAGAGGTCCATGTAACGACAAATCACTTCATTGCACAACATTGGTCTGGAAAGAACTCTTTTACACACACTTTTAATTGCATGCTTTTACAGCTGTCCAATCTGATCTTCTCTGAAGAAGGAAAAGAGCTCGGCCTCATCGATGCTATTGTGTCTTCACAAGAACTGCTGAAAGTATCTCGAGAATGGGCTCTGGACATTGCTGGCAGGCGCAGGCCGTGGGTTCGTTCCCTTCACAAGAGTGACAAGATGGGTTCCCTCTCTGAGGCCACCCAGGTGCTGAAAGCTGCCAGGCTGCAAGCCATGAAAACCGCCCCGAATCTGCCTCAGCATCTGGGATGTCTCGACGCGATCGAGGATGGCATTGTTCATGGAGGATACAGTGGGGTTCTCAAGGTACTGAAAAGAACTTTATAAGATCCTCTGATGTAGTTGTTTCTGCGAGAAAAATCTATGATGCACATGTGTGTTCTGGAATTGCTGATGGATGAAAGGGATTTGACAGGAGGCAGAGGTGTTCAAGGATTTGGTGTTATCCGAAACTTCGAGGGGCCTAGTTCATGTGTTCTTCGGCCAACGTGCTACATCAAAGGTTCCTGGTGTGACCGATGTTGGCCTCGAACCGAGGCAGATCAAGAAAGTTGCTGTCATAGGTGGAGGACTAATGGGTTCAGGGATAGCTACTGCCCTCATTACAAGCAACATTCATGTTGTTCTGAAAGAAGCCAGCTCTGAGTATCTTCACAGAGGGATCAAAACAATCGAAGGCAACATTCGAAACTCGGAGAAAAGAGGGAAGTTGACAAAGGGTCAGGCTGACAGAGCTCTCTCATTGCTCAAAGGTGCATTGGACTATTCGGAGTTCGACGATGTGGACATGGTCATCGAGGTAAAGTGCTCGGTCTGATCTGATCATTCTGTCATCTTGAAGTTTATGATGGAAAATCTGCAGTCCATTATCATAGAGTAGTTGTTTTGATACAAGGGTTTCTCTAACATTTTGCAGGCAGTTACTGAAAACATACCTTTGAAACAGAAGATATTCAATGAACTTGAAGAGGTTTGTCCTGCACATTGCATTCTGGCAACAAACACATCCACCGTCGACCTGAATGTGATTGGGGAGAATACTACGTCGCAAGAGCGTATCATAGGAGCACACTTCTTCAGGTTTGATTTTTCAATCGTTTTCGTCTTAATAACTCGAGTTGTTGAAAGAGGCTCTGCCATTAATGGTTTCAATTTTTTTTTTATGGACAGCCCTGCTCACATAATGCCACTGCTGGAAATAGTGAGGACGGACAAGACCTCTGCACAGGCCATTCTTGATCTGATGACAGTGGGCAAGGCTATGAAGAAAGTCCCCGTCGTCGTGGGGAACTGCACCGGTTTCGCTGTCAATCGGACCTTCTTCCCCTACTCTCTGAGTGCACATATACTAGCCCATCTAGGCGTGAACATTTTTCGAATCGACGGTGTCATCAGCAGCTTTGGTCTCCCCATGGGACCTTTCCAGTAATTCCCTTCTTCCTCAAGGCTTGGATTTCTTTGATGTTCTGTACACTAATCTTTTTGTCTGTTGACTGTATATGAACTTATAGGCTCCAGGATCTAGCTGGGTATGGAGTTGCTGTGGCTGTCAGCGAGCAATTCGAGGGCGCATTCCCTGAGGATCGATCGTTCAAGACGCCTCTGATCGATCTCTTGATTGCAAGCGGACGAGATGGTAGTAAACAGTTACAGCAGCTTGTTGTCACCTTGACATTGTAGACTAGTTACAGTACTAAAATGTTACCTTTGTACCCTCTTTTGCTTTGCTAGGCAAGAACAATGGGAGAGGATACTACATTTACGAGAAGGGGAGCAAGCCGAAACCCGATCCTTCAGTGCTACCCATCATCGAGGAGTCTAGGAAAATCGCCAACATTATGCCCAATGGAAAGGTTCATTCATGTTTTGCAGAACTTTTTAGTATTTCCAGTTGCTTAATGATCAAGTAACAGATTTGATATGGGATTCTGACATGACTAGTTTGTTGCTTATGACAGTCGATCGATGTGAGCGATCAAGATATTCTGGAAATGATCCTGTTCCCAGTGGTGAACGAGGCTTGTCGCGTGCTCGACGAGAACGTGGTGGTTCGAGCATCAGACCTCGATGTAGCCTCCGTGCTTGGGATGGGTTTCCCATCTTATCGGTAAGCACCCCCTCTATCAATATGCTTCATAGTTCAATCACCTGTTGTTACCAAACCAAATGTTAGCAGTTACCGGTTCATAAACCGTTAAGAATAACGAATAATACGACTCCAATGGTTTGATTCTGGCAACCGAAAAAACGGAGCCATCTTAACCCGCACTGATCGAACTTGTTTGATACGCTGAGGCAGGGGTGGGATCATGTTTTGGGCGGACTTGGTCGGAGCGAAACACATATGTGAAAGGCTGACGAGGTGGTCGGAGTTGTACGGTGGGTTCTTCAAGCCGTCGAGCTACCTGGAAGAGCGAGCAGCAAGGGGAATTCCATTGGTGAGCAGTTCAAGTTCTGGCTCTTTTGTTTACATAATGATGCTACTACATTGTGCATGAATTAAAAATGTGCGCATCATAGTTTAACAGATAATATAACAGTCTTTCTTTCTTGCTTCTTTCTGCTCTTCTACAGAGTGCTCCTGCTCCGTCTCCCTCTTCTTGATCGTCCCAGTCGACAAGGTCTCGCCTGTAGTCGACGACACCAGCAGCAGCAGCAGCACAGAAGTTTCTGGCATGTATCTGAATTTCATTTACACCAGCAGCAATAAAAGAGTAGATATATGGTTTAGAAACCCTGTGTTATTCATTCTACATTGCTCGTTTCTGTCATTCGTATCAAGGCAGTTTACTTCTTGCACCTACTCGTCATATTTTGACACTCCAAAAGTCCAAATTCGCGTGCTTTTTCTTCAACCTCTTTCTCTCTTTCATATTTGGAGTGGTGGAAATGCAGATGATGGTTCTAGGAAGAAAAAAAGACACAGATGCCACTTTTGCTCAGAAAGTTCTTTCTCACTTCCCTCGAGTATCCTTAGAAAGAGCCATTTTTTCCCGACTTAGCCGAACTTTACACCAGATGTGAAGTCAACGAACCCTCCCCCCGTCCACATCTACAAACCGAACTTGGCCGGAAATTGGTCCCAAATATTGTTGTTGTTGATTGCATTGACTGGAATCGTACATTCTCATCAAATCAGCGAGCCGATATGCGAGTCGATTAGTCGGAGAATTTTGCTTGTGAAGCTTTTTGTAACACGTGTATACGTGCAGAATGGAACTCGAGTGAGTTTCATCTCAGTGTTTGATAAATAGTATGGATGATCAGTATGGTGATGAACAATCATGGTTTGTTCCATTCAAATTATATGTTATACCGATCAAACCAATCGAATTTTGATTATGATTCGTTTGTTTGTTAAATTGATCGAGTCAATGAGATATTTTATTCTTTTTAACTTTATTATGCAGCATGTGATAGTCATATGAATTATGCAAGAGCTCCTAATAAGCCGAGTTTTGCCTTATTCATTTTTGGTTCGTTAATACATGAGCATGTTTGATACATGTGATTAATAAATCTCTTGATTATATACTATGCTGGTATCACAATAATTAGCTCATAACTTTTAAGTAGTTCATGTCGCGTAATTTCATAGTAATTAGTATCTGAACTATTTATTATACATAATTTATCCTCTAAATTATATGCCTCTGATATTCGAAGTCTTAAACATCATATGGTGGGTGAGATATACGATTTAATAAACTTATAAATTATCAAGAAGCACTCAAACTCATAATATATAGATCGATTTGCTCATAAGTGGATAGTCGTATTTACTCACAGATCACAATATTGAGACATGTTAAGTTCAAAACGAGACGATTCACGAATTGAGTTCAACGAGTCACGGAGTACGGTTGACTCGTGGGGAAGGGCGTAATCGGGGGGTAATACAGTCTTTGCATTTCATTTCCCACGTCCACTGTCGTCGGGGGATAGAGACTGACACCGAGCCCAGCCGACCCCGCACTTCTATATAAAAAGGAATCACAAGATCCCGGCAACCACCGTCCCGGCTTCCTCCTGCGCCTCCTTCTTCAAACTCTCAGATATACAGAGCCCAATTTTTTTTCCTGCAGCTACCAGCCCCGGCCATGGCGAAGCCTCACGTGTCTATGGAGGTCGGGAGCGACGGCGTGGCGGTGATCGCCATCTTCAATCCTCCAGTTAACGCTTTAGCTATTCCAAGTAACGCCTCGCTCTCTCTCTCTCTCTCTGTTACGTTTCATCCTCCGTTTGATCCTCTTGCAATTCGAGATTCGCGGTGACGATTTTGAATTTTCTGTTTGGCTACTGATTGCTGCTTGAATTTTTCCTTTGGGATCGGCCGCTCAGTAATCAACGGATTGAAGGAGAAGTTCGAAGAGGCTACCCGGAGAAACGACGTCAAGGCTATCGTACTGACTGGTGAGTATCTCTACTTCTCTGCGTCTTGTTCTGTAGTTAGTTTTTTTTTTCGAATTTAGAAGTTTCTGGAGTGGTAGGTCTGAGAAAATGGTGAATTGCTTCCGATCCTGTGCGAGCTTGTACTGTTTCATAAGGCATAATTGAAGGTTCAAAAGTTTAAGGCTACTCTATGAAGAAAAACTTTATGGTGTTTTAGGGCCTTGATGATGTAGTTTGATCATTATTGAATTTTCCTCTGTGGTTATAGGCAAGGGTGGCAGGTTTTCTGGCGGTTTTGACATCAATGTGTTCCAGAAGGTTCATGCGACTGGTATTGTCTAATATGCATTTGAACTTTTGTGCTATATTATGGAGGTCGATTGGTCGAATTGATAGGTGATCAATGTGTTCACTGTTCAATTATTTGGTACCGCAGGGGATGTTTCAGTCATGCCTGATGTTTCTGTTGATCTCGTGGTAAACACCATTGAAGGTTCGTGTTCTGTGTTCTCAATTTGTGATTCCTTTTTCATGATTGATAAGAGTTCTTGAGCCGATTTCTAGAAATGGAATAGGGTGGCCCGCTGCATAGCTTACGTGACAGCTGGTTTTGTGTTTCCATTTTATGTCGAGCACAGATTGCAAGAAACCTGTTGTTGCTGCTGTGGAAGGATTGGCGTTGGGAGGAGGCTTAGAACTAGCACTGGTTTGTGTTAATATCTACTAGTCTGGTCGTTTATTTTGATCTTTCTAACTGTTTTTAGAGTTCTCATCCTTTTAAATCATTTCAGGGATCTCATGCACGTGTTGCTGCACCGAGAACTCAACTTGGCTTGCCAGAATTGACACTTGGCGTGATTCCTGGTTTTGGAGGTCCAAAATACTTTATATGAACACTCATAGAATCAGACCTGTAGTTGATTACACATTTCTAATGTTTGGTTCTATGAGGCATTGAGAATTTAGTTCTTTATCTGAAGGTACACAACGACTTCCAAGGCTTGTAGGGCTGCCAAAGGCCATTGAAATGATGCTAGTAAGTTCTTCTATTCATTGCTGAAAAGAAATGTGTAAATGTACTCCTACTTCAGAATCACTGGTGGTAGTCAACTCCGAAAGTAGCGTGGCAAACTTCGTCATTTTTATTTCCCTAATAAATTGTCATATCTGGTACTAAAATATGCTGTGTCTATACTCCCCTGAGTTATGTGCAGAATTTTGTGGTACATTCAAAAGTTCAAAAAGCTCAAACAAAAATTTAAATGTCCGATTTTGGGTGCTACTTCCACGTTACTCTGCTGAAACGTTAACACTTGAATTTTATTCTTTACAGCTGTCCAAGCCAATCCTTTCTGAAGAAGGACAGAAGCTTGGTCTTATTGATGCTCTTGTCTCCTCTGAAGAGTTGCTGAATGTATCACGACAATGGGCTCTAGATATTGCTGAAAGGCGCAAACCATGGGTTCGTTCCCTTCATAAGACTGACAAGATTGGTTCCCTCTCTGAGGCCCGTCAAGTACTGAAAGCTGCTAGGCTACAAGCCAAGAAGACCGCCCCAAATATGCCTCAGCATTTGGGATGTCTTGATGTTATTGAGGATGGCATTATTCATGGAGGCTACAATGGGGTTCTGAAGGTATTAAAAGGCTTTATGATATGCAACACTCTGGTTCTGTGCAATATCATCATTTTTTTCCATTAAAATTATGCCTGTGGTATTAGTTTGGCTTGTTCTTGACATCTTATGTGCCTAAATTAAGTGTTCCTCGGTTATGAATTATGAGCTCAAAGCAGTGCAGTGTTTGACCTTTGTTATGTGTGTGGGTGATGGACCGGTGTGGTTGTTTCTGTGAAAAATCTATGATGTTCCTATATGTAGCACTGTTAATGGATGAAAGGTTTTGACAGGAGGCAAGAGTGTTCAAGGAATTGGTATTATCAGAGACTTCGAGGGGTCTAGTTCATGTATTCTTTGGCCAGCGCGCTATATCAAAGGTGTGTTTTGTAAATCCCATATGTAGTTGGTTTTAGCAGAGATGTCCTCTCTTACACTTCTTTTTTGTCTCTAATAATCAGACACCAAACTATTGTGCTGAACTATAAGAGATTTATTTTTATGACACAGTAAAAGTGGGAGAACTAAATCTTATCTTGCCATTTTGACCTTGACAGGTGCCTGGTGTCACTGATGTTGGCCTTAAACCTAGGCAGATAAAGAAAGTGGCTGTTATTGGTGGCGGGCTAATGGGTTCTGGAATAGCTACTGCTCTCATTACAAGCAACATATATGTTGTTCTTAAAGAAGTCAACTCTGATTATCTTCTCAAAGGGACAAAAACTATAGAAGGTATCTCATTTTTAAGCCTGGTCTGAAAGCTCTCCCTGCAATATGATGATTCCGAATTTCCGATAGATCCCATGTGGTGTTAAGTGTATGGCCATAGTCAGTAACAGGCAGTTACGTATTTGCAATTGCAGGAAATATTCGGAACTTGGAAACAAGAGGAAAGTTGACAAAGGATAAGGCCAACAAAGCTCTCTCAATGCTCAAAGGTGCTTTAGACTATTCAGACTTCAATGATGTGGACATGGTCATCGAGGTAAAATAGTGCTTAGGCTCATTCTGTCATCTTGGAGTTATTATGGATATCTGGAGTTCAGACTGGTTCACGACGTTATAGAGTGGGGACTTGTGAAGTTGTTGTACCATTGTTCTAGTCTTGTCTGTGTATATTTTCTTTGGAGATGATTTGGATCATCAGATGTCTTTTAGCTTCTGGTAAGTAGTTGTTTGATTCAATTTATAAAACTTGCAGGCAGTTATTGAGAATATTCCCTTGAAACAAAAGATATTTGGAGAACTTGAAAAGGTTTGTCCTGGTCATTGCATTTTGGCAACAAACACATCCACCATCGACCTAAATGTGATCGGAGAAAAGACTAACTCACAGGACCGAATCATTGGAGCACACTTTTTCAGGTTTAATTTTTTATTTCAACCTTTCTTGATTTATTGAAGACTGTTTTGATCAGTTCTTTTGCACAATCCTTAAAAGGTTGTTTCCCGACATGCTCTTCTTTTTATGGACAGCCCTGCTCATATAATGCCTCTCCTGGAGATAGTGAGGACGAACAAAACCTCTGCACAAGCAATTCTTGATCTCATGATAGTTGGGAAAGCTATCAAGAAAGCTCCTGTCGTCGTGGGCAACTGCACTGGTTTCGCAGTCAATCGGACTTTTTTCCCCTACTCACAGAGTGCACATATATTAATCCATCTAGGTGTTGACGTCTTCAGAATCGACAGGGTCATCAGCAGCTTCGGCCTCCCTATGGGCCCTTTCCAGTAATTCCATTGTCCTTTCCTTCCCAAATCTGCTTCGCATGGTTTCGATGGCTGACTTTCAATATAATCTTTTTATCTATTATCTGCATGATTTGAAGGCTCCAGGATTTAGCTGGATATGGAGTTGCTGTGGCAGTGAGCAAAGAATTTAATAGTGCATTCCCTGATCGCACATTTAAGACACCCCTGATTGATCTGCTGATTAAGAATGGACGAAATGGTACTACTAACAGTTACATGTTGGCAATGTAGTTACTGGTTGCATCTATTTGAGGACTGCACTCATCTTACTTTGTACCATCTTTTGCTTTGCTAGGCAAGAACAACGGAAGAGGATACTACGTCTATGAGAAGGGAAGTAAGCCAAAACCTGATTTTTCAGTTCTACCCATCATTGAGGAGTCTAGACGTGTTGCCAATATGATGCCCAATGGAAAGGTTCATTTCTTTTAGAACTTCTTTCAGATAAAATGATGAGAACCAAATAGTTTTCTCTGTGGCTTAATAAACTAAAGTCCTGCATAATTATTGCCTGTGGCAGCCAATCAATGTTACTGATCAAGACATCCTAGAGATGATCCTGTTCCCAGTGGTGAATGAGGCATGTCGTGTACTCGACGAGGATGTGGTGGTTCGAGCATCAGACCTCGATATAGCATCTGTGCTTGGGATGAGCTTCCCATCTTATCGGTGAGTCTCCCTGGTTCATCCGGGCCCTAGGGTGGTTGTTTTAGTCCAACTAGTTGCTATAAGTCTCGCAAATCATTTAAATCATTTAAGCAAAAGCTGAATCAGACACGCTTCGGCCTCATTGAATCGTTGTTGCGTGTGGCAGTGGTGGGATCGTCTTTTGGGCGGACCTGGTTGGGGCGAAGCATGTATATGATAGGCTATCGAGGTGGTCGGAGTTGTATGGTGGGTTCTTCAAGCCATCGAGCTACTTGGAAGTGCGAGCGGCAAGGGGAATTCCATTGGTAAGTAGCAAAACCTCCAAGCTTGGAACAATGTGCTGTTGTTGTGTTCTGGGTTTTACAAAATGCTTGTGGCTTGAAGAGATAATACGTATTAACCGCGCGCTGTCTTTCTTCTTGGTTCTATCCTTTTGTTCTGCAGAGCGCTCCTGCATCATCTCTCACTTCCTCGCCGAAGTCTCGCCTGTAGACGACAACAACAACAACTCCACACGTTGCAGCCATCGTCAAGTCAAACGCAATAAAATGTTGGGAAATGTATTTGAGATCCTCGTACCCAACAAGGAAGGATAGATACGGTTTAGAAACCTTTGAGACTTTGATAGCTAAAAATGGGCAATGACTTGAGGTGCTATCATCATTTTATCGATCGATGTCTTGGTCATTGTAGAAGATAGATTTGGCGGAACCAGGCTAGTTGCCAGGCTGTCCTAACCCAAAGAAATAAGTGCAAGTATAGCCGGATTGAACTAGTTTTGCATATTCAGATGTCGTATCAATTTATGGAACTAATGTAACGAATTTTGTTGCATTCATCCTCTCTGCAACGCGGTTGGACCGGAAGTTGTGCGATGCACAAGTTTTTGTCGACTGATGCAACACAGCAAAACTAACAATCCAGAACAGCTGTGCGAACGGAGTATAAAACCATGGGGGAGACGTTGCTACTGCTGCAAAACAGAGGATTTGGCAGCGGCAGGAGGATATGACTTGAATCTCGACGACATCGGTGTTCTAAAGAACCCAATCCATAAAGCGCAGGCACGCAAGATCCGATCACACCCCATAGGAAAATGGTTCGATTTTTTACCTTCGTAGGAAATACTTGTTATGAGGGTGAATGCCATTGACATCAACGAATACGGAGTTTACAATGGATATACCAAGATCATCCTAATCACAAGATGGAGAACAGGGAACAACCAGGATCTTGACCGAAACTTGTCTACGAGTGATTCAGAACACCATTCGGGGTGGATTCGAGGATGCTGGCCGTCGACAGACAGCTATAGCACCGTCGTCGCCAATTCGCATACCACGTGAGACCAAGTCTCCTTCGTAGAAGCTCACTGCTCGCATCATCACTGAACCGTCGAAAGTACAGGCTGGATGGAATGGAAATTGTTTCTTTACATACTAACAATTCAGACACATGAGAACGTACTCAAACTCTATAACGGAAGACTTGCCCCCACATCACAGCAATCAAAGAAGAAGAAACTGCCCCAAACAAAAAGAGGAAACTGAAGGAGACGATGATCGTAGGTGACCCAAATGCAGCAACCAAATCCAAGTTATGTGCTACGGATCCATGATCAACAACTATATATATTGCAACAAGTAGAAGAAACCCATCTTAAGCTCAACTCCAACACATCTGTGGTCTTTAGCAGGGTGGATCCAGGCTACTAAATTTTGCACCAACGAGGAACAAGAAAGAGTTCAAAAGAGGAGAAGAGGGGGAAATCTTCTGTGAGATATGTACATCAAGAACATCAACAGAGGAAGAGCAAAAGGCAAAATCCAGCTCTGACCTCAGCTCAAGCTCCAGCTGCTGCTGTCACTCAAACAGGAGGGATGTTGGAAAAGGAGAAGCCTTTATACCCTTTGTACGCGTAATAAGCAATCCTGGTGTAATAGAATCCCGGTATGAACAGAACCACCCCCAGTATCACGAAGAACAACCCTGATTCATCATCATAATTCATCAACTGGGTTCAATCAAAATTACTAAAAACCCAAGCCGCAGAAATCCAAACCCTAATTAAAACCCCCCAAAAAGATCATGCCCAAAACGATGATGAAGTGATTTGGGGATACGAAAGGAAGGAAGGAAGGATCTTACCATGAGCTCTGTCGCCGCCGACTCTATTGGAGGTCATGAAGAAGCCGACGACGATACCGATGACGCCGAAGACGAGGAGCGAGACGGCGAGTCCGATCTCCTTGATGGGAGGACGGTTGGTGGCGGTGTACGATCCGTCCATCATTAGATCGTCGTCGGTGATCGAGAACGCGTGGTCGACGTACGCCATTTTTTCCGCTTCACTTCTTTGCTCCGCCGCTGGCCGGTGCTGCTACTGCTGCTGCTGGACGACGGGAAGTTTTCTGCAGAGCACAGATCTTGAAGAGGGGAAAGTTGTGAACGTTTCTTTCGGCGTTTGTCGTAGCGGAGGGGTTTTTGGAGTATGAAAGCTGCCTTTGGTTTGCGTGTGACTGCGACGCTTTGAGAGACTTTTCACTTTTGCGAAGGAAGGAGAGAGTCTATCTTTCTGCTGTTTGTATCAGTTCTTCAGCGGTTCAGCCCATGGAATGCGGTACCGTATTGCAATTCGATCGGTTGACGGTTGGGCCAAAAAGTTACCCTCCTGGCCTGGGACGGATTGGAACGAGGGGTTGGCATTCGGTCGGTTAATTCGAATCCGAACGGAACCAGAGCAAAAAAACACTACTATACTGGAAAATATTTGTGAAGTATCGCTATTTCGAGAATTTTCTTTTAATAACGTCTGTTTATGAAAACAAATCCTTCAAATTGCCATTTCAAAATACCTTGGATACCCACAAAATAGGGTAACTCCAAGAAGGAGACTTTCTCTTTATCTGATTGAGAGAATGGAAAACAAAGGGGAAGCCTAGAAGAATTTTGTCCTTTTCTTTTTGGAGGCAAGGAAGTTGTGTTATCCATGCAATTCTGACTTTCATCGTTAGTTATTTTTTTCTCTCCAGATGATCATACGACGAGAATGAATTTTATTCTGAAAAGATGTTTATGAACGAAAACAACCCACCGGCGGCACAAATGGAAGATCTGGTGCATTCCACAAGTTTAAGGAGGCTTGGGATTCAGGAGCTTTTTAAGGAATTCAACTTGGCTTTAGTAGCTAAACAATGGTGGAAACTTATTCGTTCACTTTGGTAGCTAAGCAAACTGTTCTCAGCTCTCCTTGCCAACCAGTGTGTCGAAGTCTGTGTTCAATTCATGTTCCAAGACAATTAGTTGATTAATTCCTTCTTAGCTCTTTGCTCTGTGTTCTCTTCTAACAATGGTGAATAAGATTAGGCGGGCTGAAAATCGCTACAGATCTAAGTTATATGAAAACAAAGAAAGGAAGAATCAGCCCATGTAAAAACATGACTCCCTCCCCTCTGCAATTGCAAAGGCTCTCTCTCTCACTCTAAAATTTACAGACTCTTTGAACATAACAAAGCTCATTTACTACGTTATGAACAATTATTCTTTAATCAGCTTCCCTGCTGAGAGTCTTCCAGCTCTCTCTTGCTTTGCCCCTCCAAATTGCCAGCCCCATCAAGCTGATCATCACCCAAATACACAGACCTCGTCGAGGGACTGCCACCGGGATGCTGTCGTCGAAATTAGCTGTGCTGTGTAGACATAAATTTTTTAGGATGTCTGTCATGACTTTGGCTTTCCATCAGTGTTTTGTGGGGGTGTAGTACTCTTCGGAAGATCGATTGATGTGGCGATTGTGGCGATTGTAGAAGCAACCGTTTGAGGTGCTCTGGCTGCTGCCTGTGGGACGATGACATTTTGCGCTACCCCATTGCTGAAGGGCCCGCCAGTACCGCCGTGTTGAATACCTCCTGCCACAGCTTGATTAGTCGCCATCGTCGCTGTGCCATTGCTGAGCAAGTATCTCGGATCCATGGACTCCGATCTGGCTATCGATGAACACACTATTTCTGTTCGGATTTGGAAAGGAGGATCAGCGAAATGCGAGCATAACATAATGACAGCGAAACAAAGAGAAGATATATAGATAAGAGGTTCACCTTTCTCCTCTCCTAACATGATGAGGTTTTGTAGACAATCTCGGAACTTTGTCAGTATGACTCTTTCCTGCTCCACATAAGTTTCTGTTGTCGCACCTTGTCCATTGTCAGGCAACTGCAATGCTGTGATCCCACCATGGCCAGTCAAGCCATTGGGTGATGAAGCTGCCATGAACATAGTGTCTTGCTCATCGCACATTAGAGCTAAAGTTCCGGGTGACATTGGCCTCGACTTCGAAGCATCCCCGCCGTCTGACATGGAACCATTATCAGGACCTGAATTATCAACCGGATTAGCACTGGGGTAACCATCATCAGCAACGCTTTTCTCGGCATCTGTTTCTCTCGGGTTCTGCTTTTCTTGACTTGATGCTGCAAGAGAAGCTTCAACCTGGCCTTGCACCTGCTTTTCTTGCTCGCTTATTTGCTCTGCATAGCAAAATTCCACATTCTTATGATTGGGAGAAGCAAATCCACTCACGCATGATATAAATGGACTGTTAGGGGGCACCAGACGAGGGAAGCTAGCCAACATTGCATATAATACTCCCACAAACTACCAACGAAATCAAACTTAGGCATCTGTAATCTATTGATGACACTTGAAATCTGGTAACTACAACAGTTCCGAAACATTAAGCAAAATTGTAGGTCGATTTGCTTCTCTAATAATCATGGCACCCACCAATCCTTGGCCAAACAGCCAGGTGGTCATTGACAAATAAATCCAAATTTAGCAGGCTAACCTGTTCTATGATCAGCGAGTCTTAGGAGAACACAAGATTAAAAAGGGAAATTATATAATAGACCTGTGGACAAAGGAAAAAGCTGACCATCCAAAGGGCAGAGAGACAATGTGAAAAACTTCTAGAAGCTCATTCTTATATCCGAGTTTACTTCATACGAACGTGTATAAACCAAACCCTTTATGTACAACAGAACAAGGAAAAATTCTTGGAAGACTTAAAATGCAGTTGGAAAAATACGTGACAATGAAGTTGTAGACAAGTGGAGATAAATTAGCCAGGATTCATCATCCAGAGAAACAGATATTGAAGAATGCCAGAGAAATCAGAATGTCCAGAAACGCATGTGTGTTTCGCAACTGTGGTGTGAACTTATGGCACCAATAGAACTAAGAAAACTATTACAAGGGTCTAACATGAACGGATAGACAGTTTGGATGTAGATATTTTTCTTCATATAAGAAGGACAAACAAAAGCAATGTGAATGATACCAAACATCGCTGGGGTTCTCATTCCTCGTGGCAAAGATGATCAGTGGTAGTCAAGCATATAATAAAAAGTAACTCTTTATCCTTGAAATCCTTAATAACTATACAGAGTTCAACATCATACCTGCAATGCTTTTAGCAGCTTCTCCAGATAAAACCACCAATACAGAACAAAGTGCTTTAATATCCTGGGGTTGGATAATGTCAGCTAACAGGGACCTTCAATCACAAGTGGGGGATATATCAGTCACATTTTAGAAAGAAGATTTGACATCATCTAAAAGGAAACTTCATACCTGTATGTGACTTTGGAAGGGGTATGCGCAGCTGTGATGCCACCACGAACTACATGGTTTGAAGAGGGTGCAGGAGCCCGGATCAGGTTACCCTGATTAAAGAGGAATACACGTCGTTCACATTTTTCATGACACATGAAATAGTATTAAACAATCACATCTCATTCGACGAATCCAAGTTCAATTGAAAATTCTAAAAGCAAGTAACATGCAGCCATTGTATTAATTAAGGCCGTCTTCAAAATTCCTAAATGTTGAGTATACTGAAATCATAAAAAGATGCACAATTGATATAAAAAAAGGAATTCCACCTGCTGAGTATGTCCTGGCCTGTGAAAGGACGGCTCCCTGCCTGTTTGGCCAAAAAATAATTCCTGACCTTTTCTCTTTTTAGACAATGGAAGAGATGTAAACCCAGATCCGAATCCAGATGCACCAATTGCTCCTGTTATAGCAGCATTTGCCTGCTGCATGTTAATGTTGTTGGCATTGTCGCTGTGAAAGAGAGCCTGACGTTCCTCACTTCCTTCGAAATTCTTGCAGTCCATGCACTTGCAATTTTCAGAACAGAGGATGTTTGCCTGGAAGCATTCACAGTACTTCTTGAGGCATCCCGACTTTTTGCAATGGCATCCCTTGTTGTGCTTTCCCAACACTACTAATTCTCCGTTTTCCTCCTGCACATATATGAACTGATTGACTTGCTAAGAAAAACAAGAAAATGACAGCTCCCTTAAAAAATCAAGGTGAATTAGACCAAAGTTCCAGATCCTATTCCACCCAATCCTTCAAGGTGATCTTGATAAATATAATTACAGAAAAAAGAAAATCACAAAAACATACTGAAATAAACCAAAGACCAAATTAACCACCAGCTAAATATCCCAATGACCAAAATTAGCCAAAATCATGCTACATACCTACCAAATATCCACAAGGCTCGACAGTGTCCCAAACTTCCAGTGTGTTATTCGTTTATTTATTTATCAAGAATACCACAATTTGAATAGGGGGAAAAACAAAGCCTAAGTAGTACCACTATTTGGCTTCACCAAAATGAACAGGGAGAACTCCTGGCAATTGATTGGTTAAAGGTTTAAATATTTTCAGGAAAAATGAACAATGAGTAATCTATCTTTTTATCAGTGAAGTAGGAATTCTCTCTTCAGCTCCAAGAGCGTGGAACAACTGTGAATGAGTACAAACCTGAGCTATTAAAAGTGCAATATTTATTAATCCCTCAGGGATAGGCCTAGTGGTATTGAAAGATGAAAACATTCAAGCCACTGTTTGGAAGTTGGGACTAAAATTAGAGGTACGAAGAAGAAAAAAATTGAAGATTTACCCGGATATCTTGTGCTGTACGTGGGCTGCTAGCAATTTTTGGCCTGAATGCATTTGGGTTACGCTCCAAAGTTGTTTCAACTGCTTCTCGCCTGGCCGCTTCATTTTCGACATTGTTACAGCAGTTTACACAATTGCACCCATCACAATATGTTCCAGAAGCAAAGCACTCACAGTACCTGATAAAAAAACTCGAGAACAATTAGCACAAAAGTGACAGACATTTGTTGATCCCGTAACTTAAAGCAAAATGGATATACATTGAACCTAACAGAAGGAAATTTTAACAAACAGATCGAAATAAAGAAATGCTAGACAAAGCAGTTGATGCAGCTCAGCGGAGAACCACATGTCGCCAAACACCCAGCTCAACTCCTAATTGCAACTACAATCATTTATTGATCATACCAATAACCAACTCTACAGGTCTGTGGCCGCCATCAGATGAAACTTCCATTACTACATTGTATACGTATACAAACTGTTTAATTCACTTCGAAAGACTTTGCACTCACAAGTATCTGCATTTTGATTTGGAAAAGCATATAACTTAAAGTTGATGTCTTTACTAAAAAAAACTTACAGCTTAGTTATGACCAGCAGAAAAGAATAGAGGAAATTGTGAACTTAACCTATCATATGGCTCATATACATTTGGATCCATATCAATTTTCCCAAAAATATGGCTTCCTACAATGAGGAATAGCTTATAATGCATGCCCCAGCTAAACCTGGAAAACAAAGAGGCCTAGCAAAGATAACCAACATCCACTACTGCACAGCAGAACCAGCTTCCTGGATAAGGGAAGAGGGTAAAGGCTGTTCCTGAGATAATAGCTTTTTGGTCATTGTATGAAAAGTTGAAACTATCATCATGAATAAGCAATAGAAAATGGAACTGCGCTACCAGTACCAAGGGCTCTGCACCACCTCCAATCGCGGAAACCTTTTTATATAGATTTCACCGTGGAAATTTTTCGAACAGAAAATTCAAATACAGTGAAATTCAGACAATAAATTGGGGTACTCACAGCTTCAAGCACCGTGAGTGCTTACAGTTACACTGTTTCTGCTTCTTTGGTGTACCATCTTTCTCTGCAGCTGGTCTTGCTCTTGATTTTGGGGAATCAGGTTTTCTGCAAGTTTCGTCAACAAAAGAATTAGAATGACGAAATGTCCTTGAGCATAGTTGTCGCAGCAATTACTACGAGCACGTTTAGACAAACTTTTCAAAAAGTGAGAGAGGATAAACTATGTTATGTTGCCTCCCCGCCAATGTTCCCTTTATTTCGGGGTTGAAGTTCGCAATTACATACACATGGCAAAAAGTTGAACCTATTGCAGGTAAATGTTAATGTCCACGACAGAAAAGGAAATTGTAATGCATCAAGGATGCACATTTATTATAGTGAAGTCTTGAGAAAAAAAAATCCAGAACACCAATAAACCAGTCCTTCATTCTGAAAACCCCACACAAAATCACTACAGTAGACAGCCAGGTTTCACATGATCAATTATGAATGCCAAATAGAAAATAAAGTCCAGAAGCCATAGGTAACTACAATCTGATGTGAAGCAATTCGATACCTTCAGCCATTGACAAAACTTCATTATCGAATAGGTTATCGAGATCGATCAGAAAATAATAAAGCCATTAAAGAAACGAACTTTGAGAGAAAGAAATAACAGAAACATTGCCCCAGAAACAATAGACAAGATGAAGAATCCACACCCCACGGCAGTCAGATTCTTCCGCGAGCAAAATCAAAAACTTGAAACAAATTCCAGTCAAGAATCGAAAAGAAAAGAGAAGGAAAACTTACACAGCCTTCGCAGCTGGAACACCCTGTTGCTGCTGCTGCTGCTGAGTTGGCGGCTGAGGCACAGCAGGGATGGTCGCCACCGCAGCAACGAGATGCGGCTGCTGGCTCTGAGTAACAGCCATAGGGACCGGCGGTTTCGCAATCGGCTGCACAGCCGCCGCCGCCGTCGTCGGCTTCTGAGGCGGAGGCGGACCAGCAACAGCAGCCGCAGCAACCGGCGGCTTCTGCTGTTGCTGCGGCGTTGCCGATTGCGGATGGTCAGGAAGAACCACCCCACCGCCGCTGCCCTGAGTGAAATCGAGCTGCCTAGCAAGCGGCGGAGCCTTTTTTGGAGGGAATTCGCTCCCCTCACCCTCCCCCATCCTCCCAAACACCTAGAAAAAAAAATTTCAAAAATTACCCCTCGAATTCACACCAACACCCAAGGAAAGCAAAAATAAGAAACGCGAAATCCCGCGCGCGCTTCTCTCCACCCCCTAAAATTTCTAACAAAACCCCACCCGAATTCCGCAACTCCCAGATCCCCAAGCTCCCCGCCCCCCGGAAAATCGCCAATCAGCTCAACAACGGCTGACTTCCCTCCCGCCGGAATGCCAAATTCCAGAGAAAGAAAGCGCAGAGCACGGAAATTGATCCACAAACAAAGAGTGGCGGCCGCCGGCGTGGAAAGAGAGGAAGCCGCGGTCCTGCCCCGCGGCGCGAGAGAGGGAGAGATTGGAGTAGAGACGCAGGAAGGAAGGGAGGGCTTTTTTTTGGGTTTTGGTTTTGGTTTTTGCCTTTCGCTCTTCTGAGTCTGTTCTTTCTTCGCCTTTGATTTCCTCCCTCTCTCTCACTGCATTTTGAATTTTGGGCTTAATATCGATCCGATTGATTTGCTATCGTGGGGTTTTTTTTTTTTTTTGCTTATCGGACGGTCCATAAGACGGCCCTGGGTTTGGGTTTTGATCCAACCGCCTGAATTCATAGGTAAAAAAGGATCAAAGCTTGCGTTCCCCCACCGTCTCGCCGTTCGATTGAGAGGGAAAAACAGATCCCCTACCTAGGGATGGCAACAAAACCCGAACCCACGGGTACCCACCCGACCCAACCCGGTCAACGCGGGTAAAATCCGTGTTGACGGGTTTTGGGCCGGGTTTGGGTTTAAACCCGCTATACTATTTATCGGGTCAGGTTGGGTTTGGGTTTAGGTAAACCCGTCCCATGGGTACCCGCTCATACACATATAATTACCTTCCCGGTATATTTATTATTCTAAATAATATATCTTCATTAAACAACTAATATTCTTTATGTTTGTGGAGACATTTATGTTTGTGGAGACATGTATAATTTGTTCTTTCTAATTGTTTAGAATGAAGTTGATATTATGAAGTGGAGAGTGAAGAAACTTAGTTGACGAGGAAGAAGTTTTCAATTAATCTTATTGTTTATCTTTAATTTTGAACAATTTGTATTGATCATTTGCGATTTGCTTGTAATTTGTATGAATAATTTGTATGAGAAAATTGAATATAAACTTTTATTTTGAAAGAAACTTGTTATTGTAAATTTTTTACCACAAAAACCCACGGGTACCCATGAACCCGCGGATACCCAGCGGGTTGGGTTGGGTTTGAGTTTTTCAAACCCAACGGGTTTTACCCCGGGTTTTTTTGCCGGATAAACCCATGGGTTTGGGTTTGGGTTTGACAAAACCCGCCCCAACCCGACCCATTGCCATCCTACGGCCCTACCAAAGCATTTTGTCTATTATTTTTTGCTCTCCAATTTAACCAATGATTAAAATTCATACCATATTGACGGTTCGACGGTTACGATTAATATCGAAGTCAGATTCAGAAGTACATGCTTCAATCTAGCTCTTGATTCAAATTGCTCTGACCTCTCTCTAACTTTCCCACTCCATTCTCCAGGGGAAGCCGCCGGCTTCACCTCTGTGTGACCGGCGGCAACCCAAATCGCCTCTTCTTTTGTTCATTATGATGTTTCATTTTCCATCCCCTTAGTGGGTTCTCCATTTCTATCTTTGCTATTTTCCCTAAGTGGATTTTGCCATGAACTTCTCTTAGGAGATGTTTCCTCTTCCACATTTCATATTTGTTACCAGATCTTGAAATCGTTCTTTGTGTGCAGAGGGAATTGCTTTGCAATTTACAACTTTCTTGTTGACTTTTGGAGCTCTCCTCCTTGCTTCACTCAAAATGGCGCAGTGATTCGGTGGTTTGGCTTGATGCCGTTGGTTTTACTGTCAACTTGGTGGTTGTAAGGATGTTTGGCTTTTCTTTGAGGTTTTGATGCTCTGTCTCTTTTTCTTGTGGTTCGTTTCGCTTGGTGGTGTCTGGGAGTCAGCGGCGGGTTTGGTTGGTGTGGGTGCTGCTTTGTTTGTTGGAGGTGTTGTTTGGGGTGTGGGTTTGTGCAGGTTGGGTGGCGTTCTCATCCGTTGGCTGCTTGTGCCTGTTTTCGTCAATCGCTGTTTGTTGTTGTTTTGGGTTTGGTGTTGGTGGCGACGGTGGGCTTCAGGGTTGGTGGGGGTGCGTTGGTGCTTGTTGCAGAGGACTTCTTCCGGGTGCTCTTGTGTTGGTCAGGGGTTTTTTGGTGGCGGATTCTGAGGATGTGGGGGTGGTTCGTTTTCATCGTTGGTGGTCGACGGTTGTTGCTGGTTGCAAGGTGCGGCGGTGGCGGTTGTGTTGTGTGGGTGCTGAGGCGATGGTCGACGGTGGGGTTGTTGGGGTGGTGGCAGCGTTTCCTGTTGGTGGTGGTCGTCGGCGATGTTTGTTGGGTTGGTGGCGGCGATGGCTTTGGGTTGGCGGTGCGGCACGGTGCTGGTGGTGGCTGCGCATGTTGATTTGCTTTGGTTTTTTGCTTTATTGTTGGGCTAGGGTTGTTTTTGGGCTTTATTGGGCGGTGATCGTAAGTATGGGGCTTTGGGCTTTTTGTTTGTTTCTCGTATAGGTTTGAGGTTTGGTTTTCTTTTCATTTCGTGTGTTTTCTTTGTGCCTTTTTGTAGTTGGTTTGGTTGTGAGTTGTTGTGGGCTTCTTGTTCTCTGAGACTTGTCTTTCATCCTTCCTGGACTTTGGTCCAAACTCTGTAACACTCTCCTATTTCTTAATGAAATTAGGTTTCGTCAAAAAAAAAGTCAGATTTCAGAACGGTATGATCAAAGGAGACAAGAAACCGTGCCAGCCAATTTTTAGCTGGTGATATTTAGATTTGTACAAACTTCAAGCCTATATAAGTTAGCTTTCTTTTGAAGGGGCTTGCTAGTAAATGGTATATAATCCATTATTTTATCTCTGCTAAACAACCCTAGTTATTGATACTAAATGATTGCTTGCAAAAAACGTCATTTGAACGACTAACTAAATCGTCGAGTTATTGATACTAAACGATTCTTGACAAAGAACATCTTTGGAAAACGAACGACTAACTAAATCATGACTAATAGTTTGATATAAGTTACATCATTGAATCCCTCTCAACAACTTGAATTTTTTATGCTAAACGGTTCTTGACAAAGAGCACCATTCAAAGGCGAACGAATAACTAAACCATGAATAATTGTTTGGTACGCAAGAGAGATATTGTTGATAGTTTCGACTACTAATATATTTTTATTTACAAGAAAAGTTCAAATATAAAATTCTATCATAGATATTTAAAAATTTAATAAAAATGGACTCACTTTGAACGAAATCCTGACTACTCCCCTGAATCCAGTGACGCGGATCATACTCTGAACCAGAACGAGCGCCAAATGGAATAGACTACCCTCTATTAGACAAACAAACGGCTATGAATTTTCTTTTTTTTGGTAAAAGCTATGAAATTTTCATCTCTATACATCTGTGAGTCAAACGATCCAGTCTCGTAGTGGAGACTACGAAAGTGTAGCAATAAGCTCACACGCTAATGTGCCGGCTATTCAGGATTTTTCCAAAAATACCACTAAAAAGAAAATTTCCAAAATTTTCCAAAAATGCCACTAAAATAATAATTAAAAAATACCACACATTTCCAAAATGTCCAAAAATACCACTCTTTCTAAAAAAACAACTTGTGGGCGCGGTTTTCGGTGTAAACCGCATAGATTGGGGCGGTTTTATTGACCGCATGGGGTGGGGGCGATTTGGTCCAAAACCGATGCCCCCTGCGGTTTGGTCCAAAAAAAAAATTCCGATCAATCCTAACCAAGGTGGAAACTTCAAACGAACGTATCTTTGTGCTCGGGTATCCGATCGTAGCGAATATTTTTTTTTATTCCGCATAGCTTTTCGAAATCTTGCAAGCCGCAACCAGCCTTCGTCCCGAGAGAACGTCGTTGCTGCCCCGAATGAGTTTTTTTCCGATTTCGCCAAACTTTGGACGACCATAACTTTGTGCTTCAAATCCGAACGTCACAATTTTTTTCGTTTCACATAACTTTAGAAGGACTACAATTTTTATCATAACCATAATTTCGGAATGTACGTAGATTTGTGAAAAGTGAAGATAAAGTTATTCCCAAAATCCCTTATATCCAAAAATAATTCATGTTTTGAAAATTCTTTCCTAATAAAAGTTGTAGTCATTCAAAAGTTCTGTGAAATGACAAAAATTGTGATGTTCGGATTTTGGAGCTCAAAGTTATAGTCATCCAAAGTTTGGCAAAATCGGGAAAAAGCTCGTTCAGGGTAGCAAACGACGCTTTTTTTCGGGACGAAGGCTTGCGGCTTGCAAAATCTCGAATAGTTGCGCTGAATAAAAAAAAAATCGCTACGATCGCCCGAGCACAATTATACGTTCGTTTGAAGTTTCCACCTAGGTTAGGATTGATAAAAAAAATAAATGAATCAAACCGCAGGGGACAACGGTTTTGGACCAAACCACCCAGACCCCATACGACTACGATCAATTAAACCGCTAGAAGGGATGACGGTTTTTGGAAAACTAAAATATTTTGGAATTTTTCGAAAATGGATGGTATTTTTGAAATTTTTAGTGGTTTTTTTTCTGGAAAATTCCATCTCTTCTTCCCTCCCAGAATGAATAGTGAGTTGTGGTATCCATCTAGAAGACCATCCTCCAATGTCCAAACTACCAAGCCAATTGAAAACTTTGAATAGCTCTCCGAACAAGCAATCCTGCCGGTTTGGAACAAACCGTTCGAATTCTTGCGTTTACTTAACAAAGCTTAATTAACTACTCGATCATTCTATCGTTCGATATTCTACCGTCACGAGTAGAGGTGGCAAATAGATTGGATTGATGGATTTGATTGGTGGATCCATGAATCAAATGGATTGGATCTAATGGATTGGATCAAGTGGATTGGTGGATTATCCATGAATCCAAATGACATCCTCAACCAAGGACCAATATGTAAAATGTAAAAAGTTTAGGTACTAAAATGTCATAATGAAAAATTTTAGATACCAAAACGTAATTTTCCAATGATATTTTTTGTAAAAAAATTAAATTTTAGGTACCAAAATGTAAAAAATAAAAATTATAGATACTAAACCATAATTTGCCAATCCATGAATCCACCAATCCAATTGAATTTGGATTAAATGGATTGGATTTAAATGGATTGGATTAGGTGGATATTTTTAATGGATTGATGGATTGGATTGGTGAATTGGATTGAAATTGCCACCTCTAGTCACGAGTTTCACTAAGTCTGAAGAAGCCACTACGCCTGGGCTGCAGCGTCATTCATGACCCCAGGCATTTCATCAAACTCAACAGAATTCAAACCAGACAATTCCAAGTCACCAGCAGCCATCCGGATAGTTCAACAAACACCAACCTGTCCAAAATTCCCGGGTATGTACCACATTATAATCACAACATCTACCCGACTAAAACAAGTCCTCTGAAATCTCTCCCGCCGCGGCAAACTTGTTCACACTAATGAAGAGCAGCAGCATCCATCATGTTTCCTTTGCTCGAGCAAATACCACCGTCTTCCTCCTCCTCCTCTTGCCATATGATGATTATAACCTTTGTCTCCCGCGTCAATACACGTCTCCAACTCGATCTCTCCCAAGAGGGCGTCGATCGTCCCTTCCTCCTCGTTCCATGAACATGTCTCGTCGGAAATCTCTCGGTGGTGGAGGGCCGCCCCTCATCGGGGACCTGCTCCTCTCCCTCACATCGCGTCCCCATCGTCCGCCTCGCTGAGGAGGTATAGGCAGGGGTGCAGCAGCGGGAGGAGGAGGAGGAGGAGAAAGCGGCATCCGTCTGTCGAACCCTCCTCTCCTTTCGTTGAAGAACCCATCCCTGCCGCGTTCTCGGTGACCCCATTCCACTGGTGGCATCGGCCGGTGATCGAATTTGCTCCTTCCCCTGTAGTCGTCGTCTGGATAGTCGGGGCGTTCTCTAGGGTCAGAGAACCGTCCTCCGTGCCTGAGGTGTGGAGGGCCACCAGGCCCGAAATCCCTAGGGCTGCCCCTGCCCCAACCGCCACGGGGAGGAGGCGGAGACCTGTATATGTTCATGGCTCTCCCAGGAGGAGAAAGATCCATTGGAGGACCGTGTGGGCGTCTCGGACCAACAGCATGTGGAGGCGGGGGACCCGGATAGCCCCTCCTAGGAGGACTTCGGCTTCCCCATGGTTGGGCGTAGCGAGGCTTCTTGCAGTTATTGCACACCTCTCTCCTAGCAAAGTTCAGATTCGTGCACCTGAAAATCCAAACAAAGCATGAGTATGTTAAACACGAATGGTGAACACGCGATTCCAACTCTCAAGGCTTGTACTTGACAGAAATGGTGAAGAGCCAAGTTAGTTTCGAAGTTACACCCAAGAAAGAAAAGTTAGTTTCAGAGCTAAAGGGATAGAACTATTAAAATCACGAGTAACATAGCCAAGAATAGCCAATAGCCCATATGCTCCTACTGAGGGTGTAATAATACCAACAAAAAAAAAAACTCAACAAAATACGAGGCCAAACATGATATAGAGATAAAGATATGGAACTTACATAGGATCTGAACAGACCCAGTCTCCATCCCTGGGACGCACATTTGGATTGTTCCTATTGATGGCCTCTCCTCTGAATGGTCCTGGACCTAACCCAGGCCGGTCAAACTCTCTAGCTACTGGCCTGCCACCACCACTACTTCTACCTCGACTGAAAGGTGGAGAAGAATCTCGAAATCTACCAGCATCCCTGCCGACCATAAACTCGCGCCCCCTTGGTGGACCCCCTGAATTATCAAAATCAGAAGCATACCGGTGATCTCCATCCCTACGACGTGCAGGTGAACCAGAACCTGCATTCATTCTATACCCTGGAAAACAGCCAGCATAGCCCACAGATAAGCAAATCCTTACAGAACAATCGGAAAATCTTGTTAAGAACAACGGACTTACACCAACCAATAGCTTATAAATCCAAAAACTGCCAAACAGTCAACCCAACCAAAAGTTCCAATGTCACAGAAACACACTGGGCTGCAGCAACCCCGATCCCAAAGAGTAGGTTATCAACTCTTCTCTGTCACTAGTTCTTCTCTTTGCCCAAGAGTTAACAACCATGGACGGAGGTGAAGTGTTCGTCAGCCCAGTATTCAAGAAACCAATCATCAGCATTATCAAAAGCCAATCCCCAGATTTACACACTTAAGACAATATATAGCACCACTGCCCTACTTGTTTATTCTATACCGCCTCAAGTGGACCCACTCGGCTGAACAAAGTTCACCATCCAAAAAGAAAGAGAGAAACCACAAGGGAACAAAAACACAGCACCAGGTTGTGTGCAATCGGCCACACACTAATCCACAAAGTATCAGCAACACTCGAGGAACTTCAGCATTGCAATTTTTCACCCAAATGAAAAGATACCAGAGTTGGCCCATATACACGAGCAAGAGACATGTCCCATTAGAGAAAGCCTCTAAAATCGTCGAGTCCGAAGTCATTACCCAGCCTGGGCAGTAAACCACTAAAAGCTCACACTGGAATATGTTATCACGCCTATTGGAGAAAAAATAATCCAATATATTTAACCAGGTGGCGTAATCATCTGGCATCACAGATTGGTCAGTGACTTGGGCACTTCGTGGAACAGTTTCCACACGGTTCAAGCTGATGTTGAGTTAACGGCTTCATGTTCCTAAGATGTCAACCATAACCGTATTCCCAATAAAAAGATGCACATACAACCCAAAATTGTCTACCATTCACACCCATAACAGATGATATCAGCCCCATATATGCAGTCCCTAATATTAAACCCCACATTCCATCCAACAATGATCCCAGAACTGAACTCACACCAAGATGGCTTCGTCAAGACCAAAGTTCTTGCAGGCAATATTCAAAGCTGTAACACATAATGGCAGAATTTTATTTCCAATTCAAAACTCTCAAAATGTTAGTTCATCCACATTTCTGTAAGCGATGATAACAGTAACTAAATAATAAATATCAATTGATCTCAAAGCCCTACACGTGCTTGTCGATCCCAACAAAAAGATGCAAAACGATGACGGAACTTCTCTATTTAACAGTTTTTTGCAGTTTTTAGATATAGATTCCCAATAATACTATGCAATTATGGAACCCCATGAGCAGGTACAGCATATCCCACCAATCGAGGTACCTCGACGGTTACACCTAACAGTCGAACTTTCTTTTCCTAAGAAGACCTAGAGGGTCAAGTATTTCTTATACAGGTATAACCTTAAAGTTTTCTGCCAGACTAAAGACTGAGAAGTCTCTCTGAAATTCTGCGGAAACTGCATACTTAACGCCACAGCCAATCGAGCATTAGCACATCAGATTGCAAAGGAGTATGATTAGATTTCCTGACTAAGCTTAATTTTATCTGACAAACCCAAGAACCTCTCAAGAACCTATGAATTCACTATGGGACAAATGTCAAAGCATCCTCCATTACTCAAGTCTTCACCAGGCAACTTGACCAGAGCATCGACATCAGTAAATTCTTTCACTCCTTTAGGCACTATATACATAGTTGCACACCATCAAATTCAATATCAGCCGAAGCAGTGGAAGGCAAATTTCGCAAACAATACCATTCAGTACAAGCGTATTGCTGAGATACATCAAAAAGCAAGTAAAACACCAAGGGACTACGAGAACGAAAACAATAACGAAAGCTGACTTCTCTTAACAGAACATGCACGAAACAGTAAAGAAACTCCGCAAGCCGTCAGCACAGATCGGAAAAGGATACAGAGGTGCAAAGAGAGACACAAACCTGGAACGTCAGAGAATCGCTCGGATCGAGAATATGGCGGCATCTCACGACGCGCCTCGCCAGTTTCAAACCCGCCACCACGTCCACCTCCGCCTCCAACATCGCCGCCGCCGCCGCTGCCGCCGCCGCCACCTTCACCGCCGTCGCTAGACGATGGCCGTACGACAAGGCTGCTCAAGAGTGGCTGGTGGTGCGACGCACCATGGTCCTTTTCTCTGGACCCCATCGGCGATTCTACCTCCCCCTCCGCGAAGATGGAACGATCGATTTTTACGTGCGACGGACGATCAATTGATTTGTGGGGGTTATGAATCGGGCGGAAACTAATAAACCCTAACGACTTGCCCAGGAGGCAGAGAAGATATTCTGATAGAGTCACAAAATTACGATTAAGGGTACGGTGGATTGGTGAATTTACAACCGGAGGTGGTGGAGACTGCGGAGATCGAGATATTCGCTGGTCTGTCTCCGGCTGTCGGGTTATAAAGCCTTTTTGGAATACGAGAGCATCGAGCTTTTAGCATTTTACAGTTTGATCCCTGCATATTTGCTAAATTGTTCATTTCATGCTAAATTGTCCCCAAACAAACTTAAATTGAATATTTCATGGTCACTCACTTCAGCCTCCTATTTATATGTCCATGAAATGGTGATGATTCATCTTGCATGAACCCAAAAATATGTACCTCATTGTTAAACATACGAGTAGTCAAGATTGAATAATCAAAATGACTCATTTAAAGTGGTGATGATTTGTTCTCAAATGAACCCAAATTCGGCATCTCTTACTTATTTAAACCTCGTGATAATAATGTCGAAGATGAGGTTGATTAGGTCTTTCTAACCCTGGTCATCCTTGTTAATATCCCATGGTAATAATGTGGAAGATAAGGATGATATTCTCCAACTATTCAACTAGTGCTCAAGAAACTTGCAAAACTTTAGGTTCCTAAGCTCCCCTCAAGACTCAAGTCGAGGCTTGTCCGTGCGATCTGCAGGCTAACCCAGCATACCATCAATAGGAAATTAACGAATTTGGAATGGCAGATTTGGGTCAACTCTGTGTACATGATAGATAGGCGTGAATTTACATAGTGCCCATTTGGTGAATCCAAGTGTTGACCAATCTGTATTTCTTATAAATGAGATTACATAATGTCGTCGATGCTTGGCTTCGGTGACGATTTGTGGTGATAATAAATCCATTTGATCGATACAATATCAATGATTATGAAGTCTCACTATGGAGCTATTCTACAAGATAATTGGTGACATTTTGGCTACTACTCCGGATTATACGGTTGTTTTCGATGGTAGGAATATTAATATGGGAGTCCGTTTTGTGGCCAGTCATGTCTCATCTTTGACGCCTCATATTTTACAAAGGTTCGACTTTCTTAATTGGTTACGTTCAAAGATAGCATTGTACCTAAACTATTTCATCTTTGTGGGTGATCCAGTGGAAAAAGCATGTATATGAATAAGATACAACGGAATTTATGTGTTAGGAAAAGTGTAAGACAAACATGTGAACATGAAGAACTACATTATATTGGGAGTCATGGTGACATAGAAGTTAGAACCATGGGCCTGAGATGTGGATGAGGATATTGCTTAAATATACATATTTCTACTCTTATTCTTGACAATTTATTTCGAGAACACCCTTTCCTTTGTCTACTTTATGCTAGGTTATGTTGTTTTGCCATATTTTAGATTCTAGAACGTGGAGAAGGTTTAGGACTTAGGAGCGAGTTTGAGACATTTGGAGGCCAAAATAAGACCAAGGAATACTAAGCCATAATTCACGGTTTGTGACTCCAAAACTCACAGTCGTGAGACTTGCCAAAAATGACGTGAGAAAATCACAAGAGCTCAAAATGAAAGTCACGATTTGCTCACTCAATGTCACGACTGCGACTTTCCTCAATTTACGACCGTGAATCTCGAGAGACGGCTAAAATGAACGGGGCATTTTAAGAAGTCACGACCTGAAAAATGAAAGTCATTGTCGTGTCGTTCGATCGTGAAAATGCCATCGTTGGGTAGAAATAGGAGGCTGCAAATTTTCCAAAGGGAGTTCCAGTTTTTCAGACTATAACTGAAAGAGGGAGACGTTAAAGAGAGTGCGCGACTTGGTAAAGTTCTTGGAGCTATTTTGGCGATTCTTCACCATTGGAACTTGAGAATCAAGTTTTGGAGCAGAAATAGACGATACGAGTTCCATCACCACAATGACATTTTCATATTCTCATATGTTTTCCCCTTATATCTCTTTCTCACTTGAGGATAATGAACCTAGTCTTGAATATTGACCTGGTGATTATTTGGTACTCTAGTGAATTTGAACTCATAGTTTATATCATATTGATGCATTATTCAGTGAATATTTGAGCCTCGATCACGTTCTTAAGATTTACGCTTTAACTTATGAGAGATGAAATTTGAATAGGTTTGTTAGAGCAACATCAATTGGAAGTTGGAAATCGATTACACAAGAGTGAATTGATTCATTGCTTTGTATCATATTTTGATCCTATAGAGGGAATATAGAGTGCATTGCATTTGTAGATTGTCTTAACTGCACTCTAGATTCCCTTAGCTGAGAATAAAATCACTCTATCACTCTGTTCAATGGAGTATTGATTACTTAAATCGAGATTCAAGACTCAATAAGGATTATCCGCAATATAAACACGGAGTGAAATGAACTGGGAAGCCAGTAATCAATGATCTGACAAGAGACTAGGGGGGATTCAATAAATTATTTTCCAACCGAATTGTGATCAATTTACTTATTGCATAGTTAATTAAGAATCATTTACTGCTTTCATCCTAAATTTGATTTGCTAAATAATAGACTTAGTCCGAGTATTAATACTCTACAGAACCAAGGGGTCGTTTGGAAGTTGCGATTGTTAAATATATGTATTGTTGAGAATGCATGTATAATATTATACATGTATTGTCGAATTTGATGCATTGTAGAATACAATGTTTGGTATGTGTGATTGTGTATGTCGCATCAGCTAAAAGTTGAGACAAAACAATCTCAACTCAACTATCTCAACAATCACAACTAAAAGTTGAGATATAACAATCACTCAAAATGAGTGATAGTTTCTGTCACATCACAGAAACAATCCACGTATTGTTTCTGCTAAAAAACAAAAAAAGATGCATTGTAAACAATACATGCATAATGACAATCTCAACAAAACTATCGCAACTTTCAAACGACCCAAAGTGTCCAGTATTAAATTGTGTGTCACTATATTGCAGTAGAGTATTTATCCCTCTATCTCCAACCTAAAACGAGCAGAAACATGGTTACACAATCCGACGAGAAGAAAGCTGTTTGATTGCTCTGAGTCTGACTCCTGCCACATGGACGCATGAGAACCGTAAACCTTTCATCCAAGAACTCTCCGATTCCTGACTCAATTTACCAAAAACACCCTTTCTAATTGCAGCGTTGTCGCGCCCTGATTGGTCGACATACCCAATCTCTCAACAACAGTCTTAATGGGTCTACCTAACCTGAAACCGCCCCGTCGCCCCTAGACGTAATCGTACCAGAAAAGCATAGCTGGAAATGAAACGACATCAAATACCATCTTTAAATGTCGTACCATCTTCAATTAATTAATTTTTAATCATTGATTACATTCTCACCGCCACTCAGATTTCGATCGTCGCCGCCTTCTTGGGCTATTGATGATAGAGTGATAGCTAAGCAGAGAGCTCTCTCGAAGCAAATCCGGTTTCCACTTTTCAAGCTCTCTGCTCTTCCCGTGGGAAAACGAAAAACATTTCCACTATCGGCCGCCGTTCCACACGGTTTAGGCGACCGACCTTCTCGAAGCTTCGTGTTCGTCGTCGTCGTCGTCGCCGCTTCCGGTTCCCTCTCTGTTGATCGCAATCTCCGAGCTCGTTCGTCGAAACGGTAATCATTTTTGGAAGTACGTTCTTCCTCCTGTTTTGATCCAAGTGAATTTTGTTCGTTGCTCCGTCTCCTGATCGGGGGAGCGAGCTGTGGTACGGAACTGTTTGATCATCGGTTTTCAGTTTAGGCTTTGGTATTGTTCGGTTTCAGAGAAATCGACTGCGAGAATATTATTAGCGCTGTGGTCTATATTCTTGCTACGCGTATCGATTATGTTGCTCGATGGCGATGGACTTCAATTTTTATGCTCTACTCTCTGGTTTTCGTTTTACCGTCTTCTTCTCACTTGATCCTTCTTCCCGGTCTCTGATCGGCGAGCGAGCTGTGGTACCGGCACTCTTTGATCCTCGGTTTTCAGTCTAGGCTTTGGTTTTGTTCGGTTTCAGAGAAATCGACTGCGATATATTATTAGTGCTTGTGGCTATCTTCTTGCTGCGCGTATCGATTCTGTTTCTCGATGGCGATGGACTTCAATTTTTAGGCTCTACTCTCTGGTTTTCGGTTTACTGTATTCTTCGCACTCCCGGCTTCTTGCTATATCTAGCCTCGGTGTGTTCAGTGAATATTTGGTACTTTTTATTGGTTTCTTCCTTTCATAGTTACTTCACATGAATTGGCAGTTCAGGAGCCTTGAATCTGGATGTGGTGAGGCTGACATGTGGCATGGCAGGACGTCAACTTGAGGCATACTCTATGTACAAGCGAATGCCTTCAAGAGACCACGAAGATATGACCGAGGTAGAAGATAATGAAGGTATGGAATCAAACAACGCGTCATATCGGGAACAGGTTCATGTGTTTGTTATCTGTCTGTGACGGTACTGTCTTGCATATGAGAGCATTTGGCAAGGGTGTGATGCGAGTTCTAGCAATTGAATCTTCTTCTTATCAAGCTGTTAGTCCCTATGTAGAACAAGCAATGAATGAGAAGTGCAATTTCATGCTTAGTCTAGGTCAATTGTATCTGAGGTCCATAGGCGAGCAGTTGCTTCGTGCAGCCTCTATAACATGCTTATGGCGTTTGAAAATTTGTTCTCTGATTCTATTTTTATACATTCTTTCAGCTCTTTTGCAGTGTAATTTGGTGTTTGATAATGTATTCTCTGCTTCTATTTCTGTATGTTCTTTCAGCTCTTTTACAGGGCAATTTGGAAGTGGAAAATACTAATCCTTCCTGGAAACGGTCACTTCCATATGTATTGGTTGCAACAATACCCTCCCTCTTATTTGGTTACCATCTTGGGTACGTGAATTTGCTTTTATTTGCCCTCTCAAGCAGCTATACTTCTATCAGCATTGTTTTTGTTTAGGAAAGTAAAGTGACTTCTAACAATTTCTTTCATTGTATCCATTTATAGAGTTGTTAATGAGCCACTTGAAAGCATATCATTGGATCTTGGGTTTGATGGGAACGCCTTGGCAGAAGGTATTTCATCTCTGACATCCCTTGTCCATTTCTGTAGTCATATGTTAGTTGTTTTTATCTGGATTAGCAACTAATAGTTAATTACTTTACCTGAAGGACTGGTGGTTAGTATATCCCTGGCTGGATCCTTGCTTGGGTCGTTGTTCAGTGGTTCAATTGTCGACAGTATTGGGCGCCGCAAGGCTTTTCAGTTAGCTGCTTTGCCAATGATTCTTGGTCCTGCGGTTAGGTATGGTTCTTGCATGGTGTTGATTTATTTGGATGACATTCTGAAAACTCTCCCTCACTTTGATGTTCGTTATTATTTACTTTCTAAATGTACAGTATCTTAGTATCTCATACATGACGTTTATTCCCAGTGCATCAACCAAAACTCTTGCCGGTATGCTCATAGGACGGTTCTTGGTGGGTATTGGTATGGGTCTTGGCCCAACTGTGGCTTCTCTCTATGTGGCAGAGGTATGGAAGGTTGATTGAGTTTTGCATCCTCGGGTTGTTACACAGATATTGGGAACTCCTTTCATCTAATCCTTTTCTGCTACGAGCAGATTTCTCCTGCCTTTGTGAGGGGTACCTATGGAAGCTTCATTCAGATTGCAACATGTGTTGGGTTTTTGGCATCTCTATTTGTCGGACTCCCTGTTAAAGATATAAAAGGCTGGTAAGAAAAGTTAGAATTTAGCATCATTGCTTCCATCAATGCTGAATGTTTGAATCAGGCTGCTTGTTACTCACTGTCCAGGTGGCGCACTTGTTTTTTGGTTTCTACAATTCCTGCTGGAATACTTGCTCTTGCCATTCAATTATGTGTCGAGAGCCCTCACTGGCTGTTCAAGGTTTGTTCCTATCTTGTTTCTTCCATTTTTTTGTATTCATAGCTTTGAGTTGCATCAGTTGCCTATGTATTACAAAGCAAGAAAGTTAAAGTGATAAGAAGACCAGAAAGCAGCACTTTTAACTTTTAAGGTTCAAGAACAGCCTACTCAAAAAGCTTGTGGAGGTCAAATGTCATTAAACTCTTTTTTCACGCCACGAATCAAGAAAATTTTGTGCATATATGTATATAACTGCTGCCTTTGGTTTCCCATCATACTTGTCATTGGCGTTAGATGTTTCTCATTGTTTTGGTGGCAGCAAGGAAGAACCATTGAAGCTGAAGCAGAATTTGAAAAGCTTTTAGGTGTGGCACATGTGCAAAGTGCAATGCAAGAATTGTACAAAGTAGACAGAGGAGATGACACTGATGCGGTGAAGCTCTCAGAATTGCTTTCGGGTCGTCATTTTAGAGGTAGATATGTTGGCACATGGATTTTTTTTCCATGTGCAGAAAGTGTTTATTGGTTTCCTTTCCCGCAACTACAGCTGGCTGGTGTTCTTAACCTCGTTCCTTCGTTTATTGTCTTTACTCCTCCTTTCTAGGCTTTTGTATTCACTCGTTCCTTTTGCAGTTGTTTTTATTGGATCATCCCTATTTGCTTTCCAACAGCTATCTGGTATAAACACCGTATTTAATTTCTCGTCAACCGTATTCAAAAGTGCGGGAGTGCCTTCAGAACTGGCAAATGTCTTTGTCGGAATTGCAAATTTGTTAGGTATTGTTTCGTCCCCTTGTATCGATTTCTTGCGTGCACATTATTACCAGTACTGTTTAACTAGAAGCGTCTCTTTGTGCCTTTAGGTTCTCTGATTGCAATGGTTCTGATGGATAAACAAGGAAGGAGGTCACTCCTCATTTGGAGCTTCTTTGGACTCGTGAGTCTATAGTGTCTTTCATTTCTCTCTTCCTGTATATATCTGGCCACTAGTTGTAAAATCACCCTTATTGAGAAAAGAACAGAGGATATGCATTAACTGTTTTTTTTCTTCATCCACTCAGATCTCCTATTCATGTAACCTATACGTGCCTCCCTCATTGTCAACCTTTATGCTTTTCCTTTCTGGGATCTTTTACGAACCAAGGGGTTGTATTACTTAGCTTTCATTGCCACATATCTGCAACGTCAGAGTTTCTTGTCCTGTTGGGAATTGTCTTTTTAAGATTATTGCCGATGGCGATTTTCCATGGTATTATGCTTTTGTAGTTCTAATTGATTTAGTGTTATCTTATGGTCCTCACCGTATGGTTCATTTTCTACCTCCAGGCTGTGTCCATGGGGCTGCAAGGTTTTGCAGCAAACTCCTACTTAGCTGAAACTTTTGCTTCGTACCTCTCTGTTGGAGCCATGTTAATGTGAGTAACCATTTTATGTTCCAGTGGTGCTTTACGTTGTCTTCATAATCATTCATGCAATAATATAAAGCCCAAGCCGGCGACTGCACGTTTCGTTTCATTTTTCAGTAAACTGAGAAAGGAGCAGTCTAAAACTATTGCCTCTCTGTATAATTTGGCTTGACTGACCCTAACTTCAACCTTATATGTTCAGGTGTGTCTTGACTTTCTCTTTAGGAGCTGGCCCAGTCCCTGGTCTTCTACTCCCAGAAATTTTCCCGAGTCGAATCAGGGCAAAAGCTGTGGCGATCTGTATGTCAGTCGGCTGGGTAATTAATCACCTCTCCATCTCTTCCCCCCCCCCCCCCCCCCCCCCCCCCCCCCCCCCTGTTACTTATCCCCCAGTATCTTACTATGAGCAGAACAATTCAGTAATGTTTTAAGTTTTAACGGTGTTTTCTGTCTTCAGGTGATCAATTTCTTCGTGGGGTTGATGTTCTTGTGGTTGCTTCAGCGACTCGGGAGACAGCTCCTGTACACCTGCTTTGCAGCCTTTTGCTTGATGGCAGTGGCTTTCGTGAGAAGAAACGTCATGGAAACTAAAGGGAAGTCGCTCCAGGAAATCGAGATAGCTCTTCTGTCGCCTGAATTCTGAGAAGAAGGCCTCTTCTTGCCTTCTCCTGGATACAGCCATCAGCCGGTGTCATCTTCTCTGTTTTAATTTTCTTTTTTCAGCCCTATCAATTGAGCTGATGAGAAAGCTACTGTTTTCTAGCCTGCCACTCTAATCGGTACCACTGATTCCAGCAATATCATAATGTGTGTATAGGCCCTACTAGCAGCCGTCAAGCTGTATAATTATGTGCTATAAACCTTAGTAAACATCGTAGTGAACAATATTCATGCTTGATCCTATGAAAGTCAGGCTCGATCTATTGCACTTTGTCGAAAGAAAACATGATCAGTTAGCAACTCAAGTTCGGCATTAGCAGGATCTTTCAGCTGAGCTATGATTCTATGGAAGTCACAGGCTTTATCTTTTATACTTTGTCGAAAGACAACACGATCAGTTAGCAACTCAAGTTCGGCGTTAGCAAGATCCTTCAGTTGAGCTATGGTTCTGCCAACGAGACTTGATGCTTAATCCTCTTCTGTTTTGGATTTAGGTATGACCAATCAATACAAATGAGTATACTGCAAGGGATGCCTTACAATCTAAACCACTCCCTAAACTGATGTGGCAGATCCTCCACGAGGAGAGCAGAGTTCGTACATGGCTAAGCTGAGCAGAGACATGGCAGGCAAAGAACTGCTGGTACTGTTGAACAATTGTAATCCAATGCTCCGATGCATGACCTCGAGCAGATGGAAAGCGTTGGGAGGATCTGTGGCTCCTCCTCCACAAGCACACAACTGATAATCTGCAATTCATGTTCTTAAAATGCTAAACATTACTATACGAAAATGAAGGTTCAAAGATTTCTACAGAAGCACTCATCTACATATTGTGTGCTTCAATAATCTACCAACAAGACTGCATTGAACTGGAAAACCACAGTTCTAAAGATTTCTACAGAAGCACTCATCAACATATTGTATGCTTCAATAATCTACCAACAAGATCACATTGAACTGGAAAACCACAGTTCTGATGCGGTTGACATCCTCCATGAGGCGAGCAGCGTGCCTAATTGGCTAAGTTGTGCAGAAACATGGCAGGGAAAGAACTGCTGGCACTCTGGAACGGTTGGCTTTCGCCAAAAGTTCCGCCTGGCTAGCCATTGATTGAAACTCGATATCACATCCTAAACTCCAATACATGACCTCCAGCGATGAAAACATCGAGACAATCAGCAGTTCCTCCTCCACAAGCACACAACTGATAATCTGAGAGTTCTTGTTCCTACCATAGATAATCTGCAGTTCTTGTTCTTAAAACGGCTAAACATAAAACCCTCTCAAGCCTTTTGCATTGATGTGATTCTAAACGACAAAGAAGGTTCAAAGATTTCGACAGAAGCACTCATCTACATATATGCTTCAATAATCTACCAACAAAACTGCGTTAAACTGGAAAACCACAGTTCAATTCACCAGTTCGCGACGCATACACTCCTGTTACAGTCTCCGGGAGCTCAGGGAAACCGAATGGAAAACCCACTCCCAGTCTCAGTAACATGCATAGGACCAAAATCATCAAAATCAGAGTCAAACCCATCCTTGTGGTCGTACCACCCACCTGGCGAATCCACATCATGATCACTGTTCGATCTCGGCACATGAAGCTCCCAGAGGGGAACCGGAAATGGCTCCATCGAGAAGTACACATCATGAAGCAACTCCATTGCAGTAGCCCTACTAGACGGATCATAGCACACAAGCTTCCTCACCAGCGACACCTCTTCGCTCGAACGATTCTTCAAGCACGACTCCAACCCGGCAGGACTCTCCACTTTGCCAAAAGACATCGTCTTGTAATCAGGAAGGTTCACACATCCCGGCCACACTTCTTCATTCAAGTTCCCCAACACACTGATAATCCTCCCGAGCTGATCGATATCTGAACCCCCAGGGAAGAGAGGCTCGAGAGTCAAAAGCTCCGCGAAAATGCAGCCTAACGCCCACAGATCGACCTCCATTCCATAATCCGTCGATCCATAGAGCAGCTCAGGTGCCCTGAACCAGCGAGTTCCTACGCAGGAAGTGAAGCACCCTTCTTGTGGCCTATCATCATAATCATCAACATCATCAACAACGTAAGAGTAGGGGCTCCGGAAATCATCATCCCCAAACTCGCTAGCTGTGCCGGTTGCAATGCCAGAGACGTTTCCATCCCTGGTATTGGTCGTTTCCTTCTCCATCTCATCCAAGAAATCCCGGCTCTTGTACTCGCTCGTCATTTCTGCAAGAGAATCTTCTTCTTCACCCAATGTGGAGGATCGATGGTGCTTTTTCCTGCCCCAGTTGCCTCTCTCGAAATTGAACACAGCAGTCGTCGGAGCCCCGTGGTGAATGTACAATTGTTCGCCCGACGGCGGCGGAGGAGGAGTGTTCTTCTCATCCACTGCTATAGATCCAGTTTCCATGAGTATCCTTGCCTGAGAATCAATTTCGCAACCAAAAAGCCCCAATTCAAAGCCGGACATTCACGAAACGGAACCCTAATTTTAAGAAATTCCGAGTACATGTATATACCTGGCCGAAGTCCGCCAATTTGAGAATCCCGTCGTGGGAAATCAACAGATTGCCAGGCTTCAAATCGCGATGGACGACCATGTTCCGGTGGCAGGCGTCGAGGCCGGAGAGAATCTGCATCATCCACCGCTTGACCTCGCCGCCGCGGATCCCGCCCTTCTTCTTCCCGTCCCTGACGACCGCCGCCAGGTCGGTCCTGAGGAACTCGAGGACGAGGACGGCGTCTTCATCCTCGCCCCAGAAGTACTCGTGGAGGACGACGACGTTGGGGCAGTTCTGGAGGACGCGGAGGGCCTCGATCTCGCGGAACGCCGACTGGTAATCGTGGACCTCTTTCAGGGCGACGAGGAGGTCGTCGGAGAGGCGATGGGCCTTGTAGACGTCGGAGTAGGCGCCGGAGCCGACCCGCTCGTGGATTCGGTACTTGGCGATGATTTCGGGTCGGGTGTAGATGCTCCAGCTCTTGGGAGGCGGTGGCGCGGGAAGTTGCGGCGGCGGCGGGGGAGATGTGGGCTCCATTGTATTTTTATTGTTTCCGCCGGTGGGGTTTGTGTTTGTGTGTGGGAGTGTGAGAGCGAGAGGCGGGTAGGTTTGGCCGGCGACGGAGAGGGAGCAGTGGCAGTGATGTGATTTTCTTTCTTCTTTGTTGCCCGATTTGGGTTCGTTAACGGCGACGATTGGAAAGGAAAGGAATGGAGACAGGGTTTGACGCATCCAATTGGTTTATGACACCTGGATTTCTTTTTTTATTTAGTTTTTTAATTCATTTCTCAATCAGACTTCTAGCCAATTAATTTATTATTATGAAAATGACAGTTCTTAGAATCTCATCATAGCTCAAATGTATGGGCTCCAAACGGGCCCAGCCCAAATAGGGTTTTTTAGATGGTCAACGGTTACCTAAAAGAAAGCCCATAGTGAAACAAGAATTCCAACTGGGAGTAAACGGGAAAAGGCCTGGTTACTAGTACTGAATTTGGTAGGGGGGAGTGTACCCTAAAATAAGTTAGTAGTAAGTTATCTGTAAAATACTATTTTATCTTTAAATTAGTGATACACCCAATAGTAAGTCAATAGTAATAAAATATATTGATTTCAGTACGTATTTAGTATATGAAACATCAAATAAAAAGAAGAAAACGAAACAGTTTGATAATATTATAGAAACAAAAAAAAATTTGCGTATAAAATACAAACGTTGATATAAGTGCGTAGTAAACGAAGTATTTACTAACTATGCCATAACCAAGGAATCTTTCTTTCCATAAGGTTCCAATAGTTTCGTGTTAAGAATAGGGTGATAAAATGAATTGGACGGCTTGAAGAACAGTAGATCAACAAGAACAATACAATTTCTTTCGAATTTGATAATTAAGAATTGTTTGATTTGGTTCATGTATGAGACGTTCTTATCTCTTGATCCCGTCTGATTTATATCACGGTTTATCAGACTAGATCGCGGGCCCTACCCACTTTTCCATATCGTGTTAGGAATGCACTTGATCACTCTCCCTTCATCTCGAGTGAGACCTAAGTGTCAATCATAATTTTGCGAACCCAGTCCCCCTTCTTCGTACATAGACCACACTCCATAAGAATGTAGAAGCGCGATTGTGCATCCATATGAAAATATATGTTAATGTTTATGACGTTATGCTCCCTGTTTCTCTCTCCGTAAATGTAGGTGGGCTTCAGCACTGAAATTAATTACCAGCATCGGACAAAAGAAATTACTGCTATATGTGGGTTTGGTTGACAGGAAAAATTTATGGATAAGAAAATATAAGAGTTCCATTCGTGACTGCATTTATTTATACCTCTTTCTTTACTTAAATTGGTACCAAATTCATAAAATTTTAGTATGTGTTGTTTATACAAAGGTATTCCGCAGGGGTCTCATGTGGCGGAGATTGGGCGGTGCCGACGGCAGCTTCTGTTTCAATCGTGGTGGAGTTGTTGGCTCTCATGAATGTGATTTGTGTGGTGTTTGGTCAATGGATGCGAGAGTTGAGTGATTTTGGAAGAAATTCATTTATTGTGTGTGAAGTTATATTAGGATAGTTTTAATAGGGTTCGATATTCGATTTTTACTCTTATCAGATATGCAACTCTCTTTCAGATCTCACGAAGTCTCGTACAAGTGATCTTTGGACAAAGAGAAAAAAAAAAGGAGTTAAGAAAGGTAGCTATGAAATCTTAATTTTTAAAACTTAACGAGTTTTACAATAAAATCACGATGATAGGATCTCATACTATGATACTATCCATGCTTCAAGAAGGCGCTAGGCATAAGGCGGACGTTGTAGTCTTGTCTAGCGCCTAGGTCGCCTAAGCGTGCATAGGGGGTTTGGAAGCAAAATTAGCCATTTTCGTTACACAATGAATGAAATAACAATTTAAAAACACTCCCCTACTTCAGTTCAAATGGTAAATAACGTACTTAAAACATTTAACCATAACAAAAACAGCTCACAAGTTTGTACGATCCGAGCTCAATAGCTCATAAAGTTCTCGAGTTATTGATATATAAATGATTGATTTCGTAGATGATGTAGATTTTCCCCCTTTGATATCGATTATCTAGCTCCTCTCTAATGATGCATATGCAACATATAGTTGTGTCCTTACTCCATCGATATTTTCTTGATTCTTAACTCCGCAAAAACCCTCAGACGATACGTTTTGATGTTGTCCAGCGCCTAGAAGGCTATAACCAAACCACACCTGATAAAGATTCCATGGGGATGGTTGTATTAAGAAAGTTAGGTTAGTTGTTTGTCCATGCCACTGAACTATCATGCCCCTGAACTAGAAAATGTATCTACTTACCTACCTATCCTACCCACCTAATGAATGTAACGCATTACCTAGATGAACGCTACTACTATAATACAATCGGGTATTTTACTTCTTCCTATATTTGACATGGACTAATACTTACTCCTTGGCCATACTGCAAATCATACTTCAGCAAACTTACCTCACATTCTGCGAATAAGTTTCTGGGTATTCCGGTTATGTTCCTGACGTTTACTACAGTAAGTACATTCTAGTGCAAATTCAACGATTTTGAGTTGCGCGAGTTGCAATCTACGGACGCGATCAGTACTTTGATACCGCGCGGTGTGCATTATGGCACCTCAAAATCCAACGATTTTGAGGTGCCATAATGAGTCTCAGTATTCATATCTGCAGAACTGCAGAAGGAGGCTGGCATCGAGAGTCAAGTCGCTCACAATTGCCACAAACGTCACCCTCAGCTGATGCTGGTCAGTGGTCAGCTCTCTAGAGAGATAAGAGTTGGAAGAGAAAAAAGGCACAGGCAGGAATTGTCCATTCTATTTATTTCACTTCCACCAACCTTGTATTTGAGGCTTCAATTCAGAACTCACCCCACTATCCAAAACCAGCAGCTGCAGTTCATTCGATTTTCCACCCGTGTGTTCGAAATTCTTCATTCCAAAGAAGTTAAGTTTTTTTAGTATCCTGTTGAATGAGTAGAGCATCCATAAGCAACATCTCTACACCTCTGATTGTTCAGTGTGTTAATGAACCGGTTTTGCAGCATGCGCAGTGGGAAGTAAACACATCATGATCATTCGTTTTCCTCACTTCCCAACTGCGCGAAATCATAGTAGTCATAATATGCGAGCTTATGCATATTTCATTCACCAACCAGACGGAATTGGGGAAGTGCAAGGTGAAAGTAGTAGAAGGAAACTATTACAACATATATAATACACAAATACAGCAGGGTATACAAAAGGAACCTCCCTCCTCAAGTTCTACATAGACAAAGTAACAACTGATAAGTAACACTGCAGTGGTTTGAGAGAATGAACAATTCCCTCACACTGGTATTTCCCAGTCACATACACCTAAAGCCATTTTTTGCTCTCCTCTCACCTTTGTAAGGAGGCTACAAAACCACACATAAACCACAAGGACGAAGAAGAATACAACATGAACATTGTGCGCTGCTGGCCTCCGAGACTTCAACATTAGCTCTAAGGCTTGGCCATATGCAATTTCTGGTTGCGTCCCTATGCCACACAACCTCCACACATTATGCTTCTGCAAGTTCACGAAACCGAAACTCAGGTTAGTTAAGAATGATTTCACTTATCCTTTAAGGTTCAGAACGATAAAAAAGTGATATATTGTGGTAAACAAGTTGGCCTATTAGCTCAGCTGGTTAGAGCGTCGTGCTAATAACGCAAAGGTCGCAGGTTAGAGACCTGCATGGGCCAATACAATATTCTTTTTTGCAACACTCAATAGTCAATACTAACCAACCAACAGATCAAAGAGGACAGGAATCATTGGGTTTTATTTCTCAATCAATCTTTTGACTCCCTATATCACTAACCAACAAAGCAATGGATGACCAAGGATGAGATCATTCCATGTCCAACAAACCTTTTCTCCACTACACTAACCAACAAAAGCAAATGAATCGAAATTGTGAGCAAAGGAATCTGAACAGATAACACCAAAAAGAAGAAGCTCTACTCACGCAATTGCACGGCCAGAGCTTCTATGCCTTCTCTTCCTTGCCATCTCTTTCCTCCTTGGTGGTTGAAGAACAACCTTGATTGCAGTATCAAATACAGCTTTCACATTCTGAACATATCCAGTCAAACATCATTAGAAAAAAGGACGATATCACCAAAATGCAGAACAGAAAACAAAGTCAGAAAGATCCCTAAACCTGCTGTGTCTTGGAGCTACATTCAATGTAAGCAGATGCTCCAATCTGTTTCCTCAGGTCCTCACCCTATTCATCAAAAATGACACCCAAGTCACAACAACTTTCTATTCATTCATTCAACCGAATGTTTTTGCCATGAAATTTACAACTGGTTCAGGAACAAAAGGGTGCATCATTACCTGAGCAGTTGTTATGATATTCGAATTCATTGGATCGCCATGATAGCCTCTTTCTTCACGAAGATCTGTCATCAACAAACACAAAAGGTCACAACTTTGGACAATCACAAATCTTCCTGTAAGAACAAATTTCAGATTGGCAAAAAGAGGTTTACCTAGTTTTGTCCCAACAAGAACAATCGGGACGTTTGGTGCGAACCTGCGAAGTTCAGGCATCCACTGAAAGAAAAATTGCCAAACTTTCTATCAAGCTTTTGCATGCATTGAATTAGTCTCAGTCTCAGCTTCAACAAAGGGAGTGAAATGAAGACAAGCCAAACAAGGCCTCAGATCGAAATGAATGCAAAAAGGTGAGCTTTAATTAAAAGTTTCTGGAAATGGGGCCTAACAAGAAGAAAAGAAAGCACAGGGAAGAAGAAGAAAGGACATAGAGAGGGCATTAAAATCTTTTACCTTCTTGAGTACATTTTCATAACTTGCCCTACTAATTAATGAGAAGGCCAGCACAAAAATGTCAGCACCTCTGTAACTCAGTGGCCTCAGCCTGCTGTAGTCCTCTTGACCTGCAATTTGGGGCAAAAGTTTCAAAAAGTTGGAGGTCACAATAATTATTAAGGCGCTTATATCCAGAAACCAAACTCTCATCTAGAACTTTTCACAAACAGATGGTCTGCAGTAAGAAATGTAACCCCCCAAAAAGAAGAATTACTACCTGCAGTGTCCCAAAGACCCAGATTGACAATACTTCCATCCACCGCCACATTGGCACTGAAGTTGTCGAAAACAGTAGGTACATAATCCTGCAATGCAAACATTTAAATCATACCCAATTCATATGCCTGCAGAATCTGACTCCATAAAAGCCGAGAAAGATGGCAGCTTTCAAGAAAACCAAAAAAAAAAAAAAAAAAAGGAAAAAGCAAATGTCTTCAGGATCCATCTTGAGATGGGTGGTGAAACAGACAACCCAAATGGAGAAATGCATCAAAGTTTCGATCTTTGGAAACGAGGATAGGTTATTTCCATAGAGAGAAAGAGAGAGACAGGGACTTACAGTTGGGAACTTGTTGCTGGTATAGCAAATGAGCATACAGGTTTTGCCTACAGCTCCATCTCCAACTGTAACACATTTAATGAACTTGGAAGCACTCATCTTTCTCCCCTTAAACCTCTGTTTTTAACTCTTCTTGCCTAAAAAAAAAAAACAGTAATGCTTTCTTTTCCCCTCTTTCCTTCTCTCCTTCCTTTCGGAAACAGAAACTCAAAAAAAACCCTTGAACTACTACTACAGAGCTTCTCCCAGAAGCTAGAGAACAAAGAAAAAGGGTTTGGGCCTGAAAGAGAGAGAAAGGAGAATGGAAAAAAGGGTACAGTAGATGCTCAGAAGGAAAAGTGGTGAGCAGAAAGAGTTAAAAGAAGAGTACAAGCAGGGAGAAGAGGTAGTGAACAGAGGGGGGAATACTGGATATCAAGGGTGGTAGTGAGTGAATGTGTTAGCTAGAATACAGACAAGAAGAGGAAAGAAAGAACTCTCTTGTTGGTGAAGCTAGGGCCTAGGCTAAGCTGGTTTTTGTAGTTTCTAGGAGGAAAACATACAAACCAAACCAAGACAAGAGGCAATATCAAATGTCTATATTTTAAGCCATTGAGAATTGGATGGAGAGCAAGAAGAGAGGTTGAAGAACAAATTATATAAAGGGAAATGCAAAAAAAGGGAGAAATTTTTGGGGGTGTTGTAGCCGAGGAAGGAAAGGAAGGACTGTGGAGTTTATGGACTCTATGGAGTGGAGTCAACAAAATCAAAATGGTGGGAGGATGGTTTGGTTACTTTATCACATATCAAATTTCAAAATCCAACAGAAAGATTTTTTGAAATGCAGAAAGAAAAAAGAATGGGTTTACCATATGGGCCCTCCTCTCTCTCTCTCTCTCTCTCTCTCTCTCTCTCTCAAACGGCACATAGATGGATTGGCCCCTTGCTTGGTTTCCATTTCCAATTTTGCAACCTCTCCACTATTCCTTTTTGTTTCGTCAAATCAAATGAACTATAGGGTATAGGGGTTGTTTGAAAGTTGCGATTGTTAAATGGATCTATTGTTGTGAATACATGTATAATATTATTCATGTATTGTCGAATTTGATGCATTGTAGAATACAGCGTTTGGTATGTCTGATTGTTTATATCGCATCAGCTAAAAGTTGAGACAAAACAATCTCAACTCAACTATCTCAACAATCACAACGAAAAGTTGAGATATAACAATCACTCATTTTGAGTGATAGTTTCTGTCACATCACAGAAACAATCCATGCATTGTTTCTGATAAAAAAACAAAAAAACCGATGCATTCTAAACAATACATGTATAGTAACAATCTCAACAAAACAATCGCAACTACCAAACGACCCCTAAATGGCATGGTTCGATCGGGTACAATCGACATATGTTGGTTTGTGTCGATTTTAATATATAAATTATCTCAATACATTTGCCTCCATTAATTTCAATAAAATACAACATTACAAATAGGGCTGCAAATGAGCCGAGTCGAGTCGAGTTTTACCCCAACTTAAGCTCGGCTCGTTAATAAACGAGTCGAGTCGAGCTCGAGCTAGCTTGTTTATTAAAATCTTAACTTTTATTTGATACTTCATTTTGAATATCATGATACATATGATTTATTTTGTTAGCTAATCTCATATTATACTTTGTTGGTATAATATATCATTTAGTTAATAAATTTTAACTACTCCAAATCATGTTATTTCATAGTATCGAAGCAATCTATGATGCATAATTTCTTTTTAAAATAGAAAATAAGATATATTTGTTCACAAACTCAACGTGTTAAACTTTATATATGGTAAAATATATAATTTAACAACCATATGAATTAAAATCATAAGATATAGATTGATTCGTCCATAAGTTGGTAATCGAGTTGGCTCTCTAACCACATGTCAAGACATATCATGAGCTCTAAACGAGCCAGCTCACGAGTTTAGCTCAACAAGCCACCGAGTCGAGCTAGCTCGCGAGCTTCACGAGCTGAACAAATGTGAGCTTGTGTTCGGCTCGTTTATTAACGAGTCGAGTTTCGAACGAGCTTTTCTCGAGTCGAGCGCCGAGCCGCTCGGCTCATTTGCAGCCCTAATTACAAATAATCATATTTAAATATAATATTAATTAATATTTAAAAATTTATATTTGAATCCAAAAAATAGCATTATACATATTTAAATAAAATACAATATTACAAATAAAATGAAAAATTCTCATATTTAAATATACAGAATTTTGTTGTTTCAATTCACAAAAAATGGCATTTTGTTTATGAATCTCATACCAATTGGACCACTGATTTACCCAGTATTGACTAGTTTTCAATGAGTGTTGACTACCACGGTACCACCTCATATAGCGTGTATAATAACATCACTTTGTGTCCAGCAGTTGAACCCGAGTGTACCGGCCGATATACCAATTATTTAACAACTATGAAGTGTAGTTTATGTTGGTTAACCTATCCTATATTATTTTCATTCGAATTTATATGAGCACAAAGTTCGAATATTGGATTGAAACCATATTCATACTCAGTTTGAGTTTAGGGGTCGTTTGGATTGAGTATTTGATAAACTTATTGTTTGGGGCCAATTACCACACAAATACCATATAATATAAAACTTGTTATTTGGTATGTGATTTTTGGTCTCAAACTTGTTATTTGGGAAATACCTGCCCCCTCCCAAGTATTTGGCAAACAACACTTTTTGTGTTATTTGGTCTCAAACCTGTTATTTGGTAAAACACTACATCCAAATCACATCCCACTTTTTGTCAGCCAAACATGTTATTTGGGGTTAAATAACAGATTTTGTGTTATTTGACCTCAAATAACACCCCCAAATACTCAATCCAAACGACCCTAAAAGTTTCTACCTGGACACACAAATAAAGATATGTTATTATCATTTTATATGATATTATTAGCCAATTATATTGAAAATACCAATGTGTTCATAACCGAATCAGAACATAAGCTAGTATAGTAAGCGGTTCACATTTTAGTGGTTTAACCGTTAAAAATCGTTAATGAATCGATATATTATAAAAATAATATTATAAGTACTACACACATAATAATACACTAAATCATGAATATATGATTTATTAGTGTATTATTAATTATGTGCGAAGCAAATGAACATACGTCCTAATATAATTATTAATGCAAATTTTCTTACAACAAAAAATTCATACAAATAGTATCTTTTTTTTTTTTCAACATGGAAATCTCTCGACTCCAATTGCATGCCTGTCTTCCTGCCCGGTTTCGCCGTCTTTTCTCCCTTCTTCTTCTTCTTCTTCTTTTCCTCCTTCTGCTTCTTCTTTTCCTTCTCCTCCTTCTCCTCCCCGGCGGCCGGCGTCTTCTTGTAATCAGACGGGTCGCCGTACGGGTTCCCGAACAGCTCGTGGGGGCCCATGGGCTTTTCCTGGTCCAGCTGCTGGTAGTTGGCCGGGAAGAATTTCTTGGTCTGTTGGATCTCTTCCTGCGTCTCGCCTCCCGCCGTGATCGTCAACAGGAGAAGAAAGATGCAGCATAGCTCTAACATCATCACCAGCTTCCTCATCATCTCGATCTTTTTTGCTCTTGTTCTGTTTTGATTTCCTCTTTTCTGTTCTTGGTGAGTGATTTTTAGTTTTTTTTCTCTTTTCTTTCTTGTTTTGAAAACTATGAGAAGATAAACGCCTGATCCTGAGTCCTGAGCCACACTATTATTTATAAGGCATTGTATTATTTTTCAGCGATTAATAAACCCAGGAAATAGATAGTGAAATATCAAATACTTTATTAAAACAGAATTTTCAAAATAAATATGATGACACAATGTGTAACATCCCGATCCCGATTTATCTTTTTCGATTGAGATATTGTATGCTTTGAGTCTACACCATGGTTGTCATGTCGGCTGGCGTGTCACTGGTTGTACCAGGTTCAACCGATACCGGTCATAAAACCGGCGTGACATCACCGGTATGACCGGCATGATCGATATACGAATATCTAAAAACAATGACCTTATTTTAGCGAATTTAATTGATAAAAATTATTTTATTATTTATTTTATGAGTATAAAAGTTAAATATTGATGTTATTTGTTGGATTCAAATATAAATGTTAAGGTATTGGCGTTAAATGTCATGTTTAAATATGAGTATTTATAATTTTATTTGTAATATTGACCGCATGAACCGGCACAAACCGGTATGTGCCACCGGTCGAACCATTCCACTTGCTAAACCGGCACACTGGCATAAACCGGTTTGACAAGTAGACTCTACACCTACATGGTTTTTTTTATTTGGGTTGCATATCAAAATGACTTTCCAAGAGGTCACTTATTGTTACGGTACTCAACGGTGAACACGTTTAATTAATTTCAGAGTTCTCATATGTATTCTTTCTATGTCATCCCAGAACGCGTCTCGCTGGTAAATATCGATTTCGTCTTATAAATCTTGAATCTCTTTTAATATCTGTCGATATGAGATTTGGCTAACGCATCACATTACAATAATAATAAAAAATTCACCTTTCTGGCAACAAAGAAAAATAAAGTCAACTTAAGAAAGAATAAAGATGACAAGTGATCAAGTAAGAATCCAAATCATATTCAATCTATTAATTCAAATTTATCTTTGGATCCCCTTTTTGAAATGGTTATTTGGATCCTTCAATTGTTGAAGTAAACACCAGTTTCATTTTAAGTTTTTGTTGCTACAAGTGCTACATCGAGACCATCTGTAAGAGATAGAAAAATCCAATCATGAAGCTAGTACTCAACTAGTGGCGCCTCGTAAATCCATCTATGTACAAATACAACCTGGTATACAAACATTGAACAATTTGGAAGGAGCAAATACACTGCTACAGTCTCTGTCCCTGACAAAACTATCTTCTATAGGGGGTGCAGGCTTTCAGTGAAGCTGTTTGGTCCAGTCGAAAGGTTCCCAATCCCGCACAAACTCAGCAACCGCGAGCTTCTGCCCTTCGACTGTTCCGTGTCTCCTCCTGCGGCTGTACATATCTTCATCAGGCAGCTCCATCATGCCTCTGATAACATTCAGGCCAAGGCTGCTGTTGAACTGAGACTCGTCATCGATCACGTGGACGAACCCTTTGTCCAGTCCGAATTCAACATGGAAGTAAGGGAAGTCCTTGGGGATGGAACCTCGAAGCCCCTTCACGCTCGTGTCGATCAGCTTCTTTGCATTGTGCTGGCTCCACTCGTCCTCAGCCTCGTCAATTGCCTGTGTAAGAATAGTGAAAAAAGAGTAAATTGTTTAGCCGCATAAGCAAAGAGAGGGGCAGCTGATTGAGAATACAGATGGTTCATGGAGAAAACGATATATGATGCTGACCTTTTTGAAATAAAGAGGGGCCTCTTTTGCAATATCTTGAGGCAGAGGGATGCACTCAAGCAAGCAATGCCGGCGTTGTTGCGCCAAGCCTATCACCGTTTCAAGAAAAACCACCTCCTTATCCTGTTTTGCGAACATCCGTATCAGGCATTTCTTGAAGTTACGGATCTCCTCCCACACGCTATCTTCCACGTTCCGTGTAGCTGCCTCGTGCTGCAACAGAGAAGACATTCGATTTTCCAATTAGAACAAGCACAAGGGCCATGACAATAACATGCCGACACATTTGAAGGAAGAATGGACGAGCAATTATCTTTTACCTGCAACGGTAGGATGCAACAATGGCCAGGAACAAGTGGTTTCTGCTGAGGCAACGTCAAATAAGTGAAGTTTGCAATTGACACGACTAGATGTTTTGGTCTATTAGGATTCTCAAAGCAAAAGAGGCATCGTTCTTGTTGTGTCAGGATGCGCCTAGAAGCAAAATTGTTGTTCTCCGAGGACTTCAAACGATCGTTTTTGTCCATCTCCTTCTTTCGGAGTTTCTTACTTGGACCATCTCCAGGATAATCATACTCGTCATCTGCGCGACCTGATAAACTATATTGTTTGTTCTGCATTATTGTTCGAGCTAGATTCCTATCAGCATTGTCATCGTCCTTCTTTCGAGTGTGTTGTCCAGCATATCTAGACAAAGGACAAAATAAAAACGTCAATGGTATACAAAGAAGGAACCAAATCCAGTGGAGAGTTCAGAGCAACTAATAAAACTTGATGAAGTATGGGAGGTGAAAAAGAGAGTCAGCATTTGGTCTCCCACCATTCCAAAAAATTATGAGGCAAAATATCTCCGTAAAGCAAGTAGTGCCAATGGCTCCAAAACATTAAGAACTTACAATTTAAAAACAAAATTGAGATGCTAGCTAGCATTACCTGACAGTGCTTGCTGCGATTCGAGGCTGTTGAATTATATGTCCTCCACCGCTCTGCTTCTCCTTCAACTTCTCCGACTCTTTCTGGTGGAGACACAAAAAAATTGCATAAAGAAAAACAAAATGCCATCAGTGACCACAATATGAAACTACTAAATCGTGTGTTGACATCACCAGAGAAAAAGTGCATTCTTACCATTAGCTTATCAGCTTCTTCATGCTTGCCCTTCAGACGAAACTGCAGAGCCTTAGCTGCCAACTGATTTGCAGTCATTCCTTCCTTAATCACTAGACTACCTTCAGATGGTTGACTACTGTCAGATGAATCTACTTTAAACTCAGCCTCTTGTTTTGGTTTTGAACCATCCAAATCATCATTTGGACCAAGTAGTTGGTTCATAAAGCTTCCATCATTAGAGAACTTGTTCAAGCAAGATGCTGCACTGGATATAAGGTTTGCATCATTAGTAGACAACTTCTTTTTCTGCTTTCCCCAGGATAAGCTCTCATGCACCTTAGGGGCTCTCATTTCACTCCGGAAAGAAACATCCTTCAAGTAGCTTCTATCATTACTCTGGTGAACAGAAATCAAATTTGATTTTAAGCAAAATTATAACAATTATCTTTTTCACAACAATGCTTTTCAACTTGCATAATAAGAAGTTTATTTCGAAACTTTTAATATACCTTGTTAATATCTCTCTTACTTTTACCATCCGAGGCAGGTTGTTGATCCTCTGTCTGCCTTGCCTGTCTACTTTTAATGGCATGTAAATGAGCCCGAGATGGGGCTGCCCTGTGAGATGCAGCAGATACGGCTAATTGACCAAGAGAGTCCCACCTTTCTTTCACAACCTATACATAATACAACCACATCAATGCCTGGTGAATCAAGAAATCAGTCCACATGAACAAATAAGTCGAAGCGTACCTCATCAAGCTTTCGCCCTTCTCTAGCTGCTTGCTCCTGTGCACGCTTTAAGGCTTTGAGCCTCCAACTTGCGCCTCCATCTCCAACAACTGCAGATGACGGGAGCCGATCTACACTACGTTTTTCCTCTGCCTCATCAGGATAACCACTTCCGTCATCCTTCAGATAGGGATTTAGTTCTCTGGGATTCGCCCTTTTCACCTGTTAAGAAATCCATTAGTTAAAAACAGACCTCAACAATGGACAACAGTCGAATCATCATTGATATGAGCGATACAACAATAGATGGTAACAACGTGACACATTGAATAACCCAGAGGACGAATTCAATAGCTAGATAGAAGCTGACCTCCTCAGCAGGCTCCTCTGGCTGCTCATCGACCATGGCAGCAGACCTTTTGTCCGCACTCTCTGCAGGTTTAAGCATCCAATCCAATCCCATTTCCTTCCTAGTAATCTCCATATCATTCATGGAGTCAGATTCTCTACCACCTTCTACAAAACACCATCCATTAAAACTAAATCAACACTTCCTAGTGCATACATACAAAAACAGAGCTAACAGAACCAGCTTCGTAACAATACATACCAGGTGAAGAATCCTCTTTTCTGGATCCTTTATCCCGCTTTTTACTCCTGGCTCTTCGTTTCCGATCCTCGTCATCTTCAGACGCCGACGAGGACGAATACTCGTCGGAGGAATACCACTTCTTTTTCCTCCTCGACCCTTCTTTAATTCTCTCCAAATCATCATCGTCGGAACTGTTCTTCGACCGCGAGCTCCTCTTCCCCTTCTTCTCCCTTTTGCCGTCCTTCTTTCTCCTCTTCGAGGATTTGCTTACATCTTCATCTCGGGCCTGCATCAAACGACTCCATTGAATGAACCCACATACCGAAAACACTTGAGCATCCATAGAGGATGGCTGCAGAATGCGCCGCGTCTCAGACGAATTGGCGGTAGTCAGAAATCAATAAATCGGCAAAAATGCGATGAATGAAATTGTGGATTTGCAGAAAGCAAACTTTACTTCGTCAATTTTGTCCCTGGGTATGAATTTCAGACCGGAAAACATCTCTCTCCGATTGCAATTAACCCTTCAATGCTTCAGTGAGCTGAAACTCCGATCAGCGACGCAAAAACTCCCTCTTTTTGCTTCTGAGCAGCGACGGAAGACGAACGCAGCGGGAGGCGGCAAGCAGAAACCGTAGGACCCCGCCAGCTACTCTTCTTAATCGGAGAATTCTTCCTCACGAGTGATGAATGTTAAGTTGTTAACGCGAGAATGAAGAGAGAATAGATGTTTTAGGGTTTCAAGGCCAGAAAAGGGAAAATCGGAAAAGATGATGGTTTAATCCTTGGAGCTTGCGGAAAGGAAGTCAATAGATGAAGTTAAAACGCGATTTGATCTGTCGCTTTAGTTGGGCTTAAGAGAGAACTTATAAAACTCGGCCCAAACCTTGCCATACCAACGACCCAATACATCGATCTAAAACCGTAAAAAGTGCAATTTTGACTGCATTAGATGTAACAATACGCAACGAAAAACTCCAAATCTCAAACTGTATTACCCTTATACAACACAAAAAGTAAACTATAATAGATCAACAACACTATTACTCAATAGAAATCCTACCGTACCAGTCGGTTCGACCGAAAATACCGAACTCTAAACATTAAACGTTTTTAACGATACAAAACGGTTCAAACACGATTTTAATACAAAATATCCTACTACTAACTTTTCGGTATAACTTCGATAGAGTTTCACAACTATTCCTCTTAGCATATCGATAAACTTCAAATCTTAAACCGCGCGAAAAGAATCTAGATGAATGATACAGACAATATACTACTGGAGCCAGCCAACAAAATATATAACGGAACAATTAAACAAGACACTGCAATAACACCGCTGAAACTTCGAAATCCTTTTATTCTTCTCAATCCCTAAACAGAAACTGGGGACTGAGAATAACATAAGGATCATCATCATAGCACACCACCATGGCAAGAGTATCTCCATCACTAACACTAAACAGGCTATCAATCAAGAGTCCGATGCACTAAGCTCTCAAGCTATCAATCAAGGGCCTTGATGATCTCATCAACACTGGAAACAGTGAATTCACCACCTTCTTCAATGTTGGCAGCCTTCACCTTGAGGTCGTCCACCAACAGAGCGAACCTCCTCGACCTGATTCCGAGACCCTTCTCCTTGAGATCGAGCTCGAGGCCCAGCGCGTGGGTGTAAGTTGCTGACCCATCGGCCAAGAACTTCACGTGCTTGTTCTCCGGGTAGGTTTTGGCCCAAGCTTTCATCACAAATGGGTCATTCACTGCACAACCAAAGATGCCCCCCAGAATAACCCATATCAGAACACATCGATACCCATCCCGTAAGATGAAGAAATTTCACAGCCTTCAAAACTCAATTCACCATTTCAGTTATACACTGAATCGTGCGTCGGGGATCATTAAGGGTACTAGTACAAGATTAGTTTTGAATTGAATCAAGCATCATCATTTCCAGCCAATTCTAAAAGTTGCTATCTTAGGGCTTCTCATCTAGTTTTTCAAACAAATTTGGGCGAAAATCGGGATCTCCCAAATTAGAAAGAAGATTATCCAGTGAGGAAAAAAAAAATCGATAGCAGACTTTCAAAATCGATCAGCAAACCACTAATTTGGCCCAAGCTTTCATCACAAATGGGTCATTCACCGCACAACCAAAGACTCCCCCAGAAGAACCCATATTAGAACACATATACACAATTCGCCATGTCAGTCAAACTGGACGGGATAATTGGGGGGTACTAGTACATTGATTTTGAGTTGAATCTAGCATCATATGATCCAGTCAATGCTAAAAGAGTTGCTATCTTAGGGTTTCCCATCTAGTTTCTCAAACAAATTTAGGCGAAAATCAGGAACTCGGAAAGTGTCAAATGAAAAGGGAAACTGCTAACTGAACAGGACAGCAGAATTTCCCTTAATTAGCAGGAAGATTATCCAGAGAGCTGAAAATTCGACAGCCGACTTTCACAATCTATCAATAGCAAAGGAGAGGGAAATGGAATGGAATATTACCGCTAATAGTGATGATCTCAGCGACGCCTTTGGCTCTGAGATCCTCTGCTCTCTCGATGAACCCAGGAACATGCTTCAAGCTGCAGCAGCATCAACAGACCACAAAATACATACAATTTCAGAACTCACAATCGCCGATCCGATTACACACTCCAAAATATCAAAAGGCGGAGTAATTGACGACGAGACGCCAAAATCTAGGCGTAAGGTTACAGATCTGAAGGGGAATTGAAACGAAGGGGAGTGAAATAGCAGAGAGAATAATGATCGGACCTGCAAGTGGGGGTGAAAGCACCGGGAACGCCGACGATGACGACCTTCTTGCCTTTGGCGAGGGAGTGGATGGAGACCTGCTGGAGCTGATCGTTCTCGTCGAAGTGAGCGAGGGTTCCGTCAGGCAAGGAGTCACCGGCGGCGATGGGTGCCATAGGGATTAGGGCGGCGAACTGATTTTCACTAAGAACTCGGGGGTCGCGGGAAGGCTGGTGGAAGTTGAGAAAGTGGGAAGTTTCGTGGTGAAGATGGAAGGAGTCTAACAGTGACTTGTATTTATAGCGATGAGAAATCATTGGATATTCATATTCCCGTCTATAATATATTCCTGTTATATTAAAATATATTTTTTCTTCTGAGTAGTATGTAATAAATATCCAATTATGAATATCCGTCCGAATTAGATCTAATCAGGAAGGGGAGGGGTTACGGTGCTAATTGTACAATAGTTAGCACCGTCCTAATTAGGGAAAAAACTACTACTAGTTTGAATTAGTAGTGATTTAGCTTAGATGTTGTATTGATTTTATAATAATCCGTAGTGATTTTTGCTAGTTATCATGGTGCTAACCCCTATAAGGGTTAGCACCTAATCCCATCCCATCAGGAAGGGTTAAAGTTGAGCTCGAATGATTTTTAATGGATAAAACTCGAATTCAAAGATTGGGGGCAATGAGTGGACATGATTTTCTCATTATCCAATCCGAACTCCCCCGATTGTACACGTACATATGTATTCTGTCAAGAAATTACCCTTATTTTTCTAAACATAGTTTATATTTAGCATGCAAATAATATATTTTTAAAAAAATTTTGTTGTATGAAATTAATTTTCTTCATTCCAGTGAATCATTGGCATACTTGTCCACTCATGTAATATGAGTATACGTGTAAATGTGAACATTTTGGTTAGAGTTATAAAGATAAATTATTATTCATAAATAACCGTGTATACCTGAAATCCGAACGAATATGAACATGATTTTGAATTTTTATGTGTGTATGAGTAATAAAAACCAAATTACTAAGTAGGATAACAAATATGCACTATCCGCCTCGACCCCACTGACCCTTTGCCATCTCTAGTCAATCTCTTATTCCCGGATGCGGTGCGGGCTATTCTAGAGATCCCTTTGCCGAAGGTAGCGGTAGCATATAGGCTTGTGTGGAGTGAGGATCCTTCAGGGATGTATATGGTAAAATCAGGGTATAAGCTGGCTGAGAGGTTTCTCGCCATTGTGGGCGGTGGAAACAGGAATGTAGTACAATGGATCGTAGTCTTTGGATCAAGGTCTGGGATTTCCCCATCCAGCCAAAGCTGAAGTTCTTTGCGTGGGAAATCTTGCAGAGGCTTCTGCCGACAATGGAAAGGCTATGGGAGAATAAGGTTCAGGTTTTGCTTCGTTGTTCGGTGTGTTGGGCAGAGGAAGAGAGTACGGAGCATTTGTTTTTTCACTGCCTGGTGGCGAAAATGCTGTGGGAAGAGGCTGGGATGGGGGAGGAACTGCAGACATTGCCGACAGGAAGGTTCAATATGTTATTCAGAGTTTTTCTCATAAGAGACTGTCGCCTCCGCGGGTGGTCAGGTTCTTTTGTCTGCTTTGGAGGATTTGGAAGGCGAGCAATGAGGTGGTCTTTGAGGACAAGCAGACTCTACCGTGCCTTCTAAAACTCCAGTTTCAGGTTCAGGTTCAGGAATGGCTTAGTAGCTTGGAGGGTGGGGATGGTGTTGCGCCCGCTGTTGCTCAAGTACCGCCGATATCAAGTGTTGGACCAGATGCGATGAGTTTCATGTGCTCCTTTGATGGAGCTGTCTTCGCTGGTTCGCATGCGGCGGTGGGTTGGGTATTGCGGGATGCGAGTGATGTTGTTTTGGATGCAAGGGGAGGATGGTACCATGGATTGCAAAACCCGATGTTGGTGGAAGCATTGGCCTTGCGAGATGCTCTCCGTTGGTGTCAAGAGAAGGGGTTGGGGACGATACGTTTCGATGGTGATGCGAAGGCAATCATTGATAAGGTGAATGTCGGTGTTATACAGGATGCGGTGGGTGGTGCTTTGTTAGAGGAAGTTCATCGGCTCCTGCTACTTGCCCCCGGTACCATGATCCGGTTTGTTGATAGGCAGAATAACATGGTAGCCCATAGGGTGGCTAAGAAGACCCTGTCTTTGGTTCCTACGAGTTGTAATAGCTTTGATTTTCGTTCTTAGCTCCGTTCGGAGTTTGGATATTTGTAACTTGATGTTCTTGTTAATGCAAGTAATTTTTTCGTAAAATAAAAATAAAAATATTGTTTTAATAAGACGGCGTATAATATACACCGTACCTGATAATCCCTCTTATGGTGGGAATGCATTTTGCTGCAAAGCAAAATTAATTTAATTGCATCTTCAAATCCGGTGTGAATTCCGATCGCCGGTAATAATTTTTGAATGGAGTGGTTGCGGATTTTACTGTGAAATCCGGGGATGGGATTAGGTGCTAACCCTTTATAAGGTTAGCACCGTGATAACTAGCAAAAAACGCTATTAAAAATAACGAAATCACTACGGATTATTATAAAATCAATACAATATCTAAGCTAAATCACTACTAATTTAAACTATTTAAACTAGTAGTAGTTTTTCCCTTGGTTAGGACGATGCTAACTATTTTACAATTAGCACCGTAGCCGTTCCCAAATCCGCTAGCGACGGCCGCTAATTGGGAGGTCCGGCCATCAACACAAAATGAGAATTGCAAAATCACTCGCAAATTTACTTGATTGCCCTTGGAAGAGTTGACGTGATCAATACCAATGGGAATGGAGCCCGTGACATTTTTATCAAGAAATAGATTCGCAATTTTCCAATAATATTTTACTTTAACAAATTAAAATTTAGATAGTAAAATGTAAAATATAAAAATATAAGTAACAAACTGTAATTTTTCATATATCCATGTATCTAATCTCGAATCCACAATCCAATGGAATGTTAATTAATTGAATATTTAATTGGATATAAAATTCTTATCTCTAAGTATAACGCGATCAAATTGTATGTATCCAATACATCAGTCGGTTTTAATTATGAACTCAATACTGGTATATTAACGATCGAATATATTACCTTTCTTTACTTGCTCTTTAATGAGATATATATATTTATCTTATAAACATGTTACTGGCTAAATCGTAATCCCTCTCGTGTTAAATCCATTATACTAACTTGTTCGGTACAATCTCTCGTACAAGTATTTATAATACAACGGTCCACAATCCACATTATCAATCTGTGCAGAGTCATTTTATACAACCGCCTCCATCTCCCTTCCTTCCCCACCACCACCGCCGTCGCCGCCGGCAAGCTCCGCCTCATCCCAAAGCTTCCGATCATCACTCCCATACGCCCAACTACAGAGCAAGTAGTAGAAAAAATTCCCCACGCTCAACACACTCAGCAACCAGTAGTAATAATCATAATGCCCGCGATTCAAGTTATTCCCAACCCAACTCACCCTCCCTCGGCCGCCCTCCTTCGTCGCATCATTCACCACCGACACAATCAAACTCCCGACCAAATTCCCGACGCCGAGCCCCAGCGACACCAGCGCCATCGCGATGCTCCTCATGTTCTCGGGGAACTGCGAGTAGTAGAACTCGATCTGCCCGATGATGTTGAACGCCTCGCCGAGCCCCGTCAGGCAGTACTGCAGGATCAGCCAGTTCGCCGACATTCCGACGATGGCGGCGGGGTCGTCGGCGATGCCTTGCCGGAATGCCAAATTCCGGCGGCGGTGCTCGACGGCGCCAGCGACGGCGGTGGCCAGGCAGGAGATGAGGAGGCCGATCCCCATCCGGTACTTGTTGGAGATCCCCGTCGGCCGGTTGAAGATCCGGCCGGCGAGGATGGGGACGACGACGCGGTCGTAGAGGGCGACCCAGAGGGTGAGTGTGAGGATGCCGAATACGCCGTAGGAGGCGGGGGGAAGCTTGAATTCGCCGATGAATCGGCGGTCCATGGAGTTGGCCTGGAGGGCCGGGAAGGAGTGCTGGCTGACGGTGACGGCGATGATGACGGTGGTCGACCAGATTGGGAGGACCTTGATTAGGGATTTCAGCTCTTCTACTTGTTGGACGGTGCAGAGGGTGTTGTCGTCGTCGTCTTTTGATTGGGAGTCCGATGGGCCTGGGATCATGCAGGCCTTGTTAAGAAACCTGTTAAAAGCCCAAACCAGAAAAAAATGTTAGCTTCGGCCCATAAAATAAGTAAGCTTGTAAATGAAGAGTAACCGAGTTGTGATCTAGTTCGGGTTTAGCTAATTAATAAATAAGTCGAGCTCAGTTACTTAGTTAAAATCTTGAAATTCGCATTTGACTGGCGATCTTGATTTAACAGTAAGTTCAAGAGCTCAATTCGAACTCGACTCATTAATAAGCTCGTGAGCTCAATTCATATATCATGTTATTTAGTTCATAAGTCTTAAAAGTTCGTATCATGTTATATAGCAATAATTAATACCATGTTATTAAACAATAATTAGTATCTAAACAATCTATGACACGCAAATGTAGGGTTTTCTTTATCGTAATTGAGACATATTTGCTCACATACTCACATCGTAAAACATCATCTGTAGTGAAATATATAATTTAACAAACCTATGAATTATCAATAAACTAATTCAAAAGCTATAAAATTGATCACTCATAAGCCGCTAGTCGAGTTGACTCGCTAGCCACACTTTGAGTAAACTCATGAGGTCAAAACGAATTAGCTCACGGGTTGAAATCAATAAGCCACCAAGTCGAGCTAGCTTGCCACCAAGTCGAGCTCAACTTGTTACTAAACGAGCAGAGTGTCAAACGAATTTTATACCGAAACGCTTGTAAACAGTTTGGATCCTTTGCATTGCTAGATATGATAGTAGTGATTTTTTTCAGTCATTCGAAAATGAATAATACACTATAATGAAAATAATTTGATTCCAAAAGCATATGATAGCAAATTTTCATAAAATGACAAATTTCCAGCTAAAACCGCGTGAATAAAGGTGAAATTCCATTTGGGGCATTAGAAACGGCCTTTGGATTTGCCGTTACGAAACGACATTCGACAGAGCCACAAATGGAACAACACAACATTCCCCAGAACCACAAAGTCACACACACCTTCTTCCAAAAGGACATTTAACCAGACAATTAAACCGAATCAAAACATAGGATTAACATCACTAACTATATATTAATTGCAAATATATACCTCAATTTATCAGTCGGCCGGACAAGCTTCGACCCCTGACGACGAATCCACCGATCCGAATCCCTCGGCGGCGCCGCCACCCCCCGGTTCCTCCACGCGCCGGCGACCACCCGACCGAACCCGGTCAGCAGGGTCGAGTCACCGGGCACCCGGACGTAAACGGGCGAACCGAGCAGGAACAGAACCGCCGACAGGATCATCAGCACCACGGGCACCCCGAACCCGACGATCCACCCGAACCGGTCCTGGATCGCGACGATGGCCAGGGCCGAGACGATGACCGAGACCCCGACCGACGCGTAGTACCAGCTGAAGAACGTCTGCAGGGTCCGCTCGTTGTTCGGGTCGGCCGGGTCGCTGAACTGGTCCGCCCCGAAGGCCAGCGAGCAGGGTCGGATCCCGCCCGCCCCGACCGCCATCAGGGCGAACGAGGCGAAGAGCAGGAACAGCTGGGCCGGCTCCGGCGGGTCGCAGTGTTTCGTGCCGGGCGTCAATTGCTGACATGGGTTTGGCCGGGCCGACGGGAAGACGGCGGTGGACCAGAGTACGATCATCCCCTGAAGATGTGGTGGACAGAAACAGGGGAGGCATTTTCAATTTTAATTTTCAGTATCATTGTTGGATTGATGAATTGGGGATTTTTTTTTTTTTTTTGGGACTTACGAAGACGGTGACGATGGTGCCGATTGCGATGACGCGGAAGCGGCCGAGGTAGGAGTCGGAGGCGAAGGCGCCGAAGATCGGGGTGAAATTGGAGAGGGCGCCCCAGAGGAAGAGGACGTTGGCGCCGGTGGAATTTGTGAGGTGGTACTGCTTCTGGAGGTAGAAGATCATGTTGGCTTGGAGACCCACGCTGGCGACCTTCTCCAGAGTTTCATTTGCTGCAATGGTGGAACGGAACTACAGTTAGTTAATTAGAGAGAAATGGAAAATTGAAATTGAGGTTGGAAAGGTGGGGTTTTTTACATATGATGAATGGCATAGTTTTTAAGCCGCCTTTTCTCCGCTCGCCGGCGGTTGGGTTGTGGGGATGTTTGGCTGGGGACTGGATCTCGTCGGCGGGAAGCATCCCGCCGGCAGTTTCTTCTCCCATGTGGAAGTGATGACGATGGAAGTAACGTGGGCGGTTTTCGTTTTGGGGAGAAAGAAAGAGGCAAAGAGGATAGGTGATGGGGCACGGTGTAGGAATGGGCGGTTAGTATAGTGTGAGTGTACTATGGAGAGATATTTATAAGCATTTAAATATCTTTTTTTCATTCAAATGTGGAGTTTTCATTTTTTCCACAATGTTGCAAAATTGCTAGCTTTGTTTTCATCTAGATAGTGAATTTTTTTTATGTGTCAAATTGAGTTAGTGAACTTTATTTTGGTTTGAGTTAGTGAATAATGTTGTCTCGAATTACTGTCAACTATCGATTTCTAAGCGTCAAATAATTCAATGGCGAATCAGCCAACTATTTTTTCCGGCATTGTTGGATAATCCGCCTTTAAAATCCATATGACTACTTGTTATAATTGATAAAATTCGTCGACTATGTCAACTCCTCGCCAAAAGAATCTTCACACCATTGTTGTCGGATCATTGAGTGTTATATGAATCCTCATAGTAGAGTTGCGAAAAATTGTTTCATACAACGTGTACTTCTTAGGTCATTGAATTTTAGGCTCAACCAGTATTGTGTTAGCGTTATTGACTTGCATTACTAAGTTGCCAATTGTTAATAAATGTGACGTCGGGTCGTAACATCTGTAAGTAGATGACAGTTTCAATATAATCCATACACTAAAAAAAGTCTAACTAATTCAATTCATATAATCTAAATCCAATGGATTGATGAATTCATGAACGGTTGACAAAATACATTTTAATACATATATATGTCAAATTTGTAATGAAAATCATCTTACCTTATATATAAAAAAAGGAAATCTTCTTAAATTTACAATTTCCTACCTAAATTTTTTATTTTTACACAAAGCTTCATAATGGTCACAATTTAAATACCACTTGGATCTATGAATCCAAATCACGAATTCGTTTCATCCAATTAATTCTCCACATCTATCCATAACATAATATGCACATAAACCCAATGTACGGTCCGTGAGAAGACTACGAACTGTAAAAATGTAAATAGTACTTACAACCACTTAGAAATTCCAGATGGGAGAGTTCTATCTCTCATGTGGACATAAATTAACGAACCACATACTACGTACTAACACTATACTCCGATTAATCCTAGTGAGATACCTATATCTAAACTACGAATTAAACCGAGTCTGGGGCATGATATTAAACCCAGATTTTCTAAACGAGTTAACCCTAACCCGCATTTCCTAAAACCAAACCCGGACGATAAATTTAATACATATAGTAGTCGACAATTTCGACTCGTCGAGATACAACGAAGTACATCCAACGATCGTATCACTTGGAGTGTGATCTATATATACTCTAGAAGTACGTGACATAAATTAACATCGGGGAAAGCTTCAACTATTGGTAGAACTGGCGGAAGGCGCCGGACGGCGGTGGATGACCAATAATATGTTGGAGTAGATCAGTCCAAGACGCTAAGTTCTAAGCTGATTACGACATACCGTATGAACTTGTTCAGCCGCATCCATGCTCTGTCTCCTTGTAATAACGATGCTGATGGAACAAGCAAAACAAAACGCCTTCAATATCAACTTGCATTGTAAGTATCAATCTCGGAAAGCTGAAACGAAATTATCGTGTGAATTCAGAGGATGGATGTTCTTTTCCGGCAAATGTATCCGCTAATTAAACAATGAATTAGCAAGAAGATTGTATTAAGGTGGCCAGATGGGGGTTATTCTCATGTAAAGCTAGTTAATTAGTTAGCTTTCACAACCGACAAGGCATGAGTGAGCTACCGAATGGATTGGGTGGATTTCTGTTTCGGATTAATATACTCTATCACCATATTGTCACGACGGTTTTCTGCGGATCGCGCGGGGAAATAGGAGGATTCGACAAAGCATGAAAACGAAGCACAAGAACGCACATGACACACGATTTAAGTGGTTCACTAACACAATGTGTGTTAGCTAGTCCACGGGCAGGAGAAAATTAGCAGTTTCACTATACTTCGACGAGATACAGATTACAGAGGAGTATGAGAAGTATTTATAGTACTGATCTCCATGGTCTAACCCTAATCCAATATTAAAGGAAAACCAGCTACAACCAGAAGATCGAAACAGGTGTACCCTTTTTATAATATAATTGTATGAATAAATATTTTAAAATTTAGATTCAAGTAATTCATTCATAAAAGAAAAATTAAAGAGCCTATTAATACAAATTTATTTTGTATAGACAGCCATGACATATTTTCATGTATGGAACGAATTGTAAAAAAAATACATTGTCTATAAAACTTCTCGTATTACATAAACGTCTAGAATTCAAATCCTACACATACACCTATTCGGGGTTAATAATTTTCCTCCAAATTTTAGGTGTATCCTATGACTGAACAAAATAGGGCTTAGCTTTGACACTGTGGTTGGATGGATGTTGTCAGATTATGGTTTAATAAGCAAAAGTAATTCTCCGACTAGCCAAAATTAGGCAACTTGTAAGTATCTAACTTTGAAAGTTGATACCAAACTATCATGTGAATCCAACAATAGATGTTAATTTTTCGCCAAATGTGAAGGCCCCAAGTATAGTGTGGCAAACGGGTGGGGTAGGTGGGTACCTCAATACCATACTAGTCTCTACACTAAGTGCGGATCAAGTTGGGTAATAGTCGCTCAGATGCGAGTTACGCAGGTCGACCTAATTCTCGCATGTTATTTGCAAAAAAATAGACGTAGAAACATAAACTATTTACGATAAAACAAAACACTTAACAAATATAAAAACAAAGATATAAAATGAGTAATTGAGCTCAATTAGTTGAAAGAGGAAGTCTTGCAACTAATCGAGAAAGAACGGGTCATGAATGAAACGAGACGGGGCGAAGTAGAGTGTAGAGCGAAAATAGTACTCACGCCCCGCCTATGCTACTGTGGTTCAAAAGGGCGGACCCAAGTGTATCAATGGGTTGTCACTAGACAAACTTTAAATCAAAATTTTGGACAAAAAATTCGCTTGAAATTTTATTTTCGTAATGGTAATATTGAATTCGTGACTATCAGACAACAGTTAAATTTTTTTATTAAACATAAAGTATCTTTGATGAAAATCTGAATCCATCGTTGGATTATATTATACTTATCCTAATAAATAATATCAAATCTCATCTAACATATGAGTAATAACATATAACATTACACCAAAGTAACATGTCGTACTTAGATCCAACATATTCAAATATAACATCAATATATTCAAATGTTCAACTAAGGATTCCAAAGATTGAGTTAGGCGAAAAGAAAAATCGTAAAAATAGGCGCATTTCGTAAACCAAAGAAAAAATGACACAATTTGACTTCTAACCCGATACCTTGTAGCGGTCGACCCGACGAGTACTTGCGGCCCATTTTTCTCACCGGGTCTAGGGATGGCAATGGGCCAAAATGGGCCGGGTATTGCTCAACCCAGCCCCACCCCGTCATTTTTTTCCATGGCCCGCCCCGCCCCAAAACCCACCACGGGCCTGCTTATGGTGACCCACGCCCCAACCCGCACGGGTCGGGTCCAACCCAGACCCGCCCTGTTCAGTGATAATTCAAAACAAGTGCTCAAACTAATAATTGATAAAAAAGAACAAAATAGCCTGCTTAACCATTCCAACCGAATTAAAAGCATAAATCCAAGTCTTCCGAAACAACAAAACATCAAACTTAATATAAGGTTCAAACCCAGAAATCTTCAAAACAAAATAAAATAGAAATCATAACATTCCAACAAGAACTCTTCAAAAAGCAGCAAAGAACATCACAGCAACTTGAATCTCCCACAACAGCTTAACAATTCCCAGCAAGCAGCCCTCTTCAATCATCAAGCTTTATCTTCCACCTTGTCATCATCATCTGAATCATCACACTCATCATCCTCCAAAGGATCAACTGTTTTTCACAATCATTCAACACATAAGTATCAAAACTTAAAAAGTCAATGGAAAAACAGAATTGCATAATAGAAAAATGAACAGAGTTAGTGGCAAGAAATAAAAAAAAAAACATGTACCTTCAGAATTCAGCCAATTCTGTGCACACATTAAGGCTTCCACAGTCTTGGGGTGAAGTCTGCTACGTTGAGGACTGATGATCCTTCCACTTGTACTGAAGGCCGATTCTGAAGCAACTGTTGAAGCAGGAATAGACAGAATATCTCAAGCAACTTTGTGCAGAATAGGATACTTCCCCTTATTGGACTTCCACCAAGATAGGACATCAAAATCAGGGATATTCCTAATTATATCATCTTCCAAATATGCATCCAACTCTGATCTCACAGGACGTTTCCTTTTCTTGCTGGAGGCGTATGAGTGAAACTCAAGAGCAAAACAATTTTCAGAACCATTTCCTTCTCCACCATCTCCATTAGCAACATTCACTTGTTCCTCTTCTCTTTCTTTCTCCTCATACTCAGCAAGCAAATGACGGCAGTAGCTAAGTATGTTCTCTATCTCATCCTCACTATCCATACCATAAATTTTAGGAAAGTAGCACAGCAGCACCTCATTCTTATATCTTGGATCAAGAACAGCAGCTACTCCCATCAAAACATTCACACTCAACCAATACTTGTCAAACTTGTCTATCATATCTGATGACATGGATTCAATCACCTCAATTCCACAAACAGACCACTTGTTTAAAGCCAACTTAATCTCACAAATGACAGGGAAAAACAGGTTTGCAGTAGGGTATTGAGTGCTTGAAAACAGATTAGTTGCGTTCCAGAAAATCTTCAACTTGCTGCATATTATACTAGTCATTTCCCAGTCTTGCTCAGTAGGCACATTTTTATACTTTGCCTCACGATTTTTCAAGCGAAAAAACACATCCTTGTATCCCATTGCAGTATCAAGCATCAAGTAAGTAGAATTCCATCGAGTTTCACAATCAAGAACTAGCTTCTTGCCACTATAAGGTTTTTTTCGACGAGCTGTTTCCTCAAAAGTTTCGTACCTTTTTGGTGTTGCCAACCAGAACTGACAGCTGTTGCGAATCCTTTCAATTGCATCTCCAATTGATTTAAGTCCTTCCTTCACAATTAGATTCAGGATATGGGCAGAACAGCGCATGTGGAGCATACTACCACCCAACATACATGAATCTGTTGGCAGCTTCTCCATAAGCAAAGTCATCATTGCATCATTAGTGGAACAATTATCCACAGTGACAGCAGATAGTTTGCTGTCAATATTCCAATCCATCAGACAATGCAGAAGGCATTCACAGAGAACATCACTAGTATGCGGAGCAGGCACATAAATGAATCTACAAAGATAAAACAAGAATATCATTAAGCAACGAACACTAAACACAACAAAGAACACTAATAATACAGCAAAGAACACTAATCAAAGCAAGAATGTAAAGATACCTGATGAGCCGACTTTGTAAGTTCCAATTGTTGTCAATAAAATGGGCTGTCACAGCCATAAACCCCTTCTTCTGGTGAGTAGATGTCCACATGTCTGTGGTCACTGCCACCCGCCCTTCATTCTTTTCAAACAACTTCATTGTAGCTTTTTTTTCATGGTCAAAAATGCTCACACAATCCTTCTTAATGGTGTTTCTGCATACCATCTTAAAACAAGGATTCAAGCTGTTGCAGAAGCTTCTAAATCCTTCATGTTCAACAATGGATAGAGAGTATCCATGCTTGATGATTGCCCTTGCAAGTTCTTGTCGAGAATTCTGTTGTTCAAAGTTGAAAGGAGAGAGTTGGAACCTTTTGTCCTTGTCCAAGTTGGCTTGCAGGAGTTGTTGCCTTAAATCTGTGCAAGTCCTCTTAGGGCATCTGTTGTAGTGCTTTTTCAAGTGACTGGTCCCGTGCTTTGGCTCTCCCATCATCAATCTCTTGCAGTATTTGCACTTGGCCTTCTTCACTCCCCCAACTGTTAATCGATCATAATGTGCCCACCATTCAGAGAAAGTTCTGTTGTTACCACCCTTGGCAGCCCCCTCTTCTTGTACAGCCTCAACAGAATCATTTGGATTCGGCTGATTAATCTGATTTGCATTTGGTTGATTTGCTTGATCTGCATTTTGAACACCAGGGGCAACTTCAACAACGTTTGGAGTTGGAGAAGCTGTTGGGTTCGAGACAACAACAGCGCTTGCAGTTGGCGGAGCGTCACTAGCTTGTCGTTGTTCAGCCATGGATTGTGCTGCAAAAAAGAACATTGATACTGTTAAATCTGCTTATTGTAGAGGGGAATGGAATCATTTAAATACCTAAATCGATGTGGAATGGAATCAAATACCTGCCCAGGCCCCAAAAGGAGTTCTTTTCGAGTTGAAGAGATGATCAAATCAGCAAGCACCAATTCTGGAAATAGGGTTTGGATTGTGCTCTCTCTCTGGATTCTAGAGTATGGAGAAGAAGAATCAACTGTCTATTTATAGATTCTAAGTATGAACCTGAAGGGATTACGAGTGGGAGACTGCTGGGAATTGGATTTGCATTCGTAATGAATGAGAATGACTCTCTCTTCCTTGGGGAAGGTAAGCGTTCGTAATGAAGGGGTTAGAGTGGGAGACACTTTTTTTTGGGAAAGATTAGCATTCATAGTGGGAGACACTCTCTTCCTTTCAACGGGCATAGAAGATGAATCGCTCGCCTTGGGAAGTTGCAGGGCGTGAGGTGTTGGAGGGATGGTGGAGAAGATGAATCGATCGTCCACTTTCTGGAAGTTGCAGGGAAGGAGAAGCGGGGCGGGTCGGGGACGGGGCGGGGCTACGATGATACCCAAGCCCGGCCTGGCCTGTCGGCGGGTCGGGGCTGCCCCGGCCCGTTAATAGACGGGTCGGGTAATACCCGCCCCAAAACGGGCTGGGCCGGGTCCGATCCATCGGGTCGGGTTCATAATGCCATGCCTAACCGGGTCAGGTTAAAGTGGGTCGATCCGCAGGTTGACAACCTCTAGGTTGATGTAATTTATTTGTAACAATAAAATATATGTTTATACTTTATATCATAAGTTTCACTTTAGATTTATCTAACTTTCGACTCGGTACTGGTTATATCGATGAAGTGAAAGATGACAAATCAAAGGTAATGTGTTAAATATATTTGATGATACGATAGTCACAACCTTGTTATAATAATGATTAATGAAATCTATGTTATTAGTTTTGTAATTAGTATCATCAAATAAAATTTATCCAGTTTATTAGAATCATTGCACTATTATTTTATAATCTAAAACATTAGCATTTAGCAATGATTATCTCAATGATTCACTCGAAGCAAAGTTCTTGGGAGAGGACGATCCATTAGCGTGTGTGCGCTTTGCCCAATCTATTATAAATAAGTACGCGCATCGTGATGGATGTTGTCCAGTTGGCGGATGGCTGGTTTAAGGTTCATTGTCGTGATTTACTTTGTAATAAAACATTATTGTATTTTCTACGTAACAGTTGATTAGAATCGGTAATCACAAGGAGGGTGTGTTACTAATTATTGATTGCTCATTTCATAATTATTGATTGCTCATTTCATATTCATCATCAATATGGAAATTTCGGATTCGACATAGTTAACAAGATCGGCGGTTTAGCAATTCAGATTCTCAAGTTACATCTTAATTGATTCTCCATTATGTTAGTTACATTCTAAAATGCACCCATCGTTTTGGTGTTCCCGGTTCTAATTGGGGTTTATTTTCAGTTTCACGTGGGGTCGTTTGGAGGAATGCGTTATCATGATTACTCAATTTTGAGTAATCACGGTGACTATCAAAATCTTTACCATTCATTATCTATATTTTACTATATTTTTAAATTTACGGTACAAATTAGATTAAGAATACTTTTGAAAATAAAATAATATCACAATTGATTTTTATTCCTTAAAACCTAATCACTCTCTACCTATCCCTCTCAGCCGTCTCCCTCTAGCGGGCCCTCCTCTCCTCCTGTGTCCCGTCTTCCGCCGCCCACCGACCCTCCCTCCTCCTCCTCTCTCTCTCTACCCCAACCACCCTCCCCCTCTCTTGCCCACCACACTGCCCACTCCTCTCTCTCTCCCTCCCTAGGAGACGGTTATGGCTGAAAAAGGTGGGATGAATAAATGGGAGTTGCTAATTATCACCCTAACTCTATATAATCGCCCTAACTCTATATACCGCTTGATCCTTCTATCTTTGTTAGTATATATTTTATACTAATAAAAAGAATCCATCCAATAAACAAAAGTTTGACGGTTGTCCGGCCGGTAGCCACTGACCGCCTGGCCCCTGATTCCACCGCCGCCCTCATATTGCCATTGATAACAGAGGATTCATCACCATGGGGGAGAAGGGTAAGCGTGATGATAGCAGAGGATTCATAGTTTTGGGAAGATCCAATTAAGTTGGATGACGTACGTTTATCAATTAATTTCCTCCTTGTGCAATTCTTTTCCCCTACCAAGAGATGTTGAGACTTAACGTGGCCTATAGAATCGGGGATGGACTACATAGAGAAGGAAGACGTACGTCACACGTAGTGTGGGAGAAGGAACGGCGGCGACAGAGGGTTAAGGAGGTCGGCCGCTGTTTGGGGACGACATCACCAACGGTTAAAGGATGTGTAGAGAATTGACGGCAAACGGTAGTTTGGCGGGTTCCGGGTGCTTATCAACGAAAATAGGGTACTGTAAAAGGATAATTTAGTAATTATATGTTTTAAAGTAGGGCGATTGTAGTAAATCTAGGGCGACGTTTAGCCATTCAGTGAATAAAAACCCTAAATCTGATTTTTTCGCATTGGTAGTGATTTTTTCGTAGTGGTAGTGTTTTTTCCGCATTGGTAGTGATATTTTCGTAGTGGTAGTATTTTTTGCGCATTGGTAGTAATTTTTCCGTAATGGTAGTGTTTTTTCGCATTGGTATTGATTATCATGTAATCGTGTTGTTTTTCAGTGAAATGGTAGTTTTTCTGTAGTTGTAGTGCTTTTCACATTGGTATTTTTTTTGTATTGGTATTGATTATCATGTAATGGTATTGATTTGCATGTATTGATATTGATAAATCTGCAATGGTATTGGTATTTTATGAAATGGTAGTGCTTTTATTTCTCGAATGGTATTGGTGTTTTATGCATTGGTAGTGTTCTTTTAATAGATTGGTATTGTTTTATTGTTGTAGTGGTATCAGTTCGGTTGAACGAAAACAAGGAAAGGATTGAAAAAAATGAAGAGAGATCTAGCTGGAGATTATGGAAGTGAGAGAGAGAGAGGGGGAGAGAATTGTAATTAATATATTTTTGTAACTTCCTAAAATATAATTTGTTTAAAAGGTAATTAATAATTTTTTTGTCATACCCAGTTTGCCTTTAGTAACCACGGTGATTACTATAAAATATAATCATCGTAACCTGTCCCGTCGTTGGAATTAAGTATTTGTATGAGTTTATTTGTGATTTATTTGAGTTCAAATAATTCACAATGAGTTATTCGGACACAAATAAATCGTTTGGTAGCGTTTTACTGAAATGAGTTATTTGGACAGTGAGTTATTTACAAATAACTCAAAACAAGTTATTTGAAATAACTCATAACCAAGTGTTATTTTGAAATAACTCGTTTTACCACTCTACTTTTATCAAATAGCAGATGTCAAATACTACATTTGCATGTTTCAACTAAACGAGATACTTTATTTCAATTACCACTGAAATACCAATGAAATACCACATAAACAATAAATGAGTTATTTGACTCTACAAATACCAAACTGACAATTAACTCATCCAAACAACTATTTTTTTTTTTGTAATGGGGCTTATGTGATGACCTTTCATTCTTCTCTATATGAGTCCTTCACCCACTACTTTGTTCTCACTTTTGAAGTATAATAGGGCTTATTTGTAAAAATAAAATAAAATATATATGTTGTTGACGTTAGAGGTGTACATGGGTTGGGTAGTCCAGGTTTAGTCATTTTAATCACTCAAGCAACACATTATGGTTTTGAAAATACTAAATCCAAATCCATCCAAAAAACAAGAACCTACTGTTTGTTTATAATCAAGTTGGGTCAGGTTGACGATATTTTCAAGTAAAATTCCAACCCAATACAAAAAATGCAATTATTTTACACGGCAAAAAAACAATATAATTAATTAAAATCTAAAACAAATAAACCAATATGAAAAGTATCAAAATGCTTAAACTATATTTGAATTTTAAAGAAATGCAATTTGTTTCCACATATGTCTAGTTTTTTCCACATATGTTATTCTTCTGAAATTGTAACAAAAAATATTATGTTAGCATGGCCTATATTAAATCACGTCTAAATTTTGAGTCGAAAAATGCATTAGTTTAGAGAGATTATGAGAGAAAAATAGGACAAAAAAAATCTTCATTTCCTCACAAACATGCTTATATACAAAGCAAATATGTTTTGGATATGTACACTTATGACAATAATTGGAACACGGGTTGGGTTGTACATGTTGCATAATCCAAAATCCGTACCCAACGCAAAAGAGAAGGATTATACAATATAAAACCCTCGCCCAACATTAAACTTTACTATTAGCGACATAGTTAGTAAAATACGGTATGGAAAAGTTATGTATGTAATATGTATGGGTATTTTACTTCGTCTTTAAACTAATGTTACGTTTAATAGTATGTTTGTCATAAATATATAAATATAATTATTTTAAAAATAAATAAGTAAATAATAGTAAAGTTAACAATTTCATTAATTAAATATGGATATCAAACGGGTTATACAGGTTTTATATGTGTTTAGTATGCGAGTTATCAAATGAACGAAAAAAATAAAACGATTTGACAATAATACGGATACAAAAAAATTTAACAGATAAAATACATGTATTAAACAGAATATTTATTAACTATTATTAACAATAATTACGAATGAGTTGGATCGAATTGGACCGGTTTGCTAATATTTTTGTTCATCCCTACTCGACGTATCACAAACAAAATTTCCCGGGAAACTTCTTTCCCGATGAAAACTTTCGAGGAAACTTTGAGATCGATACATTTCCACGTCCACGCTCGTGCCGGTACTGTTGTCAGTTGTCACCATTTTCCGCCGTCTCCTCCCCGAAATATCCCGGCGAGGTCCTTTTCACGATGGTTCTACTGTAAATTCCCTCTCCTTATGACCTTATCGTTTCCAAATTCTGGTCAGTCTTCTTCATCGGTCATTCTTTTAGGGTTTTCCCGCTTTTGCTGCTCGCCATTTATAGTCTCTGCTGCGCTCTCCAACATGGAGCTCCAATCGCTCTTCGGAATCGATTCCCTCCTCCAATCTCTCCTCGAAAATGGCCTCCAAAAGCAGCAGCCAAACACCTCCTCCGCCACCGGCACACGACGTTTTTCTGAGCTTTCGCGGCGCCGACACTCGTCACGGCTTCACAGCCCACCTCTACGGAGCCCTAATTCAGAGAGGAATCAACGCGTACAGAGACGACAACGAGCTGGCCAGAGGGGAGACCATCGAGCCATCACTCCTCGGCGCCATCGAATCGTCGAGATTCGCCATCGTCGTGTTCTCCAGAGGCTACGCCGAATCTCCCTGGTGCCTGGACGAATTGGTGAAGATCGTCGATTGCAGGCGGCGGCTGGGGCAGGTTGTTCTGCCTGTGTTTTACGATGTCGATCCCATGGTTGTGGCTGAACTGAATGGAGAGTACGGCGAAGCACTGAATCGGCACTGTCGTGGAGACAGTGCGGGGAGGGTGCAGCAATGGAAAGAGGCTCTTGAAGAAGTGGGCAATGTTTCCGGTTGGGATGTTCAGAACAAGTAGGGATTCTATCTCCTTTTCTTTTGTTTTCCCCCTTTTCAATCTCCCAAAGGTTCATTTCCCAAATACGCTTTCTGGAGATTTTTACTACCCTTTAGGAAAGTCCATTGCTTGATTAACCATGATGGAGAAGAACCGAACAATATGTAGATATTCCAACGAGTCAGGCTCTTAGCACTACCCTATAGTTATATAATAGCTTCTCTCATCTGCAGGGATCAATCTGAGATGGTTAGAGAAATCGTTGACACGATATGGCTTGAGTTGAGCCGGACATTGGAAGTTAGCATGGACAACTTGGTTGGAATGGGTTCGCGTGCAAACAAGCTCAAGGAGCTATTGGGTGAAGACACAGGTGATGATGTTCGATTTGTAGGGATCTCTGGTATGGGTGGCATTGGCAAAACAACATTAGCCAGAGTTGTCTATGATGAGATGAGTCTGGAATTTCGAAACAGCAGGTGTTTTCTTGAAAATGTCAAGGATTCTTTTGAGAAGCATGGAGCAGTTCATGTCCAAGAGCATCTTCTTTCAGCAGTGTTGATGGAAAAGAACCTCAAAGTTTGGGATGCCCACACTGGGAAGGTGATGATAAAGAAGAGCTTGCAGCACAGAAAGGTTCTTCTAGTTCTGGATGATGTGGACTCCGTTGAGCAGCTAGAGATGTTGGCTGCGAACCAAAATTGGTTCGGTCCAGGGAGCCGAATCATCATAACGAGTAGAGATCAAAGATTGTTGTACAAGCATGGAGCTTGTGGTGTGTTTAAGCTTGAGGGTTTGAATTACATAGAGGCTCTTACCTTATTTAGTTTGAAGACCTTTAAGAATTATGAGCCAAGTGAGGGTTTTGAGGAGTTTTCTATGCGAGTCGTGGAGTATGTGCAAGGCCTACCTCTCGCGATTGAAGTCTTGGGTTGTTTTCTCGGTGGAAGAAGCAGAAGAGAGTGGGAAAGTGCTATTACTAGTTTGAAAGACTACTGTGATGACATCCTAGATGTGCTCAAGATAAGTTTTGATGGGTTAAACAAGCCTGAGAAAGACATGTTTTTGGATATTGCTTGTTTCTTTAACTTGAAGAGCATAAGCGAAGTGAAGAAGGTCCTCAACAGCTGTGGCTTCTGTACCGACATTGGAGTAAAGCATCTTGTGGAGAAGTCTCTCCTGAGTTTTTCCCCCATGGGCAAATTGGTGATGCATGATCTGTTGCGAGATATGGGCAGAAAAATTGTTCATCTAGAATCTCCCGGGAATCCTGGAAGGCGCAGTCGATTGTGGGATCCTGAAGATATCCTTTCTGTTTTGACGACACCAACTGTAAGTGGAGAAAGTGTTACCGCTGATGTTCATAACTCATGATGGTTTCATTCATGCCTAGTCTAGCTGAGTTTTATTTATTGTTAGGTTGAAAGTATATCACACACACTTCATAAACTTCTAATTCCAGTTATATTCCCTATTCATTACTTTTTTCTCCTGCTCGATTACTTCACTTAGCCTTACTGTATTTCTCTAGTGACACTGCTTTACATTGTTAATGTAGGGAAGGGAAGAGGTTGAAGCCATTGTATTAGACTTACCAGAGAAGGAAGAGGTGCAACTTAATAGGGAAGCATTCTCAAACATGTACAGACTGAGACTGCTCATCATACGTAATGCAAAATTTGAAGGACCAATCGATCTTCCCAGTGAATTACGACTCCTTGTGTGGGATTGCTACCCTTCGGAGTCATTGCCGGCTTCTTTTAGACGCAGTAAACTCGTGGAACTTAGCATGTGCTACAGCAACATGAGTCGACTCTGGCATGGAAAGGCCAAGGTAATGCAGCTTTTAGCCATGCTTACTTTTGTACTCTTCCTATATAAGAAACTATCATGCATATTCCATCGCCTTCTCTGTTCTTCAAAAGTGAAACAAACCAGATTTTCATGATTTAATCATTTGTTACGCAAACTCACAATCATCATTCATATGGCATATACAGATGAGCAACTTGAAAGCCATGGATTTAAGTCACTCCCACAACCTCATCGCAACTCCAGATTTCACCGGGGCTCCAAATATCGCAACATTGATTTTCAAAGACTGCACCAGCCTTGGTGTTATTCACCCATCAATCGGTTCTCTTCGAAAGCTAACTTGCCTTAGTTTTAGAGGCTGCATAAAACTCCGCAACCTCCCATCTATGCCTGGAAAACTACAAGAGCTCTACTTGGATAGTACAGCTCTCAGCAATGAAGAACTCCAACAGATAATCTGTTGGGCCGTGGCTTTATCCGTACTGAGTCTCAGTAGCTGCAACAGCCTGAAGACAGTTCCAGTTAGCATTGGCAGCTTAAAGCAGTTGAAGGTGCTCAACCTCCATGGCTGCTCTCAGCTTGACAATGTGCCAAGGGAGCTGGGAGGCCTAGAGAGTCTCGAGGAGCTTGATTTGAGTGGGACAAAAATCACACAGCCGCCACTCTCCATATTCTATCTGAAACATCTCAAAACATTGTCCTTCCAGTACAACATGCCAACAAAGTTGCCTACCTTGTCTGGTCTCCATTCAATGATAACAACTCTGAACCTAGGAGACTGTGGGCTGAAGGAAGGAGATTTTCCTACCGGTGTAGGGTGCTTGTTTCCATCGTTGGAGTTGTTGGATTTAAGCAGCAACAACTTTGTTACCTTGCCAATCATCGGGCAACTGTCGAGGCTTTATTCACTTCGGTTGGATAATTGCATGATGCTAACGTGCTTGCCCAAGCTCCCGTCGAGGATTGAGTTTCTGTACGTCAACGGCTGTGTTTCTTTGGGGAAAATGCCGGACATGAAATTCAGCGGAGGACATTTCTATTTCGAAGGTCTTGATTGCTCGAAGCTGTATGATGAGAATGGCGTTTCTGAAGACAGCTCTTGGCCTACCCTGCTTAGAAGACCACTCCTTCGGGTAAAATTAGCACATAGCTTATAATTTCATTTCCTCTTCGCGCAACTACTTGTCTACTTTGTATGCAAGGGATATCCAATCTGAAGGACTTCATTATGACAGGGACAGGAGCATCCTGCTACATTGGAACGCTTGGTCTTCAAAGTCCAGGGCAGCAGAATTCCGAAGTGGTTCACCCATCAGAGAGATGGCTCATCAATTTGGGTATCACTTCCCAAGTCTCCCTACTACGATGACATGATGGGTCTTGCACTATGCTGCACTGTCAACGATCTCACAGATGGGTCTCATTTCAGCAAGCAGCAGCTTGGTTCACCAAGCAAGAGACAACGACAACAACACATTTGCTTCTTCTTCGTCTCAGGAGACAGCATCAGGTTTCTGTTGAAGGGGCTTTCGGATGGGTCAGCTTGTGTCGGGTTGTCATTTGAGGAGCTGCCATTTTATCAGCTTATTAAGCCAGGTGCAGCAGTGGAGGTCATAAGGTGTGGGTATAGCATAGTTTCGCGTCGAGACATTGAGGACCTCGCAGGTACTAGTACTGGTGTTGCATCTGCATCTGCAACAATTCGTCGCGATGATGATCATAGTCCTCGCCCTAAGAAACTCATCTTCGAAGGATCCCGGAGTCTGGTCTTGTTTTGTGCTAATGACTTCGTTTGCGTGCGTGTCCTGAAGGTATATCAGGTGGATTAAGTGGTCAGTTAGGACGAAGGATCATGTTCCAGATTTGTTGTTCGAGGTGGAAACCTGAATTCGCTATTTACAGGGGACCAAGTTCAATATGTGCTGATTATAAGACTATATGCATTGGCAGGTTAGCTTCTTTTAATATTACCAAGGCATCTATCGTCAATTAAGGGTAACTTCATCGTTATTTTGTCAGTTTAAATAGTTTGAACAATTTCACGTCAAAACAAAAACAGCATAAAAATCAAAATCTCTGTGTTCTGGGAAAATCTATGCTTAGTATCAGTAACCGAAAGTCATGTTCTTCTGTACAAGTTGCTACAAAAATACTAGGAATTTTTCCTGTCAAAATACTTTGAGAAGAATATAATTTTAGTAATTTACTACATGGCTCTCTGTCTATATACAAAGGCTATTTATTCCAACTGAAGATAGGAATAATCCCACCAAAATAATCCAAAAAATGATAAGTCCCCTGCTCTTGCAAAGAATGGTGATGGAGGATGAACCCTATTCCCACCCTATTTTCTTCTTTGCCAAAATAATTTACACCAACGCCTCTCTCTCTCTCTCTCTCTCTCTCTCTCTCTCTCTCTCTCTCTCTTAGCTCACTTCCCATGCCTGCATTAACAGAAGAAACAGCATTAGATCAGGGAAGAAGTACAAGATATAGGAGTGACCGAAGAGTAAAGCAGTTGTGCTTTCAGCCCAAAGTTTCAGGGTTGAATCCCAATTGCATCGATCAATGTTTTACCCTTTGCGGTACTCTATCTATCGCTTCGTAGAGAAAAGAAATCTCAGATTAGTGAATATTAATTAGTGTTAGGTTACCTGAATCCATCCATCTGAAGTCCCAGCAACCAGTATATCTTCATTACCATCTACAGCCATGGAAATTAATTTACTGTTGGTGCAAGCTTGTATGGTCTCTACTCTGATGTGCTTCTTTCGATCCCAAATCTCTATCGTCCCAACTCTGCTCCCCAAATATATCAGCTCTGAACTTACAGCCATGGCCCTTACTTCCATCGTTGTTGCCAATGAACCTACTTGACCATGATTTGAAGCACTCCATATCTGTTCAAACAAACAAGTCCTCACATTATTAAGAAAATACTATATAAACAATGGTAAGAGGAAGAAATGGGAAGTCATGGTTTCTCCCCTTTACCTTAACAGCTGCTCCGTCCAATGGCGAAACGGCTGAATATATGAGCCCGTCTCGAACCTCTAGCGCATGTACAGGACTTGCTTTGCTTATTAGCTTCCTGGATCCACTTTGAATGAATGATACTGTTTCTGTTGCCAAATCGATTTCCTGGAAAATGGGGAAGAGGAGAGAGAAGAAAGAACCACACAGTGTCAGTTTTTTCTTCAAGATGTTTCTACCCAGTAGCTGAATCTTTATGAGAAGTGTGGAGCTAGTACCTGAATGCTGCTGTCGTGGCAGCCGCAGTAAAGCTTCCCCTGAACCAGAGAGAGGCACTTGACATATCGCCCTGAGTTCAGCAAGTTGGACCTGCCGCTCCAGGAATGAACCTGACACCACAAAAATACTTTGATGAGCTCACTTAACCGAACTGGTGTAACTGGTTAGACCGTTAACTGAATACCAGATGCTCTTGATTATCGCACCTTGATACCGGTCCCTGCAGGGATGAAGCAAGCAATGGAGTTGGCTACCACCAGATTATGAACCGGGTCTTTCATATCATGAACTTTCATACAATGCAACGTGTCACCCACTATGGACCAGACTCTGGTAGTTCTGTCAAGTGAGCCACTATATAGCTTGTTTCCTGATTGCAGAACCACCAAGCTACTGACTCCCTTTGTGTGCTCTCTGATTTCCTGGATAAGGTGAAGGATGCTGCCCTTACCGGTCCATACCTTCAGAAGCCGGAAGTAATTGTCAAAACTCGGTCTCAACATTTCTCAGGACAAGAGTTGGTTAATATGGTTACTTACCTTCATAGTTCCATCTGAGTGGCCTGAAATGATCTTGTCCTTGAAGCAGGCAATGGAAAGCACCTCTCCATTCTCACAGCAATCAACCTGAACTAGTTCTTTGTGGTTCCATAATTCCTGAAAAAAAAAAAAAAAAAAAACAACCAACCCAAGAAATAAAAAATGGAACTTTCTGCAGAAAACCTGATGAAATAATTGCTTCCAAACTGTCTGCAGAACTTACAGCACTGTTATCTTTTCCCTCTGAGAGATCCTTAAGAACTTCAACTGCCAATGGACAAGACTTCCTCAGCTCTCTCAGACCTTTCTTTACATCTTTCATGTTGTTATTTAAATCTTGTAGCCCCTCTACATTTGCAGTAGCATCCAAAGAAAGGGAGAAAGAAGAGCAAAATAACTTTTTCAGTGTTTGTGGTCAATATGGACATTCCTGGAGCTGATTCAGATTTAAAAGGAAACCACCAACTCACTCACCAGGATCATTGAGGAAGCTCTTGAGAGCTAGCAATGCCAGGACTTGATCCTCATTATCCTTTGCCGACTTGAAAATCGCCACGAACTGGTCGAGCAAGCAGACTCTAGCAGCACCTCGAATCCCCGTGTCGGGAAGAATGCCAAGCATGTGCACCAGCCATACAGCTGAAACAAAACAAGCAGATTGCAATTCTGAGTTCCTGCTCTTCATCCCTTCCGCCAGCACCTCGAAGATTGCTCCAAACTCGTGGCTCACTAATGCAGATGCCATCTTCATGTCCCATACTTCAGCTGCCCTCTCTTCTATCTGACAAGAAAAATTGCGGCAATAAGTTGTCATCATTTGTCAGTTCGTTCCAATAACTCGAATGGTTAGAAAAGGCAAAAGATACAATCTTACAACATTTCTCTCGCAGCATGAACAGAACAGTCTAAGTTCACAGCAACACAAACTCATGTTTCTATTTAGGTACCTCGGCTGTTTGTCCATAAAGCTCCCCAGCCTGCTGGTGCTCATTCTGCGTAAGGATTCGATAACTCTTCTCAACTCCAGCGCATTTCAGTAGAAATGCTCTTGTAAGTGACTTCCCAGATACATTAAACCTCCCTGGCAACGACGCAATGGTCTTTGCAGCAACAACTTGAGCAGCTGGGAATTCCGAGTTCTTGAGGCATGAGATGAAGGTATCTATTGCCTCTTCTCTATACATGCTCATCTTTCTCGGCTCAGCCTAACCCGGTAAAAAACTACTGCATCAGAATTCCATCCAAATTTATCAAAGAAAATAACAAGACAGAGAGAAGGAAGATTCAAACCAGAAGATCAAGTTGAAGAAGAAGGCCAGCCAAGACAGGAGATTGATCCACAGGAGCAGTCTGCAAATAGTTGAGGAAAGTATGCATCGTGCTGAAAGTCCCTTCATCCTTGATTATGTGAAGAACTTGCTCGTTGTATGTCGTTCTGCAAAAAACAAGTTCGTTCAACACACATCAAATTACCTGACACTATGACTGCAATGAAATTCGGACGATGGATCATACCTGTTGAGTTTCACTAATTCGGAGAGGAAACAAATGATCTCAAACTTCTCACCATCACCACCGCCAGTGAAGCTCTCCAACACAGGAGCAAGCTCAGCTTTATCAGCAACGGTGTTCCTACACCTCCCATCTTCCTTCATAACTTTCAGCAGCATCCCAACCGCCGAAACCCTCTCCTCGTCCCATTCGGATTCCAAGCTTACAACAATGGCCGCCACAACATCATCGCCCTCCTTCACAATACCCTCAACAATGGCGGCCTCCACAGCGCTCCCCTCGCCACTCGCCATCATCCGCCCCAACAAAACCACCGCAGCGCTTCTGGGCTTCATACACATCTCCACCATTTCACTCTCCTTCCTCTCCAACACCGCCATCAGAGATTCCACCATGTCCATCTCCATCAATTCCTCGGGAGAAGAAGAACCCCTCAAGAGATAGTAAATCAACACCACAGCCTCCAGCAGCCCGTTCTTGAACAGGGCGAGGATGCAGTCAACGTCGGAGTCAACCCTGGTCAAGGTCTGGACCACCGACCCATCCCTCGCCCCCAATTCGGACAACAGGAAGACGGCCGCTCTCAGAACCGCCGGATCGTCGGAATTGAACAGAATCTCGACGAACCCGCTCACGACGGCGGGGCGTGACAGCACGCTCTGCACATCAATCCCTCCTCGATTCTGATTCTTAATCTTTTTCACCTCCTCCTGCCAGAACCTCTCGATGGTCAGAACCGCCGCCTCCGATTCGTCGAGGATCTCCGACATACAGAGGTTGTTTATCGCGTGGCGTAATTCAGAAACAGAGCCGTCCACGGCCGCTGCGGCGACGATGACGCTGTTGGGAGACAACGACGGAGTGGAGGTGGGCTCTCCGACGGCGGCTGCGGATTTCCGGCGGCGGGGAGGGGTTTCGATTGGAGGGGAAGAAGAGGTAGGGTTTTGTTCGAGCCAGGCGGCGATTAGGCGCTTGAGGACGTAGTTGGTTTTGGGGAGCAGAGTGCTGGTAAGTTTCTGGCGGGTGATTGGGCAGCTCGAGTTCCCTCGATCCAGCCATTCTTGAATCGATTTCCGCTCGTAGGTCTGGCCGGTCTCGATGGTGACTGGGTCGGTGAAGATGTTGTTTGTTATTGGGCATACAAAGTCCTTTGGCGGAGGAGAAGGCTTATAAGTAGTGCTCAGCTGCAGACTGTCGAAACCCGCCATTGAAGACCTGCAGAATGAGAACCCAGTTTTGAAAAGGGGTAAAAACAGAGTCAGATTGAAATTGGATCCGGAATCAGCCGATTAAGGAAAATAAGGCTTTTACCGAGTTTGTTTGTTGCTGCGAGGCAGGGGATATGGCAGAGGCTGCACCGATGCGACTCGTTTGTTCTTTTCCTGCAGTCCAGAGATTTCAAAATCTTGTTTCGTTTTTAAAATTTCATGATGAAAACAATGATAACATTGTAGGAAAGGTAGACGAGGTTGCACCGTGGATAAGGAAGAAGAGGGTGGAGTAGATACTGATGAAGAAGTAGAAGCGGTGGAAGAAGAAGAAGATGAAGAAGTGATGTCGTCGGCGTCGGAGTTGGAAGGAGCAGGGGATACTGCTTCTTTCGCCGGAGAAGAGGTTGCCGGCGGCGGGTGGTGACTGCTGGAATTGGGAGTGGAGGAAGGGCTGCTGCTGCCAAATGGACTGCAGAGTTCTGAAGATGTACTGGCTGCGTCTTCTTCTTTTGGTATCGGCTGCATAAAATGAAATCAATGTTGACAAAAGCCGAAATTTAAGCATATATCCAGAGGTAATTTGTCGTGGAATGAACCAGCTAATTAGAGAAATTTTTTGATTAATTTGACCATTTCAAAAGCTCTCATTCCCCGCCAAAATCTAACCACGTCGAACTGGAACAAAACCAGCTAACATTGTTAGATTGTCTTCTACGTGTTCTCGACATGTTGAATCGACATGTTGTTGTAATGTCACTAAAACTATGGGACTATACCGTCGCGTTTAATTCTACAAATGACGAAACACAAGAAGAACGATCTAACGAACGAATTCATTTTAAGCTCATCGATAAGATTTTCGACCCAATTTGGTTTTGAATTTTGATTCACTAACATGGTGTTGGATGTTTTCAATGGAAGATAATAGCGATTGAGAAGATGAAGAAAGATGCGAAAAAAAAGCATTACATTATACCGTCCAAATCCCGCGATGGCGAACTCCCCTGCCTCGCCTCTCCCCAAAACCACCGCCGGCGGCGGCCCCACTTCCGCCACCGAGCCATCGCTCAAAACCTCATTGATGAAGTACTCAGCAAAAACTCTGCAATTCTCATCGAGAACCTGCTCGTAAATGCCCTCCAATTCCTTCAATTCCCTCGTCTGCCCTCCGTTCATCCTCGACAGCACCTTCGTTGTCGGCGGGGCCTCCGAATTCGACAGAATCCGGGTCCTCTGTTCCTCGAACCACCGCAGAGCGGGGAGGAGGTGGACGAGGAAGAGCTCCTGGAAGAGATCGGGGGCGAATTTGGACCGCGCGACGGAAGGGTTGATGCGGAAGAGGCAGAGGACGGCTCTGGCCGCTTTGGCCGGCTGGTGGACCAAAGAGTAGATCAGGGAGAGGAGGAAGGACGAGAAAGGAGTGGTCGAGCAGCAGAGTAGCAGCTTCTCGGCGACGGCGAGGGAGGAGGATTGTACGGAGAGGTTCGTGGCGGCGATCGCCTTCTCCACCGCCTCCAGCGCTAGGCTGTGGGGCTTGAGGAGGTTGCTGCCGGCGGTGAATCGGGCGGCGAAGTGGGTCCTGCCCCCGCCGTGGAGGAGGGCCAGGAGGTGGTTCCGGAGCTCCGGGTCGGCGATTGCTTTGGAGAGGAAAGCGGTTGTGTGGTGGATGATGGTTTCTGCCGTCGTCGCGGTGGTTGTGGCGCCGACGGTCGGATTTTCCATTTTTTTGGTTGAGAAATTCGGATCAGTGGTTTTGGACGGCTTTGAGAACTTCACTAATTAGAGATGGAAGGATTAAGAGTGTATTTAATCGGGGGGAACATCGAAATGACCATTTTAACCTCAATTAGAAAAGTAACCACCAGCTCTCAAGTAACAATCGAGCGAGGGTAGAGATGTAAACCGACATTCTTTGAAATTTCCCGGGAAAGAGGACAGCTACAGCTGTCGGTTTCTCATTGGCCGGCCGCCATTTTTACAGCTTAGCCGGCCCCGTTGCGGCATTGCTTTGCCAGTTTGCCGCACCAGTTTCTAGTTTTTGGCGCGTAATTAAACTGTCATTTCGGGAAATCACCATTTGTCACATATTTATGTGTTTTAATCTTTTATGAGCCCATCAATTAGCCATATGGAAAATTGGAAATCGACCCTAATTGCCGACGTTTAATTGGTCTTCGAAACAAGAATCTATATTTGTTTCTTCACGGGGACTAACAGTTATACGTTAGAGACTACAACTACTTGTATGAACACTCCAAACAAGAAAGCCTCTCCTCAGTTTGCCATTCAGAATCCGAGCAGCAAGAAAGTAGAGAACACACGAATTTAAGCTGATATTATTGGAAGTGATCACTTCTTCGTCTGCTCTTTGCAATAATTTATCCTAAAAGAGATCTAGCAGTATGCTCTATTCTACACCCTAATTGATGTATTCGTTGGTATTCCGTCCGTTTAGGATTCTCCATGTTAGCAACGGATCGGGATAATCGACAATGTATGAAATTAAATAAACACATACGTGGTTCATGTAAAACAACGTGTGTTAGTCCAAGAGCATGAAAGAGCCAATTTCGCTATACGTTAGGAAATTACAGAGAGATTGAGAAGTATATACATAGTACTTATTCATATGACCTAACTCTAATCCAATCTGATAAATAATAAGATATATAGACCATACCCAAAATAGAAAACCCAAAACGTGTACAAACCCATATTCCGATTCATGTACTTCTCAACGACAGATAATTCCATTAAAATCATATAAACCCTCCCTACAGCGGCGGATCCAGAACACATTAGTGCACTGGGCCGGATTTCATTAGAAATTAGATACCGTAAAAAGGATAATAATTTTATATTTTTTACAATGTCAATTGTTCACGATGGTGTTTTAATTTAGCGAATGCATCAATAATGGAGTCTACATCCATGTCAATAGTATGCTTTGTTTCAAATAAAATACTTGAGCAACCGGCGAGTAATTCATCGCTCATTTTGTTGCCCTAATCAGTTTTCACATGTTTCATTGTTGATAAGGTTCTCGCCGTAGTAGCTGTTGAAACGGACAACGTCAATACTAAAATCAATCGACTAATCAATTTCCATTGTGTGTCCATCCCTATATCCAACAACTGCTCTAGTAAATTTTCAATGGAATAAATCTCATATTTATTTTATTAGTCTTTTACGAATTAGACTTTTAAAATTTCAGGTCCGTTGTTTTTGTTTAGACGAAAATCTTTAGGGCTAGAACTTATAAGCTAAATTTAGAGTAGATATTTGAATATGTTCATATGAATTATTTTTCTAGTTGCACACAATCTTATTATAAAATTACACTGAACCGAATGTCTAAAATCGAAAAATTCATAAGGACTATACTAACTTTGGATCCAGAGGAGGGCTGGGCCGGGGCCTGGGTTGGCCACCTGGATCCGCCAATTCCTCCCTATCTTCTCTGCATAACAATATAATCATTTGGCTAACGAAGACGACGATGATAACGCAGCGATGAAGTTCATCAAGACTCGCACGGCATTCTCAGCGGCCAAGGGCGCGAAAGCATCCGCCTCGTTAGAAAGAGCAGACCCACCGCCGGCCAAGTCGGACAGAGCCCTGATCGCAATGAATGGCGTCCTCTGCTGATAACAAACCAGCGCCACCGCAGCGCTCTCCATATCTATGGCGGTGGCGTTGAACTTGGCATTCAAGAACTCCCGATATGCCCTGTTGTCGACGAAGACTCCCGCGCTCACTCCCATCGCCACCGTCGCGGCCGCCGGAGGTCTCGGCAGGCATAAAGATGAGTTCACGCACCTCTCCAAGGTCACGCCCTGTTTCTGTAGAATTAAGAACCACCCAAACAAGTCAAGCCTAACAATATAATCTTAATGGCGTATGAGATTTCATTGATAGTTGTTGATTTTAGTTGCCTTGAGGGATTAACACAAATACACAAGCATGACAAAATGATAGTTTTCCATGTAGTTGATTTGGTTGTCCTATCCTAATAAAGTTACAATATTAGATTCAAATTTGTGTATTAAAACTTGACTATGTCTACGAGAGATAACTCAATTACATACGTAACTTGCTGATTTGTTTACTGGCTTCATGTAATTCAGAAAACACGAGTTTTTTTAGGTCTGTTGCTCATGTTTGTAATGATATGGTCATCACATCGTAACATATAGTGTAATCTAACAACCACGGGAAAAATCATGCTCCACAACTTAGGAATTTTCTACGAAACACAAGGTTTTGTAAAAAAAAAAGGAAATTCTCACAACCACGCTTACATTAGAAATTCTCAAAACACACAAGTTTGGCGCAGTTCTCTGGAGTGTCCGGTGATTCTGGTACCAGTTTGCTGGAGTTATTAGCGATAAGATTGCATCATTTTTTGGTTAGCCACGATCCGAACTGGTTCGAGGATGAGTCATTTTTTGTTGGCCGCGATCCACACCAGTTCGCTCCACGATCCAACAAATCATTATATAAATCGTTGGACAGTCTAGCGAACCAAACCAAACTTGTGTATTTTGAGAATTTTTAGCATGTTTGGAATTTTTTTTAGAAAGACCCAAGAATTTGTTTCATAAAATTGTAAAGGATAATTACCTCGACCATTTTAGCAACTTCCAGGTAACGCGAATCGACGGGGACCTTGAATATGTGCTCCCTGACTTCAGGGGATCCGTCCACCGTGAATATCTCCTCCGGTTGATACCAAACGTTGTTCAAAAAGTTGTCCGACGTCGGAGTAATGCTGTAGTTCGCAAATCTCAGGTAACCGATTTCCCTGGTGAAGTCGCCGTTGGACTCCAGGGCGAGAGGGTTGTTGGGCCCCGACCCGAACCTCTGCCAATTCCAGATCCCAGAATGAGCCCAATTCTCTGGAATCGTGACGTCGCCAATCTGCAGGTTTGGATTTGCGTTCCCTGCAATTCCGTAGTGAAGAACGCCTTCCAGGCTGAACAGGGTCAAAAGCAGCTCTGTGGTTATCCCTGCATTTAGCTTAATCCAACCCACTAATCAGAACCGGGGAAAAAAACAGAGGTTTTGTTGGTTTTGATGAATATGGTTTAAGAGTTTCAGATACCATGCTCAATCCTGTCATCACAAGGATAACCTTCTGGTTTCCCACCTTTCCTATCCTGAACCTTTTTCCTGTTACAAGGGATTGAAGAATAGTACGTGTTTGTGACAGGTACGACAAATCGAAAATGCAAAGAACACACAAAATTTGTACTAATACGATGTGTGTTAGTTAATCATATTGAATACATGGAAGTCGTTACTGAGACCAGGCGCGCCATAACGTACCCATAATGTCGAGGTAAGGAACGATCGGATTGGGGGTGAAGCGGTTAAATCGAAGAAGAGGGTTCATCTCGAACATGTTGGGCACGACGATCCCCAACCGAGAACCGAACTTGTTGAGCTCGTGAACCCTTCTCAAGTCGTCTGCACTGAGTAGTGCTGCGTCCGTTCTGGAAATTGTGTGATCACTCCACAAGACCAGGAGGAGAACCAGACCCAGATACTGCAGCAACAGCTTGGAACAATTCATCTCCATTTTCTGCCCTTTTTCCTGATGGCGATGAACTAAACTGCAGGCTTGTGTATATATTGCTGCAGAACAATGTAGGCAGGGGAAACCTTTCAATGGCTGCTCGATTGGGTTTCTGAGACTATTGTCTGTTGCGTAACATATAGGTGAATACATGGCGGGAAGAAATGTAATCGGTTAGGTGGAGAATCAAGAAGTCATTAGGAGTAGAATAGTTGTTAGGGGAAGGAAAAACCTTAATTAATGCAAGACAAATCAAATTGTCATGTGTCTTAAGATTTGGGTAATGAACAACATTAGATTGAGATCATCATACTGACGATTTTGCTGAAAGTACGGTATAAAAATCTACCAAGATGCTAATGCGGCGATGAACTTAATCAGGACCCGCACTGCATTTGCAGCTGCTAGATGAACGAGAGCGTCAGCCTCGTCGGAACGAGCAGAGGAGCCTCCGGCTCCGGCCAGATCGGACAGAGCCCTGATCGCAATGAAAGGGACCTTCTGCTGGTAACAAACCAGCGCCACCGCCGCGCTCTCCATGTCCACCGCCGTCGCGTTGAACTCCGAATTCAGGAACTCTCCATAGGCCTTGTTATCCACGAACACGCTCCCACTCACCCCCATTTCCACCGTCGCCAGGATCGGCGCTTTGGGAAGGCAGGCGGTCCAGCTCACGCACCTCGCCAACGCCACGCCATCTCTCTGTATACATCTAAAACGAATCAGCTCTGATACCATGTCATAAACAATCTAATTTTCAACCACCGCGGCGCGCGAGAAACAATTCGCTACCTCGATCGATTTGGCCACTTCCATGTAGCGCGAATCGACGGGGACCTTGAAGATTCGCTGCCTGACTTCAGGGGATCCGTCCACCGGGAAAATCTCCTCCCGTTGATACCAAACGCTGTTCAAAAAGTTGTCCGACTCCGGCGATGATGTAGTGCTGTAGTTGGCGAATCTCAGGTAGCCGATTTCCCTGGTGAAGCTGTCGTCGTCGGGCTCCTGGGCTAGTGTGTCGTTCGGTCCGGATCCGTACCTCTGCCAGCTCCAGAGCCCGGAATGAGCCCAATACCGTGGAATCGTCACGTCGCCGATCTGGAGCTCAGGGTTTGCGTTCCCTGCGATGCCGTAGTGGACGACGCCTTCCACTTCGAACAGCGTCAGGAGCAGTTCCGTCGTTATCCCTGCATTTAGCTGATCCTCGCCGGGAAAAAAACCCAACAAAAATGAGAACCTAACAAAACAGAGGTGGTAATTGGATCGGATAGGGAAAAACAGGGGTACTACTACTACCATGCTTAATCCTGTCATCACAATGATAACCTTCTGATGTCCCACTTTTCCTACCCTAAACCTTCTTCCTGCAACAACAAAAACAAGAACACAATCATCAATTTAGCTGTAGATGGTACAATCAGTTGTCACAAGAACATCACTTTTACAGGGATAACGTACCCATAATGTCGAGGGAGGGAGTCCTCGAATCGGGGACGAAGCGATCGGAGTGAAGAAGAGGGTCCATCTCGAACATGTTGGGCACCACGATCCCCAGATACGGACCCATCTTGTTGACCTCGTGAATCTTTCTCAGGTAGCTTGAACCAATTGCAGCGTCGGAAGTGATCGTGTCGCTCCACAGGACCAGGGAAAGAAGAACCAAACTGCTCCATAAACGGAAATGACAGATTGACATCTTCATTTTCTGCCCTGTTGCTTGTACACTGAATAACAATGGGAAGCTTTTCAATGGCTGGGAAAGGCAAGTATATATGGAGTTAGCTAGCCAGCGGGGTAAGAAATGGAGTAAGGTTAAGGTGGGGAATAAGCTAGCTAGCTAAGGCATATCTGGTAGGTTCTTTAATGGAGCCTTGAGGTCAGAGTGAGGAATTTTGTGTTCTGGCGGGATGATGATGATCATCATCATGGGCCTTACCTGTTGACATACCCATGATTCTGAAACCTAACATAAGAAGTGCAAGTAGGAGAGGAGTAGCGGCGGAGCTATAAATTTGAAAGAGATGAAAAATATACACTTGAGTGGTGTGAATCATGGTCTTTGGTAAATGGACTTGTGTTTTAGAATTTGTTACACATTTTTCCATGTAAATTTACCTATTTTCGAAAGTTGAGGGAGCCTATAGCCCATCCTGAGCTCAACATGGCTCTGCCACTAGGGAGGAGTATGGAATCAATTGGGTCTCAACTTCGAATAAAACACAACTAAAAGAAGTTATGCTCTGAACTAAATACAGATAGCTTTGGTTCTATTTTACGAAGAAATTATGTGTAGATTCTGAATGAAACAGAAATTGAGGGTTGATAGTATAAAAATGAACTCTAATGTGATGCATTTGATATGTTGATTGTATTTCAACGAATCGAAATCATCGAATATCATTGCTTCAAATGAATAAGATTTTTTCGACCGCGTACCAGCCGTCATTTTCTTGACAAGGAATATCCAAAGTACTAGTATTAGACTATTAGTACGCTACTACACTTTCCTCTTCCTAAACCTAAAGTTTTACAAATACTCTAGTAAAAGAAATTTAACACGAATATCCTATTATATTGCCAAATGGCAACTAAAAGTAGATACAAAATGTCAAACCCAACAGGTTAACAAGTAAAAATAAATTGCCAAGCCCAACAATTTTGACATACTAGCAAAGACCCGCTCCCTACGCTTCGCGATGAGTAGTCATCATCATACTAATAGATATATGGTGTAAATAGGAAAATAAATATGTCATTAGAACTATAATGTTAATTTATTTTGTTTCTTGTCCATGAATCTGTTCATCAAGTTCCTCTCGCTCTTGTTTAACAATTGATACAACATTCATTTGTACAATAGATGGCCGACTTTAAAGAAAACACAATGTTCGAAAGATACTATATTAGGGTCGAACTAAAAATGAGGCAAGAAATCATACAACATTCATGCTTTCGGTACATTCAATCCCATCCGAAACCCTTCTAGAAAATGATCACTTTCCTATGCTCTTCTTCCCCATCATTTCTCTAAACAGCTCAAGTGCATAGTCTTGCTAACATGTCTCCTATAATTGATCAATGATTATTTCGTATGAAGATGTATATCCTGTAAGGCTGACAAAGAAAACCAATTTTATGAAGCTATGAAGATGTATATCGTCAGCTTACGTGCTAGCTCACAGGCAGACCAGTGAAATCATCAGCATTCACTAATTAAATATACTAAAACTTACCCGTTCGGTTACGCTTTGCGAGTGAAAGTAGTCATTGTAAACATATCATGCAAAAGAATTAGCAAAATGTATCTGATTAAATACATGACACTAAGATCCATGAAGCATGCATCATTTGAAGGCTTGAAATTGGGGCTAATAAGTAAGCAGAGCTGATACAGTATTCTGAAAGCCAAGCGTGAAATTAGTGCGTGGCTACAAACACACCAAGCAAGAAAAAGTCAAAACAATCCAGTTTCTACAGTTTCAAAAATGGACTTGCAAGTCAAGGAAATAGCTTGGACCATCAGTTTCTAGGGGTCCAAATGGAGATCATATAATTAGTATGCTAAACACACATGCATTAAACCATAAACAGAGGGAAGGTGCAATAACAGTAACCTGGTAAATTAGGTATGACATCAATGATCATTGCAGAGGAGAAAATTGCCAAAATGGATCTCCATGTTGCTTTAAGGTGGTAAATCCTAAAGGTCGCTGCTTTGTAACAGTAACACCACAGCCTAATAGACACACCAACATCCATTGATCAAGAGGTGAAATCAAAAGGAGATTCTCTGGAATGAGGCTCATCAAAGTAAAAATAACACAAAAGTTATACTTAAATAGAAAGGGCAGAAGTCTGAATCCAGCAAGAAAAAAATTTGTTAAGTCAAAGAAAGTAAACATAACTCGATCACAATGGCGCCCTGCCAATGTACACAGAAAATGCAGCAGCTGGTCATCCATTTCAAACCTTAACTATCCATAGAAATGCATACATATATTAAGACATACATATATATAGAAGTGTACAATTAATCCAAAAGAAAGGTAAACACAGATTGAGTGGATCTCAGAAGTACTCGATTTACTATGATTTGGCAAACTCGTGTCAAGATCAGGCTTGTCTCTTAGAGCAAACTGTAAAAACGAAAAAACACCAGAGAAAATAAACAAATCAAAGTTGAGTAAACAAAGGCTGAACACAAATTCACAAAACAAAAGGGAAATATGAGCGAAATCCCTTCCATTGGGTATGCAAGCACTCATTACCTGTTCTTTCTCGATATGAGTAACCAATCTTCTTGCATTAAACAATTTTCACTACAGGCAACACACAATGTGAATATATCAGGTAAAACTTGTTAGTCCTTTTAGACAATAGCATAAGAATAACAAAATAGATGCATGTCAGCAAGTGTGGTACTCAAAGAAAAATAATGCGGATTTTTTGCTATCTTTAAATCTAATATCCACATAATAGAGAGAAAGCATGATACCAAGATAATGGTGTAAATATCAAGTGAATTTGGACTACAAAGGATTAGATAGTTTTCAGGACTTTACATAATTGTTCTTTACTAAACATTTGGTGAGTTTCTACTGTAAGGCGTCTTTCTATTTGTTCAGGTATCCATATAAGTTTCCGATGATTCGAAGGGCAATGTATAGAATACAGCTTCACTAACTTAACCTTGTCATGAGTTTCTACTGTGAGCTACATCTGTTCTATTTGGAGAGTTTCTGAAATGTGCCATGTGGAAGGTAAAACACCCCAAATTGGCTCAATCTTAACCTGCAAACCATTGAGCAGTTTAGCAGTTAGCATCTATAGGAAGAGGATAAAGCATGGTCGGGGAAAGCCAAAAAGCTATAGATTGCTGTGTAAGGATACAAAAGCAACAATTTCACTAATGGTATAACTTATAAGAACACAAACCTTAATCAAAGAGGGACCAGCTCTTATCCAATTTTATATGCGGCTTAAACATAATGGAGAAGCATAAATAATTCATGTTGGCTATCATGAAAGAACATCTAAATTCTAATGCCTTTTCCAAAGAACAATTCCTCCCTTTAAAGATGTATATGTTCTGTTGCGGGGGTCCCTTTCCTGTATGTTAGCATGCGGTTATTATGGGTATTGGTATTGGTCAAGGATGAGTTGGGGGAAAATCTTGAAAGCACAGGGGCTGGAATCAGAGAGAATACCTAGGTTTAGCAGTGAGTTTTAGAGGTGGGATTCAACCCAGGAGTTTCGGAGGGGGAGCCAAATTCCGGCGCAGCAAGTCCCAAACTAATTCTTTCCAGTCAACGAACCCCAAATTTCTTATTCCGTCTCGCTGGGAGAGTACCCAAACATTTTCCCCTACTCACCAAACACTATCGGCGGAATCTAAAACTCTCGGCGGAATCCCAGGTTTGCTGCTCTCTGTCATACCGGCCCCCTGAGTTACCGTGAAATCGCCGACCCATCAACTGTGTCCACACCCGCCGCCGTCAGCAGCTACCGCTGGAGTTTCCCCTTGCTGCATCTAGTGCGTTCCTTCCCCTAATCTCGCCGTTAACTCCTGGATTGGCTCTCTACCAATCTACAATCAACTCATTTGTAACCAAATTAGGGGAGGTAGATGAATATTTGCTGGTACCATGCCGCGCCGAAATCAACCTCCATATCTCTTCTTAACGTCTTCCCCTCGCTGGTTCCATCTAAAATTCTGACCCATCAACCCAGAGATCCCTTCTTCTCTCTCGGCGGAATCCCACCTGACTCGTGCTCCTAGGCAAACGAAACCCCATCAGGTACCGTCCCCGGCAACGCCGCCGATGTCCACACCCGCAGGGACTCCGCCGTTCTCGCTTACCACAGAGCTCGGTCAACGATGTCGAGGAACCTTGCTCGCCATCGTAGGGATGCCACCGCCCCACCCGCTGTCGACCCGATTCTAGACTCGCCGCTGTTGGGGTTCCGCCATAAGAGGAGGTAGATAGAGTTAGAATTACCCAAAAACGGCCATCGGTATGGAGGTATGTGTGTTTGTGTGCGTAAGAGAGATCGGAAGAAGGGGGAGATGGCGTATCGAGAGGGAGAAGGTGGGGAGGCTCCAATCCGGCAGTGAAAAGGGAGAGAACCACCGGTAGGGTTTTTGGGGGAATCAATGGAGGTGCAAAATCTAGGATTCCGCTAGAGTTCTCGACGCATTTCAATGGGCAGTGCCTTGGATTGAGCGTTTGGTTATGGAATCAGAGGTAAGGAAAGGCCAGGTTGTTGAAGGCAGGTTGGGTGAAAAAGAAAAGGTTTGCGTGTAGGTGAGAAGAGCAGAGAAGGAGAAGAGGGATTGGAACTTGGAAGAAGAGAAGAAAATTATGATTGGCTTTGATGAAGAGAGAAGGCAGGCCAGTGACAGGAGAAAGTGGGTATTGCAGAGTTGTTAATGGAGGAACCGGTGGAGAGAAAAAAGATCCAATGGTTCTTCAACAGAGAGTGGGGTAAAACGGAGCTAAAAAAACTAAGAAAGGCAAAGGCGGGCACGTGGGCTAATGCAGAAGAAACGTTTGTTGGAGGCCCAGTCGCAGCAAGGAGATTGGGGGCCACTAATGAACAGTAGTGGCAACCAAGGCTTTTATATATCAACAACAACAATTTTTAGGGCCAAGCATACAGCCAGGAAGGCCCAAATTCACGGGCCACATTGCGCATCTTTACCCGCAACCCTCTGAAGGAGTTATATATATAACCCTAATCGACCAGACCTTTAAAACCCTAGTTGAGCAGAAGAAGCCAGAGCTCCGCTCACATATATTTTCCTCTCCTTTGGACTTCCGCCGGAAATAGCGACGCCACTTCCTCTTCCTGCCGTCGTCCACCATGGTAACATTCTTCGGATCCCCAAAACTGATGATTCTTCTCATCACTGTTTCGACGGTTGAAGGCTCTTCAATCGTTCTTTGTGTTGATTGACGATGTCGAGTTCTTTTTTCTCGTCGTGTCGGGCTGATTAGATCTGTATGGGTAGCCGCCGGTATTTCCATTTGAGCTTTATATCTCGCACGTGCTTTGTTCTGGTTTGCGTCGTTGTTTTGGATTGTTCATTGCTAGACGATGGCACTGTAGAGTATCAGTGTGACCGATGGCTCTTAATTCGTTTAGGAGATCCGCCGTCTTCGTTTATGAGCGTCTTCGAGCATTTTATGTTGCTTCCCGCTTTCATTCCACCTGGTAGAGGGGTATCTGGGTTTTAATAATACGGATTACGCCCAATTTGTGTGGCTTGGTTGTTTTATATGTCTGAGATGATAAGATGATTGGAGTGTATAGCTTACAAGTAGTCTCTCAAACCAACGTTCTTAGCTGGTTGGTGTGCTCATTTTTAATTCGTTTGCGTTGTTGATAATTGGCTTGGTCCTAAAAATGCTGGGTTCATGGTCTGTCAGTCTTGTGCTGTTATTGTGTGAAGTTGTTGATCTGTATGAAGATTGTCTGACGTTTTGCTGGGTTTTTCTTTTATCTACTTTTGAGACTTAATTGAGATCCTTGCCTGGTTTTTGTAGGCCCCCAAAAGAGGTGCTAAACCCTCAGCAGTTGCCAAGAAGAAATCTGTAAGTAATCTCTTTCAACTAGTTACCCGAGTTTCTGAAGCTTTAATAGCTCGTCTTGGTGTTGTTATCCGCCCTTGTACCTGAATTCTTTTGGTTTTTTTGGTTCCAAGGGGTGTTGTAGGCTCGTATTCAATGATCTCCTTGGGATTCTGATGCTTTAGTCGTATCCTGTCTTATCATTTTGATTCACGTTAGTAAATTCCTGATGTGGAGCATTTAGTCAGTTTTTTTTGGAGATGTTGAAGACTTTGAATATTGCTTCGTGTTAACATTTTTCTATATTGAGTTGTACTTCTGTAGACTGATTAGTCTAGTGGGATATCATGAATGAATCATGATTGCAGGACAAGGTTGTGAATCCTTTGTTCGAGAAAAGGCCGAAGCAATTTGGAATTGGTGGTGCTCTCCCTCCAAAGAGGGATTTGACTAGATTTGTCAAGTGGCCTCATGTTGTTCGCATTCAAAGGCAAAGGAGGATCTTGAGGCAACGTTTGAAGGTTCCTCCTGCTGTCAACCAGTTTACGAAAGCACTAGACAAGAATCTAGGTAAAGTTATCAGGAAATTGTTGTTTCCTTTTGTTGGTGTATCATGTTGATCATCTCATCATGCATTATTAATTTTTTTTCAACATCATATATACAGCGACCCAGCTGTTCAAGCTTTTGCTCAAGTATCGGCCAGAGGACAAAGCTGCGAAGAAAGAGAGGCTCATCAGCAAAGCACAAGCTGAAGCTGAAGGAAAGACCGTGGAGTCTAAGAAACCCATTGTTGTTAAGTACGGACTTAACCATGTGACTTACCTTATCGAGCAGGTAGTCCTCATGTTTTGCGACTTGATTGTCTTGTTACAGTTTTTCCATTTTTTCCAACCTGATGTCTTTATATGATTCAAATTTCTGCTAATGATGGTCCATATGAGCCTTGATACGCATTCTACTATCTTTATGCAGAACAAAGCCCAACTGGTTGTTATTGCTCATGATGTCGATCCAATCGAGCTTGTTGTCTGGTTGCCTGCACTGTGCCGTAAGATGGAGGTCCCATATGCTATTGTGAAGGGCAAGTCTAGGCTTGGAGCGGTAAATTTCTGGGTTTCATTTCCGACTTTGGAGTCCAATACTTCATGACAACTCTTGAGCCATTTCTAACAACAATGGATTTGACAGATTGTCCACCAGAAGACAGCTGCCGCTTTGTGCCTTACATCTGTGAAGAACGAGGACAAAATGGAGTTCAGCAAGATTTTGGAGGCAGTGAAGGTAAATGCTATTCAACTTTAAAGAAAAGCGAATCATTAGCGATCGTTAACCTCCTCGTGTAGTGCTCTGCCCTCTGAGAACTCTTCTTGTCTTGTGTTCTGCAACGGTCTTTAACCGCTTCCTCCTTTTGCTACGTTGCTTGCAGGCTAACTTCAACGACAAGTTCGATGAGCACAGGAAGAAGTGGGGTGGTGGGATCATGGGATCCAAGTCTCAGGCCAAGACCAAAGCCAAGGAGAGACTCTTGGCCAAGGAAGCTGCTCAGAGGATGTCTTAACTTTAGCTTTGATGTAGCAAGGATATTTGTCAATTTTGAGGATGGTTTTGTTCTTCCCTTTGAACTTTGCTTAGTGTGCGACTAAATCTGTTTCTTTTCCCTCCTTTCGTTGAGAATCATAATATTCAGTACTGTCAGTTGATGGTGGGATTATGAATGAAGCTACTTTTGCTAAGAGATGTCTGATCTGTGATCCTATGGTCTATTAGTATTGTTCAGTGTCGAAAATGTTGATTAACTTTGGCACTCATCTTTGGCCGACGCCTGACCGGCCGTCGTGCTTCATTACCTGGAATAATCAACATGGGCCTTCAATGTTAATTGGGCTGCTGAGTTCAGCCCAAACCTTTTCCAACTTTGAGCGCGCGTTCAGTACTAACAACCGACTATCCTGAATACGGCAAACTTTTTGGAACTCATGGGTACGGACATGAGTACGGACACAAAATATATGGACAGTCTTGCACAAACACAAATAATTTGTGAGGAGCATGGGATCTAAACTTAATAGGCAAGAATACAACACAGTCTGGGCTATTCCTGGCCAAATATTTTTGAGATCGTACTGAGTATAAATATGGCCTGACGAGAAAATACTTTTTGATGGAAAACAAATATAAAAAGAATTATAAGTTCAAATATACTTCAAATTTTATTTATTTTCTCTTGTTTGTTACTTTTCTCGAACATTCTCAATTAATACTTTCATTCTCCGTCCAGTTTTATATGTTTCCCCTTTTCATTAAGCACGAATATGAGCATAACACGAGCACGGGTAGGCATGACACGATTCAACCGTTGCTCGAACTCGAGCCGGGCCGAGCAAATATGAGACGTGAGCTGGTATGGCATGACACGAAAACTAACGGACCGTGCCAAGCACAATACGAGATAAAACGGGCCTGAAGTGTGCCTGCGCCATGCCGGCCCAGGCACGACCCAGTTCCGTAGGATATAAGTTTTTTTACTTCCATCTCTGTGTTTTCGGATACTTGTGGATAATCCATGTTTCGAAAATTCAAACTATAATCAACTAAAAAAAATGTAAGTAAGTTGAAGACAAGTATTATTTAGAGCTACAACTTTGAACAACCATTATCAATAATATATTGACCACAAATAGTATGAGAAACATAAAGTAGATGGGGGAAGTTATAATATATCTAAAAATCATATTGTTTCGTTTGCTCCAGAGTCTCGAACACACTGCATGTGACAAGACTTTAATACAATCTTTGAACTTAGGATCACACCTCAAACCTCTCCAAACATGGAGAGAAAGCTGTATCTGAGCGGGGAAAGAACCGTGAAACTCTAAAGCCTTCGTGAAGGATTCCCAAGTTCTCATTGATAAATGGCATATAACATGAGATGTGAAATTGACCCCTCGTAGCTTTTATACAAAGAACACCAATTTTTAATGATCATTCATCTTCTTCTCAAGTTGTCTATGGTGGAAATTCTTGATAATGAGGTCATCCAGATAAAGTATCAAATCATCAAAGAGGTACAAGAAATCCATACGAGCTTGTAGGGGAAGGAATTGTCACCTTCAAAAGAATCATCAATGAGATGTGTTGTGATGGAATGCACAGAGAAAACAATGGATAGCTCCAAAGGCCAAACCAAACGAGCTTGGCTGACACAAGTCCAATTATGTGGAAGTGAAGACAACAAATGCATCAAATAAACTTGTTCTGCTTCATCCCCACATCTCATGGAAATTGTAATGGGGGATCTCCTACCTGTCATCCAAAGAAACCAAGTCTGAAACAAAAACATCCAAGGAATGGGAATGAGACCCAACTCTTGGGAACTCTCTCACCAAGTTTTCCTCAGGAATCCACATATCATGCATAAAGGACACTTCATATCCCCCAAGTTGGACATAAGCAACTTCCCAGAAGTAGGAGCTTTTGTTGACAATAGCACGCCAAAAGGAGCAACCAAATTGCCCCAAAATCAAACAAGGTTTCCACTCTGAAGCACCTAACCCACATTTCCACGATCATGTTTATCCACCAAGCATCTCTCAAGCCCAAATCTCCAAGTCTGTTTCCCTAAAAGAGACCAGTTAACACTCATGAGATCCAATATTCCCAAACCGCCCCTCACCATAGGGGTTTTCACTAAATCTCACCGAACCTAGTGCAATATTTTAATCTCCAAGGCACAAGACCACATGAAATCATTATAAATTATTTCCAACCTTGCAATCTCTTATGTCTTGGCCTTGAAAGGAGACAAGAAGGATATGAGAATATTTGCAAGGACGTCTTTTAACAAAATAAGTCTCCCCCAAATGAGAGCATCCAAGCCTTTTAGGAGTCTAAACGATTTTGGACCTTCTCAATCGTTGGTTCTCAAGCTGGCAAAGTAGCCATTCTAGATCCCAAAGGAAGTCCTAGATTGTTCGTCGACAAAGAAACCATCTCACACTAAAAAATGTTAGTAAAATGAGAAGGGTCTTCCACCTTCCACACAACCATCATGAAACTCTTGTGTAAATTCAAGCAAAGAAGTGAGATGGTTTCAGAAAGGGCTAGAGCTGCGAGGAGATATTAAACATGACCTTCAAATGCATCACAAAAATGCAGGGTGTCATCCGCATGGAGGACGTGAGTGACCTCACCACTTTTAAGGTCATCGTTCATAAAGAAGCCTTCTACCAAAACATGGAGTTGCATCTTTTTTAAGATACCCGATAAAACCTCCATAATAAGAATGAAAAGGAAATAAGTAAGAGAATCCCCTTGTCTAATAAACATCTACCATGTTTCCTTAACTCAATCAACTCATTTATGATAAAAATGGCGTCAAGGATTTGATGACCCCTTACAAAAGCACACTACTCCAATGCAATCAAATTACTTATAAATGCTCTCAATCTTTCTATGAGTACCTTGGAAAGGATTTTGTATGGATTATAAACCAAACTGATGGGTCTGAGATAGGGCTGTCAATTTGGTTTGGTTTGGTTAACCAAACCATTAAGTATGAAAAACCAAAAACCAAAAACCAAATCAGCAAAAACCAAAACCAAAACCATTAAGGTCCTTATTGGTTATTGGTTACCAATAACCAATAAGGACCTTAATGGTTTTGGTTTTGTAACCAATAACCAATAAGGACCTTAATGGTTTTGGTTTTGGTTTTGGATAACCAAAAAACCAACATGTACTCATACACTCATATTTATTTCTATTTCCCTTCTTTTTATTGAATAAATGTCATAATAATGATAAATGATAAAATGACCATTATAAATTATTGGTTGGCATGCATATCTAAAGAAACAATAAAAAAAAATTCATGATAAATAATTTTATTATTATTATTTGTACATTCTTATAAAAAATAGTATATATATGGTTCACAATGAATCAAGGAAACATGTTATTGTTTTTCTTATTTTAAATGGATGTCATGGATTGAACAGAAACCCTTTTGAGAGTCTCTTTCAGGTCTGTGTCTTTGATACGAGTTAGGAAGGAAGGAAGTTAGTCTTAGCCATGGTTTTGGGGCTCGTATTTATGTCCCCTGTTGGTTGCTTTTATATAAGTTGTCACCTAATAACATTATACTACAAATGGTCTTACCAACATTTTATCCTTCCAGTAATACATTTAAGACTAATAACATCCACAATGTCAACTTTGGGTAACAATATTAAAAATCAACATCACTCCACCTTATCGGACTCTATATCCACACAAGTCTCATCATTCCCATCAGAATCCTCATCAAAATAAACTTCTTCGACTTGTGACCCAGTAGGACTCGAGATCGGAACATGAGCAGAATGTGAGCTTCCACTAGGTTCTGCAGGTGCACTTGCACTTCGAGTTTGAAAAGCTGCAAATACTAGATAACATAAACAATAACTTGTTAGAATATGATTTCATTACAATAACAAATATAAGAATAAACATAAGTTCTTACCATTCTGAAATACAACTTCATCACACTCATCTTCTCCATCAGCCACCAACTCAGAGTTAGCAGATCTTATCCAATCTTCACAGCAAATCAAAGCCTCCACAACTTCAGGGGATAAGGAGGTCCTAAACGAATCTAAAACTCGACCTCCTGTACTGAATGCCGACTCAGAAGCAACTGTGGAAATAGGAACAGCGAGAATATCTCTAACCATCTCAGAAATAATAGGATATTTCATCCCACTTCGCGACCACCATCCCAAGATGTCAAACTTATACTCATCCTCTTCAGAACCCACCATTGCTCGTGTAACCTGCTCATCATCCTCCTCCTCCTCAAGGTACCTATCAAACTCAGATTTGGAACTTTTTCTAGTTCCTTTCCGAATGGCCTCTCTTTTCTTTTTCCTGAAATCATCCCAAAACTTTCCTTTCTTCTTCCCATCCCCACTTCCACTAGGTTCTTGCTCACCTTCTTGAATCACAATAGGAGAACTACTATGAAGTCCGATCCTATGCTTGTAATGGTCAAAAAGAGCACGCATTTCATCTTTCACCTCATCGGCCAAAGCTTTCCCCCTACTTTCACCATATACCTTCTTCAAAGCTTCTTCAAGATATTCCATTTTGCGCCTTGGATCTAATATGACTGCCATATAGCACAACCGATTGATCTTGGAATTCTCCCACTCTTCTTCAAACCAATACTTGGCAAGTTTGGACTTGATTCTCTCAGCCATGCAACCCACCTCAAAATCAATACTATCAACCCACTCAGAAATCGTAGTATACATTTCACATATTTCATCAAATAAGAGGTGTAAAGTTACATATGAAGTCCCAGAAACTCGAACAGTCACATCATAGAAGAGCTTCAGGTAACTAATCAACCGTCCGACACTTGACCAATCATCAGAAGTTGGGATACCAAGGCTTTGATTTCCATATTTTTTTTCATTGAGATGTTTCTTGAAATTCTTCTCATTTCTGGCTAATGTCTGAAATGCTTTCTCAAATGGCTTTGCAGATTCCAACATCAGATACGTTGAGTTCCACCTTGTAGCTACATCCAACGAAACAAATTTCTTCGACACTATCTTTTCAAACTCAATGCAATCTTTGAATTTTCTGCTCCTAGTTGGTGTAGATTTAACCCACTTCACTGACTCTCTCACTCGCTCAACAGATATACCAGTTTCTTTAAGCCCATCCTTCACAGCTAAATTAATAATGTGAGCCACACACCTCATCTGCAGATACTTTCCATCCACAATATCTGATCCCCACTCTTTCAACTGTTGCCTCATATGGATAGCAACCACATCATTAACACTAGCATTATCCATTGTGATACAAAAGACCTTCCTAATGCCCCAGTCCACCAAACAACTAGCCAACTGTTTTCCAATTTCATTTCCAGAATGTTTTGTTATCTGAACAAAGTTGATAATTTTCTTATACAGCTTCCAATCCCTACCGATGAAATGTGCAGTAACACACATGTAGTTGAGATTGGACAAAGACGTCCAACAATCAGTTGTGAGAGATACCATCCCCAAACATTTAGCTTTGAAATAATCCTTTAACATATCTCTGTTTTCAAAAAACACCTTGATGCAATCTTCTCTAACAGTTTGTCGGCTAGGCAGCACAAACATAGGACAAACACGAGACATAAAGCGTTTGAACCCTTCATCTAGAATTATCATCTCCGCTAAAGCTCTCCTAGCATCAGTCTGATTAAATTGCCAAGAACCAAGAGTGTGTACCTGGCCTTCAAAAGATGACGGAAGCTCGACTACAAGATCACCCCTTGCTATCTTTGCCAAACAATTATCCTTGTGGGTCCGTAGAGTAGATGTCCCGTTAGCTACAAGAGCACTATTGCAGTAGTTGCATCGAGCTTTTTTCACTCCACCCATCTCCAAGTGTGTGAAATGTCTCCAAACATCAGATCTGTCTTTCCTTTTTTTCGATGTTGTCCCCCCACCTTCTGTTTGAGCATTGGGTACTGTGGTGGTACCGGAAGATGGTGCAAAAGTGGAGGAAGACGTTGCAGGAGGTCTAGGCGGAATACTGGTGCTTTTGGAGTGCCCACTTCTAGGACGAGCACCACTAGATGAAACATTTTGTGATTATGGTATCTCATTGTTCCTGCCAATATCAAAAGTGAATTTGTATCAAAATCAAGTACATAATCACTTGGCCTAACATCACACCCTGAAACAACTTGTCCATTTCCTAGACTTAGACCTAAAACTTCACAAAGCTACTCGCCAGCTTAATTATGATTTATTATGAAATCATAGTTATGTTTACCATGGGACATATAACAAATATATCAACAGCCAAACCCGTTTATCCTTACATAGTGTCTGAATTTTGTCTTTACAGATGATCTCAGCTAGCAATTAATGCACACACTGACCCAATCCCATTGAACTCGTCAAGAAAATGGACGAAACCAAGTCATAGTGAAATCGGTTAACTTTAGCTGATAAAAGACATTCACCAGTGGAAAGCTACTTGATGATGAACAATATTATATGATATACTCTATATAAAAATCAAGCTAAGGAAAATTCCAAAACTGATATCCAACTTCAAGGACAAATGTTCATAGTGCATAATGAAAGTGCTGATTTTTCATAATTAAATCAACCGGCATCAAGAAATTTGGACTCTCAAAGTTAACCTGAATCATTGATCCTCTAAGGCACTCAGTGCTGCAGTATTAACTTGGATTCCCCCATACGTCACTTCACACAATTACATTTTAGCATTACTCAACTCAACAAGTATTATGCTTTCGTGTTGCCTTTCCTACTACTGCGTGCTGCTGTTTGTTTTGCCAGGAATCAGCTAGCTAGCATGCTTATATATAGACTGACGCATGCAGCTAGCAGCCTGGGCGGACCACAAGAATGGCATCTACATATCGCTTAATTACACTAGTAGTAGAATAATTAACTAAGTATATGCCTTTTGGTTTACACGCAACCAACCAATGCTAAGAAAAAGCAGCAAGCTACCTAGCACAGCTTCCTTCCTTCTATTTTCTTATCTTCTCATCCTAGTAGTAGAATCCAATGCGGAAACCGAAATCAGACGTTTCAACAAATTCCCATACCATCTAAGCTACCAAGCCGCACAGAACTAGCCTACAATCAAGGACAACAAGCAATCAATTTTCCCTGTCTGCTTTTGAAACAGAACAACTTCAAAGCAACCAGGAAATATAAACAGAGTCGCCACCCAGAAAATGTCAGGGGAGCTTGAATGAAAGCCACAAACAGAGTCACCATAAAATATGGCAGAAACGAAACCCAAATCCAAAAATCCAACACATAAACCATGCTTTAGCCAACAACCAAGCCCCAGAAACGAAACCCAAATCCAAAAATCAACAAACCGAATAGGGGAAGATAGATGAAAGCAAGCTATGTGAGGGACTCACTGAGATTCCATTGAACAAAGGCGGCAAGTTTAGAACAGAGTATGGAGTAGGAGAGGAGTTATTCGCCGACGACCCAGTTCTCTCCAATCGACGACCCAGAATATGCTCAAGCTGGACAATGCCCACCCATGGAGTTTATCGCCGACCCAGTTCCTCGAGCTAAGAATCAACGGCCACAAAGCAGCAACTCAGGTTTCCGCCTATGCCAAAGATAGTCGGCTTCAGAGCAACGAGAAGAAGAGAGGTGCCTCGAAAGGGTTCTAGGGATTCAGAGCAACGAAAAGATTCTGAAGAGAGGTGCCTCGTGCGCAGCCGCAGGCGAGAGCATTTCGTTCGAAAGGGGTTTAGGGATTTCGAAGGGTTCTAGGGAAAGAGTTGCGCGAGCGTTTCGTTGAAAGGGGTCGTTTCGTTGATATTGGTTTCTTATTGGTTTTTCAGTTTTAACCAAACCAAAACCATTAAGTTGCTTATTGGTTTAAAACCAAAAAACTGAAACCATTAGCTTTCCAATTGGTTTGGTTATGGTTAAAACCAAAAAACCTAAACCAAATGGACAGCCCTAGTCTGAGATCTTTGCCATCACAAACTACTTCTTTTTTGGGAATCAAACACAAGAAAATATGGTTAAATCTCTTTGGATGAACCCTAGTTGTAGTAAACGCATTCAAAGCATCCAAAATATTCGTCTTCACAATGACCAAAATTTCTCAAGAACCCCTTCGAAAAACCATCAGGTCCATGTGCGTGATCCCCTTTGCTTCTTCTTATTACCTTCCAAACTTCTTCATCTCCAAAAGGCCTAAAAAACGTGAGGGTGGCATGAGAAGGGAGAGAAGGGAAATCACGTCCAAACGAAAAAAAGACATTTTAGGATTAGCTTCCCGAAAAAGATACGTGGAGTATGAGACAACAGTAGTAGCCAACTGTTCTTAACCTGAACACAACACCCCAATCACCTAAATGGTGTCTATGGAATTCCTTTGACGATTGAAGTTTGCCACCTTATGGAAAAAATATAGTATCCCTATCCCCACATTTAAGCCAAGTCTCTCTTTATTTAGCACAATAGTTTCGTATAGCGCGGCCAATTCTAGAATCAGACTGTCTATCAATGATCCAAAGCTCGAAGTAGCGGATCAAGTCCAGACTGAGGTGGGAGTGGTTTGTAGGAGCATTCGACGATTGATAGGGGAATTCGGGAATGGCTCATAGCGGCATGTTCGTAGGACAACAAATGAAGTAGGTTTACGGTAAAAAAAATTAAAAAGAAAATCCAAGTGGCTTTTCAGCAAACAACACTGCACTCTATCCTCCTCAATCAAAGTCCGTGATTCTTCTAAAAGATCCAAGTCGTCAATATGAAGTAGTGAGAAACTTATTTCATGGTCGACTCGTTTATATACCTCCACAATCATAAAAATTTCTCTCACAATCTAGCAAAATAAAATCCCAATCCAAGCGAGACAAAGAAGAATTTGCTTGTTGACTTGACCAAGTCCAAGTGAATCCATAGCCAAGTAATGGAAGATAAGAATGGCAAAATCATTAGTGAAATCATTAAACAAGGTCATATACATAATATTCTTAGGGGCTCCGGTGAATAGGCTGCCATGCTAAATGCCAAACTAGAAATTGAGAAGCTAAAAACGGCTAATTTATTTTCCACTCTTGAATCCTGGACATGTTGATGGATATCGGAGTGCATGTTTGTGGTTGGTATAGTGGGAAAAGGGCCATCTGCTGGATCATAAATCATAATCATGAAGAGGCGCATGTGAAAAAAGACGTGCATTTCTTTACCATGGATTTTGTTTTCACTCCTTTAATAATTATGTCCACAATCGACATGATTGAAGTGGTGATTGATTACTTTCACCTAGGTGAAAGTCGAAAGACGAGTTTGAAACCTAGAAAACCCAGTTATTAGAGCTATTTGGATGTTGTTGATGATTTGACGTAATGGTGAATTCAGAAATTTGAACGGAGTTAAGATATTGAGGTTGAATGGATTTGAACATTAATGGGTAGTGTTGTTGTTTGGAAAATGTGTTACATATTTTTTTTTCAATCTTTATAATTTGTATTTCTGTAGTAAAAATGGTCTCTCTCATTCGTAGATTAGGCAACACACATCGTGTTAGTGAACCACGTATATCTGTGTGTATTTTTTTTTTTTTTTTGAGATATCTGTGTGTATTCTTTACTTCCTTTACATTGTCGAATTCTCGTTCGAATTTCATCGAATGTGGATTTCCCAGAACAACAAGAACATACAACTCTTATCACCAACTAACGAATGTCATGCATGCCTTTGTCTTTCTTTTTCTCTATCTTAGTACTATAGCTAGCACCCAGGAATCTTGAGCTAGCTTTCATGGCTAGGGAAACATGTGCTTTAATTTGACGACTAGATTCTTCCTTTCTCTCGATTTCAGTTTGCATAGCTCACTCGTGTGACTGTAAATGCATCAATTCCCTTAAGTTTTCCCTCGCCTGCAGTCATTCGCTCTACTAACCCTAGCTACCAGAAAATGTTGTCAACAAAGGTTGATCACTATTATCAATATCCAAAACTCGAAATAGCCAATATGAGAAATATTTAAAAATAGTTACAAGTTAAAAATTTCAACTTCACTATATTCTAAAGAAAACTAAACTAAACCAATACCGCACTCTCTAATTCATATCTATGAGCACGTACATAGCGAAAGACAATTAATCAGTTAAACCGCGCATGCGTGCTTAGCATAATATTTTGGAATTAGAAATTATACCAAGTTAACAACTAATATCAAGCACACAGAAATAAAAATAACATCCTAGATAGTAGCTAATTAAAACATTGGCAGAAGTTGTATAACATCATGAGCAATCAGCCTTGGATTTCACTTGAGCAGATTGACTGCTCATGATGGTATATCATTTCACTATTCAGCTCTCTCTCTCCCTCTCTCTAACTCTCTCCCTCTCTCCCTACCATCCTTCCGACGACTCAGGGAGCTAGTTTTCAACGTTGCTCGCCGGAATATTCCACGATCCGTTCACCGGAATCCTCCTCCGAAGGATGGAGCCCAGTAATCCGCCCCATTGTCGTTGCCAACCTGCAGTGTGCAAGAGAGAGGGACAAGGCACAACCCTCTACTCCTCAAGTCCTTCTCTGGCTCCTACACACACAAAAAATTCCATGTACCAAATTGTAAGGATTAATAAATAAGCGACTGATCCATAAACGTGCATCAAAGATTGGGTATGATAAAGGAAAAAGGTTGGAAGAACTTTTTTTATTTAAGGTACCTGTTGATGATGATCAGAAGTTGTTGCTGCTTTCCTCTTGAGACAGCTGCTGCCATCGTTGTTCAAGAGCTGTATTGGTCAAAGAAAAAGAGTGACACAAAAAAGGGTCAGCTTTTTTTTATTTCTTTACCTTTTCTAGTCACCAAACTTTAAACATTATACAAAATTCAAACTTAAAAATCCGAACTTTAATCAACCCTTTATAAAGCTGATGAAGGCATGCAGCTGCAGCAGTACTGTTCCTTTTCCCCCTTTTTACCTTTTAGTATCGATAGTTTTGTTTATGAACCCAAATCAGCACATTCTTTTCATTTTCAATCATCCAAGTCCTGATCTTTTTATCAAGAGGGAAAAAGGGGCAATGGATCCAATGAAGCAAAGTACAAGAGAGATTAATTACCTGACCAGGGTCTTCTGGGAACACACAATTCCTTTCTCCTTGAACCTACAGAAAGGATCATAAAGATAATTATCAAATCATCAAAACTGTTGTTAAGTAATTAATTGATTAATCCCATACTTAATTTCATCCACGCATGCAGAGAATTGATCAGCATGTCTCAGGACATGGGGACTTGAAATGTAAGAATGGAAAAGAAAAGGGGGGAATAATTATGATATTAAATTCACTTACAGAAGAATGTTGATGTTGGTTCTGCTGTTGCTGATGGTGCCTCATGTTTGAAGATCCACTGTCCAAGTAGGGCAAGCTGAGTGCCTGCAATTTTCCAGGAACGGTAAGCATCGCGAAATCAACTTTTTCGCTCCCACTTTTTTTGCAATACGGTATGTTTTGGTAAGAGGGTTTGTCGCGATAAGTATAACTCGTTTAATCACGTAACAATAACTAAGAACGATATTTTTTTTCTTCTTTTAGTTGTATCTCTATTCTACTTTGAATCGTTTTACGATTAGATTTATCGGGCCGGACCTCCGAGAATTCGCATTGTTTTCTGGGATTTTAGTTTGAAGGAAAAAAAAAGAATGGAAAGAAAACATCACCTCAATTTGGCTTTGAAGGAATCTGATGTACCCTATGGCTTCTAACAGGACAGAAGCTGTGTCAGTCTGCAAAAAAGGAGGAAAGAAATGAAGAATGAAACCACACCACAAACATCCAAACACATGTTTCTCTTCCTTTTTTTTCCCCCTATTTTCTTCCTTGTCTTCTTTTTACAGCTTTCAAGAAACAAGGGGTATCACAGAAGCTAAATTGGAAAAAGGAGGATGTGAAAGAAAGCCCAAATAGAGAAGCTAGCTAGCTCTAGCCACCTCAATACTACTATTCTTTCAGTAGATTCAGAAAGTACAACTGAGTTAATCATGCCGATGGGTAAGCGCGTCATAAGGCGAAAACAGTTTTTATAGATTACATCTCGCGTGACATGATCAGCACGTCCTTGACACCTGCCCATCGGCAGAAACGAAGCCTCCCTGTATAAACTCATGGTTACCGCGATAAGATTAAACAGAAATAAAAAAGAATGCGTACCTTCCCAAATGGAGACACAATCTGGTGAAGAGAAGTGATCCGATCTCCCAATTTCTCTTTTCTCACCTATTTGATTTCGAACGAAAAAAATCATACAAGAGAATTAATGACCTAGTCGTGGCAATAACTTTATACTTTCAAGAGATTTTTCATTTTTTTTGGTTTGTGGACAAAGAATAATGCATATGATGTGAAGAAGGGAATCAAAGGTACTTGTGAGTAATGGACAATAAAAAAAAGACAATAGAGAGCCACACCATCTCCCTTTTTAAGTTGTTTGTGTGTGTTTGTTCATATCTATGTATGTGTCCATATATATACACATGCTATTCTGTGCAAATATACACTTCATTTCTCTTTTTTTTTTTAATCTTTCTCTGCATATAATAATTAATCTTGCAGCTTAACCTTCATTAATTTACCTTGAAGGGAGATTGGGTTGAAGTAGTAGTAGAAGAAGAAGAAGGCTGAACCCTAGCTTTCTTCGCTGCAGCCCCACCACCAGCAGTGCCATTACACTGCTTATTATCATTATTATTATTAAACCACCAAAAAAAAGGAAGAAAAGTGGGAAGAAAAGTCAACATAGTTAATCATGATTTGAGAAGAGTACTAATCCAGCTTTTTGATCAAACAATAACCAGTAATCATCACCACCAGAAGAAAAAAAAAACCCACTTCAGAATAAGGGGAAGAAAAAAAAAACAGTTTTGGCACCAAAGCAACGTATTAACAACTAATTAATCACGCATTTGTATATAGCAAACCCTAGCAAGCTAGTAGGTATACACACCATGTCAAAACCAATCATACCATGTCATAAACCAGTTAGTTCCAATAACTCGAGTTATTGGACGAATGTTATATTAGATCTTATACCACACTCTAACAGTACGTGTGTATATATATACCTCCGACGGTGGAGGCGGTGGATGATGATGACGATCGATCTGATTGCCCGCGGTGGAGCTATTATTGTTAGCCATGATTTGGTGATGAGACCAATTAACAGCTTGGTGGTGGTGGTCGTCGCCGCCGTCGTTTCCATGATGGTGGTGGCTGTGATCATACGTATTTCCATAGCTTCCTGCAGGGATTTCTTGCTTCACTACTTCAGCGTTGTTGTTGTTGTTGTTGAGCATTAGTTGCTGTTCTTCCCAGTGGTCGTTCTCAAACTTCTTGCAAGCTTGTTGGAACAGGCTCATCTGGTTTCCGCCTTTCACTTCATCCCCAGCCATCAATATTCCTCCCCTTCAAAACCCAAACAACAAAAACAAAAAAAAGACGGAGGAGGAGGAGGAATCGCGACGAGTTAGACCAAACTAGAGATTTAACGTAGTAAAAGAAAGAAAGTATATCGTCTAGCTCATTTCCTGCTATGATTTTAGTACGAAATACACGAATTGAGAGAACAACAGAGCAAGTACCGAGTTATTATCAGAAACTCGGGAAAGTGACACTGGATCTTAAACTTGAAAGTCTCATATTTGAATTCGCTTAAACGGGAAAAAAGAGAGAGAGAGAGAGAGAGACATAGAGATTTTTAGATTGGATGAGAAAGAGTATATTACAAGAGGAGTTGGCTCCATGACTCGGGGAGTTGGTGGTGGACTTGTTGTGGTGCGGCGGCGGCGGTGGGAGGAGGAGGAGCTTCGTGCCAAGAAGTGAAAGGAAGTGAGGAGGCGGAGGAAGAGGAAGAGGAAGGTGAAGGGTCGAGGAAAAGAGACGACGAGTAATTGTTTGGAATAAGCTGGTTTTGATGGTGGGGAGACGACGTCGTAGTTGGAGGAGGAGGAGGTCTCATGTTCCACCAGTTGTTGGGGTTGCCGGCGGCCATCATGATCTGCTGCTGCACCGGCGAGCTCTGCAACACATGCCCACGATTCATAGCAAAGCAAATTTAACCCCCTTTTTTTTTTTTTTTTTTTGAAGGGGATATAAATGAAATGTGAGGGAGAGAAGAAGAAGAAGAAGAAGAAGAGAGGAGAGCCTTTTCTGTTGTGTCTTTACTTCAGCTTTCTTTCTTTTATTATTGGCTTTAGCTTTTTTTTCTTCTTGATTTGCGGTCTTCTCTTTTTTTTTTTTTTTTGTTGGCTTCTTTTACTTTTCATTTTTCTATGGTTTTTCTTGGTTGGTATTATTTTCTCGCCCCACTCCTTCCCTTTGCTTTCATGCTTTATCCCAGTGGTAGAAGAAATTCTCCAAATTATAGTTTTGTTACGGTGGTGGTTGGAGTAGAGCAGTGACGGGGACGGAGCCAGAAATATGAATAAGAGTGGCTAAAAATTTACGGTTTAAGGATTTTGAACAGAGGGTGGGAGCTAAAGTCTTACCACCTGTTCTTTTTTTTTTTTTTCAAATTTGTTCTAAAATTTACACAATTTTAAGAGTTGAGGAGGGGGGCTATAGCCTGCCTCCTGGTTATAACGTGGCTCCGCCGGTACTGGAGTTGGAGTAGAGTTGATTGTAGAGATAATAACTCAGGTATTGTCAAGAATATCATTTACTAACAGGCTTTTTTAAAACGAAAGCGGCTCGTATAGTTTTGAAGTTTGCACAAGTCCGAACATCATATGCTTAAAATAACAGATGGGGGTCATTGAGATTCGAACAAAAGACCTCTCCGCTCAAAATTCTCTGATACTATGTCAAGAACCAGTTGATTCCAATAATTCGAGTTGTTGGGAGAGGTTCAATTATCCTTAGTATACTATTTACTAGCAAGTACAATCACATTAACATAAAAAAAAATAGAAAACAAAATTTTGTTTAGTTGGTAATTATGATAAATAATATAAGTTGACATAACGCATGTAGATAGGTCTCGTTTAGTATAAATGTTGAGAGGAACACAACAGTAGGAAATTAAGGGGAGTTCGAGTGCCGCATGACGAGTTATGAGAAAATGAAGAGAAAGGGAGAAAGGTAGAAAGATAGAAAAAAAAAATTTTGATAATAAGGTTTCGTAGATAAGTTATACGAATAACAAAAACAAAATCTATGCAGAAAGTTGAGTCTAGTGAGATTTGCTTATAAACTCTCTGGAACGAAAGTTTTCCAATAACTTTTCCCGCAACAAAGAGTTTCTGTGTTGCAAATTCAGTGTTGTCACAACAACTAATGAAAACAAAACAAAACATATTTTCAACCTCTATTTTCATATGTATAACCAGAAAACAAAAAACGAAAATAACACTAAACAAGACTTTACTAATATTGCGATCAATGGTCAGTAAAAACACTGAATGACCACTAAAGTGCCACAAAGCAATGTTTAGTAGAAACACTAAGGGTGGTTTGGAAGTTGCGAATTTTGTAATGAATCACAACAAAATAAATACATGTATTAGTACAATGAATGCATTTTAATAATGCATTATTTGGTTGATGAGATTCTACTTTATATATTGACTAACATAAAGTTACTTTATGTGAAAATGTCACATTTATCCTCAACTTTTAGTATAAGACAAAAACTAATAGGGATATAAATAAAAAGAAAAAGTGGACACAAATCTAAAATCAAGAATCTCAACTTTTTAGTTGAGATTGTATAATGCATTATTTTTTTGTGATTGTTGGTGGGACTTACCTAAAACAATACATGCATTGTTTTACAATTTGACACTTCCAAACAGTGTATTGTGGACAATACATGTATTGAATAAACACAACTCTAACAATCACAACTATCAAACAACTCCTAAATGAAAGTATATATATGCAGCTTTCTTCAATTACTTTGATTGTATGGTAGAATTTTTGTAGGGGTCGTTTTCCTTTGTTTTTCTAATAACCACTCATGGAATTTTCAAATGGACCAACTTGTTAAGTTGTTATTATACCATGCGCTCAAGTTGTGTTTACAGTACTTTACACCAATTATTTCATAGTAGATTTCCAATCCAGTAACTTAACTCCCTAACTAATGATTTCTAGTGACGAATTTGGGAAACTTTCATAGAGTACTCATGTATAATCTGGAATCTTCTTCATATCAAGCTCGAGAAGAGAAAAAAAAATATACTACAAGAACAGGAAAAAGCTCATCGAAATATTGATTATCAAATATTATCGTGCCGAAAGATGTTTATATTAAATGACTAGAATTGGTGTCAAAATTCTTGTAATAAAAATATCATACATTACGATGAAACTAATACAAAAGCAATTCGGATTATGCGTAACTATACGATGCATACATTCTTGAGGTGGGCAATAATGGGTATGATGATGGTTGGGTTTTTCCCTATGATATCCACTCATTTGTTAACGAGTTGGTACAGTTTAGACATGTTATCATCAACCCACGTTTCTTTTGGGTTGGGGTAAGCGGATAACGTTTTGGTTTGGTTGAGTTGCGAGTTTACTCGTAAAATTAAATTTTCCAGACTATCCATTAGACAAGTTGACCAACATTTCTTGACAGAGAAAGTAATAACCACATGTCCTTTGATATCGAGGCTCTTTGCGCATGTGAGTTTCACCTTTTTAGTAAATGTATCAAATCCCCATTTACTTCTCAACTAAATTGCATAAAGAAAATCGATGATTTTTTTGTAACTTCGATAACAAAAAAAAAAACAATAGTTTATCATTTTCCATTCACATGTCTAATGAACATTACACAACAGAGTAATCGATAGCAGCAATTCAAAAAATATTTCTCCATTTCCCCGCCTTTAGAAGTGGATTGTCAGCATGTGGTGCGCGGTTAGTAAATTATCATGACCGTTCGATAGTATAAACAAAAAACAACGATTTGTCATGTGAAAGCTTGATGTTCAGCCGACCGGGTTATTCACGTGATCCACAACTCACTCGTATTATTGAAAATAGAAAGATACATCGAGTTACAATCCAACACTACTCCTATCAATCACTCACTCACTCACTAACTACTATTCAAATTTATTTACGAGCGTGTTTATGTCAAACCACGAACTAATAGCGAGCCACGTGCCCATCAATCCCCACTCCAATGTAATTAATTAATAATTAACTCGTACAAAACAATAACATATATGGGTAAAACTAATCCTCGATCGACGAACATTCCCTCGAAACCATTTACCAACACAAAACATATACACAAGTAAAAATTCCCTCCCTTATTACAGAACACAGCTCGAGAGAGCGGCGGTCCAAGCAATTAACTTTATTATGAAATTAAATTGAGCAATCTAGTCTCGAGGGAATAATCAATCAAAAGGACAGAAGGAGGAGAATAATTTGGGGAAGACGATGAGATGTCAGACTGGTTGCTGTTGTTGTTGTTGTTCTCTCTACTGCCAAATCTTTGTCGGGGCTTACCTTGTCCTAGCTTGTTGTTTTCCCCTACATGCATGTGCTTAATCTATGGCTTGCTGTCTTGATTAATCTAAATTAACAATTAATCACGGGTTTAGGTTGTCAGAATAGGATAGGAATTTGAAAATCCAATACTCTTTGTTTTGCACTGCTTACTTAGGTAGGGAGTAGAGTAATTCATGGGATGACAACATAACAAAGAAGAAACCAATTCCAAACAAACAAACAAACCATGATCCATGTTACAAAAAAGAAATAAGTACCAAGACAATTAACAAGTATCAGGATGGAGAAATATGGTAAATTATCTTTGTATAATAAGCCTGTATCTGGTCTCATTGGTAGAAAAGGTCTTTTGGGGAAGGTGCTTATGGGCAAACTCGTATGTATGTATGTTTGACCCAAATTGGACGGTATCGTATTAATGGGTGCTATGGGACAATGTAAGTACCACATTGGAGATATAAGGGAAGGAACCTTGTATATAATCCACCTAGTCCAATTAGTACGAGGCCTTTTGGGGAGGACACCCAAGAGTAAAACCGTGTTAGAAACACGTTTTCTAAGGAAAAAGAGTTTCTATATTATCATTATTATTAGGTTTTATTAAATATGGTTAGTAGTCTTTTAGTAGAATTAGGTTTAGTATTAGGTTTTCCTATCTTTCGTTATAAATATGTACTTTGCGTTTTATTCATAATAAAGCAAGAACAATTATTCAGAAAAGTATCTCAAACCCTAATCTCTCTCAAATTCGTCACCTATCCCTAGGCCGTCGGCCATTCTTCTCCTCGATCCCCAATTTCCTCTTCTAAATCCCTAATTCCCAATTATGTTCTTCCCCAATTCTATCTCAATCCCTAAATATCTATCAATTCCCAATCTTATCACTCGATCGTTAGAACCCTAGAAACAGGTTTCTAACATTTGGTATCAGAGCCCGGTTTCGAGAATTGAGTTTTTCACAACTCTCAACCGGGGACGAGTTCTACAACTGGTTCGACAATGAGCTCTTCCAGGCTCTCGGACATGTCGTGGGCAGAGCTCCGTGAACGGGCTTGGCGCATCGGCCGTCGTTGGAGCGCCGAGGAGCTGCCGACCGGGGATGCTTTCACAGGAGAAGAGCAATCGCCGGTTGTGCAGGTTGACTCACACGCTGACATTGAGAGGCGAGCAGAGCAACTGGACGTGGAGGAGGTTTTGGCAATCGAGCCGCCAGCCACGGAAGAGCTTCCAAACATCACCAACAAACAGCAGCAGCTTTCGACAACATTGGTCACCATGACTGCGACTTCATCATCAACATCACTTGCAGCGATTGAACAACCCTCCAAGGCTGCCGAGGCTACTGTCGCGATCATGAGTGAAGAAGAAGATGAGAGGACCAACGCCTCTAAGGAAGAAACCCGAACTGAGGGGTCGGAGAGGAGGTCAGCCACGGCCCGAGAGGCGAACTGGCGGTACCCGAAGAAGGCGCGTCCGGAGACAAGACGACAACTAGTACTGTCTCTTGTTCGCTGGAAGGAGGATTCATCACCAAAAAGGAAAGGAGCGAGTGAGGCTTGTTCGTGGGAGTGGAAGCCGCCAGCGGAGGACTACTGCATCGGCATCGTCCGACAAGACGCAACAGAGCAAGCTCGTTGGGTTTCTTCGCCGGCAGTGCGAAGAGCTCCTTTGGCGCCGCAATCGACGGTAGCTCCAGCCTTGGCGACGATCACCGAGGAGAAGAAGCCGCCGCCGATGGACGGGACGAAGCTCAAGGCGGAGGGCAGCAGTGCGTCTCTCTTCGCGATCGAGAAGGCGACGTCGGAGGAAGAAGCGGAGCTGCTGGCGAAGGAAGGCGCTGGCGTCGCTTTTCTCTCCAACCCTAGAACGCCGCCAAAGAAGAAAGAAGGTGGCGGCGGCTCGTCGGAGAAGGGAGCGAAGAAGAAGGAAGATCTCGGGTTCCTTCATTACCCGAACCCTAGCCGCCGCACACAACATCGGCAGCAGCCTGCCCCATTGGGCCAAGCTGTTCGGTTCTCTTGTGTGCTTGGGTCAAGAGGAGTGGTTTGTTTGGGTCACGGGCTGGCAATGGGAAAGGACATGGTGGGCTTGGCAAGGCGAGATGGGCCAGGTCAACTGGATCCCCCAATGGACAAAGGCTATTTAAGTTTTGGGCATGGGCTGGTTTGTCAAGAGAAGATCTTCGAATACAGACTTGGGCCGCGTTTGGAGGAAGAAAATGAGCCACACTTGGGCTATGTGTTGAGGGAAACAGGCTTAGATGGAGTTCTTGGGTTGGTAAGTGGGCTTTCAAATGACCCAAGCCGAAATGAAGAAAAACTCTGTGATGCTTATATTGTGGAGTTTGAAAAAGATGATGGAGGGATATTTGATCATGGTTGCAACTTGCGTCGTCACGTGGATTGGGAAGAGGCCATTGGAGTCGGAGTCGCTGGTGTGGGATTCGTTCAAGTAGTGGAACACAATTGGAAGAAAAGAAAGCGCAAGAATGGAGGAGGCCAGATGTGGATTGCATAGTAGACTTGAAGAAATGGGTCAAGCTGATCAACCTTGAGGGCAAGGTTGGTCTCAAGGGGGATGGGATGTTAGAAACGCGTTTTCTAAGGAAAACGAGTTTCTATATTATCATTATTATTAGGTTTTATTAAATATGGTTAGTAGTCTTTTAGTAGAATTAGGTTTAGTATTAGGTTTTCCTATCTTTCGTTATAAATATGTACTTTGCGTTTTATTCATAATAAAGCAAGAACAATTATTCAGAAAAGTATCTCAAACCCTAATCTCTCTCAAATTCGTCACCTATCCCTAGGCCGTCGGCCATTCTTCTCCTCGATCCCCAATTTCCTCTTCTAAATCCCTAATTCCCAATTCTGTTCTTCTCCAATTCTATCTCAATCCCCAAATATCTATCAATTCCCAATCTTATCACTTGATCGTTAGAACCCTAGAAACAGGTTTCTAACAAACCGTGCGGGCTTGGCCCAAAGCGGACAATATCGTACTAATTGAGCACCCCAATTTGACAAGTGGTATCAGAGTCTGGTTCGGCGAATCCGGGGCGGTGGACGTCAGTTTGCTGGACCCTCATTCGGTGACCTCGGGATTTGAGATCAACACTTGTACTAATGGCCTGCCCAGTTATGACAATGGGGATTGTCCGTTCTCAAAAAGTGGTATCGGAAACCGGTTCGGATTCAAGATAGTGCATTTCAGTTTGGTGGACCCTCGTTCTGTGACGTTGTCATGATTTGAGATCCGCATCCGCATCCGGTGGATGGATGAAATGGAGATTTGCAATCTGTCTGACGGATGAAACGAAAATCTACATCTGATAAATCCTTGTGCCGAAAAGTCTAGGCATACAAGGTGGTTGGCAACCAGATTCGGATAATCACTAGATGGGAGAACATGAAGTCCGTGGTCCTTAACTTGAGGTGAGAATTTGTTGAGGTACAGTCCAAGTACCATATTGAACTAAAAAAGGAAATGATCCCTTTGTATAAGCGTTAACATAACTTTATTAGTACAAGACCTTTTGATAAAGTAATCAACAGTAAATCTTAGCTAGGGCTTGTTGTCGATTCCCCAAGAAAAATAAATAGATACAGACAATATAAGCGTGACACAAGCTAGCTAGCTTCATAATTCTCTTGTTTTTGTCTCTTCTAATTAAACTCCAAATCTCTACTGTCTAAGTTACATCATAATTAATAAATAGTTATCCATGTTTCTATGAGAAACCCGAAAAAATTCAAACTTAATCAATTCTTTTCATTGGAGTGATTGTTGGCTCTTCAGGATCTTTTTTTCTTATAATATAGGAGAGTTAAAGAAAAAAAGAAAATTCATCATATTGTACCGTAGTTGTAAGTTTAACTCTCAGACTACTTGAGTTCGGGCAAAAAAGCTGTCAACGGGAGCGTTTTCGTAGCGAAAGGCAACAAAACAATCAACCTTAAAATGCTTACACACAAAGTTAATATACATAAAGTGTTTCGAATCGGCTAGAGAGTGTTTACATAAAACGCTTTAAGTGGCGGTGTTTTCTTTAAGTGAACTCGAGTAAGCATTTTAGAGCAAAACAATGTTCCTTGCATTATTTTGCTACAAATTAAAAAAAAAAAACACTCTCGTTGGCAACATTTTGATCCAAACTTGGGTACTCTAAAACTTTAATTTACAACTGTAATATTTCGGTTGATATTATCACCCCCATATATTATCATTAAATGGACTCATTTAGACTTGCATATTTACCTTGAAATCTAATAATATCTTATCAATTTTTAATTTTTCAGACAAGTTAAAACCTAATATAATGATACTAAGTTTGTTTGTTACATAAATTTCTAGAATAGTTGTAACAAATCAATTCTTGACACAGTCATTCGACCTTGTCCTTATATGCTTTATAGCACCGTCCATGACAACAATATTTTTCTTCTTCTTCTAGATGACCACAAAATTGATTAGTTTTTCTTTTCAGAAAAAAGCCATCGGATTGTAATCGAGACTATTTGTAAGGAAATAATAATTATGTTTGTGAATACATTATTTTAATTAATTAAGTAATTAATCAATTATATGGTTGGGATTTTGGTGGAGATTAAGGAACATGTTTATTTGTATCGGGAGACCAGCTGCCATCTCTTTTCTTGAGATGCCAAATATTTTAGCTCATCCATGCAGAACAGAGAAATAATGAAAAGAATCAAATCTCATTGCTCTAGGTTGTAGAGATTCGAAAACGCGAACTAACTCTAAAATCATGTCCCTAAAAATTAAGTTTTAAATTTTTAATAATTCGAGTTGTTAAAAGAAGATTAACTGAAGATTATATATCACTATCTTATAAAATTATACTCCTCAATTATTACGTACAAATCCCTTAAAATAAATTTTTTATCTTTTAATTTAAATTTCTGCCTTCGTCATTTATCGTTTTACTTCATACTCTCACCCTAAACTAGTTGGATAGTGGGAAACTATAAAAATGTGATGACAACTTTTGTAGGTTCATGCTTCTGAATAAAAAAGTTCATCGGAAAGGAATACATTTTGGCAGAGAATGAAACAGATCGGACCATATCTCAGTAGAGAAATAAACAAAGACCCCATCATAATCAATTAAAGTATACTGATCCCAATAGAAAATCAATTAATTAATTCTTTCTCAACATCATTAGCAATTATTTATCATAATATTTTACGTTCAACACTTTAGTGTACTTTTGTCCTTTTGTAAAATAGCCACCCCCACTTTTGTTATGAAAATGGAAAGGGAAAAATAAATCCCTGAGGGCTATTTGTCCTTTTATCTACTAATCAATTAAGTAATGCCTATGAACAGACATAATCACATGATTTAGGCTACATACTTATACAATTACTAAATTAATGGCAATTATTTCCCACTATAATCCTATTTATCCAAAGGTGATATTGATAGGAATTGAAGGAAAAGTTAAATGATAGATGATTTGTAATATTTTGTTTCCCTATGATTTATAGGGTACTTATTATTTGAGGGTCGAAAATTATAATAAGTTGATTCAGTGGATAATTCGATTTATTTTTCATGACTCATATGGGTATTGGATCAGACTCTAACATATTCATATGCATTTTTAATGGTTTTAGGTTTGAATTTTGTTTAAATTGAGTCCAACGTGAGACAACTCATTTGTGTCGGATCCAAATGGATCTACTTGAGTTCAGATGATTCTACACACAAAAAATGCAATATCAACCATCTCAAATTACTGTCTTCAATCCAATTCATGACAAAGTTTTCACATTTATGTTAGTTTCAGACAAAGAAAAATGCAAACCCCACATTAGAATAGGATATCCATTTTCTTTCGATTACTGAACTATTTTAGACCCAAACAAAAAATTGAATATGAACCTGTCCAAATATGATATTACCTTAATATGATTTTATCTCTAGTAAATTGGTTTATAACTGAGCACTCGGTCAGTTTGTTTTGATACGATTCTAGAACTCGAAATCCTTGAATCGTGACCATTAATTTTTTCAGTGCTTTATATATATAGGTTTAATTAGTTTATTTGTATGGTCCAAAGTTGATGAGTTGATTCATGGCCAACATATTAACAAAACTGAAACGTCTCCGCTCAGTCGCATTGGAACCAAGGTTGTCAACCCGCAGGTTGACCCGGTTTGACCCGGAAATATGGAAAGAGACATTATATTGTACTTTTCCTTATAAATTATATCAAATCTTATCTAACATATGAGTCATAACATATAATATTACACCAAATTAACATATCGTACTTAGATATAGCATAAAGTGAAAATTCACACACACTTATATACATCAATATTCAAATATTCAACTTAGGATTCCAAAGATTGAGTTAGGCGAAAAGAAAAATCGGAAAATATGCGCATTTCGCAAACCAAAGAAAAAAATGACACAATTTGACCTTCAACCCGGTACCGTATAGAGGTCGACCCGGCGGGTGTGTGCGGCCCGTTTTTCTCACCGGGGTCAGAGTCAAAGTGGGTTGACCCGCGGGTTGACAACTTTGATTGGAACAAAACACAAGTCACGGCCAGTCAACCATAAAGGGCGGCTCGAAGTGATTACTGATTAGCCAATTAAGTGGCAGGATACAGTGTATTTGTTCATAAATTATATAAAATATATAATTTATTTTTTCTTAACAACTTCAATTATTGCAATTAATGAATTATTGATATGAGAATCTTTGTTGATTAAGAAGTTTTGTGTTTGGATCCCATTGACCCTCATTTGTTAAACTGGTGGTAGAGGATGGTGAAAGATGGTAAATGATTAGAGGTGAAAAATGGAATTGGATTAATGAATTGGATCAACTGGATTGGTGGATAAATTCATAGATCCAAGTGACATCCAAACCTCAGACCATTATGTACCTTTTCAAAAGTTAAGGGTGCTAAATGTCGTGATAAAAAAATTTAGGTATCAAACCATGATTTCCAATGATATTTTCGTATAAAAAAATTAAATGATAGGTACCAAATTGTAAATATAAAAATATTTGTACTAAATTGTTATTTGTCAACGGTTCATCAATCTAATTAGATTTCGATAAAATGGATTGGATTGGTTGGATAATTTAGTGAATGGATTTGATAGGAATTTGTCACCTCCATAAATGACAATTAGTATATTCCTACTATGTATAACCATTTTAAACTATGGTATATTCATATTATCATACCACAACGGTACACTTTCACACCACAATGGTATAGTCCCATGTACTACCACACATTACTGTCATGGTATGGACCGGTAATAAATGTCTCAATTTTTTTTGTTCCAAAATAGATCTCATGTTTAAAAACACAATTAATATGATTTATATGTGCTAAAAATTTAAATTATGATTTAAAATATAAAAATAATAACCCGTTATACTTAACAAATTTATAGTAAAATTATTCATGATTATTATAGTAAATTATTCATGACACATGCGGTGACCGACCTCAGATCGAAGCCGCTCTTTCCTTCTTTGCACTTTCATCATTTGTTTTTGTTTGAACCTCTGAAAAATCAACATTGGTCCCATGACGTAATGATTTACCCTATTTTCTTCCATTTATAATTTTGATATTATTCCCCTCATTTTTCTATATCATCCTCTGTAATTTGAGCCTACCAGCGACATTGACGACGTAGTCCTTGCATCATGTGTGACGGCATCATCATCACACCCATCCAAGGTTGTCAAACCGCGGGTCGACCCGTACCCGGATGAGTTAGTGAGTCATGGGTCAATGGGTCACCCGTTTTAGCCCGGTTTAGTTCGGCTTAGCTCGGAAATATGAAAAGAGCCAATAAATTCTATTTATCCTGAGTCCAACATAAAAAAAATGCAACCCTTACCATTTATTGGAGTCAAGTCTCAAAGGTCAAACCCTTACCAAATGAAAAATGAGTTTGTGAAGAGGTGGCCGAGCAGAGGCGCGAGCAGAGGTGGCCAGGCAGAGGAGGCCGAGCAGAGGTGCGAGCAGAGGCCGAGCAAAGGCGGAGCTGAAGGGAGGAGAGACGGAGCCGTGAAGGCCGACCTGTTCTTCCGTCGGCGACTGCGACCGCGCCGCCAAAGAACCCTGGAGATGGCGAGAAGAAGAAGAAGTTCACTAGGGTTTCGCTGCAGGGAGAAGAAGAAATGGAGTCTCTAGGGTTTCGCTGCAGGGAGAAGAAGAAGAAGTGAACCCGAAGCGACCAAAACAAAACGGCGCCGAACCCTCCTTCTCGCCTTGGAAGAGCGCACTGTCTCGTTTATTCCAAGCAAAAACGGCGCCGCAACGGCCAAAACGGGGCTCAGGAAGAGCAACCCGCTGACCCGTTCCAACGGGCTAACCGGCCGGGCCAACCCGGGTTTGACCGGGTTTGACTTTTTTTGGGCTGATAGCAAAAAGGGTTAGTATGACCCTTTTTTTTACCGGGTCCGGGTTAACCCGGGTCGACCCGCGGGTTAACAACCTTGCACCCATCAAAAGGATGTTTGACCCGGTCCCGACCCGTTTTGAGGCCAGAATGTCAGTTCACAGAGATACCACAGAGGAGAGTAACGGGTCGTACAAATTTGGCTGTGGAGTGTTTCGTCTATAACTCGATCAAGGAATGTGTTTATCGCGACTTGATTTATCCATAAATTGATTTTTTTTAATAGTGGATAAAACTCGATGTTAAGAATGCGTGGTACGTTTCAAAAGGAGTAAACTTTCAAACAAGAGTCATCATGACATTGAATCTCATATTGCAAGAGATTCAAGAACGATCAACCGAGATTGGTATGTGAAGATTCATACGATAACTTCTTCAAACAATTTGTGTTATTTGGACTAATTGGTTGTCAACATAGTACCTGAGTCTGTAATGACCTAGAACCCTTGTTTATGAATCCTCTCGATTTTCAATATCAACATTAGATCCAGCCACAATATATGATTTGTCTGTTAAAATTTCAAGCCCGCCAACTTGATTTCAACTGGGTGGATGCGTACAATGTTTAAACTCTCTCGACTTGATCAGCAGTTTTGTAACGGTTTGGACCAACAAAAGACTTCTTGAACCCAAAATCACTAATGGATCGTGCGTGGGCCAGACATCACACAGAGATCATGTATTGTGCTTGGTCTCCGGTGTCTACTCTTGTTCTTGGTTTCTAACGACATTTACCTTAAATATGGGCTGAACTGATGGTCAATGGAGTTGTTTGGGTCTATTTGTTATTGGTTTGTAACCTCACCCAACAATTCGAGAATAACTAATATCAACATCCTACGGCTCTATTTCTCTCTCTTTTCAGTAAAACAAAGAAAAATTTTGTACGGACTTTCATCGACTGCTCTTAGTCCACGCCAAGGTTGTCAACCCGCGGGTTGACCCGGACCCGATCGAACTAGTGGGTCAAGGGTTAATGGGTCAACCATTTTAGCACTGTTTGGCCCGGAAATATGGAAAGAGTCATTATATAGTACTTTTCCTTATAAATTATATCAAATCTTATCTAACATATGAGTTATGACATATAATAATACACCAAAATAACATATCGTACTTAGATCTAGCATAAAGTGAAAACTCACACACACTTATATACATCAATATTCAAATATTCAACTTAGGATTCCAAAGATTGAGTTAGGCGAAAAGAAAAATCGTAAAATATGCGCATTTCGCAAACCAAAGAAAAAAATGACACAATTTGACTTTCAACCCGGTAGCTTATAGAGGTCGACCCGACAGGTGTGTGCGGCCCGTTTTTCTCACCGGGTCAGGGTCAAAGTGGGTCGACCCGCGGATTGACAACCTTGGTCCACGCGCTTGCACTCTTTATAGCGCTTCCCTTAACGGACTCTAGCCTCCAGCCGAATCCCTTGATGCAAAAAGCCCAACTGAGAAGGGCTGAATTGACAGAACCATTCAGTGGGTAGGCCCAACTAAACAATAAGTAGGTCCATGAAGCCCAAATTACATGTCCAGCCTTTATTTCGTTTTTCCTCCTCTTTTCTTGGTTCTGTGCCTCTGCTGCTCGCTGGTAGCTGTCTCTCAAAAAAGCTCCGGCGACGAGGAATATGACGGCAATGGCGATCTTCCGTTCGAGGACATGGCTCTCGAGAAGTTTCTCGAGTCTTTCTTCTCATCCCCTTCGCGTCTGTGTGGTCGGCAGCGGACCTGCCGGCATGTACACCGCCGAGAAAGTAATTTCTCATGAGAAAATTTCTCAGATTTCTTGTAATAATATGATAATGGTCCTTTTTATTTCATTCTGCTGCCTTTTGAATTGGTGAAATTCAGATGCTGAAGGCGCACCAGGGGGCTGAAGTTGATATCATCGATCGTCTGCCGACGCCTTTTGGATTAGTCCGGTCAGGAGTTGCCCCCGATCATCCAGAAACCAAGGTCAGATTCTTGTTTGGTTCCTAGGAAAGTTCTTTGCCCTTGTGGGCTTGTAGGGATTTTTCCTTTCTTTACCATCAGTGTTGTCTCAGTAGAAGGGTAGAACTTTTGCTTGGTTGCTAGGGGAAGTGGTGAAATATGAGAAGTAGAAACCCTTATTGTTGAGCAGAACCAATTAGGAGGAAATTTGTGACTTGTATTTCTTAGTGACAGCAACGTTCTACATTTTCCCTTGGAAATATAACTCTGTTAACTGAGCTTAATTTACCAGAATACATGGAACAGATTGTGACGAATCAGTTCTCGAGGGTCGCGCAAAATGACAGGTGCTCGTTCTTTGGGAACGTTACTCTTGGGTCCTCCATTTCGCTCTCGGAGCTGAGGAACTTGTATGATGTGGTAAGTTTCACTGTTGGTGCTCCAATGCATCTGTTGTTTTCTTCTCTGTTGGCATTTTGTCTCTTCTACATTTGTTTTGGCTAACTCTTGAATTCCAACCAAGCAGGTTGTTCTTGCATATGGTGCTGAAAGTGACAGAGCTTTGGGTATTCCAGGAGAAGTATGCTAATGAAATTGGATTCAACATTGTGAATTTGAGGCGGTTTTCGTTGACGAGTTTGCCTGACTTATGGGTACATGTGTTTTCAGGATCTTTCTGGGATATACTCAGCCAGAGAATTTGTCTGGTGGTACAACGGGCACCCAGATTGCAGAAACTTGAGTCCTGATTTGAAGAATACCGATACGGCTGTTATACTGGGCCAGGTATGTTCAGTTTAAGGGATTCTTGTTTTTTGTATAATTCATCCCCTTAAGTCAATGTGATTATTGTCATAAAATTAAGTCAATGTGATTGGAGCCTACTTTAGTCATGGATAGATTCTGTGTTTTATTTTTGTTAGCCATACTGCTGTTTTGTTCAGAGTTATAGCATCAACGGTATGTAGGATGATCTGCATTACCTTCACTTTTCCTTCCCTTGTAACTTTTCAGGGGAATGTAGCTCTTGACGTTGCTCGTATCCTTCTACGCCCAACAGAAGAACTGGCAACAACTGACATTGCCTGCCATGCTTTGGCTGCTTTGGAGCAGAGCTCTATCAGGTTCTTACCCTTGCAATCATTGGCCCTTAATAAGAGAACTTGCTTGAAATCTGTGATTTGTTGTGCTAAGAGAATGAGCTACTACTACAGGAAAGTCTATTTGGTTGGCAGACGCGGACCAGCCCAAGCAGCTTGCACTGCGAAGGAGCTACGAGAAATTCTTGGTACTTTTATGAATCAGTTATTCTGTTGTGTTTCAGTTCAGTGTATAAAACATCTTGGACAATGCCACACAGATGTTGATTGGTATTTTGTATCTCATTGTTTTGCATGCAGCATTGCTTTTGTTTCCTTACTAAACCATCGCACCTGGGATATTGTATTGCAGGCACAAAAAAAGTACAGATTCACATCAAGGAAGAAGATTTACATAAAAGCCCCGAAGATGAGGTATGTCTCCCAGTCTTTATTCATGCATTCTAAGTTGCATTGAGGAGAGTGGAACTATGATAGATAACCAGAGATAGAACATTCACCTCAAATGGGTTTGGTGGCATCAGTACCATTTAAGAGGTAAATATTATAAAAACATGGTTGAGAGAACCAAAAGCTACCCCTTCTATTGTTGATGAACTTGTATGTTTGTCAAACTTTAGTACAAAACTATCACACTGAAGTGGGAATTGGTCCTTGTTAAGCTTTAAGGTGCAAATTCATAAAAAAAAAAAATCATCTTTCTTTGCTTGGTTAGTTGTCTTCTGATTTTTAGCACATAGGCTTTCCTAATTTACTAATATCGAGCTTTGTCAAAGGAAGAGCTGAAGAACAGCCGTATCAGAAAGAGGGTTTATGAGTTGCTCTCCAAAGCTGCCACCACGGGACCTTCCCTTCCTAGTTCTGGTCAACGTGAACTTCACTTTGTGTTCTTCCGGAAGCCTGATAGCTTTTCTGAGTCAGCTGAGTACCCAGGGCACGTTTCTGGTGTACACTTAGAGAAGACGGTTCTCAAAGGTACTTTTTTCTTAAGTGTGATGTTGAGTCAAATTTCATATTCTCCTTAACTGCATGTTTAAGTCGCATGAGATTATGTCATCTATCAACAAATTACCTGGTCTTCATATCTGGATGATATCCTTGACTTGATGCCTTATGCTTGTATTGTATACAATATTTGAAGTTCGAAGGATAATTTCTGGATTTGATTTAATTCTAATTGAAGGCATCACTTCCCTATTTCGTTTTCCAGTTTGACGTTTGGTGTATATGCCTGTCTACAGGTGTTGGCAGTGGGAAGCAGATTGCCGTTGGCAGCGGTCAGTTTGAGGACATTGAGTGCGGGTAATTTAATTCCTTCCTGTGGATTTGCGCAACCTGCAGTCTCCCCTTTGCAGGGAGTTTCTTATTTTCTTGATCCTTTTACTAATTCAGTTATTGCAATCTACTCTTCTCAGTATGGTTCTGAAGAGCGTTGGCTACAAATCAGTGCCTGTACCCGGTTTACCATTCGATCATAAGAACGGTAGTGATCAGCAACATGAAAGCATTGAAGTGTATGACATTAAACAAATCTATTCCGCGCCAAGTTCTTATCATTTGGTTCTTTCCAGGTGTGGTTCCAAACGATGGAGGCCGGGTCATCAGCGATACTTCCGGAGACCCTGAACTAATCGAACAGGGCTTGTACGTATGCGGGTGGTTAAAGAGAGGGCCAACAGGCATCATTGGGACAAACCTGCACTGCGCAGAGGAAACTGTAAGTTCCTGATTCCCCAAACCTTTGAAAGTTTCTGTCTTTTCATCGTTAGTTTAACTGGCTAACTAACTTGGTGTTTGGTGTTGACATGAAAGGTGGCAAGCATATCGCACGACCTTGAACATGGCTTGATAGCATCACCGCCTACGTCAATGAAGCCCGGCAGAGAAGGGCTCCTCCAGCTGCTCGACGACAGGAACGTGAGAGTTGTGCCGTTCAGCGGTTGGGAGAAGATAGACTGTGAAGAGAGGCAACTCGGGAGTCTGAAAGGCAAGCCCAGGGTGAAGTTAGGCAGCTGGGAGGATTTACTGAAAGTTGCAATGTAGTTTCAGTTTTTCGTCTATACTTCCAAAACTTCAGTGTTATACATTTTGATGGATAACATACAATCATTTAGTAACGACCAGTTGTATCGGTTAAGTCATGCGTATTAGATCGGGCTTATCGTACGATATTGTAATGACTTTTTATGCTGTTTTCGTACCAATTTGCAATGGTATTCCATTTGTAATACTATCGATTAAACAACACGATTGTGTCACTAAAATTACCATTCCACAAAACAGGATTGTAGAAGAGAGCCAGAGAGGGGATCTAAGTGGAAGGACAAAGAAGTTAGAGGACTGAAATGATAATTAATCAAACAACGGGCTTTTGACGAATGTGAATTGTTGTGAGGGCAACTCGTTGGCGTTTAATTGGATTCTCTTCGACTTCTTTCGTGGTCAAATCAAGGCAACAACGGCAGAGAAGGCAAAGATCAGGCGTTTCCTTCGGAATCCGACCGCCGTCCCTCCTCGTCGCTGGTGAATAATCGTCCGGTCGAGCTAGAACGAGGAAAGGAGAAGCATTTGAAACTGCAATTAGTGAACTCCCATAGCAAGGGCTGGGAGGAGTTTTCCTATCAAATGGGGGGATTGAATTGGGTCGTGGCAGTAGTTTTGCTCGGTTCACTTTTCCAATTGCCGATTGTGCGGGCGAAAGAGCAGCTCAGCTCGAGAGAATGCGAGGATCTAGGCTTCACCGGACTCGCCCTTTGCTCCGATTGCCACGCTCTTGCTGAGTACGTCAAAAATCAAGGTTCTTGCTTCGTTTTCCCTCTCTTCTTCTGTTTTCTAGGTTTTAGCTGTGCATTTGCGTTTTTTTTTTTTATGTGGGAAAGTTAGCACCTTGACTGCAGAATTTGACCTATAAAGTAAAGTTGAGACTTTTTGCTGTTCATTTGTCATTTTGATTGCAGAACTGGTCTCCGACTGTTTGAAATGTTGCAACGAGGACTCCGATGATTCCATGAGCAAGGTATCTGTATAATAACACCCAGAAGAATTGAAACTAGTTGCTTTGAGAATCTGAAAGGTTATTAATTGGACAATTGAGTTAGCTATTTGGAATGTACAAAGTATACTACCTTAGATCATGTTTGACATCATTACTAATACCTCCATTAGCCTTCCTTGCTGACTTCTCATTACGAGATAATTTAGCTGCCTTTCCATTGCATTCTACTGGGTAACTAATTTCGGGCTCGATTTGTTTCTCTATGCTTGTAAATGATACGATTTTAACATTGGATTGCTTGTGATTGCTCTATGGTGTAATCCTCTCCAATTCCCAGTTTCGAGAAACTCTTGCCCTTATAGAAAAGGGAGGTATGCGACATTCAAGATTCTGTAATACAATGCCATTCAGTAATTTTGATCTCTAAAAAGTGAAACTAACGTGTGAAACCCTCTATGACTATCCTTCTCATTGGGTTTCTGGTCTCTTTTAGTCGCCATTGTCTTTTTGTTTTTTGTTTTGCTCGGGATTTCAGAGATCGGCATTTCGTATTTTACGCTTAGGATGCACTTCATGTGTTTTAGGTTACAATGTTTTGAATGTCTACTTGGTGCTTGTGGTAAGTGTAGCCAGGGAGAGTTAACCTGAAATTTGTGATCGTAGGTTACCTACTCTGGTGCAGTACTGGAGGTTTGCATGAGGAAATTGGTTTTCTATCCTGAGATCGTTGGCTTCATTGAGGAAGACAAGGACCAGTTCGGCAGTGTTAAAGTTCAATATAGTTTCAACTCTCCACCAAAGTTGATCTTGCTGGATGATGAAGGCCAACATAAAGAAACCATTAGGTAAGGTTTGGTTTTATCATTAGTTTTTCCTAGCCCTCTTTATTTTCCATATAATAAAGATGAAACTGTGGGTACTTTGGAATTGTGATACTTGGCTTGATTCATTTTAGAGGTCTATTGAGATACCATGTAGTCTTTGATCTCCGAAGACTTGGATAGCAACAAAGCTGTAGTCTGTAACTATATTGCTACTTGCAGCATTAGATTCTTGATGTTTCAAGGAAACTGACCCTCACAGTTTTCATGGACATGACCCTGGTGTGTCACTGACACGAGCATCTTGCTTCGTCTATAACTACATCATATAGGAGTTATAACGAAATTGAGTGAACGTAATTGCTTAAGGAAATGATAGACTTTTTTGCTCTGGCCAGACAGGGGATTCAAACAATTTGAGTGGGACTAAAACTGAACGTATTACATACAAATTTGCCAGGTCCATTCGATTAATTTATGGATTGTTTATTCATGCTAGCCTATATTTTTTTGCTTATGCAGAATCGACAACTGGAAACGCGAGCATATCTTGCAGTTCCTGCGTGAGAAGCTTAAACCCAAGTCAGAATCAGCATCCTAAGTGCTTGGTATTACCTTCATGTTCTGGTAAAAGATGGGAGGGACTTCATTGGAGAGATGAAGGTACTGGTGCTTAGATATGAAAGAATAGATCCAATGTTATGGTTTTGAATGATTGGAAAAAAACAAGGACTAGACAGATGTGAACCAGACAGACAAAAGACTGGATTCAAGCAGGCATTTGTATTTTGGCAGTTGAATGAGTTGCGTTCAGTCTCCTGCTCAATTATTTGATTGGAATGAACTTCACTGGAAAAGCTGTTTTACATATTGAACCATCCTATGAAAGATTTTCGTCGGCACAACAACTTAATAGGATTCATGCAGGTCGCCTTGGAATTTTTACCAGGAACTTGGGAATCATATCGTTTGAATGCTTTGATTTCTCTGTTACCAAGAGATTTTGCATGGAAGTTAGTCAGATTAACATATGCAGAACTTTGTACAATCCGATTACTAGCTGAACAGTGAACACCCCCCCGGTCTGCACAGGTTGACACAGTCGATTTTTGAATATTTTTTTACAGTACAGGCTAGTTGGATCGGCACAGATGACATTATTTACAAAATCATCGCCGAGCCATCAGTTTGATGGCTGTGATTTGCAGTCCCTCGCAATCGAACGGTATCCATGTTCTTACAGACCCTTACAACCTACATCTCGTGGGACGTGGAGGTCTAGGCAAAACGTAAGGGCTTTGGCTTATAATGTTCCCCCTGCCCTCTGCCTTCCAATTTGCTTTGCAGTTATTCCTTCTTCCTTTCTCTCTGTTGGAATTTTTTTTCACTTGCTCTGTGTTTTCAGTTTCTCCCACTCACACTGCTGACTTTCGCACCAGAAACCAGGCATGGGGGAGACTGGAATAGTGATGACTGATGTCTATTCAGAATCCAATCCCCCTTTCCTTCCTTCTCTTCAGGATGCTTTCTTTCACTCTCTCTTTCGTGTTCCTTTCTCCAAAACCAGAGCATGATCTTTTGCCAAGTTGGCACTTGGCAATCGATTATCAGTCCCCTTTGTTATGCTCCCAATTACCTTTCAACACCTTTTCTCATGGAGAGTAATGGGTTCCTATCTTTTCATTGAGCTATAGTTCAATACCCACCACCATGATTTTAATGGGCTTTCCATGCTAAGAGCATTTGAGCTATGGTTACCTCCATATCGTGCTGATATCGTTGGATCAACTTACCAATCATCCCAACCGCTGGATTGATTTGAATCGAAATCATAACAACACCACATACATCTAAATCCAACGACTCTGCTTCTTGTGTCGCAAACGATCTGAAGATGCCAGCCCATACAACAACAAAAAGAAACCCTATCATCATGATAATCCAAACCCTAGTGGAAGTGTTTGTGAGAAGGCTCTTTTCTCATTATAAAGGGTGTGGTGGGATCTATGATGGGGAGTTTGAAGGGAAATTTTGTTTCTTGGGGAGAGGTGGTGGTGGAGTGGAGTACTTTATGTCAAATCTGCACAAGAGTGGTGGTAGTCACTTACTGGTTCTTTCTCAGGATTCCAACTTATGTGTGATATATATCTCCCTTGCATTTCACATCCAATTTCACCTTGAGTGCATGCCTCCATCCTTTCTGTTTTGTTTCACCTTCTCATGTAAAGTGAAAGAAAGAAAGAAAGAAAGAAAGAAAGAAAGAAGTTACATTATGATCCTTGTCCTATCATCTGACCTGATTTTGCACCACTTCAGGGGTTCATGTGGAATTGGGAATCATTCTAGTAGCAACTAGCAAGCAGTCACTGAAATGAATTTTTGAAATGTAGCTTTGCATAATGTGTTGTATTAGTTTTTTTTCCCTAAGTAGGCAAGTGTGTTAATTGGAAACTTGTGATTTGGTTATAGCATTGATTTCATTTCAACAAGAAGCCAAAAATTTCGTGCTAGATGGAAACGACTGGTATAAGAATCATTTTAGCCTCTCTCGCAAGACTTCGGCAACTCATAAAGTTATTATAATGAACGTGATTCTCGACGTTGTATTAGAGCATTTGGTCAAGAGTTCGAATCTTGACAATCCATCATACTTCACAACAACTAAATTTAAGTCTGTAATATAATGGATCTGTACAAACTTCAAAGATTTAAGGAGCATGTAAGAAAATGCTATAAACTCCATTCTTTCGCACCCTTGTAAGTTGTAACAACTGTGAGTTATTGAAATAACGTTTTCTCGTCATTAGAAACTCCTAAAGTTCAAACAAGCCACACGAGTAATCTGAAAATCTTGTTTTTTTTTTCCTGCTGGAAAGAGTAGTGCAAAGGGCTTTTAATCAAAACAGGAAACATAATTATTACAGGATGTTTTAACTTTTACTAAAGTACCATTAAAATTCATGTGATTAAAGCTTGTAGCCTGTAGGAGCTAATAAGGGAAAGATAGGCAAGTTGTAGCCCTAGTCCTCACTAACCTTCAAATTACTAGAAAACATGGCAATTTGTTTCCACTGACCAACAAACTTTTGAATAAACTGCTCACCAAACAAAAGAATGACAGCCAAAAAAAGGCAAGCAAAACCATGGCTTGAATTGGAGCATTATATCCTTTTGCATGCCATTTTGACATTAGATAATCAATCAGCTTACTATGCTTCATATGGAGACGATCAACCAGTACCAACACCGCGAGTTCGCCTTCTCGTACGTTCTCCTTCGTCTAGTTTGTATAGCGTCATTTTCTATAAATGATGTCGACATATAACATAATCCGGTAACTTAAAAGAATACAAACACAATTCAACCATATCAACATATTCTGATCTTTCCGAACCACAAAATATTAGAAGTTGCTGTCCATTACAAAACAAACACACCAACCATCATTATTTTTTGTCCCAATTGCTCTGTAACCCATTTTTTGGGCAAATTTGGAACTTTGTGCTGAAGTTATGCATGAGATGCATTCATTGCCACTGGCCTGCAATGCAATTATTTGATTGGGTTTTTTTTTTTACAGTCAGTACTGATCCCGTCTCTAGTAGAAATCATTTTGCCTCTGCCCACAATGTAAGAACTTGGGGATCCCCAAATGATGCAGAAATGCTGCCATTATGCCAAGCTCCATGATCACACACCTGGAGGAAGAAAGAAAGGTGGTCTCTGAAATGATATTATTGTGTTTCCCAGTCACTTGAGTTTGGTTGTGGTTTATTGAGGGAAGAATGGGTAGCAAGAAACAGGGGGAAAGTGAAAAAAAATAAACAGGGACTTACTATTATTACTCTCTTACTGGACAGATATTTTTAGAATGATTGTAAAAAATTTGTTGTACTTCCAAAAAGGCCCCCCTCAGAAGTATATGACATTTTCGAAAAAAACTGTCACGAGCCATCCGATGGTCTTGAAAATCTATGTTTCTCGTCGGAAGGCTTATGTACGTATTGAGGAACGGGATCCTCGACAATTTGAATCAAAATCGTATCTTTTGATTGTTCAACTAGTAGTTGAGTCACAAATTTGAATGGAAAAGGGCCAAAGAAATGATGCTGAAGGAATCCTAACCCTAGTAACTTAGCAGAAGGGGGATTCAAATCAGTGTTTGCTAAATCGTAATGTATCGGGTATCCGGTAAAAAAAAAAGTCTATTGAATCCCAAGTCAGCATGAAATGGTCGGTCATAGTTAAATCATGGGTTAAGCACAAATTACCCAATCATTGACTTATTCGGTACATTCTCCTGTACGGTTTTACAATCATTGATTCGAAGTCGTACAAAACCGTTCTACACTTTGTATTGTTACAAGTTTGGCCACCAAAACTTTTGTCACTGGCCAATAGTTCCATGATTCAATTGAGCAGGGACCCAGAAGAACTGGAAGTACCAAGTTAAAAGTAACCAAACTGAAAGTCTAAAAACAATGGGAGCTGTAACTATAAGACTAGTTTTGTTGGTTACCCACGAACCAGCTAAGGGGCTATGGTCCTAGAAAGCCATCAAATTGGAAACATACATTGCACAAGTCTCCATTAAGGGGAGCACCTTTTATTTTGTCTTGCCTTCACATTTTTTTTTTTTTGACAAAAGATAATCATATATTGATTTAGAACAAAAGGCAATTACACCCTGGAATTCAGCCATGCCTGATAATCAAAACGACTTGTAGTCGGGTACAAAGAAAGGGCTTTTTTAGCCACCAAATGAGCTACCCTATTGCTACGCCGACCTACAAATCGCACCGTAAATCCCACATTCATGTCAAACAGCTGGACCACCTCCTCCAAAATCGATCCCACCCGACTATCTGTAGCCTCCCGCCGAAGAATCCTCTCAATGATCACCTGGGCATCCCCCTCAAAGCGTACCATACTAAAACCATTATCCAAACACCAATAGACTGCTTCTCGGAGAGCAACTGCCTCGCATACCAAAGGATCCTCTAGTCCCGGGAGCTGAATCCCCCTAGCTAAGAGGATCACTCTAGCAGGGCTCATGAGAACCATTCCCCCCCGCTGAGTGGGACCCAGTCCGCACAGCCCCATCCCACATGCAGACCACCCCAGGTGACTCCACTAAATCTAGTGGGGCACTGCGCGAAATTGGGCACTACCCAAAATTCTTATCATCCCTTTGTGTACTCCCCAAATGTTTGATGGCATGGAATGAGTGTAAAACCATATCAGAGATTGTATCGAAAAAATCAGCGGTGGAATATTTTATGTTGAAATTGTGGTTTAACCATACTTCAATCTTATCATAGCGCTAATCCTCTCTTCTACCGATTTAGACTCTGATATGTTTTCCTGGTCGGATCACCGGTACGAGTACGACTTTACAAACATGTATGGCAGACAACTAGCTGGGAGTAAGGGCAAACGGGGGGGGGGGGGGGGGGGGGGGGGGGGGGGGGGGGGGGGGGGGAAGAAAACCCCGCCTTAAGGATTGATATAATACCACCTTGAGCGTATAATTAATCACGGAGTAAGAGCTAACAAATCAGTAAAAATAGGGTTATAGGTATAATATGCCCCTCTACTACGCAGTTTTATCAAACATGCCCCTCTACTATTTTTTACATCAAACATGCCCCTATACTTTGTAAAAACGATCAAACATGCCCTTCTGTTAAAATTTGCGTTAAAAAACTATCAACCATGGTCGAACCTTGCTTTGGGCGACACCTATGTCTAAAATATTCCTGATAATTTCACTTTAGAATTGTTTTGTTTATTTTGTATAGCCAAATACCTCTGATAATTTCACTTTAACGAGACATGGAGAAATAAATGAGGAGGAAAAACTGACATTTCACCCCGATTTTTTCAATGTCGGGTCATGTGAATCTCGGTTCAATCGTGGTTGACCATTTTTAATGGAAATTTTAACATAAGGGCATTTTTTATGTAAAAAAATAGTAGAGGAACATATTTGATAAAACTGCATAATAGAGGGACATATTATACCTATAGCCCTAAAAAAATAAAAATAAGATCAACAATACGAGTTCAGTGCGATAAAAAAAAAAAACCCCGCATGTGAATACACATTACTGCACATGAATTCGATATGCAAATCAAGTTAAGAACTACTTAGGGGATGAAGCTTGCTGGAAAGTTCAATTAAGGGAATTCTTCCATCCTTCACGTTCCAAGAAGGGGGAAATGTGTAGTATCTACTCTTGTTATTTTTACCTATTGTAAACATATTTGTCTACTATTTCATCCTATTATGATATAAAAAATAAATAAAAAAAGAAGGGGGAAATGTAGAAGTTAATGTATATTAAAAAAAATGAAGCTATAAAAAGGCCTAAAATATTTCAACATTGTTGGCTGGCTCCCTTATCAAAATGCCAAATAAGAACATAGTACTAAGTGGCGTGCAAAAGTTTTCAAAAGCTAATAATGATTCCTTACCCCCCCATAGGATAAAAATGGTAGCAATTCAATAAAATGTAAATTAACTACCCTAAATATTGAACCTTTTAGCCACTTTTCTTCGAGTGAGGTGATTTCTTTTTATATCGTGGCGGACTCATAAATCTAAGTGGGCACAATAAAGTAAAAAAAAAATTAAGGGGATAGTTTGAGTCATCTTAAATTTTTTTTTTTTTCAAATGTGTTACTAATTTTATCTATATTTTCAAGTGGTCGTTTGCTTCATGCATTTGGAGGCATGAGGGTTCTGAGTGAAAACCTGAGATTTTGGAAAACCTGGAATTTGTAATGGATCTCGTTAATAATGGATTTGAAAAGTTTTATATTTGTTTGATGGATTTTGTTCATGAATGTATTTTTATGGTTTTGTAACTTTAATATGTAAATTACCTTAATATCCTCATCTATATTTCTTTTATATTCGTGAGGCAAGATGATATATATGTAATTATTATCATGTGGTCCACGGATTTGTGACTATATATGTTTCAAATACACACCCATATTTGGGATTGCAAGTTCACGAGACTTACAAATTTGGACAATCAAAGTCCATGAATCCCACGGATTTGGTCCTTCCACCAACATATGGACCAAACAAGGAATTATGTTAAATCCATGATGCCCTAAAGCAAACGACCCCTAACTACAGTTTTGAAGTCGAAAAAAGAAAGATTTTCCCTCATTTGGAATAAAGCAAAGCCCTATTACATTGAATGCCATGTAGCCTTCAGGATGAAGGGGAAGTCCATCCTACAATTCGAAATTGAGACTTTCAAATTGAAATTGAATAATGAAATCGCTAAACCAATCTCTTGTTCACTTCCAAAAGTCATTTCTATTTTCTGATAAATTGGAGTTTCTCTTTTTATTCTTCTTCCTTTTGTTTTGCTTAAATCAATGAAAGGGAAATCTTTATAGAGATGGGGTCATTGGAGTGAAAGAGAGAAGATGGTGTTTTTTTTTTTTTTTTTGAAGAGAAGGATTCATGCTGTCTCCTCTCTATAAACAAAAGTCCTGGTTCTGATCATGATTTCCATTTGCGATCACTTATTGTTGGAAGTGGGAGAGAAGACTTGTGGATTAACAATTTAACATGGCTCTCCAAGTCCAGTGCCCTCCTCCTAATTGCGTTTTGACATTTAGGGGAAATAATAGAGCCCAAAAATTAGGAGTGAGCTTGAGGGTTTGTTGATTGAAGAACCAATTCAACTTCATATTTAACCAAATCATTACGCGAGTTGAATCGGAATACCAGTAATGGTAGCACAATTACTGTGTTATGTAGTTTCTTCTCTATATAAGATCACCCGAATCAAAACTAATTCGCACTTATGAGGCAAGCATTTTACATTCGTCCCATGCAACCACATGTTTAGAGTTTAATCGAATGTAAAAATGCTCACCTCATATTTAGATTGCATGTTCACACGAGTATCTTTCGCATGATCGTAGTTTTTTTATTTATAAATATCTAATAGTTGTCGAAGTCAAACCCAAATTTCGGTTCTTTTGATCCTTTCTGAACCGCGAAAAAGACATCTTCTTATTAAGAAAATTCATACGCATGATATCGATACGCGTGAAACGACGAAACAAACGCAGAGGAAGATAAAAAAGAAAATCAGTCTAGTATCATTGAAAAGTTATAGTTTGGTATATGGTGAATGTATGGGAGCATGCATCTAGCTAAGTTAAAAGATGCTTTTTTTGATAATGACCATACCCCATAGGGCACATAAAAGAGGATTAGGATATAGTTGAGATTAGCCAAACATGCCTTGGGAAAAAAAGCTAGGAAAAGATGATGATTAGGGTTTTGATTTTATATATTTGCATTTGAGGGGTGATAATGCCAAGAGTACCTTTTTTGGAGGGCCTTAGGTTAAGTGGCATCCACTTTGGGCTTCACGGGCCCATCTTTTCGTTGGTGGGTCGGGCGGGCCCACTTACATCCCCCCAGATTCTCTCCCTTTTCTCTTTTCCTCTCTCAATTCTTGTTGTACGAGGGTGTTACTAACTACAAGACGGCACCCACATTTTTCTTTTTGTCATAAAGCAGGCTCAAAGTTTGAAATGCCTTTCAACAAAGGACACCATTAGAGCTTGTCGGAGGACACCTCTCCTCAATGTGCCAAAGTCACGCGTGTGTGATATAATGATTCTTTTAACCACAATCCATAATGCTCTAAAAAAAGTAGTTTAGATGAATTAAAGTATTGATTAAGTAGTGTATCTTGAAGAATTAAGTAAATCCGATCGTGCTCTGCGAGCGCTTGATTCGTACTCCTGCTTGTGGTAAGCAGGGAGTAGTCGGATCGAGGTAGTCAATCGATCGGAATGGGGGAGGAGCTGCAGTGGGATATTTTTTGTTCTTGGTCGTGTAAAATAGACGAACGAGTACCGACGATATAAGTGATCGAGGCCGGTTTAGAGGATTTTTCTGGGCTGCATGCCATACTCGAACACCAGGCATGCCCAGAGATAGGAGGGAAGTGGTCATCCGACTGTTTCTGAGTATCTCCGCCTATTGTCTAGTTTTTTTTTCTCTCCCTTACTTGTTTCGATATAGTAGCAGAGATAGATTTTTTTCCCCCCTTCATTCGTGGAATTTGGAAGAAAGTCGTTAACTAGAATTGTGTGAATTCGTTAAGCTTCAGATAGTTAGAAGAGTAAGTCAGTTGAATCTCGAAATTTGAGAATGTGTGTTAGTCTGTGATGGATAATTATTTTAATTCTACGATAAACTAACAAGAAAAACTAGTAAAATTTAGGTTTATTCTGCGCGTGATACGTCTCAAAGACATACTCGACTAATGGCAATAAAAAGAAATCCTTTGTTCATACCGGCCGTAACCTTTTTCACTCAGACCGCCGCCTCCCGGCCAACCTCGCCGGCGGATGAATAGTATTTCTTAATCTTTTTCCCTGTCCAAAGTCCAAACATTCCTTCACTTTCTACGGCGACAAACGCCACCCACTACATTTCTTTTTGTAATTGTAAATTGTAATTAGCATCTCTCTCTCCTGCCTCTTTTTCATATCGATTTTCTCAGCATCCAAACAAACACAACGGCCAAAAGAAATCTGAAATCTCGCAGTTCGGTTGCTTTCTCTCTGTTTCTTCTTTTAAATTTGTTTTTTCTTTTTGAACTTTTGCTGTCTTCCCGTTTCCAGAGCGCTTCAAAGTTCGAGTTTTTTTTTTTTTTGGTGGCAAACGTCTGTCGGGGAACGGCCACCGCCGCGTTCCGTCGCTGTCTGGGAAAGTGATGATACGTCGCCGTTTCGTACTGTGCCCGCCGGCGCCGGGCATGGCGGGGAAACGGGCAGCAAGTTTTTTTTCCGGGGAAAGGGGGCTGGTGGTTGAGATTCGTTGGTATTTGATATTTGGTTCTATATAAGCAATGATAATATACGTGGAGGCGACGGTTATCTCAATATTTATATTTGTTTTGATATGCGGTCATGATTTGTGTAGTCAAGTTATGTAATTTGGTTAGGAGCATGGGTTAGGACATATACCTAGATTCGTTTAGTACAACGTTGAAGACAAAAAAAAAAGATAATGTAGATGATTATACACAAGTTTCGAACCAATTGATCGAGAGGTCAACGTGACCGATAGAGAGGCACGTATAATCAAAGAAGTAAACTGCTAAAGGATCACGGTTAAATTTCAAAAAGAGCAAGAAAATCTAGTAAGGTTGAATTAGGGGAGAGGCATGAGCCTTAAGGGATGGTCCCTCGAGGCCGGAGGGTGGCTGCCTACCGTGACGAAAGTTACCGCGGCAGGCACCCTCTGACAACAACGACACAAGAAAGACATAAAAGATGTTAGGTGCCCGACCAAAGCATTAATGGTCTCGGAGGCGCGTCTGAGTATCCGACTCATATACATATCCAAAAAGTTGTATAAATAAAAGTTCTCATTCCATAAATGAGTCAAAACGGTATACACATAAATTACTATTTCTCTATTTTCTTTCCCTGAATCTTCATATGCCTTCGTTTTTCCCTTTATTCAAAACCCTCTTAAAACTCGTATAGCACCACTTAGCAATAGCAAGATGTCCGACCTCTCAAATATCTAGACCGTTGGACTCAAACCAAAACCATATTGGCTTGTACTATTCTAAACCATATTACTCGGCAAACCCTAGGTCTTAATCAAGATGCTAATCAAGGCATTTAGCCAAAAACTCAGCCAACCGTGGTGTGAATCGAGTCGGAGAGCAAATCCAGGATGTGTTTGTTTGGTCATTTTCCAAAGTTTCAGAAACCCAGAATTCAAGTGTGAGGAAGATGAGAAAAAACAAAATCGACAGTTTCCATAAATTTTTTTTTTAAAAGGAGAAATTGGAAGAGGAAACCAAACATCCCTGTAAAGTAATAATGGTTTCACCTTTATTTATTCACTTCCTTATTGCTGGCTACCAGAGAGGAAACAGTACTCCATTGCCTTCCTCCCTCTTTCTCTGCTCTGCTCTGCTCTGCATAATATAACCAACCAAACAACAAATCTCCCCTCTCTCTCTCCCACTCCCTTCTTCTCCACACTCTCGACGTGAATTCCCACTCTCACAGTGAGAAAGCTCTCTTACCCCTTTTCATGTCTGTGCCCTTGGAGCATGATTACATAGGCGATTCTTCAATGGAGAAAACAGGGGATGTTAGTATTATCACACCGCAACAAAAGAGCACCACCAAACTCGTCTCTTCTCTCAGCATGAACCTGAAAGCCACAGAGCTGAGGCTCGGGTTACCCGGTTCCGAGTCGCCGGAGCGAGGCGACGGCAGCAGCGCTGAACTCTGCATCGGCTTGCCCAGCAGCAAGTCCTCTGTTTCCAGACCCAAGAGAGGGTTCTCCGTCGCCATCCACGGCGGCTCCGGCAACTGGGTTTTCTCCCCCGGCGCCGGTGGACCGGATAACAATTTCTCCTCCCCCAGAAACAACCCCGTCGCAGCGAATTCCGAGCAGGGGCAGGCTCCCAAAGACAGCGGCCTGCCTCCTCAGTCGTCGCCGGCGACGGAGAAGAAGAAGGCTCAGGCTGCCGGTTCCGGCGCCGGTCCAGCTTCTAAGTAATCAATTACTCCCCCTTGCTTCTCTCTCTTTAATTACTCTTCTTTCAATTTCCCCTGTTTTCCAATCTATTTTTGAATTGAAATTTTGGGGGTTTCCCCTGTTTTTTTTACTCTGTTTTGGTCCATGAAGGGCACAAGTGGTGGGATGGCCGCCAATTCGTTCGTTTCGAAAGAACACCATGGCTTCCCATCCTACTCCGAAGAACAGCGACGTGGTGGAAGGAGGCGACCACAACCCTAACTCAGGGGGATCGGCATCGTCGACATCAGTTTGTTTGTATGTCAAAGTCAGCATGGACGGAGCGCCATATCTCAGGAAAGTTGACCTCAAGACTTATGGCGGCTACAAGGACCTGTCACTTGCTCTCGAGAACATGTTCAGCTGCTTCACTATTGGTACTGTTCAGTATTCTATCTCACAATTAGAATTTAGACACTTATTAAACATAGATTCCCTAGGGTCTAAGTTTTACTGTAGACATGGTTGATAAAGTAATTGAAGGTTTTTAATGGAATTTGGATCCTATACTCAATAGGGTACACTCAAACACCATTGCTTGTGTCTCTTTAGCTGTTTGATTTGCGATCGGATGGTTCTCGTGCTTATGTAGTGCTATGAATATTGATTGCTTGTATAGTTCGTGTTTGCCTTCGAGGCAAACGACAACCATCTGATTACGAATCTGATGGTTGTAAGCATGCTAAATAAGGTAGGTATAAGCATCGTGCTTAGACCTATCCAGCCATTTGATTCACAAGGCTCGTAGTTTTGTATGGTCGCGTCCTGTGCTCGCTATGACCGTCTGATCGTAAATCTTATGGCGAGAAAGAGCAAGTACGGGAGCATATGTGTTCATTAGCTAGAACAGTTTGCAAGAGGTAGTGGTGGTGACTATGCACTGGAATAAAAGCTAATATGGAAGTGATGATGTGATTAGGCATAAAGCCATTAACATGCTTGCTGCTTTGCTTTGCTTTGCTTTGATGATGTCTTATCACCCATTAACAAACAGTAAGCATCATTTTTGTGGTTCACCTGGCCCAACTTGTAGATGCGTGAGAAGACATAATGATTATATGCTTAGATTCTGATTGATCTTAATGGGTTCTTTTTTTCTACTTCTTACTTTCTTTTTCTCCGTTTTACATCAATGGTGGTCGGGTTTAAAGGTCAATGCGGGTCTCATGGCGTTTCTGGGAGAGATGGAGTGAGCGAGAGTCGACTGGTGGATATTCTGCATGGTTCTGAGTATGTACTCACCTACGAAGATAAAGATGGTGACTGGATGCTTGTTGGTGATGTCCCTTGGAAGTAAAGTCTAACCCTTTCTTCATCCTATCCTTACATAATGCAATGAAGTTATATAGTCCAACCCATTTAAGGACATGCTCACCCTTGAATCTTCTGTTGCAGGATGTTCATCGACTCTTGCAGAAGGCTGAGGATCATGAAGAGCTCGGAGGCCATTGGTCTCGGTACATAATCTGCTTTTCTATTTCAAACATGTTCTATTTCCCCTTCCATTGTTTACCCAAATCCAAATTTGATCCGTTCTCTCTGCCTGTTGCAGCACCAAGGGCGTTTGAGAAGTGCAAAAGCAGTAACTAGCATGATCATAACTGCTGGATCCAAACTGAATGCAACCCATATGAATACTCTGCTGCCTGCTTTGGATCTGGGAAAAGCTTCTTCCTTTTTTTTTGGTTCATGGATCCAAACAGAATGAGGATCCACCCCCCACTTTTTGTCCTTACTTTGGCATATATATTATTAATATTGTTCTATAGTGTTTGCATTAGATTAAAAAAACTGTTAAGTTTGCTTGGGCTTCAGATGTATTGTTATTATTATTTGTGCTGATCTTCCTGGATATCATCATGAGTGTCCCCCCTTCCTTCCCTGCCTGCAATTATTATTTGTGTGTAAAATTTGTTTCTTTGCTGCAGCTTACTCTTTTCCTTTTGTTTTCTGGGCTTTTCTTTTCCTTTTCTTTTCCTTTCCCCCCCCCCCCCCCCCCCCCCCCCCCCCAATTTTCTGCCTTTTGTCCCTCTCTAGCTCACTGTGCCCTCTGAAAAGAAGCAAAGGAAGTGAGAGGTAGGGAGGAAAGATGATGGTGGTTGGGGGGACAAATTCAATTGCAAACCCAAGCCCACCAATGGGGTGTAGTCTAGTCTAAGTCTAGTGCAGTCTAAAACAGGAGAGAGTGTGTTGATGGATTGATTTGATAGGCGGCTGCTGCTGCTAAATAATCTTTTTCATCAGGGGTATCTGCAATGTGCTGCAGAATTCTTTCTTTTCTTCTTCTTCAGGAACCAATGAAACTGAGGCAGCCCAGGGTGCTGCTGTTTGTCTCAATCTGGATGGATGGTGAATGAAAAGGGTTGTTAGCTGTGACTTGAGTGAATGTGGAAGTGAAATTTCATTGTCTGGTGGATTCATGAATGATCTTGGTGTAAGGGGGGGGGGGGGGGGAGTTGATGTGATGTGAATGAATTGAGTCTTTTATGGGGCTGTAAATAAGTTAAAGATTAGGTTTTTGGCTCATTGTTCACAGCTCACAGGGGGAGAAGTAGTAAGAAAACAAAACTGGGGAGCAGGTTTTCTGGGGGACCTGTTCTTGTGGCTCGTGTTTGTAGTTTCAGTATTTGTCGTTTTGGTATGGTGGAGGTCTTTCAATGGCGTGAGTAGTAAGAAGCACTAATCAGCAGGGAGAAGATGGAGATGAAGGGATAAACACAATTTCATGTCATCCTCTCACTTGTGATTGACACAAAACATTTAGGGGCCGTTGGAAGAATATGAATTTAAATCTATAGATTGTCAACAATCTAAAGATTTTAATTATTCGGATTGTTGAACATATATTTTAAAATGTTTATTGTTTGGTAACTGTAATTGTTAACATTCAATGAAAATAGAAATAAAAATTTTATATTAAATAATATGTTTATCCTTAATAATAAAAAATCTCACGAATCAAGATATAGAATCTCTCTGATTATGTGAGATTTGATATCCGTAGATTTTAGAGATTTGAAATCTCTAAAACTAAAATCCACAATACAAAAAGCAACAAAAACACATAACTTTCTACAATATCTAGGGATTTTAATGAATCCATGTCCTAAATCCCGTTCTCCAAACGACCCCTCACATATTTCTTAAACTTTAAATTTACAAATTTAGGGTTTAGGGTTTATGACATCCCTAGAGGCCGACGTGCGTGACAATCATACTGGAGCCATATGCGAGGAAGTCTTGAGTCGGTTAGCGATCCATACTAGGTTCCATGTATGATTTGTAGGTCGGAGTTACAATAGGGTAGTCCATTTGATGGCTAGAAATGTCATTTCTTGAAATGACTCATATGATTGATTCATATGACTCATATTTCTTGAGTCGGTTAGCGATCCATACTAGGTTCCATGTATGATTTTTGTCAAATGCTATCTTAATTCGATCCGGTTCTAGACACCCAATCGACCAATTCCCATCCTAGGGAGGAGGAATATCCTTGTTTTCTTGAATGACTCATATGATTGATTGATCATAGAGTTATTTGAGGAAGTTACTAATTACATTTTTATCCGGATAAAAGAAGGGGGAAAAGGAGTGAGGCAAAAGGAAGGGTTATTTGAAGAGTGTAATTTGCAAGCATCAAAATTCTTTTAAGGTGCCATTTAAAAAAAAAAAGACTTTTAAGGTGGTATATTATATTGTAGCTTGAATTTTCATTGAGTTTTTGTTGGGCCAATTTATTTTCGGATGATATTTTCGTAATTTCTTGGGCGACAAAAGGTCATTTTCTTTGGATATTGAAGGCTACAAATCACGGATTCGGCCTAAGGCTATTCTCCAACGATGATTGAGTCCATTAAGCACCGATTTGATAGGATTTATCAGGGTCAATTTTTGGCAGATTCCAAAGGGGTACCATCACAGATTTCGGGCGATTTATCCGAAATGCCATTTTCTTTCGATTCTGGAGGCAACAGATCACGGAATTAGGCCGAGGCTATTCTCCACCGATAATGAAGTCTATTGATCCTATTATCCAAGGATGATAAGCCCGTTAAGCATAGATTTGGACCAATTAATTTTCAGATGGCATTTTCGTAATGTCTTGGGTGACGAAAGGCCATTTTCTTTGGATATTGAAGACTACAGATCACGGATTCGGCCTGAGCCTATTCTCCAACGATGATTAAGTCCATTAAGCACCGATTTGGGCGGATTTATTCCAGGTCAATTTTTGGCAGATTCCAAAGCGGTACCATTATAGATTTCGTGCGATTTATCCGAAATGCCATTTTCTTACGATTCTGGAGGCTACATATCACGGAATCAAGCCGAGGCTATTCTCCACCGATAATGAAATCTATTGATCCTATTCTCCACGGATGATAAGCCCGTTAAGCATCGATTTGTGACAATTTATTTTCGGATTGCATTTTCGTAATTTCTTGGGCGACGAAAGGCCATTTTCTTTGGATATTGAAGGCTATAGATCACGGATTCGGCCTGAGGCTATTCTCCAACGATGATTAAGTCCATCAAGCACCGATTTGGGCGGATTTATTCCGGGTCAATTTTTGGCAGATTCCAAAGGGGTACCATCACAGATTTCGGGCGATTTATCCGAAATGCCATTTTCTTTCGATTCTGGAGACTACATATCACTGAATCAGGCCGAGGATATTCTCCACCGATAATGAATTCTATTGATCCTATTCTCCACGGATGATAAGCCTGTTAAGCATCGATTTGGGCCAATTTATTTTCGGATGGCATTTTCGTAATTTCTTGGGCGACGAAAGGGCATTTTCTTTTGATATTGAAGGCTACAGATCACGGATTCGTCCTGAGGCTATTCTCCAACGATGATTGAGTCCATTAAGCACCGATTTGTGCGGATTTATTCCTGGTCAATTTTTGGCAGATTCCAAAGGGGTACCATCACAGATTTCGGGCGATTTATCCGAAATGCCATTTTCTTTCAATTCTGGAGGCTACATATCACGGAATCAGGCCGAGGCTATTCTCCACCGATAATGAAGTCTATTGATCCTATTCTCGACGGATGATAAGCCCGTTAAGCATAGATTTGGGCCAATTTATTTTCGGATGGCATTTTCGTAATTTCTTGGGCGACGAAAGGCCATTTTCTTTGGATATTGAAGGCTACAGATCACGGATTCGCCCTGAGGCTATTCTCAAACGATGATTGAGTCCATTAAGCACAAATTTGGGCGGATTTATTCCAGGTCAATTTTTGGCAGATTCCAAAGGGGTACCATCACAGATTTCGGGCGATTTATTCGAAATGCCATTTTCTTTCGATTCTGAAGGCTACAGATCACGGAATCAGGCCGAGGCTATTCTCCACCGATAATGAAGTCTATTGATCCTATTCTCCACGGATGATAAGCCCGTTAAGCATCAATTTGGGTCAATTTATTTTCAGATGACATTTTCGTAATTTCTTGGGCGACGAAAGGCCATTTTCTTTGGATATTGAAGGCTACAGATCACGGATGCGTCATGTGCCTATTCTTCAACGATGATTGAGTCCACTAAGCACCAATTTGGGCGGATTTATTCCGAGTCAATTTTTGGCAGATTCCAAAGGGGTACCATCACAGATTTCGGGCGATTTATCTGAAATGCCATTTTCTTTCCATTCTAGAGGCTACAGATCATTTAATCAGGCCGAGGCTTTTCTCCACCGATAATGAAGTCTATTGATCCTATTCTCCACGGATGATAATCCTGTTAAGCATCGATTTGGGCCAATTTATTTTCGGATGGCATTTTCGTAATTTCTTGGCCGACGAAAGGCCATTTTCTTTGGATATTGAAGGCTACAGATCACGGATTCGGCCTGAGGCTATTCTCCAACAATGATTCAGTCCATTAAGCACCGATTTGGGCGGATTTATTCCGGGTCAATTTTTGGCAGATTCCAAAGGGGGTACCATCACAGATTTCGGGCGATTTATTCGAAATGTCATTTTATTTCGATTTTGGAGGTTACAGATCACGGAATTAGGCCGAGGCTACTCTCCACCGATAATGAAATCTATTGATCCTATTCACCACGGATGATAATCCTGTTAAGCATCGATTTGGGCCAATTTATTTTCGGATGCCATTTTAGTAATTTCTTGGGCGACGAAAGGCCATTTTCGTTGGATATTGAAGGCTACAGATCACGAATTCGGCCTGAGACTATTCTCCAACGATGATTGAGTCCAGTAAGCACCGATTTGGGCGGAATTATTCCGGGTCAATTTTTGGCAGATTCCAAAGCGGTACCATTTTAGATTTCGTGCGATTTATCCGAAATGCCATTTTCTTACGATTCTGGAGGCTACATATCACGGAATCAAGCCGAGGCTATTCTCCACCGATAATGAAGTCTATTGATCCTATTCTCCACGGATGATAAGCCTGTTAAGCATCGATTTGGGACAATTTATTTTCGGATTGCATATTCGTAATTTCTTATGCGACGAAAGACCATTTTCTTTGGATCTTGAAGGCTACAGATCACGGAGTCGGCCTGAGGCTATTCTCCAACGATGATTGAGTCCATTAAGCACCGATTTGTTCGGATATATTCCTGGTCAATTTTTGGCAGATTCCAAAGGGGAACCATCACAGATTTCGGGCGATTTATCCGAAATGCCATTTTCTTTCGGTTTTGGAGGTTACAGATCACGGAATTAGGCCGAGGCTACTCTCCACCGATAATGAAGTCTATTGATCCTATTCTCCACGGATGATAATCCTGTTAAGCATCGATTTGGGACAATTTATTTTCGGATTGCATTTTCGTAATTTCTTGTGCGACGAAAGGCCATTTTCTTTGGATATTGAAGGCTACAGATCACGGAGTCGGCCTGAGGCTGTTCTCAAACGTTGATTGAGTCCATTAAGCACCGATTTGGGCGGATTTATTCCGGGTCAATTTTTGGCATATTCCAAAGGGGTATCATCACAAATTTCGAGCGATTTATCCGAAATGCCATTTTCTTTCGATTCTGAAGGCTACAGATCATGGAACAGGCCGAGGATATTCTCCACCGATAATGAAGTCTATTGATCCTATTCTCCACGGATGATAAGCCCGTTAAGCATCAATTTGGGCCAATTTATTTTCGGATGACATTTTCGTAATTTCTTGGGCGACGAAAGGCCATTTTCTTTGGATATTGAAAGCTACAGATCACGGATGCGGCATGTGGCTATTCTTCAACGATGATTGAGTCTATTAAGCACCGATTTGGGCGGATTTTTTCGGGGTCAATTTTTGGGAGATTCCAAAGGGGTACCATCATAGATTTTAGGCAATTTATCTAAAATGTCATTTTCTTTCGATTCTGGAGGCTACAGATCATGGAATCAGGCCGAGGCTATTCTCCATCGATAATGAAGTCTATTGATCCTATTCTCCACGGATGATAAGCCCGTTAAGCATCGATTTAAGCCAATTTATTTTCGGATGGCATTTTCGTAATTTCTTGAGCGACGAAAGGCCATTTTTTTGGTTATTGAAGGCTACAGATCACGGATTTGGCATGAGGCTATTCTCCAACGATGATTGAGTCCATTAAGCACAGATTTGGGCGGATTTATTCTGGGTCAATTTTTGGCAGATTCCAAAGGGGTACCATCACAGATTTCGGGGGATTTATCCGAATGCCATTTTCTTTCAGTTCTGGAGGCTACAGATCATGGAATCAGGCTGAGGCTACTCTCCACCAATAATTAAGTCTATTGATCCTACTCTCCACGGATGATAAGCCCGTTAAGAATCGATTTGGGCCAATTTATTTTCGGATGGCATTTTCGTAATTTCTTGTGCGACGAAAGGCCATTTTCTTTTTATATTGAAGGCTACAAAACACGGATTCGGCCTGAGGCTATTCTCCAACGATGATTGAGTCCATTAAGCACCGATTTGGGCAGATATATTTTAGGTTAATTTTTGGCAGATTCCAAAGGTGTACTACCATCCCAGATTTCGGGCGATTTATCCGTAATACCATTTTCTTTCGATTCTGGAGGCTACAGATCACGGAATCAGGCCGAGGCTATTCTCCACCAATAATGAAGTCTATTGATCCTACTCTCCACGAATGATAAGCCCGTTAAACATCAATTTGGGCCAATTTATTTTCTGATGACATTTTCGTAATTTCTTGGGCGAGGAAAAACCATTTTCTTTGGATATTGAAGACTACAGATCACAGATTCGGCCTGAGGCCATTCTCCATCGATGATTGAGTCCATTAAGCACAAATTTAGGAGGATTTATTCAGGGTCGTTTTTTGGCAGATTCAAAAGGGGTACCATCAGAGATTTCGGGCGATATATCCGAAATGCCATTTTCTTTCGATTCTGGAGGCTACAGATCACGAAATCAGACCGAGGCTATTCTCCACCGATAATGAAGTCTATTGATCCTATTCTCCACGGATGATAAGCCCGTTAAGCATCGATTTGGGCCAAAAAAATTTTGGATGGCTTTTTCGTAATTTCTTGGGCGACAAAAGACCATTTTTTTTGGATATTGAAGGATACAGATCACGGATTCGCCCTGAGGCTATTCTCCAACGATGATTGAGTCCATTAAGCACAGGTTTAGGAGGATTTATTTCGGGTCTTTTTTGGCAGATTCCAAAGGGGTACCATCACAAATTTCCGACGATATATCCGAAATTCCATTTTCTTTCGATTTTGGAGACTACAGATCACGGAATCAGGCCGAAGCTATTCTCCACCGATAATGACGTTTATTGATCCTATTCTCTACGGATGATAAGCCCGTTAAGCATCGATTTGGGCCAATTTATTTTGGGATTGCATTTTCGTAATTTCTTGGGCGAGAAAGACCATTTTCTTTAAATATTGAAGGCTACAGATCACGGATTCGGCCTGAGGCTATTCTCCAACGATGATTGAGTCCATTAAGCACAGATTGGGGCGGATTTATTCCGGGTCAATTTTTGGCAGATTCCAAAGGGGTACCATCACAGATTTCGGGCGATTTATCCGAAATGCCATTTTCTTTCGATTCTGGAGGCTACAGATCATGGAATCAGGCTGAGGCTATTTTCCACTGATAATGAAGTCCATTGATCCTATTCTCCACGTACGATAAGCCAGTTAAGCATCGATTTGGGCCAATTTATTTTCTGATGGCATTTTTGTAATTTCTTGGGTGACGAAAGGCCATTTTCTTTGGATATTGAAGGCTACAGATCATGGATTCGGCCTGAGGCTATTCTCCAACGATTATTGAGTACATTTAGCATAGATTTGGGCATATTTATTCCGGGTAAATTTTTGGCAGATCCCAAAGGGGTACCATCACAGATTTCGGGCGATTTATCCGAAATGCCATTTTCTTTCGATTCTGGAGGCTACATATCACGGAATAAGGCCGAGGCTATTCTCCACCGATAATGAAGTCTATTGATCCTATTCTCCACGGATGATAAGCCCGTTAAGCATCGATTTGGGCCAATTTATTTTCGGATGGCATTTTCGTAATTTCTTGGGTGACAAAAGGCCATTTTCTTTCGATATTGAAAGCTAGAGATCACGGATTCGGCCTGAGGCTATCCTCCAACGATGATTGAGTCCATTAAGCACCGATTTGGGCGGATTTATTCCGGGTCAGTTTTTGGCAGATTCCAAAGGGGTACCATCACTGATTTTGGGCGATTTATCAGAATTGCTATTTTCTTTCGATTCTGGAGGCTACAGATCACGGAATCAGGCCGAGGCTATTCTCCACCGATAATGAAGTCTATTGATCCTATTCTTCACGGATGATAAGCCCGTTAAGATCGATTTGGGCCAATTTATTTTCGGATGGCATTTTCGTAATTTCTTGTGCGGCGAAAGGCCATTTTCTTTGGATATTGAAGGCTACTGATCACGGATTCGGCTTGAGGCTATTCTCCAATGATGATTGAGTCCATTAAGCATCGATTTGGGCGGATTTATTCCGGGTCAATTTTTGGCAGATTCCAAAGGGGTACCATCACATATTTCGGGCGATTTATCCGAAATGCCATTTTCTTTCGATTCTGGAGGCTACAGATCACGGAATGACGCCGAGGCTATTCTCCACCGATAATGACGTCTATTGATCCTATTCTCCACGGATGATAAGCCCGTTAAGCATCGATTTGTGCCAATTTATTTTCGGATGACATTTTCGTAATTTCTTGGGCGACGAAAGGCCATTTTCTTTGGATATTGAAGGCTACAGATCACGGATTCGGCCTGAGGCTATTCTCCAACGATGATTGAGTCCATTAAGCACAGATTGGTGCGGATTTATTCTGGGTCTATTTTTGGTAGATTCCAAAGGGGTACCATCACAGATTTAGGGCGATTTATCCGAAATGCCATTTTCTTTCGATTCTGGAGGCTACAGATCACAGAATCAGGCCGAGGCTATTCTCCACCGATTATGAAGCTGATTGATCCTATTCTGCACGGATGATAAGCCCGTTAAGCATTGATTTGGGCCAATTTATTTTCGGATGGCATTTTCGTGATTTCTTGGGCGACGAAAGGCCATTTTCTTTGGATATTGAAGGTTACAGATCACGGATTCGGCCTGAGGCTATTCTCCAACGATGATTGAGTCCATTAAGCACAGAATGGTGCGGATTTATTCCGGGTCTATTTTTGGTAGATTCCAAAGGGGTACCATCACAGATTTCGGGCGATTTATCCGAAATGCCATTTTCTTTCGATTCTGGAGGCTACAGATCACGGAATCAGGCTGAAGCTATTCTCCACCGATTATGAAGCCGATTGATCCTATTATCCACGGATGATAAGCTCGTTAAGCATCGATTTGGGCCAATTTATTTTCGGATAGCATTTTCGTAATTTCTTGGGCGACGAAAGGCCATTTTCTTTGGATATTGAAGGCTACAGATCACGGATTCGGCCTGAGGCTATTCTCCAACGATGATTGAGTCCATTAAGCACAGATTGGTGCGGATTTATTCCGGGTCTATTTTTGGTAGATTCCAAAGGGGTACCATCACAGATTTCGGGCGATTTATCCAAAATGCCATTTTCTTTCGATTTTGGAGGCTACAGATCATGGAATCAGGCCGAGGCTATTCTCCACCGATAATGAATTCTTTTGATCCTATTCTCCACGGATGATAAGCCCGTTAAGCATCGATTTGGGCCAATTTATTTTCGGATGGCATTTTCGTAATTTCTTGGGCGACGAAATGCCATTTTCTTTGATATTGAAGGCTACAGATCACGGATTCGGCCTGAGGCTATTCTCCAACGATGATTGAGTCCATTAAGCACCGATTTGGGCGGATTTATTCCGGGTCAATTTTTGGCAGATTCCAAAGGGGTACCATCACAGATTTCTGGCGATTTATCCGAAATGCTATTTTCTTTCAATTCTGGAGGCTACAGATCACGGAATCATGCCGAGGCTATTCTCCACCGATAATGAAGTCTATTGATCCTATTCTCCACGGATGATAAGCTCGTTAAGCATCGATTTGACCCAATTTATTTTCGGATGGCATTTTTGTAATTTCTTGGGCGACGAAAGGCCATTTTATAGGATATTGAAGGCTACAGATCACGGATTCGCCTGAGGATATTCTCCAACGATGATTGAGTCCATTAAGCACAGATTTGGGCGTATTTATTCTGGGTCAATTTTTGGCATATTCCAAAGGGGTGGCATCACAGATTTCGGGCGATTTATCCGAAATGTCATTTTCTTTCGATTCTGGAGGCTACAGATCACCAAGGCCGAGGCTATTCTCCACCGATAATGAAGTCTATTGATCCTATTCTCCATGGATGATAAGCCCGTTAAGCTTCGATTTGGGCCAATTTATTTTCGGATGGCATTTCCGTAATTTCTTGGGTGACGAAAGGCCATTTTCTTTGGATATTGAAGGCTACAGATCACGGATTCGGCCTGAGGCTATTCTCCAATGATGATTGAGTCCATCACAGATTTCGGGCGATTTATCCGAAATGCCATTTTCTTTCGATTCTGGAGGCTACAGATCATGGAATCAGGCCGAGGCTATTCTCCTCCGATAATGAAGTCTATTGATCTTATTCTCCACGGATGATAAGCCCGTTAAGCATCGATTTGGGCCAATTTATTTTCGGATGGCATCTTCGTAATTTCTTGGGCGACGAAAGGCCATTTTCTTTGGATATTGAAGGCTACAGATCACGGATTCGGCCTGAGGCTATTCTCCAACGATGATTGAGTCCATTAAGCATCGATTTGGACGGATTTATTCCGGGTCAATTTTTGGCAGATTCCAAAAGGTTACCGCATGACGTTTCTTTGACTTTATAGCCCGGCTAAACTTTCAAGATATAATATATTTTGAAAGGGTAATTGATTGTTTGTAATGCAAAGCCCACAACCCACTGCAAAAATTCAACTTTCAGGCCCGGTTTTCATTGAAGCCCACTACCCAAAAAAAAAACCCAAACTGCGATCCTTTTTGAGGGTCGAGGAATATAAAAGACTACACGCAGACACTTGCGAGAGCCGATTCATCGCTACTTTCAGCAGACGACGGAAGGCCGGCAGCCGGCGAGGGATTTTTGGGCGGAGGGAGTGCTTTCTTCTCTTTTTCTTCACCGTGATCACCGGTCTTCGTTATCTCCGACTGAAGGCTCTCCATTCGACCCTTTTCGGCAGGAATCTTGTGTCCAGGTTTTGAGCCTTATTGCCCTCTAGGCCGTTCGTGCAATTAACGAACTGATGCTTCCTAGTTGTATCATTCCTAATTCCAGCTGCTCAATCCCTTTCTGCGGGTTTCTCATTTCCGTGAATTCGGATTCTATAGTTCGTTTATTGGGGAGGAACGGTTTAAGGTTTTCAGAGCTATGTCGGTTACTCGAATTCATTAGGCTGGAGCTATGCTCGTTTACTTCTGTGCCCTAGCTCTGTTTTTTGGCTGTAGGCGTGACTTAGATAGAGCTCGAGTTCATGTATTCCTGTCTTGCTATGCCACATTTTGCACCAGAGCGGGGAATTGATCGTAGGGCGTTCTATTTAGGGTTTCGTTTTTAATTCCCAAAATACCGTTTCGAGGGTTTGATTGGATATTGATAAGACCAGCGATAAAGTCTGCACCTTGTAAGAACAGTTTGTTTTATGGCGATATTCCTGATGTGTTCACCGTGCTTTGATCGGGTTTTTTTGGGTATTTTCTCGGGGATGGTTGAACTAGCTGTTCTTGCTGACTTGCGTGCCTGTTTCCCGGTCACAAGATTAGGCGTTCTGTCTGTCCGTCAGTCGTTTGCAATTCTCTGTTTCCTTGGCATGATGATGGCTTTTATAACATGTTACTGATTCTGTTCAAAACTTATGAGCAGGAAGATGACGCTAGGTGAGGAAGAAATCACTAGGCTGTGGAGGATCGGGAAGACTGTATATCAAATGCTAAGGGACCGGGGGTACCTTGTCGTTGAATCTGAGGACAAAATAAGTAAACATCAGTTCATTTCAAAGCACGGCCAAAACATGAAAAGGGAAGACCTTACAATCCAGAAATCTAAGAAAAATGATTCCATGGATAAGGTATGCTATTTTTCCCCCCTTGTCTGAATAGGATGAAGAGTATTAACTGCAATGTTTTTGTACTGTGCAAAGTTATACCTGGTTAAAGTTTCAGTATTCAGAAATTGCATATGTTTGTGAATAAAATTATATTGAACTTTTATGAGTAGCTATCACTTGCTTGAAGAATAGAACACCGGTTTGGACCTGCACTGGCACCTGCACCTGCATGAGCATGAGTATTTTGATAGATGTGATTGTCATTTAAGTTTGAATCTATAAAACTTTTATGGGTAGATTGAGAAAAACTGTGGAAGAAAGCAGCTGTATGTGATTAAAACTGATATCAGGAAGCATGCTCTTATTATTGGGAGCTTGATTGAACAACCATTTTATCCTTGTGAAATGAATGGTACTGTTTGGAACAAGCATTTTGATTGGAGTATCACTCCTTAGAGATCGTGAAAGCAATTATCAGCAGCTATTCATGTTGTCTTCTTATTTGTTGTTATGTTCCATTCTTTTTTTAATTTGCTTGACATAGAAGCAGAAGATACTCCATGTATGCTCTTTTGATCTAGTCTATGTTTTCTCATGGTTGCCTTATTGAATCTTTTCTCTACCAGATTTATGTTTTCTTCCCGGAGGAAGCTAAGGTTGGTGTGAAAACAATGAAGACCTATATAAATCGCATGAAAACAGAGAATGTCTTCAGGGCAATCTTGGTTGTTCAACACAATTTGACTCCATTTGCTAAAACATGTGTAGCTGAAATGTCGAACAAATTTCAGTTGGAGGTCTTCCTGGTAAGATTTTCATGCATAGCAACACATCTAAGGGCAATGTTCATCCTGTTGGATTTTTGTTTCTGTCCTGTTTTTCTAGCTTCTGTGTTCTGCGGGCTATACATCTCCCCTATTATATCGCCTGCACATTGTCTTTTCGAATCTGTTGTGAGTTCACACTCCTTGGTTGTGGTACGAGATTGCGATAGAATACAAGTTCTCATATTCCTTTGGTTCCATTCGTTTAGGAGGCAGAGCTGTTGGTCAATATCAAAGATCATGTTCTTGTCCCTACACATGAAGTGCTCACAAATGAGGAAAAGAAGACCTTGCTAGAAAGATACACAGTGAAAGAAACGCAGGTGAGTGTCACACATTACGATGTATTAACTTCTACAATATCTAAATCGAAATCTGATTGGGTGTCGTTTGGAATCAGCTGCCCCGGATCCAGTTGACTGATCCAATTGCCAGATACTACGGGCTGAAGAGAGGTCAAGTGGTGAAGATTATCAGGCCAAGCGAGACTGCTGGCCGATATGTCACCTACAGATATGTTGTATGAACAACCCTCCTTCGCGGATAATGGAAGCCATTTCAATTCCAATGCACTGGTCGCATCGCTTGGATATCTCTATTCCTTGTCCCTCTTTCGGTTCCATTTGCTCTGGGTTTTTTGTGGATTCTCTGATTTGTAAGGCTACCTGTTTCCAGGCAGAGAGATTTTGATCCTAATGTAAGGCAAGATGGGTTGGTCACTGAGTAGAAAAATAACGATTATGCTTGTTGGTTTTGTCTGGTTTAAGTTGGATAAACATTATGACAGAAGACTTGCCTTATTGTATCACAGCACAGTTAGTCTCTCGTATGAACTGAAAGCTCTCAAAGCTCGACATGACCACCAATTTTTTTGCTTAGATTGGATTGAGCTCTATATTAACTGACAAAGCTTGTTTCATTTTGCTAAGCGCGATTCTTTTGGTGTGATAAAAACGTAAAGTTTTAAATTTTAAAGCACAATTTTGACTAAATTAGTTAGCAAAAGCTCACTTCTATATAGAGAAAGTGTTTTGGTGATTTAAAAGTGTAAAAACGTACGGGTTTTAAACTTTAAGATACGATTTTGACTACATACGTCATGAAGAAACTAGCTTGTTTCATCTATAAACATGAATTGAGCTCCTAACCTCGTGTTCTCATGAAGAAACTAGCTTGTTTCATCTATAAACATGAATCGAGCTCCTAACCTCGTGTTCAAAAAACAAGCGAATTAACCGTATCGTCCTTGGCCTAACAAAATAATAAAGCACTTAACGGTTATCAGTTTAATCGTTAACCGTCACTTAGGGGTTAGGTTAGTGGTTAAACCATACGCGATATCATATAAAAAAAAATCACAGCAATGTTTGCTGATTTGGGCAATTTTGTTAGGGCTTCACTCAGCACCAGTACTCCATTGCTTCTCTGGTTCGCGTATCTTTGATTCTTGAATCTTGTCGGGGTGGAAATTTTACCAGGACAATGAAGCTGAAGCAACTAGAAAGCCTCTTAGGCAACCTTCAGCAATTCTCCAACCCAAAGGTCTCTCTTTCTCTCTCGTTCTCTTTCCCCTTCCTCCTCGTCTTTCCTTTCTGCCGGAGATTCTGGATTATTGTTGGCCCTGCTTGATTTGCCATGTCTGGGGGCGCAGGTGGAGCTGGAGCAGTACCCTACCGGACCTCACATCGCTTCCCGCATGCTCTACATGGTCACTTCTTCCTTCCCCTTTACTTGCTCTGCTTCTATTTCACTTAATGAGCTTCCCTTCTCCATTCCCTGGAATTGGGGTCCTTCCAGGACTAATTTTCTTCAAAGCTAACTGGGAAATTTTGCGGCTTTTATGGTTTCAACAACTGAGCAGGCGGAGAATTCATATGGGGATGTAACTGAAAAGGTAGTGGCGGATTTCGGCTGCGGATGTGGAACATTAGGCGCTGCAGCTGCTCTAATGGGCGCAGAGTGAGTTCCGTCCTCTGAAAATGATACATTCATTCCTTGATTCTCTCTTTAGAGATGGCAGCTTTCTAGAATGTCATTCACTGTAAGATTTAGAAAGGGATTGTCCATGATATATGGCTGCACATTGAGCTGTTGTTTGTTATCCAGACAGGTATTCGGTATTGATGTTGATTCGGAATCCCTCGAGATGGCAACGGCTAATGCTGAGGATCTCGAGGTACTCTTTCGTACCTTTTTCCTTTTCTTTTTGGACGGCCTTTTACATTTCCTCGTAAATTGTGGATAAATGCATTGTTCAGCTGAGATGATCTTCCATTTGTTGAATGATTTTTGAACCCTGCAGCTGGACATAGAATTTGTACAATGTGACATCAGGAACCTAGGATGGAGAGGTAGTGGCAGTAATGGCCTAGTTTTCTTCATATTATCTTTTTTTCCGATAGGTGAAGTCTGTGTCTGAAGTTTCAAATCCTCTTTGTGTTAGGTTCTAGTGTCGATACAGTAGTGATGAACCCTCCATTTGGGACACGGAGGAAGGGCGCGGATATGGAGTTTCTCTGTGCAGCCTTAAAAGTACAAATTCTCTCCCACCTATGCACTTTGGTGGTCATAAGTCTCTATCTTCGTGTAATCAAATCTTGTGATATCTTGATGCCAGATTGCTTCTGGAGCAGTATATTCGTTACACAAAACATCAACGAGAGACGTAAGTATCTTTTGTACTAAGTAAAGAATGTAGCTTGAATGTGCAGGATGTATATTTGAATGTAGAGGAGGGTCGGAGATTCTCCCGACCTCCTTTCATTTAGCAGGAGGTTATGCAGCTTTCCCTAAAATGACCATTTGTAAACTTGGTTCATTTCAGCATATTAAAAGGGCAGCCTTGCGTGACTTTGGTGCTAAAACTGCCGAGGTTTTGTGTGAGGTGAGTAATATGTCATTAGTATTTCTGATATATTCCAAGTTGAGTTTGGAAGTTGTTAACACTGTCATGTTTGTCAGTTTAACATTTGCAACATTCTGAATCCTGTATTTACAGCTCCGGTTCGATGTTCCACAACTATACAAGTTCCATAAGAAGAAGGAAGTGGATGTCGCAGTAGACCTTTGGCGGTTCGAGCCAAAAGATTAATCCAGGCAAAGGAATTTGAGTGCCCCTCAAAACATATCCTACATGCGACAAAACGCATTTGCAGTTGGGAAATGATGGTTTGTCTCAAAGTCTCGACAATAGCAAATGCAAGTTTTTGTAATTGCTGGATTGATTTTAGCAGCAACTGCTATCATTTATGGAGGAACACCTTTAGCAGATTCGTATCAGAATTGTTGCCTGTATCAATATAGAAGGGGAAAAACAACTATTGATGATGAGATACAGAAGGAAAAGCTCCCATGCTTTGATCACGAAAGAAAAAAGAATCCGGAGAACCCTATATTCTCATCCAAAAACTAGATTCTGTAACAGCCTCATGACGCCAGTTTTATCTGTTCATTAAGCAACAAAATTCTTCATTCCTAGGATTTTGCTTTTTCCTCAATCGGTGTCTTCTCCAAGTGTAAACCTCACGAACCTTCGGACTTTTATATTCTCGCCAAGACTGGCAACAGTTTGCTTCACCAAATCCTTCACCAGCAATTTGTCATCCTTAATGAATGGTTGTTCTAGAAGTGCAAGCTCTCCAAGCCTCTTTGAGATCCTTCCTTCGACAATCTTCTCTCTTATGTTCTCTGGTTTCGACTGAAGGTCCTCCCTTTGCATCTCGAGCTCCTTCTCCTTCTCAACAATGCTCTTTGGCACATCTTCAGTTGACACAAACTGCACCTGTGGGCATGCAACGACCTGCATTGCCAGATCATCGACCAGTTCCTTGAATATTTCGCCCCTGCCAACGAAGTCGGTCTCGCAGTTGACCTCTATCAGCACTCCGATTCGAGAGTCATGAATGTAGGAACCTATCCGGCCTTCAGCTGCAAGACGGCTGGATTTCTTGTCGGCGGATGACAGTCCTTTCTTTCTGAGATAATCCTGTGCCTTCTCCAGATCACCACCTGTCTCTGCAAGGGCTTTCTTGCAGTCCATCATCCCAGCTCCTGTTTCTTCCCTCAGTTGCTTGACGAGTGCTGCAGAAACTGCTGCAGCTGGTGGCCTGAAATAGCATGGAAAATACATGTCAAACTTAAGGTCACTGGCTTATGCAAATTTGAAGGAAAAAAGACTAGTCCTGTCCTGTCATGCATAAAGACCAGATTGTCACCATAAGGAAATATCAGTAAGAAAACATAATATTATGGACTAGTTCGTAATAGAGTTCGATTTTAGCATTGTAAAGTTTTGAAGCAAGTTAAAATTTATGAAAAGTGAGTAGACACTTACTTCTGAACAGCTTCTTTCTCCTCTGTTACAGCAGCAGGTTGATCTTTTGGTGGTGCAGGTGCAGATTTCGCAGCGGTTTGTGCAGCAACCTCAGCAGCAAAATCCTGACTCTTCTTCTGCAAGCCTTCACCAAGATTATACCTAACAAACCTCTTAACCTTCATATTTTCCCCAATGGTTGCAATTGTCTGCTTGATCCAGTCCTTCACCAAAACCTTATCATTCTTGATGTACGGCTGCTCCAACAGTGCAAGCTCATCGAGCCTCTTCTTGATCCTTCCTTCGACGATCTTAGCCCTAATCTGCTCTGGTTTCGACAACAAATCTTCCTTCTGCATCTCAATCTCTCTCTCCTTGCTCACAACTGCTTCAGCAACATCTTCTGTGGCAACAACTTGTACTTGTGGACACGCAGCCACTTGCATGGCTAGATCATCCACAAGCTCCTTGAAGATTTCTCCTCGAGAGACGAAATCTGTCTCGCAGTTTACCTCGATCAGGATGCCGATTCTGCTGTCGTGAATGTATGACCCGATTCTTCCCTCAGCAGTTGTTCTGCTGGCTTTTTTCTCTGCACTCGCTAGTCCTTTCGTTCGGAGGAATTCCATAGCTTTAATGATGTCACCTCCTGTCTCGGAGAGTGCTTTCTTGCAGTCCATCATTCCTGCTCCTGTTTCTTCTCGGAGCTGCTTTACCAGAGCTGGTGAGATGGTTGCTGCTATGATCATCACAAAAGGAAATAACAGACACAAGTTCAGAGCCAAGAGGAACATGACTAATTGAAGAATTACATGCCAAAGAACAAAGATAAGAGACAGCATTATAGAGAGAGAAACCTGTTGTTGTCTCTTTGGGGGGAGGATTGCTGTTGAGACCATTTCCCTCAGGAGCAGGATCCTCCTTCTCACTTTCAACTAGAGAGGCAGAAATAGTTTCATTGTCTTCAACTTTCTTTGGAACTTCTTCAATTGTTTGATTATCCGCTGCCTCGGTTTCGATTTGTGATAGATCAGAACTTTCTCCACTTTCCACTCCATCTGTATTCAGACAAGAGAAACAGCTCAATGTAAATCGTGGATTCAAGCCTAATAGTTTACAGAAATCCATTTAGCAGGAGACATAAATTGGAGATCAACTTCTTAAAATATATTTTAAGTTGGTTTGTTTAAGCTTCCCATTCAAACCCTTCTTAATGTTTCTTTTAAGCTCAAACAAACACAGTCGACATGCTTTCTTATTATGAATCAAGAACTCGTACATTTCATTATTTTAGATTCCGAAGTGGGAGGAAAGAAATTACAGATGCACACCTGAACTAACGAAACTACCACTCTCATCCGCAGCTTCTGTGGCAACTTCATTATCTACTGGTGTGGCAGCTGCTTCTATTTGCTCTTCCACATTACCCTCTACAACACTTTCATCAACAGGAGCTTCTGCAGATGAATCAGAGTTTCCATCACTTTCCACCACTTCAATTGAAGGTTCTTCTACCTTTTGATCTGCACTTACAATCTCGTTAACAGTTGCATCAATCTTCTCCGGTTCTTCAATTGGCTCATCATCAGCTGCAGCTTGAACAGCACTCTCAACTTCTTCTGATGAGCTAGACTCTATGCTCTCCACCTCTGAAGAAGCTACAGTCTCTTCCTGCTCCAAGTCCTTCTCACCAACATTAGCTTCCACAGCCACCTCTGAAGAAGCTACAATTTCTTCCTGCTCCAACTCCTTCTCACCATCATTAGCTTCCACAGCCACCTCTGAAGAAGCTACAATTTCTTCCTGCTCTAGCTCCTTCTCTTCTGAAATCTCAGCATCTTTTTGCAACTTCTCTCTATCATCAAGAAATTCTGCTATATCCTTGTTCTTCCTGAAAGCCACCAGGAACGGATTAGTTGCAGCATGGATAACTCCCTGAGTAAAGTTCTTATCCTCCTTCTGATTATCTTCCTCCTTTTTCATCGTCAAAGTAAATTGACCTCTATTTATACGCAAAACCCTAACACTAACTTCCTGTCCCATCACTAGTTGAGAACCACCCATAAGGTTTCCAAATCCCTCACTAACTTCTTCTGAAGCAGGCAAGAATCCTTCCTCGCCTTCAGGGAGAGTGAGGAAAGCACCAGACCTGGTCAAGTTCTTAACCGTGCCATCTAGTTGCTGCCCAATAACAAACTTTGCAGTCTTCTCATCCCTCTTCTGACCACTCCTTTGTGTGTTTCTTCTTCCAGGTCTCGGCTTATCTCCACCACCCGTCGAAGCAGAATAATCTTTCCTTTGCTGCTGTGGCTTACTACTATTTCCATCATTATCATCATCGTCACGCATACTCAGAGAAATACGTCCCGTCTCTGTGTTTGCTTCAAGTAACCTCACCTTGACCTCTTGTCCAACTGAGACGACATTTCCAACGTCCTTAACATAGCTATCACTCAGCCTGGAAACATGTACAAGGCCGTCTGTGAAAGCCCCAAAGTCGATGAATGCTCCAAATGGTTGAATAGACCTTACTTTCCCGGTGAACATTGCCCCAGGAACCAGATCCTCGTTCTTTACAGGCGGCATCTCACTTTTTCTGCCCGGTCTTGCACGCTTAGCTTGAGTTGGTGCAGTCTCTGCAGGTATTTCTGAGGCTTTATTTGAATCTTCCTCACTTGTCACAGGCTCTTCCTCACTTGTCGCAGGACTTTCGGGCTCTCCAACAGCTATGTCTGTGCCTGTGGCTGACACTGTTACTGAATGCACTGTGCTTCTGTGAGCCAAAGCATGATGATGTGTTTTGTAATTGGACAAGGACTTGATGGATGCTGGGAAGGGTAAAACGGCGAGTCTTTGGGCATGCTTTGCTGATTTCCTGGATAAACTACATTTTGTGGGAGCATTGGTCTTGTTTAATGTGAAGGGAGTTCCTGGAACGAGTGCGATTCTGCTTGTAGAACATGGGATTACTGGCGTCATGTTTCCTTGGAATTGCAATTGGTCAGTCAGCAGCTAGAATCAGTTCTTCATCACAACATTCACCTGTTCCAAGCGTAGTTATAAGTTAATTCCCCACACAGAAATCCAGGGGAGAGTATGTTCCAAGAATCAGCATTCACAGTTCCTGAGATGTAGGAAGTGTCGACAACATGGCAAAGCAAGGCACAACTTTCAACTCGGTACCTACTAAACCAGTCAAATCAAACATCCTACAGGAGATTAACTCGACTGATTACGTAATACAAGCTCATTCAACCCGAAAAACAAGCCAGTTCTCACTTTCCAATTGACAAATTATGCAATATCAACTTCCACAGCTAACTCAATTCCACAAACCACTGCAATGCTTTTCACCAAACATTGCAAACTGAGCTGAAAAGTTTAGCCACATGCACATCCCCAGGCAATGTCCATCACAGCATTGCAAAGCAAGCAAAGACCGTACAAGAAATTCTCACGCAGAATTACAACAACAAGAGACATACATCACAGGAACTCAAATTCAACTCTTCCCAACAACAAACTCAACAGCAGAAGAACAAATCATCCAAATCAAACATTAAGACGGTGAGGAAACCACAGGAAGCAGCTTCGAAACCATCGACCCATGAGCTCAGAAGTGATTAAAGCCAGTACCTTGGCAATCTGTTGGAAAAGGGTCCCTGAAAGATTGTATCTTTTCCCCTGTCAAAATGTCTCAGGAGGACTGGAAGCTAACTGAGAGCCTTCTTCCTGCAACGGATAAAAGACCAGAGAAAGAGGGAAATGAAAGGGGGAAGATAAAGGGCTTTAAAACCTTATCTTAGTTATGGTTCCCTTCCCCCACTGTTTTTCTCCCGTTCGTGGATACTGGAATGGATAGACAAGGCAGAGCAGAGTGACTGACAAAATAGCGGTCTGGCTTATTCGGCTCGGCTGGCCGTCTAGTAAAAAGCCGAGCTGATTTCTACTTGGGCCGAAACCAGGTATTGGGTTTTGGATATGGCTAGCCCAGTAAGGATTTGGATACATTGGGGGCAGGTTTGGGCTATCCAACCCAATTCACCACCTTAGTGTAACTGAATAATTGCGAAAAGACAAAAAGAGTAATTGGTCGAGATAGAAACATACTCGCTCGTTGTGTGGCACATCATGCTTTGTTGTTATCATCCCGCGCTTATTAAAAAGGTTTGACTTCCTTTTCTGGTTTCGTAATAGATAAACTATTGTCTTCTGTACCTTTGTTCTATCCTCTTTGTAAGAGTGATCGATGGGTCCGGATAGTATAACAACACCTATTTTGTTGTTACTATAACAACAAGGGTATAAGGGTAAATTAAACAAAACTAAAATTTAATTAATATATATTTTTCCTTCCCAACTTCCGTGTCCTGTAACTCCGCAACCCTCCCCAGATTTCGGTTGTCCCTCTCAATTACGAGATCTACAACAGCACTCCCCCTCCTTCGCTGCCCATAGAAAACGCCTCTTTCGACTCCGACGGCAGAAGCACCGTCCTCCTCCGATCTCAAACTATCACAAAGAATCCCGTCACCGCCGTCGATTTCTCAGGTACCGACCGGACAAATAGCCGCCACAGTGATCTTCTCTATTGTGATGTCCCCGATTACACCTTGCAGTAGTCCAGCTTGTAATCGGCTCCATCATCGAGGAAATCAAGACTGGAGGGACGGGGAGAAATCGAACTCTGAAATTCCGGCACTCCTTGCTCCCCTGCTGCTCTGTCGCTACTCGTTTCTCTCCAGCTCTCCTCTACCTGCAGCTCCACCGCTCTTTCTCCCTCCCAGAGCTTCGCGGCCATGGCAGCGCCGACTCGACTTCATTGAGGCTCCCAAGCTGCCCCGTTGAGACTCATATCTCTATGGTTGTCCTTGTCCTGCAACTTCGCCGCGCTTCCTTTCCTTGAGATTCGCGGTCATGGCGGCACCGACTGTGAACGAGTTAGTGAAGGGGAAATTCATTCCAAAGGATTTCCATGAAGTACTTCTCGTTCAATTTGTTGTTTCTAATTACCAATTGAGTGGACAATGGATAGATTAATTGATCCAGTTTGCTTGCAAAAGCTTTCTTAGGTCGAGTCAGCTCCTGCGAAAGAGCTATTTGTCAGTTTGTTCCAATTTGTTGTTTCTCAATTACTAATTTGTTGTTTCTTAATTTGTCAGTAGATAGATTAATTACAAATTGAGCAGCCAATAGTTTATTGTGATTTAGTTTGAAGATGCGATCTTAATTTGTGTAACATTGGCGCGTTGCATTCAAAAAAATTTATAATCTCAAAAGTTTCTTAATCCATATCACAAATCTCCTTATTTAGACCTGAAATCCCACAAAACATAACATAAACTCCATAATGCATATCACAAACACAGTAAAACAAATCACAAAAAGTATACCAGAAACCTCTCAATAGATACCACAAATAGTCTAAAACATAGCAGAAACCTCACAAAGCAAACCACAATTATTTCAAAAACATACTAGAAATCTCCCAACGCATACCACAAATTCCCTAAAACAAACCAGAAACCTCACAAAGCAAACCACAGAATTTTCAAAAACACACCAGAAAACTCATAACGCAAACCATTAACACATTAAAGCAAACCACAAAAACAAACCAGAAACGTCCTAATGCAGACAAAAAATATATTAAAACAAACCAGAAACCTCACAAAGCAAACCACAGAATTTTAAAAAACACACCAGAAACCTCATAATTCAAACCACAAACACGTTAAAGCAAACAACAAAAACAAACCAGAAACCTCCTAATGCATACCACAAATCTTCTAAAACAAACCAGAAACCCCTCAATGCAAACCACGAAATTTTTGAAAACAAACCAGAAACTTCTCAATGCAAACCACAAACACGATAAAGCAAACCAGAAACTTCTTAATGCAAACCACAAACGCGATAAAGCAAACCACTAACACGTTAAAGCAAACCACAAAAACAAACCAGAAACCTCCTAATGCATACCACAAATCTCCTAAAACAACCCAAAAACCCCACAATGCAAACCACAAAGTTTTTGAAAGCAAACCAGAAACTTCTCAATGCAAACCACAAACACGATAAAGCAAACCAGGAACTTCGTAATGCAAACCACAAACGCGATAAAGCAAACCACAAAAGGCATACGAAAATATGAGAAACCAAACCATAAATCTCACAATGTAGACCAAACATCCGGTGGTCGTTGACCGGTCAACGAAGACCGTTGACCGGTCAACGAAGTTCGTTGACCAAACTCCGATGACCGTCAGTGAGCGGATTCTGGCGCCGATAAGCATATTCCGGCCCCGGTGACTAGATTCCGATGCCGGTAAGCATATTCCGACGCCGGTAAGCATATTCCAGCGACGGTGAGCATATTCCGATGACAAAATAGCATATTCCGGCGACAAAAAAGCATATTCCGGTGACCGGCGACCAGATTTCGACGACCAAATTTTTGGGCAGAAAATAAAAAAAATATTTTTTATTTTTTTTTAATTTTTTAATTTTTTAATTTATTTTATTATTTAAACAGAGTTTTCATAATGACAATTATACCCCTGCTTTGATTATACACTAGGTCAACTCATCTAATAAAAAGTCATCACAATCTTAGCTTCCTATTGGTTGGAGGCTAGTGTTGTTACAATAACAACACAAGGGGTGTTGTTATAGTATCCAGTCCCGTGATCGATTGAACGAAACAAAAACTGAGAAAAAAAATATAACTATTATAGAAATACCTTAATTTCAAATGGTGAATTTAGAGCAAAAGGGCGTGTATATACATTTATATAGAAGGGTTGGATTTTCGGAGCTTCAAAGATTTTAACTTGACACTTCTGATTAAACAAACTTGATCCTTATTCACTCTCTACGAGTCTTTGTGAGCTTGACTGCTGAAGGACTTTTAGCTTACTCATTGTAACTCTCTCTCCGCTAGGAAGAGTACGTCTTCCACAATATGGTTAAGCTTGTGGGAAGTAAGAAAGTTTTCTATATTTGGGGAAATCCAAGTACACGTGTTAAACTAGAACATATATTATTATCATAGATTATCAACTCCGTCCGATAAAGAAGTTCTCGTTATCCCGTCCTCATACATAACATCGGGCCATAAACAATTTTGCCCAAAGTGAAGTATTTAGTTAGTTTTCAGGTAAGTATTGTTGTGAGAATTTTTATGCCCCTGTAATATAAAAAAAATCATTGATACACGTATATCCATAATATAAAAAAGAGGTTTCTACATATATAATTCATGTTAAAGAATTTAAAAGCTCTGAGATTTGAGAAAAAAAGATCATATAGTTAATTGCATAATGCATGGTGGGGGAATTTAAAAATCAAGCAAATTAACAACAGAAAATTAAACCCATATCCAAGATAGATCACACTACCAATTGGGATGTTGGTCCAATTTCCAGATTCTCATAAAATTTCCCTCATAAATATATGCCTAGACGGAGGGGCCAAATTTATGAATATGTTGCAGCACTTGCAAGTTATTTAACTTGTTTCCATTGATTGATGATTGACATATATAGATGAATCTCACAAAGTTGCAACAATTCATGTAGCCAAACTCTTGAAGCAACTTGCAAATCCATCTACTCAACCAATAACGTGTATATTGCGAAAAGCAAGACTTATCGTCGCATACTTGACGCAACTGAGCGTGAAGTGGGAAGTGGCTCTCTGTCCTCTATAACATTGGGATTCTGGATGATACGAGACAGACACGATGTTTATTCCATAGCTGATGTTTATGTTTGGGACGTCATTGATGTTGGCTTGTTATGGTGAACCTTTCACGGGGAGTCTGTAATAGATTCCGCCTTTCGCGTTGTATTAAATTTGAGACATGTTATACGATCTCTTAAGTAATACAAGAATATGATTGATCGACGGGAAAAATTGAATCCCACATCACAGCAGCAGCATCTACACACATGTGGGGCAGAATCACTATATATGATCTTAGCTAGCTGCCATCAATTCTACATGACTGTGTTTATATATATATATAAATCACTTTATAATAATCTAGTACAACAAAATCTTCTGTTGGAAGGGCGATTATGTTCATTTCATGGGGACTTCCTGCGGCAATATTCTAGTACAACAAAATCTTCTGTTCCTGCCAACCAATGGATATGTGGACACTTGGGTTTTCAACTTATTTATTTAATTATTTGCTAGCTTAAAAAAAATATTTTCCCGCATATATAAAATCCATAAGTATAATTAACTACGAATCAAAATTGTATAAAAGAGTTCTTACCAAAAAAAAAAAAACTGTATAAAAGAGAGATACACACAGACACACGTAGGATAGTAGATAACTAGATATCAGTCACATGACACACCATTTAGAAACCAAAATACCTTCTCCGTATGGCACCGATAAAAATCAATTATTAGGACCAACCGGTTAATGATATAGACACATATATGTATCAGAGTTTTCTATTCCGGTTATTGAGACCAACTGATTTATGACATGGTATCAGAGCTGGTTTGACCAAGTACTAGTCGTGTGTTCGAATCTCCACGACCCCCAATATTAACAGTTGATTAAAGCAGAAGGTATTGTGATCGTCTGTGCAAACTTCAAACCCATGGGTTGACTTTCGTTTGAGAGGGCGTGTTAGAGATAACTTGAGTTGTTAGGAGAAGGTTATGCTCGTTCTTATACAACTCTCTAACAACTCAAGTATTATTGAGACTTCAACATATTAATGGTTTTTTCTGTAAGTAAACCAACCGATTCCAATAACTCGAGTTGTTGATAGAGATTCATGCATAGATTTTAACCAACTTTCTTACACACTCATTCAAATAACCTTGAAGTCTGCACATGCTCGTCATATAATCTGCTTGAAAACGTTAATATTGGAAGTAACGAGGACTCGGGCTCGTTGCACATAATCTAAAGGATTAACAAACTTTTAACAACGCCGAGCAAGCTTCAATGATCTGAACCAGCTTATAGGCCAACAGGGATCAGTTTTTAATAATAGGGTAAATCATAGAAACAGCAGAATCTCGGCCCTCAGTGCTCACATATCAACTTCTGCAGAAGAAAAAAAATCTGCAGAACTTCATAAAGACAAACATGTGGCAAATCGCAGATCAATGTGGCAGAACAGATACATTGTACAAAGTACATAATCCATGGAACTGAATGAATATATATATATATATATATATATATATATATATATATATATATATATATATATATGGAAATGGAATGTCGATCAATCAGTAATACTTTAACACACATCGTATCTCATAGTATGTGCTGCAAGATCTATTATTGATTCTCGTCTGAGTCGAGTAAACAGAGTTTTATGTAATTGAGAGGTTTTTTATTCGGACTTCAAAGATTTCATTAGTTAAATTATGATATTTGAACTTGTAAAATCTTCAAATCTATATAATTGACTTTCATTTAAGTGGACGTGTTAGTATGTAATAAATGATCTATTATTAAATCTCTTCTAACGACTGTAATTATTTGGATTATTCACGTAAATAGAAATACTTTACAAATAAATAACCCTGTGAAAGAATCTTTGACGATACTATTTCTGCTAACTGTGTCCCTTTTGCCAGTCTGATCTATTTGGAAACTGATCAGCAAGCCAACCACTAATCTAATTAAACAAACATACAAATAATTAATGAGATAGTGACTGAGAGTGATCGATCATCTGCAACCATGAAAGGGTTTGGTATGGGGGAATTCATTACTATATATATGATTTGGGGAAAGCTATTAACAATTAATTGATGATTAATGGCATAAGATTGGAGGATTTGCGAGGTGATTTGGGTGGTGGGAGTATGTAATTAATTAATTAATTAATTAATTAAAGGGAGAGAAAAGGCAGCTTGCAGGCACAACAAATCGACAGTCTTGGTCTGTGCTATAGAGGATTACAAAAAATAATAATACACATAAGTTGTTCTGCATGTGGTCCAAATCTACCGTAGATATGATATCATTAATTTCTCTGCCCTTTGTATCTTGACTTTTTATTGCCCCAAAAATAATGTTATGAACAACGAGATAATCGCCATGTAAAAAGTCAATGGCAATATCCTAGTCACCAAATCATTTGAGAGAATTGAGTGTGTATTCAAGAAGTGACGATTCGAGAGAGTCTACGTTTTAAAACCGAATGGAATGATGTTTTTGTCTTTTGATTTTTTCTGTGTACATCTGGTGCATTATAACTCCCGGTGGGCCTTATGCCGAATGGGCTTAGTAATTAGTTAATTATTGTTAGTTAATTATTGAGTTAATTAGTTATTTAGAGATATTCGTATTAGTTTATTGTTACTTGTTGAGTAAGTTATTAGTTTACCTTGTTGGAGTGGGATAGGGTTAGCTATTAGGTTTTCCTACGTTTTCCTATAAATATGTACTTTGTGGTTCAGTTACGAATAAGTAGAAGATTATTCCAGTAATTATCGTAGTCGTTTAGGAGTAGAAGTAAAGTAATTTAGCGATTCACGACGCGTGAATTCCATCACGCATCACCATCTCCTTTCTCCTTGGTTGACCGTACTGGCTATTATTTACTCTTAAGAGCTTTTTACTCGCGGTTTCTCAGTGTTTATTTCTTTTACGTACGTACTTCCAAATGTTTGTTTGCGTTAGAATTTTGGTATAGTGATATATGGAAGGAGATGGGTGTTATTTTCCAATGACAAGAAAATCACGAATATGAAAAAGACACTACGGCAAATGACATTACTTAACTAAGACAATTAAGTTCATTAGACCCTATTGCCATACCACTAAAATAAATTAATCAATCCATGGAGCCACATCTTTAACTAATATTCAAGCAATTGATAAACTGTTCAAACATTAAAACACTCGTTGATTACGATGTAATGAGATATGTCTAAGTCCATTGATTATTATACAAACCCTTAATTCTTTTATTAAAAGAAACAAAGACCAGACCACGTCAGAAAGTATGAGGACCAGGCCAGGTGGCATGACCCAGTTGGCTGCATCCTTTGAATGGACCGTTTAACCCATGAAAAGGAGATCGAGGAAATTAATAAAACAAACCTAATTCTGAGGTTAAGTAGGAATTAAGAAGCCCCAACTAATTAATTTAGATTATCATAGAACTGCTTTTTAGTGTGTTATGCCCCCTTTGGAAGGATCACCTGATTCACGACATGAATATTTTAAAGTACAAGAGCAAGATTAAAACAATGCTTAAGGAAGAGGACTTAATTATATTGAAACAAGATAGTTACTCTTCTTTTCTAATCTAACGAAATAGTCACAAAAATAGTAAAAATCAGCTGCATTTCAGGTGGGTTAGGTTAGTTCAGTTGGCTAGTTTCGATGGTGAGATGGAAATTTTTATTATTTTTTGGATGACATGGATTACTGAAATTACTGAACGAGTTTGAAGAAAATTTGGATGAAAATGAACAAAAATGACCATTTTATTACACAACCAAACACATATTACCGAGTCGTACAAAATGAAACTGTTAGCCTGTAACCGTTTTGTACGGAGTTTAAAGTTTTGTGACCATTCCACGTTCATGCTAATAATATATCCGGTTTTTCTCACAACAAAACCATAAAAATCAATAGTAATGTATATAATCATCCTTCACACCACATGAAAGCTCGAAAAGGAATAATAACTTGTACTATTGTTGAAATAGGGGATGTGGGAAACATTATTTTTCCCAATCGAGTTTTGTTTATGTGACGAATGAGAGTGTAACATGAATATCAAGATGGTTGATGCCATGCTATATTTCCTTTTCTGTGAATTGCTGCTCATGGAATGATTTTCCAATAATCAACATTAAACTTGTTTCTTTTTTATAGTCAACATTAAAAGATGGATTTTTCAGAATACATGAATTCAAAGAATCATTCATCTAGAATTATTGCATGGAGTCCCTATGTTTAGTACATACGAAAGTTTTGGAGGATTCTCTCCTACCTTTTCCACCACACCAATCAACTCCCTAGATTAAAAATAATATGTGTGTATATGTGACCCACAAATCACGCATGGAACAGCTCAATTGAGATTTGGTTCCCTCGATTGCCAGCCCAATTAAGTTCCATTAATTAACCACTCATTTTATGGTCACCCAGTTAGGCTCAAACACTGTTTGTTCATGCAAAATCCTCCCTCGACTTTTCACTCAAATATTCCCTAATAATTCTATTGGAAACCCTTACAAGATTTCATTATAATTGGTTATAATAAGGATTCCGTACTAATAATGATACAATCAAACATAATTGAACAGCGGTAGATCTAGAATTATGGGTGTAAGGAGGATTAAATAATATGAAGTTCAAGAAATTTGAACCGTGATAAGACATATAAGGGACGTCAAATGTCGACTTATATGTCGAAGGAAGAAAGGTCCAACGAAGAGCTTTCGGTTTACCACGTACAATGGTGGGCCATGAAACACACTATGCTCCTATTGAAAAAGGAACGCTGGCCAAATTGCGTCCTTATTTTCAGGTGCGCCTCATCGTGGTACTCACGAACTTGCCATTATTACTGGTAAACAGTTGGCAACGTTGTGCTTGGACTCGTCGTACTTAACAAATCGTTTATCTTGTCATTTTTGTTTGTCTGCTGGTGTTATCATCGAAAACCCTAGTCAGGAGCGTTAATTATAAGCTTTCGACCATGCATGGATGCCACACTTAGGTCGTCATATATAGATGATATAAAATCAATATGTCGATCAATCCAAACCACCATAATTGAGACATGGTAAGTTGTGTGATCACTACATTTGATAATGGCATAATATGTATAATACGGTGACCATATTAGGTTGAAGAACTTGTTTTAGGTGATTGCATATATATACAATAACATAAAGTTGTAAAATTTACTTTTAACCATCTCGAGGTTTATTACGTAAAGATTTTGTCCAGGTAAAATAAATATTTTCTCGGAATCTAATGGATACGACTTCCTTTGATCAATAAAAATCTACTATATATCGTTATGAATATAAAACAGATCCAGCAAGAATTATGACTTAATCAAAGCTCGAAACATTCTCCCAGCTACAGTATTGGGGAAGATCCATCAATTTAAATTCCGAGAATTTAATCAAATAAATACTTTCTCCATCTCAAGGCTTACAATAGACCATTTATGATATGATTTGTCTCGATTTATTTGGAGCAGGTAGTATTTGATTCGTATTAGCGTGAAATGGAACATGTTTATTACTTTCGAGTTTCTGACCTATGATGCCTCATCTTACAATAATTTGTATCAATATTTAGTTGCATTTTCATTTGTTAGATTTTTCTAAAAACATATTTAAATTCTTTACAACTTAGAATAAGAAAAATAATATTATCTTTCAACTATTTAAACTCAATTATTATATTTACTATATTTCTTATTAATTTAGAAATATTTTCTCATTAATTATCTTTTCCTAAAATAGTTATATTTCGACGTTCTTTTATTTAAATAACATATAAAAATTAGTCGATTGGTCTCGCCTTACCCTTATAAATACAAACCAACCTAATTCATATTTAACATATACGAGCTTATATGAATATTGAAATACTCGATTCACCAGTCAACAGAGCTATACTAACCATGATGACCAGAGTTTACTATAATTTTGATCAAGATCGCTCATCGTTGCAATAAAATACATATTATATGATACTATAGCGGCAGTTCGAATATTTTTTATTAAAAAAATATTAGTTCTCTATTTTTTTGTATTTTTAATATAAAGATAAATGAAAGAAAAAAACTACGTTTTGAGAACAAAATTTAAATATAATAAATCAGAATAATCTTATATTTTCAAAACAAATTTTTTTTTTTTTCAAAAGCGGCTTGTCGAAGTATTCGACCCAACTTCAATTTTTTTTTTCTTCTTCCCGACCATACATTTTTTTGAAGAAGATAGTCACTTCTAAAAACTGGATGAAACATAGAAATGAATTGAGTAATTAAGGAGAGAGAGAGAGAGAATGGGAAATGGGATAAAATCTAGGAAAATATAAAAATGGTGTATATATATAATGAATCTCTACACAATCCGATCCAGCGATGCAATAATTACACCATCAATTCAATCAATCAAGAGAGAGAGAGAGAGAGTTAGAAAGAAGCAAGATCAACACCAGCTTAAAAGGAGGGAGTGGTTGGTCTGGTAAGGGAACAGAAGAAGAAGAAGAAGAAGAAGAAGAAGAAGAAGAAGAAGGGAGAAATGGGCAGTGGTTATTTTGGAGAGCCAAACATGGGAAATCATTACCATGAAAGGGGAGGAAGTGGTGGGTCGTCGTCGTCGAGAAAGGGGAAGAAGAAGAAGAAGAACAACAACAGTAGTTCATCATCAGAGAAGCCGAAGCAGCCACAGAGAGGGCTCGGCGTTGCTCAGCTGGAGAAGATCAGGCTAACTGGTCAACTGGCCGGCGGTTGCACCACCACCACCAATAACAACAACAAAAACAACTATTATCATCATCACCACCCTTCTTCCTTCTCTTATGGCTACAACCAAAACATCATGGGGCAGATGGGAATTGGAGATTACGAGAGAACGAACGATATGATCAGATATTATGGCGATTCATCACAACGACCTACAACTGTTGCAAGGTAGGAGAGAATGTTTTCATTGCATAAACCAAATTGGTTTGATTCCTTGGCAGCTGATTTATAGTCGTCTCTTCTCATCAGTTGGAATATGGACAGCAGCATCTACGAGTCGCATCATAATCAGCAGCATGGCGGAACGAAGCAACTTTTCAATCTACATGAGGTAACTTACTTACTTACTCTCTCACTTCTGCGCGCGGTTGGTTTTGGATGTTATCGCGCGCGAGTGAGAGAGCAGAACTTTGTGTAGCAGATTACTTAGCACGCGAGATCTCTGAAATTTTCGCTTGATCAATAATATAAGGTTAGAGAGCACTTTGAGACGCGCGCACGCATATTTTTTTTTTCTTTTTCCCCACCGAAAAGAAAAGAAATGTTATCAACTTAGTCTCGATTGGTTTTGAATGAAGAGGTTCGGGTCAAAGCTGTCTAATAATTTCAGCATGATGTACATTGCTAGCCTATATATATATCTCAGCTGTCCAATTGGACTAACCCTACTTTTTGCCATATGTCATTACATAGACAGTAAGACAGACTTATGGCATTAACCCTAGCTTCAAGTTCTTGAGCCTATATGCATGTAACTTATATAACTTATGATGTATATATATATTTGTTTTCTTTAAATGATCAGGCGACATCAAGGAGCAAGAAGCACAGGAGTGATTATTCAAATGGGTCGAGCAGTCAGAACTCCGAATCCAGCGACGGTCAAGAACTCGACCTGGAGCTCAGGCTGTCTCTTTGACGTCGTAAGATCAAAGTCCACGGAGTTCGATCCTCTGCAATGTAACTACTGTACTGTGTTTTGGGGTTATAGCATGGGGCTAGCCTAGCTCATAAATGCATGTCTAGTGTTCTTCTTTCTTTTTTTACAAACCTGGAAGATCATGTGGGTTGAAAAGGAGCAAGGTTTTTTTTGCTGCTACTTAGGTGATAAGAGTGATTTCAGAAGTTAAGAAGGGGGAAAGAAGTGGTCTAATTTCTTTTGTCATCACCACAATTTGATTTGATGGGGGAGGAGTTTCCTTGTTCATGAATTGTCATTTTGGCCCACAGATAATTGAATGAGAAATACATATATCATCTTTATACATGGACCATTGTTTACAGATTATGCTTGGATTTTTTTGTCTCTAAGCTAGCCATGGAAAAAAGAAAAAGTCTTAGTGTAAGCCTGCTTTTCCGTGGGTGATGAACTGGGTTCTGATTCACTTCAGGTTATATAATTAGTGGGGTTTCTCGCACCTCGGTGATCTACTGTTCATTAGAAATGAACAGTAGTCACTGTTTTTTTCCCTGAAAGGAGAGTTGTTCTTCGGGAATAAATACGTTGCTCTGATACCATGTTAGCGAACTAACTACTTGGCTCCAATAACTCGAGTTATTGGGAAAGGGATAGTTAAGCCTTTTAACCTCTTATACGCCCCCTGAAACGAAAGCCGAATTGTGGATATTTTACGGTTTGCACAGGTTGAACCCTTGTGCTGCCAAACCACGAGGCTTTAGTTTGCACAGATTGGACATACCATCCCTTGTCCTAAACAAATGGCTGAAAATGGGGTCGTCATGAGGATTCGAAACCATGACCTTTCGGTTCTAGGCTCTGATACCATGTGAGAAACTTTGCAAGGGTTTTGGAAGGGTTGATCCTCTGTCTCATTTGAGGTCACCCTGTTTCATTATATAGCTCAGCAGAAAACAAAGACAAAATGGATTACAGAGCAATGCCACTTGGCTGCTTTCCATTTGTCTGTTTTAAAGTTTAAACAGTAATTAGAAACGGCTAAGTGCCTCTTACACGCAACTAATATAAAACGACGTAGTAATATTAAAACTCTCTTGAAACTCCAATGACAGCTGAAAACGTTTCTTCTTCCTCATCACACGTTTCGACCTGCTTCTTCTCCTTCGTTCCTTTTCTCCTTCAGTCCTTCTGCAATCTGGATTTCCATTCTGTCAGGAGGTGAGCTGGCTGAGAAAGATGGTGGTGTGGAAGGGCCTGACCTCTGGTTGAGTTGAGTCAATGGTGGTGGGTGCGGAGTGCTGGGTAGGGTTTGTTTGTGTGGGCCTACATGGGCCACGAAGCTGCGCGCTTTGCCCCTGACTTGGCTCCATTGGGTTTTGAATGATCAAGCCCAAATCAATAAATGGCTGGAAAGGAATAAAAAAAATGCAAAGTTAAGCCCAAATCTAGAAGAAGGTTCACGGGAGAGGGGGTGGAGGGCGTTGGAGGTAGAGGGGGCAAATTAACCATCCAATCCACTTAAATATCCAATTAATACAATTCATTTAAATTCAATCTATTTTATTCAAATGTCAAATTATAATTCAGTATTTATACTTTTTATATTTTACATTTTGGTATCGGAAATTTGTTATGACATTTTAGTACCTAAACTTTTCAAAACATACATTTTGGTCGAAGTCTTGGATGTCATTTGGATCTAGAGATCAATTCACCAATCCATATGATCCAACCCATGAATCCACCAATCCATTTGATCCAATCCTCGTGATCAATGAATCCACCAATCCATTGGCAATGACAAATTGAATTCGCATCGTTGGATATTATTTGACTTGATTCGTATTAGAATAGTAGGTAACCAGAACGTATTAAAACAAGGTAGAACATGGGGTACTACTTCAGCTCCCAATAGGAGAAATCGGGTTATTATGGTGCTGACATATAGTCGGATTAAAAGCGTTTATTGTCATTTACAATCGTCTGAACGAAAATCGATATAAAAAAAATCTAAACTCAATAGATTTTAACTGTGGTAATTACAGATGAGATTTGAAAATTTCACCAATTACTCTATTTCATAAATTTGTCACTTATTACAACCGCATCCATCTAACAACTCACTTGACATCTTAGCATAATCAATCACCGTTAAATCCAACTCATATGATTGTGTATTACGAAAAAAAAAAGTACGATCCAATCAACAATGGTGACCACCACTCTAAAAAAAGAAGAACGACGGACGTACCCTTTGTCCTCCCGTTGGCACCATTAATTACGATCATAATCACGATTTGGTGAAAATCTCACGGGTGGCGATTAAGACGCCGGCGTTTTCTCTTCCCTACTTTCTCTCTCGTTCACACGGCCGATAAAAACCAATCTCCACCACCACTTTTCAAACCGGTAACGGCGGCCCTATTTTTAATACCTCCACCCCTATAAAAAAAAAACCCTTCTCGCCACTCCCATTCCTCCCAACAATAAAAACACAGCCAAAAAAATTTTGTTTTTATTACATTCTTCTTATGAAAATAAAATAAATGTATTAATTAATAATTATCGAAGCACAAAAAAAAAAAAACAATTATATCTTAGAGAGAAAAAAAAAATAATGAAAATGGCGAATGCCATCAACCTCCTCCTGCTCGTCCTCCCGCTCCTCTTCTCCCCGGCGTTGGGCCACTTCCGAATCTTCAGGCCCAGAGAGTTCGGGCTCTACAACAAGGAGCACGTATTGGGCCCCCACGAGCGGTTCGGCAACCCGTTCGGCAACCCGGACGACTACAAGTCCCGGCTCCACAGCATGCACGACGACGTCGGCACCCCCATCGACGGCGAGCTCCAGCAGGTGGAGGAGATCAAAAAGAAGGGCGACGCCGGCGCCTCCGCCGCCGACGCCGGCGATGACGACGACGCCGCCGGAAAACCCGCCCAACTGATGGGTGCGGACGACGGCGGTGCGGCGGCGACGACGGCGGGGCTGGGGGCGATGAAAGGGAAGGTGCACGAGAAGCCGTTTGTGAGCCCGAGCGGGTTCAACGGGCAGTGGGAGCTGTTCTCGAAGAATTCCGGGGTTTCGGCCATGCATTCGATCTTGTTGCCGAAGGTGGAGAAGGTGATAATGTACGATGCGACGATTTGGAGGATCTCGAATATCCTGCTGCCGAATGGCGAGTGCAGGGTGCTCGATCCGAAGACAGGGGAGAAGGATTGTTACGCGCACTCTGTTTTGTTTGATACCCACGTGGACAACCTCACCCCGCTTGAGGTAAAAAAAAGGACTTGCGCGTGTTTCGTTTCATTTCGTTCTTCGTAGGTATAACAGGGCTGCCCATTCCGTGGCAAAACAGACCCTCGCATCGATGGTTCAGCGTCTGGTTGACCATCGTTTTGCTCTTGTTTCTTTTCCCTGACCGTTTGATCTTGTATATTTTCGTATCTTGCTATTCCTTCCGGAATATCTTTGAAATATATATATATATATATGTTTTACCTTACTTTCCCCACATTGGTGCTTTTAGCTTATGACGGACACGTGGTGCTCGTCGGGAGGATTAACCCTAGAGGGCAACTTCGTCAGCACCGGCGGGTTCCAAGGCGGGGCCAACACGGTCCGTTACCTCGACTCCTGCGTCGGGTGCAAATGGAGAGAATACCCGACCGCGCTCGCCGCCCCGCGGTGGTACTCCACCCAGGCCCAGCTCGCCGACGGCAGGTTCATCGTCGTCGGCGGACGGGACGCGCAGTCCTTCGAGTACATCCCGCCGGAAGGCCAGCACAACGCCCAGCCTTTCTTCTTCGACTTCCTCAAGCAGACCCTCGACCCCGAGGAGAACAACCTCTACCCTTTCGTCTTCCTCTCCACCGACAGCAACGTCTTCATCTTCGCAAACAACCGCTCCGTCCTCCTCAACCCCGCCACCAACCAAGTCGTCAAGGAGTTCCCCGTCCTCCCCGGCGGCCACCGGAACTACCCCGCCAGCGGGATGTCCGTCATCCTCCCCATCCGCCTCTTTGCCGCCGGGCAGGTAATGACGAAAGATGAGTTGTGAAATGAAACCCAAATATACTTAGGGTTTTTTTTTAATTATTATAGAACCCTTTGAGTCTCGAGGATAACTTGAAATATTTCCTCATAGCACAGTAGGTAATAACAAAGATGAGTTGTGAAATTGAAACTCTAAAATTCTTTTTTTTTTTTAAACCCTAGAACTCTTGAGTGTTGACGATAACTCGAAATGTTTCCTTATATCCAGGCAGGTAATAACAAAAATGAGTTGTGAAATGGAACACTGGAACTCTTAGGTTTCTTTATTATTATTATTTTTTTTTTAAATCCTAGAACCGTTGAGTTTTGACGATAACTTGAAATATTTCTTGATAACAGGATCCGGCAAAGCCCGTACCCGCCGAGGTCCTGGTGTGCGGCGGGTCGGCGCATATTGACTCGTACAGTAAAGCCGAGAAGAATGTGTTCTACGAGGCGCTGGAGGATTGCGGTCGGATCCGGATCACGGATCCGAACCCGGTTTGGAAACGTGAGCTGATGCCGTCGCCGCGTATTATGGGGGATATGATGCTGCTTCCGACCGGGGAGGTGCTCATTTTGAACGGAGCGATGAGGGGAGCCTCCGGTTGGGGTTTTGCCAGGGAGCCGAATTTTACTCCGGTGTTGTATACTCCTCGGGCGAAGCTCGGGTTCAGGTTCCGGCAGCTGGCTCCGACCACGATTCCGAGGATGTACCATTCGTCGACGGTCGTGCTTCCCGACGGCAGGGTCATGGTCGCCGGGAGTAACACGAACAACGGGTACGTAACTCTATTTTTCAACTCTCATGGTAATATATACCTAGCATGAATGCATTTAAAAGCTTGTAATTTTACTATTTTAGATTACCAAAACGTTTCCACGTGGAATCTCACGTTTTCTATATAAGTATAGTAAAAAAATCAAAATCTACGTTTTAAAATTTAAAATCTTACGAACGCTTCTAGGTACGTAATTGAAATGTTTTTAAAGTAGAATCACATGTTTTACTATATTGCCTAACATGACGAATTGCATAATTGTCAATAACCAGTTAATCCAAATAATTTGAGTTGTTTGGAAAGGTTCAATTATAAATCGTAAACTACTTACCAACACGCCTTCTCGAATGAAATGCTACTCATTTGGAGTTGAAGTCCGCACTTGTTCGAATACCATGTGCTTACCAAATGAGTGTTATCAGGATTTCGAACAAAGATCTCTTGGTTACATAATGCTCTTATAATACCATGTCAATAATAAATCGATTCCAATAACTTGAATTATTGAGAGACGTTCAATTATGCATTATATATCAATTACTAACAATTAATGACACCATTACTCTTAACAGCTACATCTACGACTCCATGTTCCCGACGGAGCTGCGAGTGGAGAAATTCTCGCCGCCGTACCTGGACCCGGCGCTGGCCGACAGCAGGCCGGAGATCGTGAACGCCGCCGCGATCGCGCAGTTCGGGTACAACGGGAAGATCACGGTGCAGGTGAAGGCGAAGCCGGCGGCGATGATACTGTTCAACCTGAAGGTGACGATCAGCGTCCCCGGGTTCAGCACCCACGGGGTGACGATGAACCAGCGGCTCATCATGCTGGGGCTCGAATCGGTCAACCCGACGGCGGGGCAGCCGGGCGTGTTTGACCTGGCGGTGGTGACGCCGCCGAACTCGGCGGTGGCGCCGACCGGTTATTACATGCTCAGCGTTGTCTACCAAGGGGTTCCCAGCCAGGCCGTGTGGGTGCAGATTAAGTGAGAGGAGATAAGATAATTATAGTATTATTAATTACTGGGGTGCCGTTTTGATAGTTATTGTATATAAAACGCAGGGTAAGTTGGTAACTGCGGGAAGGTTTTTTGGGTATAGTTTTGCAGAAGAGAAAGGTCCAGAAATGAATATTTTTTTTTATAGCTGATTTTGTATTCTTCATCATTTGATTGGCTGTGTAATGACATGGTTTTTTTGGACATGTTTATGTATTAAGACTTGAGAGTTTATAAAATAAAATGTAATTGATTAGTAAGTTATAAGTAATTATCCTCTTAATCATTATGGAATTCCTTTTGCTTGAGTGGTTACATGTATGCGTTAACAAAGGTGGATTGTGTAAAAAATTAGTGATTGATGGAGAAATAGATAGGATCGAGTCTTAGAAAGAACATAATAAGTTTAAGAGAAAATAAATTAGGGATCTGGATGCAAAAAAAATAAAATTATAATGAGTATAAGTTAATTCTTCAAATTCGACCTAATAAAATCATGAAAAATTATGTTTTATTATAGACCCCCTTTAATCAGATGCTAATCGATCTAACGAAATCGAAATTCTAAAACGCGTTCCAAATTTGGATGCGCAACACTGATGTATATAATGGGCAGCAGAGGTGTCATGTTTTTGTCAAGCGACGGAAGAAGAGGTGTCATACGGACCTACGTAAGTCGACACCTATTAAAATGCAAGGATGTCAAGAGATTACGTCGATAAAGACTTTTCGTCATTTATTACGTTGAAGTTGTGATCATGATTATTTGCTTTATAGACTATATGCTAGTTTCATCTATCATTACTATTTTTGAAGTATGATATGAGATAATGATGCTTTTGAAATTTGAACCCGCATTCTACTCTTCTAAAATGAAATTTATGGTTTTGATAAACCCTAATAGAGGAGCGATTGGATTGGTCCACTCACATACCAACCATAGAGATAATTCGGTCCGACCGACGAACCGCGGGTTTGACTACTGAGTTTTTGTGCCAAAATAATTGTTTTTTTAAAACACGAAATTACATCGAATAAATCAGTCTGTAACCCTTAACATTCCTCGCCTCTCCTCGAGGATACTCATAAGTCATAATTAAGCTCCCTTGCCCGCGGCCACCTCCATCGCCGCCGCCGCCGTCGCCGCTGCGCTGGAGCTCCATCTCCTCGCCGCCGCTTCTTCTGCACATCCCTAGCTCACCAGCGTCACGCTATTTCGAAAAAAAGTTCGGCTTCCTTGCCTTTCTCTTGCCCTCCGCTCTACAAAAAAAAATGGCAGAAGCAGAGGGGGAAAACAGAGAGGAAATCGTCGTCGAGAAGAAGAGCAAAAGGAATAGGAAGAAACAGAAGACGGAGAATCCATCCCAGAAGGAAGAAACCCAGGAGCGGAAGCAGAACGGCGAAGGGAAACCACAGCAGCAAAATCAAGTCGCCGGCGGCGACCACCCTGCTCAAAACAACAACGGCGGCAGCAGCAGCAGCAAGAAGAGGAAACAGAGAGAAGCATTTCCATTCGGAAACTACCGAAACTACTACGGATACCGTGTATTGCTCTCTCTCTTCGTTTCTTTCTTCTGGCGATGTTCATTTGCTGTTCGCAGCTTGAAAATGCAAATGCATGTTCTGCTCTTGCCGTAGTTTACTTGATGATTAACCAGAAAATGTCTATTGGGTGTTGTAAAGTAGCTCTAAGAGTGCTAGATAGCCACCATTTCTGTTCTTTCTCTTGCTGGAAATCTTGAGTTGCAACTGCAGTAGGGTTTCGAGCAGACTAGAATGAGTCACAGAAATCTTCTAATATGACGAATTTGTTCTTTACTACGAATATTTCCATGGAATCCTTACAAAGGTGGGTTCTTTGCTGCTGATTAACAGATTGGTCAGGAGCTGGATGAAGATCCGAGGCTTAAGGTCTTAAAGAGGGAGTGGTTTGAAGGGAAAGATTGTCTCGACATTGGCTGCAATAGTGGCATAATCACCATCCATATTGGTAAGCTTCTTATTTGTTTTTCAGTTTATGGTTCCAGAAAAGAGTTGAACAGAATCGTGTTTTAGTTTTGTGGCTTATTTTTTGTGGTGGCTCTTGATCATGTGAAAGAAAGATTGTTGCTAGACTGTTAAATTTGATGAGAAGAATATGGGAAATCATGTTATCTGGTGATGCAATCCTGGAGTTGAAGGGCGTAAACTAGTGCATGTTCCTTAGGACTGCCTTCCGGACCCTTTGTGACCTTTTAGTTCTTGCTGGAGTGTTGCTATGTTCATATCAGTGATAACAAGTGAAACTTGAATCTGTGTGAATTGTGATGTAATGTAGGTATTTTTATAGGAAAGATACCCCTATGATATCAGTAGAAACTTGGGAGGGTAACACATAAATTTAAGTCTACGTTGAAATATTGGCTAGTGACTCAGGATTTTTATGTTAAGTGATTTGATAGCTTTGTTTTTTCGGCATTGCTTTTGGGCACGATGCGTGTCTCTGTTACTAGTTTGCAGTTGCTTTATACCAATACCATACCCTTTCTGCATCATACTGATAGCGAGCTTTTGTTCATCTTCTGCAGCCAAAAAGTATAACTGCCGGAGCATCCTTGGAGTAGATATAGACACTGGTAAGATCCTAAAATGTCTGTCTACATGCCTGTTTGTAAACCATCCTTGATGTTAAGTTTCGTTGTGCAAAATGATGGGTTGATTAGGTTTTACTTTACTGACGAAGATTAAAGCAAAGTAAAAAATGACCAGACCCAAAACAATGAGGCAAATTGACGTTTTGAAAAGATAAAGTCGTATTCTATAGTTGCAGTGGTAAGTCTGTAGTGTGTGAAGCATATCAAGTAGTTCCCTCATGTTTGTGTTGTGTAGATATGCTGACACTACTTGCGTTCCATCAAGATGCACATGTAGTTTCTTTTTATCTTACGCACATATCATTAGTTGTCCACGCTTTTCTATTTGTATTTAAGGAGTAATTTGAGAGTCTATTGCAATTGGTACTTAGGATCTGCTCATAACCATTGTCTATTTTCTTGAGTTTGGCGTCAAATTTCTTTTATTCCCTTGTTTTTCCTAGATAAATTTGAGTCTGGTAGTCTCGAATTAGAGTTATATTGTTTTGAGATTACCCTTGCTAGACCCTTCAGATGGACAAGTTCTCTTGACGCAGTTAGATTTGCTATGTTCCAGCCCGTATTTCTGATGCATATTGGCACTTGAGAAAATTTTCGAGAGAGCATTCTGGGAGCAGTAGTACAAATGTATCCAAGGAGGAAGTCAAAGAGAAATTGAAAGCTTCCAAGCAAATTGCACACGTAGTACCAGGAGATGACGAGGAGATCAAGAAAGAAGCATCATTTTCTGAGAAAAGAAATCTGTTTGATGTTGTTTCCTTTCGACAAGAAAATTTTGTTGACAGTCGGCACTCCCATGAGAAGCAGTATGATACTATTCTATGGTGAGTATCTTCTATTTTTGGAGTTTGTGAATATCTGAAACTATTACTGAAGTGTAAACCATGGAGTTCTGGGTTTTATTCCTATAACTGCATCTTGTAGTCAATTTATCTGGTTATCCTTCCCTTGTTGAGCCAATATGACGTAAACAGCTGAAACAGGGAGACAACTGCTGTGAACCACATATACTTTGTCAGGAGTTATACTATAGTAACAAATTTGTTAAATTAGCTACAACTAGTGTGATCTTCTATCGTAAGATGGTTGTTCATTTTGCAGTTTGAGTGTTGCAAAGTGGATTCACCTGAACTGGGGAGATGATGGGTTGATTACCCTATTTTCTAAAGTGTGGAAACTTCTTGTCCCGGTATTCCTATATTAATCCTTTATCTTCTCTTGAGTACTTCTTGTCTTAAGCTGATCTTTACTAATACTCAGTGATCATTTTGTACCATTGTACCAGTAGGCAGTAACACTACAAATCCTTTCTGTCTTGAGCAGGGTGGCACTTTTATCTTGGAGCCGCAGCCTTGGGATTCGTATAAGAAGAACTATCAAGTCTCCAAGGTATTTGTTTTTCCTCTTCGAGTAAGCAAGATCTCAGTATACCGAGTGTTTCATGTCAAATGTGAACTATTTCTCATTTGTTTCTCGTGAACGAAGCAGTTCTACGATCGTTTCTTATATCGTGGTTAGCTCCATATTTTACTCTACCTGGGATGTGAACAAATTGTCTCTTAAGAATATTGGTTGTATAAATTTGCTGATAGCTTGGTTTGCACATCTGCAGACAGCAGCTGAAAATTACAGAAACATAATGTTTCCCCCAGAGAGTTTCCGGGAAATTTTGCTAGATAAGGTAAATAAATACCTGTAAACCTCGGCATCATCATGACTGAGTATAAGGGGGTCTGCCTCACTTGTTGCTTCCTTTTTGACCTTTTTGCAGATCGGTTTCAGATCCGTCGAGGACCTCACTGCAGGGTTGACAGGCAGTAAAACGGGATTCAATCGGCCGATTTTCGCATTCCACAAGTGACAATCTAAGTGCCATCTGGAGTTTGATGATATGGGGGTTTGGGGAGTCTTCTCCGGAAGCTACATTTTGTTCAGCCCATATCGTTTTAGTTGACAGAAGCCTATGAAGGTGGTGTTCTTATTATGTGAGCATCACAGGAGCTCCTGCTCACACTATCTCTCTTCATAACCCCATCTGTAAATTGAATTCAAATGTCAATGTGGATCATCACCGTAGTTTCTTAGACGGTTTTGGTAATTAAATTGGTCACTACTTCGGATTATTTTCTCCAACGCTAACCCATTAATTCAAAATTATTCATAATTCATGTTAAAACCATCATTCCGAGTTCCGACCCCTATTCACAGATGAAACTCGACGTCATTTTGGCTTGATAATCCTTTTGACACAAGGATGATAATTATGTGTGAGGATTATCCACTCTGTGAATAAAGCGCGAGAACATAAATCTCACATCGTCTTGTGATGGCCACCATTCTTGTTCGTTGAATCTCAATTCTCTTCGATTTTCACTTATTTATGCTCTTTTAACTCCACTTATTTATGCTCTTTTAACTCCGTAAAATAGTGTATTGACGACTTTGGTTAATCCGACCTCCCAACAGCGATGACAACATTACAAGTTTACAACAATGTTAATGATCTAATGTAACTTGGAAAGAAGGGGCGTGATTTGTAGCCCAAAAAAAGAAGAGGTGGCCTCTTGCAATTCTTCCGAAACTCAGCAAGTTGTGCACGTCATTGAAGCTAAACAAAGCATCCCGGCCGGCACCTTGACAATTGTTTTTAGTCTGGTGCACGATGCCATTAGGGTTCCTCCAGAAAAATGCAACCGCGTCCCAGCTTGGCTGGCTCAAAACCCATCTACCAACTTTCTCCTCATCTCATTCCCTCCCGCCACTACCACTTTTGAAGAAAGAAATCAGCAGCAAAGCAAAGGATGGAAACTCTTATCATTCTATAATAATAAACAAGAATAACATATACATGTCCAGCAGCAAGTTCCCATGTCCACAGTTTTGTGTGACATTGAAACAAGACAACTTCTGTCGTTCACCAAACTCTGGAGCATAACTTTAAACAAATCAGGAATGTCAAATTAACAGGACAGACATGGTCAATGTGTTCTCAGGAACTAGAATATTAAAAGTAGATGACTCCATCTCAGCAAGGCCCATCTGTTGATTAGATCCTATAAAAAGCCATTCATAGTAGTCGACAAAAGCATCGATCCCCAACAACCCTCATTTCAACTGAGAAAAGCGAGCAAACTTCTTCTGGCTGTTGGAAATGAAAATGGCAGGTTTTAGCCACCCTCTACTTGTAGCACTGTCTGTATTTGCATTAGTAGCATTCAATCCAAGCTCAGTTGATGCTAAGTTCTCAAAGAGTACTTACTTCACCTGGGGAGCGCACCATGCCTCAATGTCGAGCAATGGGGAAGACCTCCAGCTGGTGTTGGACAAAACATCAGGTAATGTAACTTGTTTGCTTGCATTTAAATCTTCAGGCTGCTCTTACACTTTGATCGCCTTCTTAGATATATAGAAGTTCACTAGATTTACCTATCATCTTTGACTCCTCAGGCTCTGCGATCCAGTCGAAGAGGGCGTTCTTGTTTGGCAGCATTGAAATGTTGATCAAGCTGGTGCCTGGGAACTCTGCAGGAACAGTTACTGCATATTACGTAAGTAAAATGCAGCGCAAGTGAAAATGCTAATCAAGTTAGTTGTATGTCATACACATTCTTATTTGATCGAACTACGAACCACAGGTATCCTCCACGGGAGATAGACACGATGAGATTGACTTTGAGTTTCTTGGAAATGTGTCTGGGCAACCCTACATCATCCACACTAACGTCTACGTACAAGGAAATGGAAGCAGGGAACAGCAGTTCTACCCGTGGTTTGACCCAACTGCTGACTACCACAACTACACCATCCACTGGAACCCTACCGCCATTGTGTGAGTTATTGTAATAATAATCATATGATCATGCAACTGCATTTGGTGTATATAATATGATGGTATCCGGAGTCCTGACCTTACTATTATATGCTCGATAATGCAGGTGGTATGTGGACAGTGTGCCAATCAGAGTTTACCGCAACTACGAGAGCCAGGGGGTTCCTTACCCAAACAAACAAGGAATGAAAGTTTACTCTAGCCTTTGGAATGCTGATAACTGGGCAACTAGAGGCGGCTTGGAGAAGATTGACTGGAATTCTGCTCCCTTCATAGCCAGGTACCGCAATTTCAGGGCCAGAGCTTGCAAATGGAATGGACCTCCCAGCATCACCCAATGTGCTGTCAGTACGCCTGGTAACTGGTGGACATCTCCTGCATACAAACAGCTGAGCTTCGCCAAGCAAGGGCAGATGAAATGGGTGAGAGATAACCACATGATCTACAACTACTGCAAAGATTCCAAGCGATTCAACGGCAACATGCCACCAGAATGCTTCAAGCCACAGTACTAACCTTCCAATATCTACACTATCAACCATGTTCCAACTACGCAAACGTATTTTTGTTTCTCTGCTTTCGATTCCATATCAAATTGCTTTCATTATTTTCCCTCATACCAATCTGAGTTTTATTGCATTCTCCCTCCATTAATTCAACGGAGCTCAAACACCGAGTTCAATTATGTAAAACATTTTATACTTCTACAACTGAAAGAAAGTTGGAGATTGATATATCGGAGCTGCTACAATTTGCAATTCAACAGTTCCTTTCAACACCTGATTCGAATGCCGAATGTAGTAATCGACAGTCCACACTAAGTTCTCATATTGAACAGAGACAAGTAGTATGCAGGATCTATATCAAATGAACCAGAGGAGATGAGCTCATTCAATCCCAAAGAAGAAATAGAGCCCTCAAATTCCTCAAAGAAAAGAAAGGATCTTCCATAGACTCAGATAGCTGATATTCTTACAAAAATGGAATATGTCCAGAAATTCGCAGGCATAAAAATCTGAACCTTTCCACTACAACAAATTAGGTGATACAAAGCCAAATTCCAATCACAATGAACCCCGTACCGATCAACGCTAACCCAATCCGAGTTTCTTCGCCCAGGAGCATGGCGAACACGGCGGTGGCGGCGAACGTCGTGGCGTTGGTGACAGGGACGGCGAGCGAAATCGGGGCGTCGCTCAGGAGAGCGAAGAAAGTGGCGGAAGCAGAGAGGTTGATCAAGAAAGGGATGGAATACTGCCAGAACAGCAGGAGGCTGATCGCGCTTCTGAGCGAAGAGATGAGCTTCCGGTGGAGCGCCGTCGATTTTGGCGCGGCGGCGGGAGATCCGGGAGATCTTTTGTCGTACAGCAGAGCCCCGCGGCGGATTAAGGCGTTGGTTGCGCCCCAGATGAGGCCTACGGCCACCATTTTCTCGACGTCACCGGGCATAGATGGCAGTTCACGGTGGCTCTTGGCGGCGGCGATGGTAGTAAGCTTAAACCGGCGGTTGAGCAAAGGGCAAGAAGAGAGACTTCTGTCTTTCCGGTTACCCGACGAACGAATTGCTTGTTGCCGGGTATGGGAAGCAAACCATGGTTCTGGTAACCAGACCGGAACTGTTTGAACCGGTCCAACCGACCCATGGCTTCTAGCAGTTCGGTTTATAGCTCCAGCGAGTCGGGTCTGATAATAGGGCTGCAAATGAGCCGAGTCGAGTCGAGTTTTACCCCAGCTTGAGTTCGGCTCGTTAATAAACGAGTCGAGCTCGAGCTAACTTGTTTACTTAATATCTTGACTTTTATTTGGTACTTCATTTACTATATCATGATACATATGATTTATTTTGTTAGCTAATCTCATATTATACTTTGCTGGTATCATATATCACTTAGGAATAAATTTTAACTACTCCAAATCATGTTATTTCATAGTATCAAAGCAATCTATGATACATAATTTCTTTTTAAAGTAGAAATTAAGACATATTTGCTCACATACTCAATGTGTTAAACTTATATGGTGAGATATATAATTTAACAACCATATGAATAAATCATAAGATATAGATTGATTCGTCCATAATTTGGTAACCGAGTTGGCTTTCTAGCCACATGTTGAGACATATAATGAGCTCTAAACGAGCCAGCTCACGAGTTTAGCTCAACAAGCCACCAAGTCGAGCTAGTTCGCGAGCTTCACGAGCTGAACAAAACTTAGCTCATGTTCGGCTCGTTTATTAACGAGCTGAGTTACAAACGAGCTTTTCTCGATTCGAACGTCGAGCCACTCGCGAACAGCTCGACTCATTTGCAGCCCTACCTGATAGTAACAAATTTTAGGAACCGGGCCATTCCACGCTCACTTTGTTAACCGGTTAGAATTGATTTATCCAAAATGGGGGGGAAAAAAAAAACTGGGGGAGGGTAAATATTAGTTACCCATCATATATAACTACTTATTTATCCATTCAATAAAAGTTATATTTCAATCGCTTAAACTGACATTCAGTAGGATATATTCTTAAGTAAAACAATACAACGCCGGTTAAAGCTTACCACAATATGTATCATAATCAAGAGTTTGGTGATACAAAAACTCATATCATAATAATGACGAATATCATACGATAAAATGATGATAAAAATATACTAACCAATATCTTATCATTACTCTCACAATTCACAAACATCATGAAGGTCTTTCTTACGCCTTACCTTAACCCCATTAGTTCTCATTTCTCTATAATACTATATAAATCAATTTTAGCTTCACTTAAATGATTTATTTGCTATTTGTAGCTACAACGGTTCATGGGTTGAAAACATATGCTTACGTTTGCTCGTAGAAACACAAGGGCCGAAACATCTCGCCTAGAAGTTCCACGATAAGTTAGGTATAAAAAACATAACAAAATAAAATAACATCTAGGTACCCTACATCCCTTTTGAACCTTCACTGAAATTGATCCTACATATTTCATATTTTTATATTTGATAACCCAAGAACATCAGCAACCAACAATGAGTGACAGTGAAGCCTACTAGACCACATTACCCTACCACCCTTTTGAACCTTCACTGAAATTATCCTACATCTTTCATATTTTTTTTTATTTGACAACCCAGGACGCAGTGCCCGGCATTGTGCTACCGTCATCAGGGAGACTTCGGTCTCCTATACCAAGGGTGCCTCCGGGAACACCAAGAAGATGGTACTGGGATTCGAATCTGTGACCTTGTTACATCTCAAGTCCGAAACCCAGCCCTTTACCAACTAGACTGTCTTGCCATCGGCGTCCTACATCTTTCATATGATCTTTACTTAGCCACATGATTCTCTCTCCCTCGTTACCTTTGGCAGAGTCGGCCCTTCAAGATAGCAGGATAATAGGCAATTCCCAGATAAACTGAACTTGAAGCCCCTCTTTAATAATTCAGTGACACAGCTACCAAACCTCAGGCAATACAATTAAGCATTATAAGTAACTACCACACCACCAGCTTCTTCCTCGGATTCTTGCTTTCCACGGCACCATCCACCTATACTTTCCAGCACAATTTCCAGACACCCATAACCAGTTGTATACATCCACTAGCTTTCTCCCTTTTGCTCTTGTTCAAGTAACTTTCTCTTCAGCTATTAACACAACCTGAAACTGGATCTCAAAGGAGACCGGAGAAGAAAGTTCACCTGCCGCCTTGGAATTTGCTTACGAACAGCCCCTCCCCAGTAGCAGCAACCGCATCAAATACGAGAAATAAATCGGAAACTTGCACCCGGTGGTTCGTCTAACCCTTATGCTTCGTCCATCTCCAGATTCCTTACCAACAAATTTTGGCAAAAGCATGAAGCTGTAGGTCGCCCTTGCACCAAACTATCTCCCAGCTGTTACCCAATAATACCTAGATATGATATGCTCGGTAACAATCACAACGGAACCTCAGTTATCCGTCGCTTGTCCATTGCCAACAGCTCGGTACAAGTAAAGCTAAAACTGCATCAAAATCAGCCTTCTCCTCTGAACCCAAACTTTAACTGTAGAAGTGGGGATACCATCTTGCTGGCACCTTTCTTAGTACCAGCAACAAAAAGGAGCGCGCCAGTTTCGGTTTTCTTACATGGATAGAACATGCAAATGGGGAAGCATGCAGTGCTGCAACTGAATCTGGAGCCGCAGTGACACCGACATCCGTGAATATCAATTACAACCGCGAGACATGGCATGGCAGCTTGCAGCCACTTACTCAATCAGCTCGGAACTGTCAGATCTTCCGTAGTTCTGAAACTCCATCATGTCCATGGTTCCCAGTTGTGATTAACTTCTGTGGACAATGTCGTGCTACAAAAGAACCTGCAAATTAGAGAATATTAATCGATAATTGAACAGATCAATATGATCTTCTTCGAAGCGTCTACATTCCATTGACTCTTCAAACCCAGCATCTACTTTACCAAGAACTGTAACAAATTACTCAAAACAAGAGCTCCATATTTCTAGAAAACAGTACTTGACCTATAACTAAAAAAAAAAATATCAATTATCTCATAATTATTCAAACATAAATCAATGTGTGATAGCATGTGGGAACAAATAATTCCACATAAATGAAAGCAGAAAGACACAACATGGATAGAAGAGTTGCCAAATAAATCTCACTTGAGTTACTCGGAAAAACAATGGCAAATGATACAGATATGCCACTGGATGAATGGTTATCACGAATAATGCTGCAAAATAAGCTAAAGAATTACCCAGAAAGTAGAAATGCATTCAAAATTCTTTGTGGTCAAGACAACTTCATACACTAATGACCAGACAAGATCAACAATGAACATAAGTTACCCATCACTTACAAATCCAATGTGCAAGACAAACACGACTCTTGCAAATGAGCATTCAGCGGACAAAGGCGGTATACTACCTGATCAAATGTCAAACTGGCTAGCATGAGAAACATAGCCTACAAATGAAGGGAATATGGTACAAAAAGGTCCATTCGTCTCCCATCATGTCAATGGTAACTATGGTGGATGGTGCAGCTTTTTTTATCCAACTATTACGCACATAAGCTCAGATATACATATTTTTGTGTATCAAGGAAGAGCATACATGCAGAATTCATGAACTCGGAACTGTTGAACTGAGAGATAACCAATACTGTCAAGACCAACTATTTAAAAGACAAGTGTCTTTTGCTAAAAGCTTCACATTTGATTCCGCTTACATGAAATCAGAAATACAGTGTTTGCATGATTAATTTAAGCAACTATGTACAGCACAACCAAGCCTGCGGTAGTTGGTAATTTATAACAGACCTCAAAGAACATATACTGCGGTCCACTTTCAACAAGAACAAAGCACATTGGATTGCAAGCATCTGCATCTCGATTACAATAATAGCTGAAAGCATGATACCAGATCGCCAACTTTTTTTCAGCCTCCAACTGATGTATCATTATAACCTCCTTTGACAACATCACAGCTAACCACAGAACAAATATAAAACTTAGTTGCTGAATAAACAATTATCTAACTAGTAGTGAGTATGCAAACAGGGATGCAGAAACTACCATCCAGATCATTTGGCAGAATGAATGCGCTGCAATGCTGAGATCCAGCTGCCAGATGGAGCAACCTTGCTAGAATGTCCATGGCCACTTGTTGCTTCAGTTGGCAAGCCGCCAGGTTTTGCAGCATTCCTTCTTGACCCAGCAAATGAAAATGAACTAGAAGGCATATGTGCATCACTCACAACCTACAAGAAGCAATTTGTAGGGTGATCAACTGACAAGGGAAGCTACTGGATGACAAATTACACAGACACTGAACCTCCCATGCACCAAAGTCACACTTAAGCTGTGCCTTAAAAGGCCTATGTTAAGTGAGAGGCACTACCATAAGGCAGAACCTAATTATGCGACTAAAGACCAATGAAAAGGTCTTCATAATAGCTCACGCAATGTCAGTTCCCTAAACATGTTTCTTACTAAATATTGTAAAAAAGCTCAATATGCATCTTGTAGTCTCCACTTCAATGAGCTTACATCACACTTAGTTAGCAATATAGATGGTGAATCAGTAACTTCACTGCTATTGCAAATGAGTAAATAAAAGAAGACAACATAAACTTTCGAAAAAGATTCAGAGAATAGCACAGCAAATGCAGTCCACTGTCCATATGGTGAAACAACTGTACTGATTACTAAAGAATAATGTGAGAACTTACGTTCCTGTCAGCATGATTATCAGAAACCACATGCTTGCCAGTTGATGATTTCAATTGCATATGAATGCCATGACCCGTAGATTGTACAACCTCAGAAGCATAAGCAGCATTACTACTTCCTGCACTCGGATGTTACTACTAATGAGAATGAAGCCACAAATATATCTCAAATGCAGAAAAAGTGATGACCATAATCACTATCCTGAAAATGTCATCTGTCTTCTTGGGCTTTGAAAATGTTCTTATCCAATAATCGGTAGAACTCATGGCCAGCAACAAACAGAGTCACGATGTACAAATGATGTTTGGACTTCACACAGTCGTAATGGCTAACATGGAGTGCATGTCGATCTACATATTACACAGATCTGTAGCTCTAACCTTGTTGATTTGCGTTCTCTCTTTGAACTGCATGGCTGTCACTTCTTCCAGTTACTTGCTGCAGCATCAAGTGCATGTTTCAATATCAATGACAATCATTAATGAGGTAAAAGAAAAAAGAGAGGAACAACAGATGAAAGCTAATTAAAGAAAACCCATTTGCAAATTCAAAAACTGACATGGTAAAGGCTAATAAGTTAGCATGAAGAGAGGGGAGGGAGGAGCGGGATATGAAGGTCACACAGCTACTAACCGGCAATCGAGGTTGAGTTTGATTCTTTTGTGCCTGCTGGTACTTTATAATGGTCCAATCGAATACATAATCAAACTCGTATTCTGCATCAACAGAACATAGATTAAGCAAAGGAAATTGCATGGCACATAAACTCACCAGAGAGGTAGTTGTAGAACAGACCATACTACGTTAACTAAACATCTAAAGTAGAATCAATAACTAGAGTTTATCAACGCATACCTTCACGTACAAATAGATCGCGAAATAGGCGCTTCAAGAATCCATAATCAGGCCGTTGATCAAATGTCACTGAATGGCAGTAAACCATGTAAGAAACAAATTCCACCGGATGAGATTTGCATAGAACCTGGGAAGAAGAATATATTGAGTTTTAGGTTATATTCCAACAACATAACTTTCAACAAGTACCAGAATGTAACCGAGCACCTCAATAGGAGTAGATACTTTCTTTTCACATATTTTATCATATTTCTGCTTCTTCGTAGCCGCTTTCAGACCCTGCCATGGAAGGCTGACAACAAACAAGTAAAGTTACACATGCACGCTCCATACAAAAAAAATTCAACAAAATTGAACACAAAACTGTTCCATAAGTCAAGACAACTTGCCATATTTGAAAATCAAAAAACACCAAGTCATCCAGAAATCATACCTTCCTCTCAAAAAATATAGCAACACATAGCCAAGTGACTCCAAATCATCACGCCGGCTTTGCTCTGTAGAACAGCAAATGCAGGAGACTTGTAAGCTCGAGCTAATGGCAGTAGAAGACTATGCAAGTACATAACATTATATTTAACATTACTCCTATGACCTGTCCATATTACAAGGTAAAAGTACTTCCAATGCATCATTCGTACCAATGCCAAGATGAGTGTTGCAACTTGCATAGCGAGCAGTTCCTGTCAAGTTCTTGTTCTCTCTGTACAGTGGCATGGTTCATAGCAAAATATGAGCTAATAGTGACACCAAAAATCAATTTAGTATTATCATTCAAAAGTTTTAAGTCAATTGAAAACAGAACATCAATGCCAGGGGCACAACTAAGAGTACAACAAATTAACTTGGCAAGAAGAACATGAAACGAATGGTATCAGAATCACCTGTAAGGAATATGGCGATTTGATGTTGAATCTCTATATCTTTTCGCAAGCCCAAAATCAATTATATAAACCTGGTAGACATTGCATGGCAACAAGTCAGTAAATCCGCACAAACAGTTATGACTAGACCCTAGCGAATCATTTTTCAAAAAACAAAAAAGCATATAACTTTCGACGTTCATCACCTGGTTTGCTTTACGACCAAGACCCATGAGGAAGTTATCAGGTTTAATGTCTCTGTGCAGAAAACCTTTCGAATGTACATATTCAATCCTCGTAATCTGCAATTCCCAGCACAGATATAAATTACTAGGTACAGCTGCAAATCAAACTGTATCATATAGATAGAACACGAAACTTACCGCAAACAGGGAAAAATCAACAACAAACAAAGAAAGACAGGATACGCATAGCAACGATAACTACTACAAACTAGTGAAGACAAGAGCTAGCACCATTTCAAAGGCGGTTGATGATGCATACACATCATTCACCACCACATGTACGAGTGAAGAGAAAGAGGAGTAAGGGAACAAGAGGAACAAACATGGCTAAGCAAGAACCAAGCTTACCATTTGCTCAGCCAACATCAACACAGTCTTCAGCGAGAACTTCCTCCCACAGTAGACAAACAGGTCCTCAAGGCTCGGCCCGAGCAAATCAAGCACTAGCGCATTGTCCTCCCCGTCCAAACCGGACCACTTTATGCTGGGAATGCCGCCTGCAACAGTAACCAATTTGAACAATCACATTCAAGTTCCAACCACACGAAGCATGTAAAAAAAAAAAAAAGGAGAGCCGCTTGGTCAAATCATCGTGCAGAAAGAGCTTCCCATACTTCCTCCTTGCAGGATATTATAAAGCTTGGCCTCGTAAAGCAACTGTGGATGCTTCGTCTTACTCTTCTCCTACGAACAACAGCACAAAATGCACAATTTAGCTGTACAGTCACCAATTAGTACACAACATCCCGCCCATTCCATTCCAACCAAGTTCAAATCCCCCCTTTCGTCATCCACATTCGTTTAACCAACAAACACAGCTCTCGTGCACTACAAATGGCGAACCAAACACAATTGCCGAGAGAGGGAGGGCACTTACAATCTTCACTGCTACGATCTCGAACGTATCGACATGAGTAGCTGCAAAAGGCGCAACAAGCAGAAGAGCAGCAGCAATTAGGTCTAGAACGAATCGAACCGCAACAGAAACAGAAACGGACGCAGGACGGATTCCGCTCAATTGGAAGACAGCAGAGCGGAAAGACTGACCGAGAAATATTTCACCAAAAGATCCGCTGCCGATCTTCCGACCTAGCTTGTACTTTCCGCCGACGAGCCGCTCCATAAGAAGAGGAGCTCGGCGTTCCGGTTCCCCGATAATCGAACTAGAGCTTGACCGAAATCTAAACGAAGTCGCGAAGCCGGCTGGGTGTCGGGATCGGCGATCTCGGCGGCCGGAGAAGTGGAGCGGCGGAGCTGATTGACCAGAGGGAGGGGGGATTAGGATTGTGCCTTTTTGCTCTCCGTAACTGAAGCCGAAGAAGAAGAAGAACTATTGACAGAGAGACAACAAGCACGAAAGACAGAACGTAATATATGATGTGCAGAACTACAGATAGAGAGAGCGGAGACAGAGAGAAAGGAAGGCGTGGGGTTTTCGGCTGGTGAGGGCAAAGACGGGAATTCGCTTTGGGACGTTTTCCTTTTATTATTATTATATTTTATATCCATTAAAAGTAGGACAGGTTATTTGGTTTTATCAGAAACCAGATCCGAACCGGGACCGGATAGCAAACAATCTAATCTCGTATTCGGGTTTAGATTTGAGGTAAAAAAATCGTATGAGACCGGATCGAAAACCTGACAAAGACCGGATAAGAGAGCCTCAACACTCAAAACTTAACCAATTCCTCACCCTTTGAGGCCTCAAGCCACTCAAATTCCCATAAGCTCAATCTAAAATCAAGACCGAATTGGGACCAGACCGGATCAAAATCGGACTGTATCCAATCCAATCCAATCTTTGGTCCTTATATTCCCAGAAAGACCGGACTGGGACCGAAACAAATTCGGGCCAATTTAACTGGACCGGACCGTATAGCCACCCCTAATTAAAAGGGTGGAATATCGGCGGCAATATGATTCAGTTGCTTTTTAAGTTTTAACTAGGGCTGCAAATGAATTGAGTCGAGTTGAACTTTATTCTGGTTTGAGCTTGGCTTGTTTATTCATGAGTTCAATTAAAATGTTAGTCATAACCCAACTGCCTGTATAATACACTTAATATTCATATTTAGTTAATTGAATGGTTAACTTAACTATTATTTATACATTAATTTATTTTTGAATATTTATTTTTACAACTATTGGCGTACTATTAAACCTAAATTGAAGATTATGTAAAATATCCGTACGAATTTTATATGTACTATATTTGACTAACTATGCTAGACGGAACTACAGACTACAAGAGGCAAAGTGAATTGTCTAGTGAATTTATTATAGATAAATGTTAGTCACTTTTTCCTAATTGTTAGTCATAACCCAACTGCCGACCGCCTACCCAACTCAACCCGAATAAAATGTGAATGGATTACGTGTCACAATTGTACCAAATCGTTAATTAGCGGGTGGGTCAATTTGACACATGAATCCCCAGCCCATTCATCACCTACCCCTAGCATTAACGGAGTATACCATTAATAGATATTTGATGACCAATTGTGAAACAACGTTTAAAACAAATGACTAACGAGTAAATAATTTCTTTTCAAAAATCAGAGCAACAATATTAGTAATAAACATGTAATTTAGTTTTTATATATGGTTGTCTCCATTTTGCAGGATCTTCTTTTCTTGGTAGGATAGGATTTACGGAATGTTTTTGGTATCGTGGGACATTATGGACAGTCACTTCTGGTTTTATTTCCTACCTCCACACGTTTTGAAGATTTTCCTTATATAAAACGACGCCAACTAACTTGATTACTAAAAAAATAACTCTTTGCCTCTTTGGCCCACACATAATTTTCTAGTAATAATAATCCTATAATGTAACAAATCACCACCTATATATTTTCTTATGGATGTATCACCCATGATATTAGGGTGTTCATTTCTACCAACTTTAGCGTAATAAAAAATGTGTTGAAATAAGTCGAGCGCGCGAGGTGTGTCTTGTTTGGCTAGTCAGACTCGTGCTTAATACCAAAAACATTGCTAAGAAATTAGTAAGAGTAAATTTTCTTTTTTCATAATACATTATTAAAAGCAAGTTTCCAATGAAAATAAAATTATATTTTTAAATCAATTAGTAGCAACAAAATGATATGAAAATGTTTAAAAAAACAAATTTAGCCCCAAATGAATCATCGGCACTGCACAAGGATGACACGCATAAATCGAGAATCATCCTCACTTAATCTGAACCCAGATCCCTTCACTCGGCACCCCCTGATTTACAACGAACAACAAGTAATACCCTGTCGGAGCAATCGTGGTGTTGGGAGGGGTCCATACATCGATGCTATAGACTCCAGGCCCATTGGGCTTCACCGCCTCCAAGCCCAAGTCCAACAGCCTCATGTTCATCGAGACACTGTGGGTGGTGAACGCCGGCACGTACATCGTCACCCTGACGTTCTCCTGCTTCACCGGTTCGACCTGGTTCACTTTAAACTGCACGGCGATCTTCTGGTTGTACCCGAGCTTCTCCGGCGTCGCCGCGGGGTCGATCTGGGGCTTGAACTTCTCGAGCGCGGGGTCCAGGTAAGGCGGCGAGAACTTCTCCGCCCTCAACTCCGTCGGGAACATCGCGTCGTAGATGTAGCCGTTGTTGGTGTTGCTGCCGGCGACCAGGACCCTGCCGTCCTGGAGAACGGTGGCGGTGGAGTGGTACATCCTGGGGATGGTGGTCGGAGCGAGCTCTCTGAACCTCTCTCCTCGCTTGACACGTGGATTGTAGAGGACGGGTGTGAAATTAGGGTCCCGAGCGAAACCCCATCCAGAAGATCCTCTTTTAGCGCCGCTGAGGATCAGGACCTCGCCGGAGGGTAGAAGTGACATATCACCCATGAGACGGGGCGAGGGCATGAGGTCTCGCTTCCAGACCGGGTTCGGGTCGGTGATCCGCATCCGGCCGCAGTCCTGGAGAGCGGCGTAGAACACGTTCTCGGCGGCCTTGGTGTAGGAATCGGCGTGGGCGGAGCCGCCACAGATGAGGACCTCGGCGGCGACGTTGCCCTGGTTGCCGGAGTGAAGTTTCAGTGGGAGGAGGACGGACTGCCCGGAGGCCGGGTAGTTCCGGTGGCCGCCTTGAAGCGGAGGCAACTCCTTCACGATCTGGTTGGTGTTGGGGTTCAAAAGGATGGCGCGGTTGTTGGCGAAGATGAAGACGTTGCCGTCGGTGCTGAGGTAGACGAAGGGGTAGAGGTTGTTCTCGTCCTTGTCGGTGGTCTGGGTCAGGAAGTCGAACTTTATCGGCGCCGCGTTGTGCTGGCCTTCCGGTGGGATGAACTCATAGCTGTGGGCGTCTCTGCCGCCGACCACAATCATCTTTCCGTCCGGCATCTGGGCCTGGGTTGCGTACCTATTTTTCCACAAAGACACATAAAATATTTCGAAACGTACGAAATATAGTAAATATGGTAAAGGACAATGTAGTAGGAGTTGCAAAACGAACGATACACAATTTGGTTTTGGAAGATATGACACTAAAAGTTGTACTGCAGATTGGGGGAAGCCTTCAAGTTGCATCAGTTTTGTTTCTCCCTTACTACACTGTGAAGGTTTATTATATGTGAGCCCGAAGGGCGAACGAAGAAGAACGAATATACTCAAAATTTGTGAGAGGTTATTAAAAAAAAAACGACATTTGTGGCCTCCATTCGCAAAACAATCACGGGTGCAAAAAAAAAGTAATATCCAAAATGGTTTGGCCACTATACTTTCTATGACATGGTAGATTTGTGACAAAAAGTTACTTGAACGGACCACTACTATCTCCTATTTTATGAACTTTTTTGGTAACACATTTACGAACTTTTCATCATCACTCAAGCCAAACCTTACTCATTTTGTGAAATACTGGTGATTTCATTTTAGACCAACAATGGATTTGGATTCATGATAAACCGATGGGACTCATGGTGACGACCCACGCCTCGATAAAAAAAATTGCGGTAAATTGCACAAATTATAATTAATGACGTGACCGATTATAACCACCCACCAGGTATGAGAATTGGTCATGCCCTCATTTGGGCCAAGCAAGTGGCATTCGCCTCGCGGTTAACTATTATAGCCCATGGCGGAAAGGGGGCATGGAGGAGAGGGGTCCTAGTAGGACCACACTTGGTCAAAAAACGGGGCAATAAAAAAACTTCATATACAGCGGGTTTAGCATATGATCCCTCAAGTTTAGAATCCTATACTCTTATCAATATCAGCTCACATAATGACCACAATCAATTCAAGTTCATTAAGTACACATACTCTTGTGTTATTAAACGTTTTAAGTACCCTGCAGCAGCGAACTTAAAATCTGGCTACACCAATGACTATAGCCTAAAGTTTTGTAGCTAAAGATCTTGGCAAAGAAAAAGAATGTTATGATATCATATCCTTACCATCTAGGAGCAGCGAGAGCGGTAGGGTATTCCCTCCAAGTGCAGCCTGGGCAAGTGTCCAAGTATCTCACCGTGTTAGCTCCTCCTTGGAAACCGCCGGTGCTCACAAGGTTTCCCTCCAGGGTCAAGCCTCCAGACGAACACCATGTATCAGTTTTTAGCTATCAATAAAAAACATGCCAACCCAACTTTCAACCATCGAGTAATCACCATAGGTTTTGATAAGAGATTTTGAAGGTTAAGTTGAGATCGAGTTATTAACCTCAAGTGGAGTGAGTTGGGCGGTGGTCATGTCCATCAAAACAGAGTGAGCAAAGCAATCCTTCTCCCCTGTCTTCTCATCTAGAATACGACACTGTCCGTTGGGCAGGAGGATCTTCGATATCCTCCAGATCGTGGCGTCGTACATCAAAACCTTGTTCACCTTGTATCAAGGAGATATTACAAGGTTTAGAGGAAGTTATCATCATCGACTTTAGTCTCATTGTCAATGTTTAGTTATATAGGTTTCGGTTTGAGTTGTTATGTTTTTTTTATAAGTTAATCGTTCTCCAAAAGCAAGCTGGTACGATCTGTCTTATAGTGCCAAGATTTTTTGCTTATTTAAACCCAAGTATGAATGAGAAACACAAAATATTTCTAGGGTTTTTGCATTTCACAACTCATCTTTTGTTGTTACCTTGGGCAGCAGGATGGCGTGCATGGAACACACCCCGGTGTTGTCGGTGAAGAGCTCCCACTTCCCGTTGAACCCGGTCGGGTTCACGAGGTGGACGTCGGGGGCGCGCTTTCCCTTGGCGGCGGCGCCTGCTGCGGCGTCGTCAAGGCCTGCGGGCTGGAACGCGGTGGCGCCGCCCGCGGCGCCACCGGCGTCCACCTTCAGGCCTCCGTCCGCCTTGATGGCCTTCACCTTGGACTCAGTGAGGCCGGCGGCGTTGCCAACGGTCTCCTTCTTGGCGTCGGTTGTCAGAAGATCGTCGATCTGATCGTCCAGAGGGGTCCCGATGTCTTCGGGGAGCTTCTGTTTCTGGTAGTCGTTCTTGTTCCCGAACGGGTTCCCGAACTTCTCGTGGGGTCCGAGGACTTTCTCCCGGTTGAGCTCCTGGAAGTTCTTGGGGTCGTAGTCCTCCGGGGCCAGAGGGGCGGTGCCGCCTGCCGCCGCCTCGTGGGCGGACGCCGGAACCAACAACAATGACAACAACAAGAAGAGTTGCGGGGAGAAGAAGAGGAGGAGAAATGGTAGTGATTTGATTTTTTTGTTGTCCGCCATTGTTGTGGTTTGTTGCATGGTCTGAATGAATGTGGGAGATGATCTTCTTGTGTATTTAAACGTTTCTCTGGTCTGAGGGGTTTGTTTTGAATTGGATGGCTGGTAGATTTTTCAGCAAGTTTCTCCTCCTAGTTTCGTGGGATGACGCAGGATGTGGAATGATTTGGAACATGTTTGGTTTTTTTCAGTTGATCCTTTGTTTGGTACGAATTTGTCAAATTTGCTATTGTTGGGGGCTTCTGTTCTTGTGAGATCCTGAGGTTATGGCTAATGTCTCAAAACCTTGTAAGCTGGCAAAAAACACCTTTAGCGACCATAAAACTCAAAATGGTCACAGGAAACTTGTCAGTGAAAGTGAAAAGGCTAATTGGCCATCACGAACAAACTGAAGCGTTACCAAATGGTACACACTTTAGATTACGATGCTAAATTGCAATGTCTTACACGTGACCATTAATCATGTAACTTTTTTTTATCAGGTAACTAGAAGTAATGATGTATGTTGAATTAGATTAGGAGTTGTACACGAGATCTTTCACTTATTGAAGAACTATATTATCAACGGATAACAAGTTGTTTCGTGTGATATAACTTCTAAATTATATATTATATGTAAGCTTTTCGGGGTTTTTTTTATAAATATAAATGGATGCAAATAACATCCTATATTTAGTTCATAGCCAAGCTTGTTTGGAGAATATCCCAGAGAATCATATACATGGTTCAATGATGTAGCATATAGGATCGGTTATACAAATGATATGAAAACCAAACAGTAAAAAGTGCGTTAGACTAGTCAAATAGTCTGCACATTTGTTATTTGTTACCTACTCCATAAATATGGGAGTAAAAAAAAGGTATATATCTTTTATAAAAAAAGGTATATATCACTACTTGGGTGTGCGTGTTAGAGGTTGAAGTCGTTCGTTTTGTTTTCAGTCGTCTCGTGAGCAATCTGTATTTTTTCTTAATTTATTGTCGATAATGCGAGATACCTTGAATCAAAACAACCTCCTACTCCCAATGAAGCAACTCCTTGAAACGATGTATAACTAGGACTGGGCATGTGGGCGGATCATCGCTGGGTTTGGGTGGATCCACCCGCATTTGACCTGAATTTTGTTGTGTGGGTGGGTGACGGGTTGCGCTGAGCCTGAAAGCATCCGTCGGGTGGCGGGTGGGTTGTCGCCGGGTGCGCGGGTGACCCGCTCAACCCAACAGCAAAAAGAGCAAATTCGTTGGCGCTGGAGAGTGGAGATGTTAGATGGAAACTAGAGCTGCTCATGGAGATTGAACCTCAAAGCCAATCTTCCAAATTGCGATCCCTCTTCTTCCCTTTATTTTTTTCTTTTGAGTCTTGTGCCTAGATCACCTCTATTTCCTCCATTGATTTATTTACTTAGTTCCCTGCACCTGATAATCATCTCCATCCGTGAAAAAACTCCTCCATAATAGAATTTTTGTTAAATTTCAGAACTAATTTGGTATTTTTTTCTTCCTATTCCATCTTCTTGTTTCCCCTGATTATTCTCTACACCGATTATATATATCATGTCAAGTTGACTCTTTTATATTGTGTACATATTTCTTCTATTTTGACTTTTCTTCAACTAGTTAGAGTTGATCTTTCAACTTGTTAAACTTAATTACACATTCTATTATCACTATTTTTCATTCATGAAGTATTTTCCCATTCGTTTTATCGTAAAAAGTACAATTAGCGTGTATTCGTTTCAAATAACATGTAAAGAGTGAGTCAACCTGCAACCCCGCCCAACTAACCGTGCGGGTTTTACCCACCCCAACTCACAGAAGCATGGAACAAGGCATAGATATCGAGGTACCCGCCCCAACTCGTCTCGACCACTAAGTAATAAATAATAATAAGAGAAAAAAACTTTCTTTCTCGATTAAGTATAGAGATGTGGGACCAAAATCATCTCTCTAAGTCTGCAATTATCTACTATAATCTCCTTTTTTTCTCTCAATTCTTCTAAACATCGGGGGGGGGGGGGGGGGGGGGGGGGACAAAAAAAACAAAATCGGAACAGAAAACACGCTAACCAGAATATACTATCAGAAACATCCATCACTTGAGCTGCACCCAGACGGCTTCCGTTGGGAGCATATGGTGAACGACGCTGAGCATGAAGTAACCCTCCGGCGCCACCGCGCTGCTCGGCGGCGCCATGCACGTCACGTCGTACCTCCCTTCCCCAACGTTAACAGCGTCCTTCACCAACAGCTTCACCAGCCGCTGGTTCATCGCCACGCCGTGGGTCGTAAACGCCGGGACGTACATGGTCACCTTGAAGTTCTTCAGGAACACCTTCTTCTCGTTCAGCTCGATCTTGATGGTGACCTGCTGGCCGTACGTCATCGTCTTGGGGCACCCACCGTCGACGATCTTGGGCTTCTTGTCGGCCCGCGACGGGGAGAAGTAGGGAGGGGAGAATTTCTCGACGCGGAGCTCGGTCGGGTACATGGCGTCGTATATGTATCCGTTGTTGGTGTTGCTGCCGGCGATCAGGACTTTGCCCTCGGGAAGGACGACGGCGGTGGAGTGGTACATCCTCGGGATGGTGGTCGGGGTTAGCTCTCTGAAGAGGTGGGTTTTGTCCGGTGATTTGTAGTTGAAGAGGACCGGTGTTAGGTTCGGGTCGCGGGCGAATCCCCAACCAGATGCGCCTCTTTGTGCGCCGTTCACGATGAGGACTTCGCCCGTCGGGAGGATCACCTGTTGATATATAATAAGAGAATCATCAATCGTCAAAGTAGGGTAAAAGTAAAGAAAGGTTTTGAAACTAAAAGGTTTTATTCGTTAATATGGTATTAGAGCTTTCGACCATCAGGTTGAGGTGTTCGAAGTTTTGAATCTTTATTCTCAAATATAAATAATGGTTTAGCAAAAGAGATGATCGATCTCCAACCTGCACAAACAAACTGAAAGCTCACAAACAGGTTTCGTTTGGGACTGAGTGGTTTTGTTTGTTAACATGGTATTAGAGAGCATTTGACCGTAAGGTTTGGTCTTTCAACCTTTGGATATCCTTCACTCCATTATATAAACAATGACCAATACTGCAACATTGTTTATGTTCAATCTGCACAAACTGAAAGCCCACGAGTAGGTTTTCGTTTGCGACTAAATTGTTTGTTCTTTAACATGATATCGGAGCTTCGATCGTGAGGTTTGGAGTACGAAACTTTGAATCCTTACGACGACGACACCCCAATATTATATAAACAATGTTTAAGCAAAATGGATGATGAATAACCTATGCAAGCTGAAAGTCTGGACTTTCGTTTGAGAGTGCGTGCAAACGGGGAAAAAGGAACCTTATATAAAATTCATAAAAACCTCTTTTTAGGAGTGATATAGGTTTGTTTTCAGTTATGTAATACTCAAAAAATTCAAACTTGCGATCTTCAGGTTCACGACCAGTACCAAACCCTTATTCGTCGAAACTTTGAATTCTGATGAGTGACGACCCCAAATATAAAATAATGGTTTAGCAAAAAATTGTTCAACGTGTACAAAACTGAAAGTCTGAACTTTATTTGACTGTGTGAAAAAAAGAGAATCGCATATAAAACTAATAATAACACTCTTTTTTCCAACAACTCAAGTTATCGTGACTATATAATTTACTGGTAAGATGAGTTAGAGAGAGTTGAAGGATTATTACCATGTCCCCCATGACCCTAGAGGTAGGCATGAGCTCCCGTCTCCAGTTGGGATTGGGCCTGGTGATCTTCAGCCTGCCGCAATCCTGAAGCGCCTCGTAGAACATGTTCTTGGAAGCGAGCGTGTACGAATCAATGTGGGCAGATCCGCCGCAGACTAGCACCTCGGCGTCAGGGACCTCGTTGGGATCCTCGGTCTTCACCTCGAGCGGCAGGAGCACCGCCATCCCGCTGGCCGGGTAGTTGCGGTGGCCGCCGGGGAGCACGGGGAACTCCTTGACCACGGTGTTGGTGTTAGGGTTGAGGAGGACCGACCGGTTGTTGGCGAAGACGTTCTTGTCCGGTGACAGGAAGACGAAAGGGTAGAGGTTGTTCTCGTCAGGGTCGGTGGTTTGCTGGAGGAAGTCGAAGAAGAAGGGCTTGGTGTTGGATGTTCCTTCCTGTTGTGGGATGTACTCGAAGCTCTGGGCGGCCCGACCGCCGATGACAATCATCCGGCCGTCGGCGAGCTGGGCCTGGGTGGAGTACCAGCGTGGGGCGGCGAGGGCTGAGGGGTATTCTCTCCACACGCTCTTGGGGCAGTTGTCGAGGTGTCGAACCGTGTTGGCGCCGCCTTGGAACCCGCCGGTGCTGATCAGGTTTCCGTCCACCGTCAGCCCTCCCGACGAGCACCACGTGTCGGTGTGGAGCTGCATTGAATGCCCATGCAACAGTTCGTTTAGTCCACACATGACAATGACACCTAAAGAGCCACAACACCTAATTTACCTATTGTTGTGTTTATTTCAAAGGATTGAAAAAACGTAGCCCAAGTTGTACCAGAAACGTCAGCACGGTAGAATATTTTTATGCTGAAACGGTTACATAATTGTGGTTCAACCATTTCATACCGTGCTAAATACCACTTATCGCGGTTTTGCTTCCAGCATTAGGTTTTTTCTGGTAGAACCAACGAAACACAAAAATATGTGAATCGAGACGAGAAATGTTAAATTACCTCGAGGGGGACGAGCTCAACATTCTTGATGTTGAGCAGAACGGAATGCGCATAGCAATCCTTCTCCCCCGTGGTCTCGTTCAGAACCCGGCACTGGCCGTTGGGGAGGAGGATCTTGGAGATCCGCCAGATGGTGGCGTCGTACATGAGCACGTGGTCACAGTTTGGGAGCACGATGGCGTGCATCGCGCACACTCCCGAATTGTCGGTGAACAGCTCGAACTTGCCCAGGAAGTCGTCCACCGGCGGGGAGATCACGGGGGCGGCGGCGGGGCCGCCGACGAACTCGTGGAGGTCGGTGGCCTGGAACAGTGGGGTCCCGATGTCGTTGGGGAGCTTGTCTCCCTTGAAGTCGTCCGGGTTGCCGAACGGGTTGCCGAACTTCTCGTGCGGGCCCAACACTTTGTCCTTGTTCAGCGCTTTGTACAGGTTGGCCGGGTCGAGCCCGTCCGGTCCGGCCGCCGTCGGGCCGGCCGCGTCGTGGGCGGACACCACCGCGGCGGAAAGGAGGAGGAGGAGGAGGAGGCGTGGCGGGAAGAGTGGCTTCATTATTACTGTTAGATGTTTATTTATTAGTGATTGATGATTTACTGTGTTTCCTTTTTCACTGTTTTTTTTTTCTCTCCTTATATAAGGCTGCTAGGGTAATTTCCTCCCAAAGATAGATTGACTATTTTTGTTTTCATTTTTCTTGTCCAGTTCCTTCATTGCTTTTGCTCAGAACGACAATGTCCCTATAGAGCTCTTCTAGTGCTAATAGTGACTTGATCCTCCACGACTGCAATTTCATCCTTGAATATATTTTTGATACCCTCGTGAAACAATGGATGTATTCAAGGATGGATAGAAGGAATTGAAGTCAATACATGTTGAATCCTTTTGGTGAACATGTATGTTATCTGGTTTTCTGTTTCCAAATTACTCAGACTGATAAGATTCGACTCGAGGAATTGTCGAACCACATAACAGCCGATCTTTATGTGTTTTGTTATCTCGTGAAACACTGGATATTCTGCATTGTATGCCGCAGAACGAATCAGGTAAAGGTAAAGAAGAATCTGGTGAAAATTGGCCAGGTTCTGAAACAGGAGAACTTGGAACAAGTTCAGGTGGAATGGAGGTAATGTAGGAAATGGTGGAGGAATAGGATTGGTTGCAGGAATAATTTCAGAAGAAGGAATGAAGCAGGTATGATGTGTTTACAGAATATCACATTTCGAGAAAAGAAAACCTTCTGATCAATGCTGTCAAAGCCGAGCCGGAGTATGGCCCGGTAAAGTGAACGGCTCGGTCATTAGTGGTTCAGTCGGCATTAGACCGTTTAAAAACCGTTTGAGAACCGGTACATTATAAACAATATAATATCATAGTAGAACACACATAAAGTAATAATTCAATGATTTAATGAGTAAAAATGATAATTACAGGTACCATTTAATAATTGTACACAACATATATATACAACAACTAAAAAAAAAACCTAACCTAATCCTAAGCGACAACGCCGCTTCCCCACCCATCACTCTCCTTCCTTCCGCTTCCCCATCCCCCTCCCTCTCTCCTTCCTCCTCTCCCACCGCCGCACCTATTTTCATTTTTCAGCCACTATAGCCTTCTGCAATTCCTCAAAAATTCATCACCTCATCCTTTCTTAACCCGTAAATGCTCTTCCTCATCCCAATCCGCGAAATGGCTCGGATTCAATCCAAGCCTCTGGTGAGACAGGGCAGCTTAGCGAGGAACTGCTTGCGACGGTGGCGACGGGATGGAACCGCCGGGAGCGGGGAGCTGCTTGCTACAACAAGGACTGACGATGGCGATGCGATGGCGACTGGGGATGGCGATGCCGTCGGGAAGCGCCGATGCCGGGACAAGAGGTGTTGACGGCCGATTCCACGATTGGCCTTTTCTATTTTTTTTAGGGTAAATCAAACGGCCGAACCGCGCGACCGGCTCGAGCGGTTAACCCTTCGGCCGCTCGCCGGCCGCTGTATAAAACCGTGGCGGTTAAATAGCTGATCCGAGCCGGTTTTACGGCTGGGTGGCGGCTTTGGCAGTCCGGCCGGCCGGCTCGGTTCGGCTTTGACAGCACCGCTTCTGATCATCCAAGTCAAGTTACTTGTAACCTTTGATGCCTGGAGGAAAGCCAAAGAAGATGAATTTGTGTGCTCTAGGAAAGAACTTGGTTCTGTTATGTCCAAGGGTACTATCATAGCATAAACATCCAAAGACTCGTGAATGGGATAGATTAGGGGTTTTGCCATACAGGACTTCATAGGGAGTTTTATTTTTCAGGGTTGTGGTATGTGATCTGTTAATCAGGTAAACAGAATGAAAAATGAAATCAAATCAGAATTTGAGAGGTAGTCCATATTGAAATTTTAAAGCTCGAGCCACATATAGAATATAATGATGTTTTCTTTCTACACGAGCATTATGTTGTGGTGTTTCAACACACGACATTTGATGAATAATGCCATGTTGAGAAAAGAAATCTGGTGTATGAAATTCTGATCCTTGGTCAAACTTGATTGTCTTGATAGATTTTTTTGTATTGGTTTTTTATCATGACAAAGAAATCATGTAGGAGTTTTCTAGTTTCACTTTTGAATTTCATCAAATAGGCCCAAACACATATGGATTTGTCATCAACAAAGTAAGGAAATACTAAAAACTATTGTAACTCGAGGTAGCTAAAGGACCCCATATGTCAACATGAAAAATATCAAAGACATCAGTAGCAACAGACTGACTAGAAAGAAAGGGAAGACGGTTTTGTTTGGCTAGATGACATATTTCACAATGATATATAAGATCGGAATCTATGCTAGGTACAACTTTTTGTATTTCCTTTGTTCTGTGACGTGAAGGATGTCCAAGTATCTAGTGCCAAAGATCAAAGGTATGAGGTGTGTAGTTATATTTCTTGAGGGAATTGACATGTATAGAAGGATCTTCTGTGGGTTTGGTATAAGTTGATAAAGTCCTCTAGTCTATTGGGCAAAACCAATCTTCCTCATGGTGAGTAGGTCATGGATATGACAAATGTTTGATTGGAATGTGAGTGAAACAGGTAAAGACTTAGTGAGTTTACTAACTGACACCAAGTTAAAGGAGAAGGCTCGAACTGACAACACTTCTTGAATTTCAAAACTAGAAACCAAAGAAACATATCCAGAATGAGTGGCGTGGGTTTTGGAACCATTTGGCGAAGTGATGTAAGTGATTTGAATGGGTTTATAACTAGTAAAACAAAATAGAGAGCATGCAACACGGTCTATAGCACCAGCATCCAGATACCAAACACTGACAAACACATTCATTGGTTGCATAGTAAAGTATGTTGATAAGGTATATTTACCTGCAAAGTTTGGATTCACTAACATATATCTCATCACTGAATTGACCATTGGATGATTCTGCGAGGAAGATGGTGGATTCATGTTCTATCCAGGTGACACTGGTGAAGTGGGTGGTTGTGGTGGACTGATTTGGCACAGTAGTTTTTCAAGTCTACCCAGATCATTCATAGACAACATTATGTTAGTGAATCCATCTCCATTGTTCTCAGAGACATGCTTAGAATAAGGTAGAATACCACCACCCATATATGTTCCTTGGATTTGACCAACAAAGCTAGAAGAGGGTTCTGACTCTTTGTTCTTCCTCTTCAGCTTAAAACAATCTGCTATAACATGATTTTCCTTCTTGCAATATCTACAGAAAATGTTACCCTTTGGTACCTCTTTACCTGTGCCCTGACTAATTGCAAGTAATGCTACAGAATCCACTACTTGTGCTTCTTGGTTAGGTTTGATCAGTTGCCTTTTATGTTGGACAACATAGTGAAAAGCAATCTCCATTTATGGTAAGGGATTCACCATGAACAGGTTTGTTCTTGTTCCTCCATAAGCATCATTCAAACCAGTAATAAACCTAGTTACAAATTCATTTTCTCTATACTTCCTAACAGTAACTTCAGTTATACGAGCATCATGTCTACCTCCTAAACCACCACATGTACAACTCAAAATAGGCAAGAATTGAACCAATTATTTCCAGCATGCTTTCAATTAAGTATAGTATTGATTGGCTGACTTGTTGCCTTGCTTAAGAGTATAGACTACAGTCTAAAGATCAATAAACTCAAATATTGTCAACCTGCTCAAATCTTTGGCCTAGATCTTTCTAGAGTAGTCGTGCATTGTCTTTGGAAGAAACGCTATCCACCAAGTTTGGGTCAAGAGATCAAAGAATCATAAAGTAAACAACAGTATTGCTATGTTACTAAGTTGGGTAGTGCTCAGTGCTCACTGGTTAGATCTGGAGCTGGTAGAGATCCATTGATAAAGCCCAGTTTGTTTTTTTTCTTTTCGAAGCAACTCTATTCGTCGTACTCCAAAGATTGTAGTTATATTAGATGTCCTGGTGAGCTTGATTGAAAACACGTACCAGTGCCTCATTAGAGTTTACGTAGTATTTGCTCCTGTATCCATTGTTGTGTTTATAGGGTAATAGAAGAATAAAGGAAGGGAGAATGCGGGATGAGTATGGCGGAAACCCTAGATGTCTGAACCGAACTCTGATATCATGTTAGTGAACTAATCAATTGGTCCCCAATAACACGAGTTGTTGGGAAATGGGTTGTTAACCTTTTAATCTCTTACATAGTCCGTCCATTGTATTTTGCTCCTTACTTGTTAAGTTGTTGTGTTTATAGGGTAATAGAAGAATAAAGGAAGGGAGAATGCGGGATGAGTATGGCGGAAACCCTAGATGTCTGAACCGAACTCTGATATCATGTTAGTGAACTAATCAATTGGTCCCCAATAACACGAGTTGTTGGGAAATGGGTTGTTAACCTTTTAATCTCTTACATAGTCCGTCCATTGTATTTTGCTCCTTACTTGTTAAGTTATTATAATTGATGTACCCCACGAACCGAGTGGCTAAACCGGTCTTGGGTTTTTTCTTCTTACAACCGGATATCGAACCGTTGAAGGTTTATTACGTTAATTTTATCCCTTGGAAATCTATTTGTAGCGGTGTTATTAAGACCAGGTCGATACAATCGGTAAAAAACTGGTGACCGACCACCAGCTCGATACGGGTGATATGTTTAACCGTCTTTTAGGAACCGAATGGTTAGACATCGGTTCATATGGCTAGCTGCTTGGACCGTTCGAACCGGACCGACCGGCCAAATAGACAAACCAAATAAACATGCATCTTGCAAACAAAATATAGTCAGGTGAAAATTCGATCCGAATCGATTTATTACAAATTCATGTCACGTACAACTTTGATCAGACTCACATCTGAGGAGTAAAGCTCAGCAAGCCATTAACAAAAAAAAACAAAAAAACAAAATTGAATAATAATTAAAATGAACACGTTGTCGAATCAATTCTTGAGCTGAACCCAAACGGCCGCGCTGGGGAGGCGCAGTTTGTAATAAACCACGCTCAACAAAAAGTACCCCTCCGGCGCCACCGCGGTGCTCGGCGGCGCGTTGCACGTCACGTCGTACCTCCCTTCCCCAACCTTCACGGCGTCCTTCACAAACAGCTTGATCAGCCTCTGGTTCATCGCGACGCCGTGGGTCGTAAACGCCGGGACGTACATGGTCACCTGGAAGTTCTTCATCGACACCTTATTCTCGTTGAGCTCGACCTTCACGGTGAACTCCTGGCCGTACTTCAGCTCGTTGGGGCACCCGCCGTCGACGATCTTGGGCTTCTTGTCGGCCCGCGACGGGTCGAAGTAGGGCGGGGAGAACTTCTCGACGCGGAGCTCCGTGGGGAACATGGCGTCGTAGATGTATCCGTTGTTGGTGTTGCTGCCGGCGACGAGGACGCGGTTGTCCGGGAGGACGACGGAGGTGGAGTGGTACATCCTCGGGATGGTGGTCGGGTTCAGTTCTTTGAAGAGGTGGGACTTGTCGATCGCCTTGTAGTCGAACAGGACCGGGGTCAGGTTCGGTTCCCGGGCGAACCCCCAGCCGGAGGCGCCTCGGATCGCTCCGTTGATCATCAGGACCGCCCCCGTCGGTAGCAGCAGCTGTACGATGAAAAACGGTTAAACCACGATTTAAGCAGGACGCTATATATTGTCTGGTTTCTAGATATCCATCGATTGATCAGGTCACAGATTCTCTGAAAGGTCGTGCAGCTGGATTCATTTGTCTACAAGGTCGTCGCGACTTATGCACATTATCCGGTACGACTTTCTGTACGGTTCTACGCAATCAGAAGTAAAAAAAAAAAAGATTAGAATCGCGAGAGAAAATTACCATATCACCCATGATCCTAGCAGTAGGCATGAGCTCCCTCCTCCAATTGGGCCTGGGCTTGGTAATCTGCAGGCGTCCACAATCCTGAAGGGCCTCATAGAACATATCCTTCGAAGCCAACGTATACGAATCAATATGGGCCGACCCACCACAAATCAGCACCTCAGCGTCCACAACCGCATTGGGGTCGGGCGACTTCACTTCGAGCGGCAACAGCACCGCCATCCCACTGGCCGGGTAATTACGGTGGCCGCCGGGGAGCACGGGGAACTCCTTCACCACCGTGTTGGTGTCCGGATTCAGGAGCACCGAGCGGTTGTTGGCGAAGACGAAGACGTTCTTGTCGGGGGAAAGGAAGACGAAAGGGTAGAGGTTGTTCTCGTCGGGGTCGGTGGTCTGCTTGAGGAAGTCGAAGAAGAAAGGCTTGGCGTTGGACTTGCCTTCCTGCGGGATGTACTCGAAGCTCGGGGCGGCGCGGCCGCCGATGACGATCATCCTGCCGTCGGCGAGCTGGGCCTGGGTGGAGTACCAGCGTGGCGCGGAGAGGGCGCTCGGGTACTCGCGCCACGTGCACGTGGGGCACATGTCGAGGTACCGGACCGTGTTGGCGCCGCCTTGGAACCCGCCGGTGCTGATCAGGTTGCCGTCGACGAGAAGGCCTCCCGACGAGCACCACGTGTCCGTTTTGAGCTGGTCAAAAGGGAAAGAAAGAGTAGTTAGTGGTATAATGTATATATATAGTATAGTTTAATCATAATTAAACGTTTCAAATTTTCTTGCTGAATTAATCGGATTACTAGGGGCTATTCAACGCGAATAATTTACCCTAAATAGAAAAAGGGAATATATCATATAGCATCAATGATCAAATCAGTAGAACTGTCAAACTCGTTACAAGATCCATTTTTTTTATGTGATGGGCATTGGACTCAGTAGTTTCAATTGTTGGACATAAAATCATATGAGAGCCACTCTAATTTGACTGATCCACTCACTCATTATTTCAAACACAAGAAATTTAAGAAGGAAAAAAAAAACTATGACCTCTACGGTGACGATCAAACTCTAATTTCTATATTTTTTTTTTCCTTTTTCTTCGTCTTCCTAGTATCCTTATCAGTTTTGTGAGCGACAATTTGAATTGATTCAGCTAGAAATTCTGATAATCGATGATATATTATCCGTGTATCTTCTATTCTATAGGTTAATAAACAATTAACCGCATGATCATCCAACTCTAATCATTATGATTTTTTTTCTTCTTCATCTTTCTAGTTTTTTTAGTGATCGATGATATGAATTTGGAATTGAATATGATTAGAGTGACAAATTCAGTACCAAATCAGTATATTTATTTGTATATATCTTCTATTCTATAGCGTAATAAATAATTAACCAACGATTCTGTAACGATTTACGTTACCTCGAGGGGAGTGAGCTTCGCGTTGTTGATATCCATCAGAACGGAATGCGCATAGCAATCCTTCTCGCCGGTGGCCTCATTCAAGATCCGGCACTGCCCGTTGGGGAGGAGGATCTTCGAGATCCGCCAGATCGTGGCGTCGTACATCAAAACCTTGTCGACTTTGGGAATCAGGATCATGTGCATCGCCGACACGCCGGAGTTGTCGGTGAAGAGCTCCCACTTCCCCTTCCACTCGTCGACGGGGAGCGGCGGCCGGGCCTCCTCCTCCTCCTTGTGCAGGGTCCCCGTGGACTTCTCGACGAAGTCGGACAGGTCGGAGCTGACGAACTCCGGCGTGCCGATGTCGTTGGGGAGCTGCTTCTTGAAGTCGTCCGGGTTGCCGAACGTGTCGCCGAACTTCTCGTGCGGGCCCAGCTCCTCGAAGAGGCTGGCCGGCGGGTCGGCGTTCCCGTCGGGGGCCGGGGCGGGTTGAGAGGAGACGGTGGTGGTGAAGAGGAGGAGGAGGAGGAGACATGCCGGCGACGGTGGCTTCATGTTTGTTTGATTTTTTGTGACGGTGGATGTTTAACGGTGAAAGGTGTTGTGTTGTGACTGGAGAGGAATGGGATTTTGGTTTTATATATAGTTGTGGGAGTGTACCAAAAATAGAGAGTGAAAGTAAAAAAAATAAAAAATAAATTATTTACTACTGGTACTTGTTTTTTTCGTCATATGAGTGGCTGTGGAATTTTCCTTTTGTAAAAAATAATTAATTAATATTATTCAGCCGAGTTTTACTGGATCCGTAATTTTGCGTCGGGAGAGTGAAATCCGAGCGGTGAATTAACTTGTTAGCTTGAAACTCGGACGTTGAGGAAGGATTCAAATATCAATTTGCATTTAATCACGTTGCTCATTTTCTATCATTTCGTCACTTTTGTAGAAACAAAATAATGTCGTTAGTACTTACGAAATGTGGAGGGTGAAAACATGATCATATTTGAGAAGATTTCGATTACCATAATCTTCTTGATTTAGGATTTCATATCATTGATATTTACTATAGTTTTTTTCAATCCACCATTTTTTTTTTTTTTTGACAATTCTCGCAATTCTAACCTTTTTGTTTTTTTGTTTTTTACTTCTGATTGCGTAGAATCGTACAGAAAGTCGTACCGGATAATCAATTCTAACCATTTCTGTCACTACATGAATGTTCATTTTTGCGACCAAAAGAAATAGCTAACGGCCTACGAAGAGAGAAATGTTCACAAATATTTCTCTATTGTGACGGGAAATGTCACAAAGGACTAAAACATACGTGAAAACTCGTCCGGATCGTTTCCCGGATTCGGGTTCGTATTATGAACTCGAGGGCAACCAGTTCGTGCGTCCAGCTTTAGTGACCATTTTAGATCGTCATAAAATTATGGCTACCAGTTGTTTGGTCACTAATGCTACCGGTTTGCTTATTTTTAAGTACCGCCTTAATTCGGTGATGAAGCCAACCATCATTGATGTATAGCATATATGGTTGCGAAAGTATGTACTATGGTCTACGTAGCAACGCAAAATTTAACTATTTCCAACATCTGCACTGGTCACAAAAAGCCGGTTCCGTTACGTGCAAAAAGAGGACGATCAGTAGGGTACAAAACGACCGAAATAGGGAACCACTGAACAATCTCACGATGCGTTTGGTGATGTACATTTCGGGTGACTAGCAGAGTAATTGATCGTATCCTTGTTAGAACAACAAGCAACAACGCTTCAGAATGGAATTTTACAATACACTGAGGAGATGTGTCATGAACTTTCTCAATGAATCCTCGTTGTACTCGAACCAAATCACGAAATGAAAGCCAAAATCGACGATTCTCGACTGCCTTTGCAGCTGCTGCTGCTATATAGAATCTATCTATCGCAAGGCTTTTATTGCTACCGCTGTTCTTAGTGGAACTACCTTAATTACCTTATCTACAAAATGGGCATTCTTGGGGTCCTTTCATCTATCCCAATGTTCTGTCATAGGCAGCATTGGTCCTGTGACACATGGTCCTCTGAACTGGTGTCGATGAATTAGATAACATCGATTTGCATCCCAAGCTCACTCTAATTCCTTAATGAAATCAGTATTATCCACAAACACCTGCAAATAAGGAACCACGAGATAGCAGTCTTAATACGGGAGCTGGATCTCAAGAAGCATAGTGAACTTTCAACTCGTCGAAACCACGTCAACACCATTTATGGTTCGCTGTGGCTGATTAAACCCTCTAGCTTAGTTTGGTTGATAATTGACCACATCCAGTACTTGAGAGTAAAAGATCAAGGTTCAGATAGCATACCGTCTTCCAACCATCAGGATCCAAGCAGGCAGTGATCTTGGTATTGATACCAGGCAAAGGTCCTGGTTCCCGAGTTATCTTCCCACCAAAGAGTTTAACTGCTTCTGCAGTCTTGTAAACATCATCCGTGCCTATAGCTATCTGTTATGGTAGAAGAAGATAAGCTCCCAGTCGCCCAATTAAAAGAGCCACTATCAAAACCAACTCCTGACAGACTTGTTAAGAATCAACAATGATAAAACAAGCTGTAGTGAAACAGGACATCACCTGAGCATAAGCATTTCCCTTCTCATATTCAGTGACTCCATAATTGTACGTCAACTCTAGCACTGTACTTTTATCTTCAGGTCCATAACCCATCATTGCGATAGTATACTGGTAACAGATGTAACACAAGTCAGCTTGCAGGATAGTTTTAGAGAATTGTAGTTACTTACAATGTCGAGAAGTAGTGTATACACAAATAAACTACCCGAGTTCCACAGTCCGGCACATCATCAGAAGCAACTAACTCGACAATCAAGATGTCCTTAAATAGGAGACCTATAAGGACCCTCCTAGAAGACATAAAGATTCAAGACAAAATGCATATTTACATAACTAGAACTGATGCGCTGCAATGACCTACTAAGTACTCACAAAAAAACAAGAATGCTATCAACATAAGAATTACGGGTAAAGAAATGGCTGACAAGCTACCATGTGCGAGCATGCACAGATTACGATATTTCTTCTATTACGTAAATACTTCTCAACTTAGGCGAAGAGGTCACACTAGCCCATTGTATACTACTAATGATGAAGGGAAGTGCCCTGTCACTCATATACTTGCTGAGCACAGAGATAACAAAGATTTCTTTATGCATTCTCCACCAACCCCACCCCCCCCCCCCCCCCCCCCCCCCCCCCCCACCCCCAATTATGCATTCTTATCATAAAGTCAGACAGGACGAAAGCTTTCTGAACATTGTGAAGCTAGGTTGTGAGGCATGGAAAATTCTTTTTGTTGTTGTTGTTGTTGTTGCTGTATATGTATGCCGTTGATCAAAGTGCTCATTCAGTTAACTGCCCAATCTTACCTTGTATTCTGGATTATCACGTTTGCGGAGAAGCTCCATGCCAAAAGCCTGTATACAAAGGATATTATCAACATTGAGCCACTTGACTAACAAGACCCAGATGTAAATTTGATACAACATTACTTGAAAGCATAAGAACACAAGCTAAGGAATGGTCCAGCTAAGGCAATTCTCACCTTCTCATAGAAATTTATGGAACGATCTAGATCACCAACACGAAGCATCACCTGACAAAGAGGCTCTGGGGTAGGCCCTCTTTCTAAGAGTTCGAACTTATAACCATCAGGATCTTCGATAAATGCAATCACTGTACTGCCACCTTTAACGGGGCCTGGCTCCCTAGTTACTTTGCCACCCTTAGCCTTTATGAGTTCCACAGTCTTGGCAACCTAGCCAAAGCAGACTATGCATGAGCATTCAAACATAAAAAAACTCAAAATCTATCTAAGAAATGGTGGACCGTAGTCTTAGGCCATTGAAATTTGTGGGCAGTGATGCTGAATTATAGCATTTCAGAAACCAAATGAAAGCTTACATCCTCTACAGCAATGCCAAAATGTCCAAATCCAGCCCCGATGTCATAATTGTCAATACCATAATCTGATAACATAAAACAAACAGCATGAATTACACTTTGCCTACAAAAGTCATCATTCAGGATCCTGGAGGTTAAATGAGTGAGAAGTAAAAGAGCTTACTGTATGTAAGCTCTATAACAAATTGAGAGTCTTCGGGTCCATATCCCAGAAAGGCATTTGTGTATCTCTCCTCTGGAATGTCCCGCTTCCTAAGCAGCTTCATCCCCAAACACTCTGTGTAGAATCTGCAGTGAGCGAATAGTGTGGTTTGATAGGAAGTCAGCCATCATGAATTCATTGCCAAACATAGAGCCTAACATGATCTTGAAAGGATTGAGTTTCAAAAATATACTTTATGGTCCTATCCAAATCCCCAACACGATAAACAACATGTAGCATTCGACGCTTGTCCTGTTTAACCCACTCAAGTACATTTTCTGGGGTAGCAGTTGTGCTTGCTTGTGCCATATTGCCAGCTGCCGCAACCCTGATGCTGGTGCATTCTTGTCTCCATGGTTTAGAGGGTTTCAAACCAAATAGCTCTGACTGTCGAATAGCTGCATCATGTATAACAGTTTCTAAGTCTGTGAATCTGTGTCATGCCATCATAGAACGAATTACAGAAGCCTAGTATAAGATACTGATTAATTAAGACTGCATCATAAAACTTGACACGCCATTTATGCAACTAAATGAGAAAAGTGGAATCATAAGGAAATATAAAGCCTCTGAAGAAAAAATGAAAAGGTCAAACTGGTTGACCCACTCCATAGAGCTCCAGTTCTAACTTCAATATCATAAAAACTAAAACCATTCCGGCAAACGATAAGAGCATTTTCACAACCGATGGCATGGGAGAAACCAAGCACGACTATATCCATCAGTCTCTTCCACCAGTTCGCTCCTCAAACTACGCAGTAACTAACTACATACATACATTTGAATCTCTAGAACCCCTTCACCAACGCAATGATTTAACATCAATTCTTCCTCACATTTCCACAGTACAATTCGACAACGCATATCACCTCAAGCTAAAAACCCCTCCCGCAGACGAGTCAAAACTTCCTACTTCCACCTAATTCAGCATTATTTGACACCGGATTTATTCGATTTCACACAATTCAGGCTGGGGAGGTATGGAAAGCAAAAGACTTTGAATTCTTCCTCTTGCCACTATCAACTGAAGCTGGAGTCCTCCCAAATAAATCACTCTCCGATCCAATTCAGGAGCACTGAGAGATAGACCACAACCGCGTAACGAAAGAAAAATGAAGGCAAATCCTAACTCATGCTGCACAGACCACAGTACAGTGAAGTCGAAATAACCCTTCCAGGGAAAACCAATGCAGTAATCTACGAAACTCTCTTCTTCGGACCCCTCCAATTCCATCAAATGAACAAAACAGCATCTCAAACGAAAAATTCTACCATGAAAAACAAATCTGAAAACGACGGAATGAACACAGAGCTGGGTTACCGCTGGAGAGGGAAGGAAATCGCTTGGAAGAAGGGGAGGCGAAGGAACTAAGAGAAGCGGCAGCGGCGGTGGAGGAGCGGGAAGCGGCGGTGCTGTTGCAGAGTCTGAAAGAGGACGAGAGCGACGGAAGGATCGAGGCGGCCATGGTAATAATCCGCACCATGTAGAATCTTCGGAGAAGAGGGGAAATCCAGAAAACCTTTCCGCAGAGTTTTCTCTCTTGGTTCTGTGGTGGTGATGCTGTTGCTGAGGTTTCTCCCTTTCCTTCCCTGTCCCTGTGTCGTTTTTCTCTGCAGGGAGAGAGAGATGAGACGGAGGAGGAGAATGTGATTAAGTTTTTTTTTTTTTGGCAAATACCACTATAATACCCAAAATTTACATAAGTGTCATCTACCCCCTAAGTATCGTTTCCAATTGCATTACTAGTTTGGGTCCTTGCGGACTAGTACGACACGATACGGTTAAGAGAACGGACATGGACGCACGACAAGATTTTAAGTGAGCTTTATCTAATCTAATATCTTTGAGTCCTCATTGAGTATAAGCATGACACAATACGGACATACGGTTAAGGCACGACACAAGCATGAAATATTTGGAACAGTTTGGCAGTATTTTCAGGGCCTTGCGGGATGAGCATGGGCATGAGTGCACAATAAGGTCTATAAGTGAGCTTTGAAGGCTCTAATATATTTGAGACTTCATTGAGTATAAGTAGTGATGGCAATTGGGCGGGACGGGTACCTCAATGCCCATGTCTCGCCTCACGATATTGCGGGTTGGGGAGGGTAATACCCGCGTGGATACGAGGCGGGTTGACCCACTTTTGCATGTTGTTTGACAATAATACACGTAAAATTTACTTTTTACGATAAAACGAAAGGAAAAACACTTTATGAACAAAAAATAGTGATAATCGAATGGGTAATTGAGTCTAACTAATTAAAAGATCAAGTTTAACTAGTTGAAAAAGGCTACAAGATACTATAATAAATTGCGATAGGATTGGTCAAGAACGGGATGGGACATGGCAGGGCGGGTCGAAGTAGATACCCATGCCCCGCCCCATCGCGGATCAAGTCAGGTAATACCCGACGGGTCAGATTCAAATTGCCATCAAGCACGATAGAGCACGAATAAATACATTTTTAATGAAAAATAAATATAAAGAGAATAATGATTTAATAATCACAAAATACAACTATAGAAATAATGAATTATTGTTGTTAGAAGTAAATATAATATGTTTAAGAGTGTGCCTACGGTGACATGCATGTCACGGTGACTTGCACTTTCCAGTCGACCTTAGTTAGGATTAGGTCGACCTCATTTGGAATTCGGTCGACCTCATATAGGATCTGGTCGACCTTATTTAGGATTCGGTCGACCTCATATAGGATCAGGTCGACCTAATCTGTTGTTTCAATGTAAAAACAGTTCATGGTGCCTACTTTGGATATTCATATATACAATTGGCTAGATGGAAATTGAAGACTAATGACTTGTTTTGAAGCTGGAGTGTCCCTCTACATATTGAAGTGATTGAGAGATCGATAGGAAGTCCAGAAGACCATTTTTTAACCTCATCAAAAGGCTATGCCAAAACTAGGAAACTGCCTGGAAATGGCCAAGTCTGGAAACGTGTTTGTGAAGCCTATTTTGGAGGTCAATTCGAGAAGCATGAATGCGAGTCGAGTCCAGGAGTCTCTACCACGTTAAATTAGGTATGTTTTTATACAAATTCAAGGCATTGGATGAAAGATTGGATATATGTAAGGCTTCATACAAAAGGGTCGAAGTTGCTACGAAGGCTGTTTTTCTGGCAGACTTCGAGCACAAGCAAGCTGCCAGAAAAACAGCCTTCGTAGCAACTTCGAGCCTTTTGTTTGAAGCCTTAAAGATATCCAATCTTTCATCTAATGCCTTGCCTTTATATAAAAAAATACGTAATTTAACGTGGTAGAGACCCCTGGACTTGACTCACATCCATGCTTCTCAAATTGAGCTCCAAAGTAGGCTTGACAAACACGTTGCCAGACTTAGCCATTTTTAGGCAGTTTCCTAGTTTTGGCATAGCCTTTTGGTCAGGTTCAAAAATGATCTTCTGGACTTTCTATTGAGCTCCCACGTAATTTAACGTGGTAGAGACCCCTGGACTTGACTCGCATCCATGCTTCTCAAATTGAGCTCCAAAGTAGGCTTGACAAACACGTTGCCAGACTTAGCCATTTTTAGGCAGTTTCCTAGTTTTGGCATAGCCTTTTGGTCAGGTTCAAAAATAATCTTCTGGACTTTCTATTGAGCTCCCAAGTACTTTAATGTGTAGAGGGACACTTCAGCTTCAAAACAAGCTTTTAATCTCCAATTTCCATCTAGCCAATTGTAAGATATGAATCTCCAAAGTAGACACCATGAAACTGTTTTTACACTGAAACAACATATTAGGTCGACCTAATCCTATATGAGGTCGACCGAAAAGTGCATGTCACTGTTACATGCATGTCACCATTACATGCAAGTCACCGTAGCAAAGTCCTATATGTAATTACTATCACAAATAAAAATGATTGAAGAAGAATTAATATGTAAGTGAAGGTGAAATCACTTTGGTTATACTTTCTATTTTTTTTTTCTTCTCTTTTCTTTATTAGAATGACATAGATTTTTTTTTAAATATTAGGTAATACAAAATAGATCCGAACATGTAACCTCCAGTTTGAAGACTAGTAGTAATAACACTAGATCAAGTCTTTATTCACCTTCTTCCTCATATTTGTTATTTTTTCAAACTTGATCAATTAATACTTTCATTCTCCACCCGATTTTTTCCTTCTTTTTCATTCACATATTTATTTTCATCCTTTTCATTCACAATGAATATAATGAGCATGGTACGAGCACAACCAAGCATGACATGATACAAAAACGGACAAATCGTGCTTAGAGATGGCAATCAAATCTATGGTCGCGAATATCCGACCGCCCCTAACCCAATCAACGCGAGAAATCCTGCATTAACTGGGTACGAGACGGGTATATAATATGGCTTAACGTTTTCTTATAATATGATTTTTTTTTCCAATCTATCCAACATAGGATCACTATCGTGATAACATAAACTAATGAGAGGAGGCAAAGGAAACAGACAAAGAACAAATCACATATAGAGCTTTAGTTAGCTGATGTGTTCACGAACCATGGCGTCGTCTCTTTGGCTGCAGACAAGAAAGGCACATCTAATGTAAATATAAATACTTGGGAGGTGGAGAAGGTATACTTTGCCTTCTTTGATGTGCTTCTTCTTCTTTGTTGTTCCAGACTTGACTAGCTATATAAAATACATATATGGTGAAAGGGTGACGTCTACCAAAATTTGTTTGGATAGCAATTGAGCACAATATCACGTCACGCGATAATATAACTTACCGTTAAGAGAGATCGTGATTCAATTATTACGACTTTGCCTCTATATGAGAAAGTTGGAGAAATACGAGGACGCTCAATAGACAGTAAGTTGACATTGGTTCATTATAAATTTGCACACTTGTTATCCTCTTTGTAAATATAGGGGGACAACAACATTTCCAATCTCTATCGGCTAGCTCGTGGAAAATATATATATATCATTGTTGCATGTTGCTGCTGGCGCTAATTTGTGCTTTGGAACATCCCAGCTGCGCGCGCGACGTGAATCCAGCTTAATCCCTCTGCACACACACGTCAGTATCCAGCGCCACACGCCACCTTGAGCCCTTCCATATTATATATAGCTCCTCTCAACATTCAAATAGGCTAGGGTGATGGAGAATGCCCCTCGGGCTGATTGTCAATGCTGCTAAGCAACGTTTTATATATAATCTCCGATTAAACCACCAGTTGCAACATGACCTGACATGTGATGAACATAATCGTTTGAGTTGAGATGTGATCCACTCGAAGAGAATACGATTACCAAGATACTCTTCCTTTCTCAGAGATAAACATGTATGATGAAACGAGCCAGTTCCGGTCTAAGGTGATCCCTTATCCAAATCAGTGATCTCCGTCTTGCCTTGAAATATTGGATTTTGATGATTTTGTGCAACTAATAAACTAGTAGAATAACCAATATGCATCCAAATTAATTGATGTAACAAAAACTCTCAATATAGCTCACTAACAAACAAATAGATTGAGATAAGTAAGGGGGAAAAGTTGCATGGGCACTCTCAAACTTTTTGGTCATACCGTCATAAATAGTTAACAACTTACATTGATAGAGACACATCATCTTCTTTGGGCTGAAAATTGACTCCAAAATACATACTCTATCCAAAGTGATACAACGATTAGGCAACGGTGCAAAACATGTACTTACAAAAACTATGACAACAACGTTAATTAAATTGAACCAAGTCTCCAAAGATCAAATCTCATGTCCGAGTCAATTCGAATTAACGTGCTTGCTGTAAGTACGGGATTATCTTATTGTTGAATATAACGTGTATGACTATTCAAGAAAATTAGGGTAAATTTTGAAATTAACAGCAAAATCAGAAAGAAAAGGAAACCGTTGACTGTCTACACATCTAATGTCTCCGCCGCCGTCTTCCGCTTCTCCCTGTTGGCGAACCACTCCGCCGTTCTCCTCACGATCGGAATCCACACCCGCCTCTGCCTCTCCTCCGCCGGCACCGGCCCCTCACCGGAATCCACACCAAAGCTCCTGAATCTTGAAACCCCCGTCAGCTCCGACACCGCTCGCCTGTCCGCCGGCGAGCCAACAACCCCCCTCGAGTAATTGACAGCATTAGCATCTGCCGGCAAGTAGTTATTATTCCCGTTGCTCGATTCCGCCGGTTGGGTCCCGCTCGATTTATCCAGAGACGAGAATCTCTCGCCGGCGGCGTCATTAAGCATCTCGGAGCTGAGAAACATCAGGTCCGATGATCCGACGCTGCTCCATCGGTTCTTGAAAGCGAAATCGGAGACTATGATCCTGTGATTGAACTTATGGTACCCAATTTGAATTTCCCCCCTACCGCCATTTTCGCCGTCCCCTGTTTCTTCCAGAATCGGAGTTCGGTCTTCTTTCCGGCCGCTTTTACTCCCTGCCTTTCGAAAACTTCCCCCAATGCTGAATCTCGACGATGACCGCCTCCCGCTCTCCTCCCTCTGAACAAAAAGCCCCAATTCGTCATCCGCCGCCGAAATTCCCCGGTGCTCTGCCTCCACCTCCCCTGCCTCCAAATCCTCCGGCCGCCGCTCCGCCGACTGGCTCCACATCATCCGCGTGCTATTGGAGTACGCGAACACGGAGGGGTCCTCGGCGTTGACTCTCGATCGGCAGATCGGGCAGCTGGAGTGCTTCTCCAGCCACAGGTCGATGCAATTGATGTGGAAGGCGTGCTTGCACTGCGGCAGCAGCCGGAGGATCTCGACGTCCTCGAATTTGGATATGCAGACGGCGCACTCGAGGCCGTCCCTGTCGCCGCGGAGGGAGGAGAATCGGAAGAAGGGGAGGGATTCAATGACCGTCTTGTCGATCCCGGAGAATCGGGAAGCGGAGCGGGTTAGGCCCTGCTGGCGGAGCAGCTCGGCGGCGGAGGAGCCGTTGTGGCAGAACTTGGCGTAGAGTAGGAGGACGAACGTGATGGCGAACATTATGCATAGGATTCCGATTACCACTGCCAAGCTTGGCTGGAAGTTGTTTAGCGATGGCGGTGTCGTCGGTGCGTACCCCTGGGTCGTCGTGTTCGGTTGCGCTGCCACGCCCCCGGCGAAGAGGAGGAGGAGGAGGGCGATGGGTGGAAGACGACGGAGGGAATACATGTGGGGGGGAAAGGAAGCTGGAGTCCACTCCAGCCTGAGTTATTCTGGTCGGGAAAAGGAAAGAAGAGGAAAAAGGCAAGAACTTTGGAAGAGTATGATGGCGCCGGAATCGCTGCTGTACTCCTTTTCCGGAGAGGATTTCTCCGGTTATGATGGCTGGTGTTTAGAATTAGAAGGGAGCAGTCGAGCAGAGGAGGCTTATGAAATGAGGTGGGTTTTTGGGTTTTATATGATTGTTTGCCGAAAATGTTGGTTTGATTTTGTTGTTTTCAGGTCAAATATAATCGGCTAGGATATAATTATTTTACTTTATAAATTATTTTAAAATAGAGGTAAAAATTGAATATAATTGAATTTGAACATAGATTTTTGTTTTTTCATTATAAGGTGTTACTTAAAGAATTTGAACTCTCAACCCTCCTACAGTTTTAAGACTAGTGAAAGTCTTTGTTCGCAAAAGAATCAATGTGTCTCAAATAAATGAATAATTCAAGTGATTGGGAAATGTTTTTATGAAATTTGTATAATTTTTCTTACACACCCTGTCAAAATGAAAAACAACTTATGAGAGCATCCACATCAATGATATTTGCTCAATTGCAAATAATCCTACATGACACTTAATATGCAATTGCAAAAGGGATTGTACCAATGCAGACTGCAGTCTCAAATAAATGAATAACGACTGGAAAATTATTTTATGAATTTTATATAGTTTTCTTACACGGTCTGTCAAATGAAAGACAAGTTATAAGAGCGTCGACATCAATGATATTTGCTCAATTGCAAATTATCCTACATGACACTCAATATGCAATTGCAAAATGGATTGTACCAATGTAGTAGGCACTTGCAAAAAGATGCAAGTTTGGATCAAGCTCAACTAACTATCGTGCAAAGTCGTATCTCTTTGGTTAATAAGATGCAAAAGGTTTATTGATCTCAAGAAGAGCCTATCCAAATAGGAACGTTATTATTGTTGTTGGTTTCTTCGTGCATATATGGCAAAAGGGTGAGGGTAAAGCAAATAAATCCAACTGTGGTGTAATTTTTTAGCGTGACGAAGATTTCCCAACATGATAACCAATGTCAAGGAAAATATACCTACAGGAATAACGGCTGTACCTAGGGAAAACTCCAAAGGGTTACAGTTTTTTTTTTTATATATAAACAGAATCAAATGTTAGGATCATGGTAATTTAAGGTGTTAGAAGTTTGAGTAAATTAAAAAAAATTGTTTATTGTTGTGTTAGTTTTTTTTTTGTGTGTAACAAACGTTACTTATTGTTGATGAGAAAACTTTCTTACTCCACATGACAATCGATTCATATGTAATTTGTTTTCTTTAGAAGAACTGGATTAACTACTAATAGTACGAGTTGCTTACATTGTATAATACACTTAGTTGTATTGAAATTTTGTAACGCAATAAATATACTTTTTAACTATTGAATCTTGTTTGAGACAACAATGATGTGTATTAGGGATAAGTAATGTCTGTTTTACTTGTATCTTAAGTTAGCTTGTATTCACGTTTCCTATTCCCCTAAACCTTACAATGTGCTACTTTGATTTTTAAAAGATCCCAAACACATTACAATGCATTGTCATTGTTGCTACATTTGACGCACTCTGTAAAAAGGGATTATAGGTCGAACGCGCTCAAGAACAGAGCGATAACAAGCTGCTCTACAATCGATAACCAAGGAAAGCATTCAGCTCAATCTCCTCTCTTATGATCTATGCAACAAAATGCAAAAAAAGGTCCAACCAGTCTTTGATCGGAAGGGACCTCCTCCAACGCTCAAATCAAAAATCTTTAAGAGATAAAACTCAGACCGTAGTATGACTCAAATACCATTTGTGGCTGGAGCGTGGAGGTAGACCTAAAGAGATGCAGATATATAGAAAATATGTGCAAGGTGCTGCACTCTGCGGTTCTCTCCGAGGAATTTTCAACTTACGAGGTGGTACCTAGGACATGTGTACCCGGAGGAGGTAATTCCTTCACTACTTGAGAAACCATGCACACAAATGTGACATGATGCACGTATAAGTACCTACGAGTAGGGATGTCAATCCAACCCGTTACCATGGGTACCCTACCCGACCGTAACCGGTCAACGAGGATAATTACCCGCTTTGACGGGTTAAGGGGGTGGGTACGGGTAATACCCGATTTCAAAATAAAGGGTAGGGTAAGGGTATGGTAATCGATAATACCCGCCCCGCTAACCAAAGGGTCAATTTTCCTTGAGAATTTTAGTTTAGCTTGAGAAATTGAGTTTAGCTACCATTATTGATGAAGAAGATGTAGACGATTATTATGTTTGTGTGTATTGTAGAAACAAGAACAATTATTATGTGTTTGCTGATTTTATTTGTGTGGATTGTTGAAGATAGAATAGTTACAAGTATTGAGAATTTTTTTATGGAGAACAGTATGTATGTGCATATATGTGTATAAGTTCATGGTTTAGGATTCGTACCCATGGTTACCCGAATACCCGTGGTTGCCCGGTGGGTAGGGTATGGTTATATAATTTTTATACCTGGTGGTTATTTGGTCGGGTGTTTTAGAAGGCTCTACCCAGCGGGTTAGGAGTTGGTATAGGGTAAACCCGCACCCGACCCTGCCCATTGCCATCCCTACCTATGAGCCCCTTCTCTGTGGCAAACCTGTGTGCCAATGTATAGTGTATATATGTAGGAGACAATGATGCACTTATTTAGGAATGTCAGGCACACATCCTGTACACATACAAGAGACATTTATAACTTGTGAGTCTGTTTAGTAGCGAGTCGTCGTAACAATATACAGTTCCAACTCAACAATCATTTTCCACTATACGGCTAGCCATATGGTTTAAGAAAAACTAATTTAGCTCTAGTTGTGTCCTTGATTGCCAAACCGGTGCATTTTCCAACAAATATTTTTTTAACATAAGGATACCCTAAACTTTGCTATAACTCCCGACTAGTAGGTCAATCCTCACACCATGATTGGGCCGGGCACCAATTAAGCGACCAACAGAATCCCGCCATTTACATGGGCTGTGTTAGTGGGCCGCAGAGGCCCATCACATGGTCACCACCGCGAGAGTCAACGGAATCGTGGACCGGACGTTTTTGCGGATGGTTGGATGATAATTGATAACTAGCTTTTACCCGACCCCGCTGGTAGGATGATTTCATCTTATTTTTCATTACTTCATAATAATCGAAAGTGATCTTTGCACTACTTGATAATTGTGACATTGATAACAATTAGTTCATATGTATTTTTGTTAATCAGATTATCCTAACTCACTACGGCCTATACATGTTTCGTATTAAAAGAATTTGCCCTATTTATTGTATCATAAATTGCTTAAAATTATTTCTGTATATTGGTATTATTAACTTGGTTTACTATTAGATACAAACAAAACTAAAACAATTATGCATTAAATTAAAATAGTAATTAGAATTTCTTCAAGGGATTAACTTATTGCAACAAAAGCATAAAATTGATCATCTTAAGATTTCCAATCGTGCTCCATCAGACACAAATCAAAAACCTTTCACGAACATAATAGGAGGGAAGCATATAGCTAAAATAAAGAAGCGAAATGGCAGACCGATAGAAACAAATATCAAAAGCTGGCTGGTTGATGGCTGAGAATTACCTTGACAGAGAGAAGCTGCTAGTAGAGTTTTCGTTGAAACGCTTTCGTGGGTCTGTGTGATTTAAACTGCCTTTTATACGCATAACGCAGAAGGTGATTTCGTTTGCTGGCGTGAATCGAGCTTGGGTTGGTAGCTGAAATTACCTCGACAGAGAGAAGTTGATAGTGGCATTTCTAGAGGAAGCACTTTAACACCCCAATTTCTTCGTTAGAACATTGCAGCCGCCGACGTCGAATCTCAGACATGGAGAGCAGGAGGATATGGGTGGATCTAGCTACCTCCGACACAATCCCTATTCGACACTGAATTTGCCCACTGACATCCACTTGGACGTCGTCCAACCACTGACATGCAAAACAACTGTTTGATCCTGGCTTCCCAATGAAAGGAGAGGACGGAGAACGACGATAGAGATGAAGGGAGCGGAGGAAGGGCCCTCTACGAAACATTTAGGCCAACAGTGGTAGACGACTAATGTATCAATCCCTAGCCTTTCTGACAATCATTGTTATCCTTATCACCCAACATTTTACTAAACCCATTACTATTGCAAATTTTAGGTAGAGTTCCTACTAAAGTACACAAATCCCCCTACAACAATTTAATCAGAACCACTGGTTAGACATTCACTCATGGCAAATTTGAGAAACTGGTGCAAAACTCTACCATCCTAAATTTGAAAATAGTCAAGTGTAAAAATAATTTAAGTCCATCCAACTATACCTAAAATAATAAGGGATCCCACAGTACATCATCATATACAACTAACATTGCTATGTAAATTAAGCATTCTAGGCAGGGGCGGATACATGGCCTCTAGGGGTGTCCCGGGACACCCCTAAAATTTGGGGAAACGATTATCCAACCTCCGGTCGTAATTTCGTATGTGTATACAAAATATAATTGGTAATCCGGGACACCCTAACATTTGAAAAAATGATTATCCTACCCTCGATAATAGTTTGCTTATGATTAATAAAATATAAGTGGTAGTCCGTGTTATTCCAACCTAGGACACTATTATTATCAAACATATTCCAATTATGTTGCTACTCATTTGTTATTCTATTTTAAACATCATGCAACAGTAAAACGCTATTTCTTTATCCCCAACTATTTTCAATACCTAATAATTAAACTACGTACACGCTACCCTTAATTTTGAATTGATTTTATGGTTACATGGCAAGTGTTGAAAGAGTCTTTTCTACTTTGAGCTACATTATGAACAATGTTAGAAATCGAATATGTGATAAGTTCGTGAAGTATTGTCTAGTAGGATATGTAGATTTTTTGAACAGTGCAGGCACGGAGTTTATTTATATTATTTTTTCAAAATATGAATTTTAATTTATTATTTAATAAAAATTATACAAGTATGATATTTTTAATATACGAATTATTTAATTTATTATATAATTAAATTTAATTTTTGAAGAGGACACCCCTGTGAAAATTTTCTGAATCCGCCACTGATTCTAGGAGCTAGGAAATATGTAGCATAATGTAGTAGTGTTGCAACTTGAT